CCTAACCCCTAACCCTAACCCCTAACCCCAATCCCATTTGTTAAGTTTTTCTTTATAAAAACCCTATTTCTGATGTTTTTCCTTGTTTTAGGTGTCGGAAATAAACGGATTTCGAATTTCTGATGTTTTTCCTTATAAGAACCCTATTTCTTAAGTTTCTCTTCATAAAAACCCTATTTCTGATGTTTTTCTTTGTTTTAGGTGTCGGAAATAAGCGGATTTCGAATTTCTGATGTTTTTCCTTGTAAGAACCCTATTTCTTATGTTTTTCTTTATAATAACACTATTTCACATGTTTTTCTTTATAATGACCTTATTTCTTATGTTTTTCTTCACTTTAGGTGTCGGAAATAGATGGATTTCTTATTTTCTTCAGTTTATCCTTATTTTAGGCGTCGAAAATAGACGGAAACCCGTTTGTTATGTTTTTCTTTATATTAGGTGTAGGAAATAGACGGATATCACATAGACATAACGTTAGGTGTCGGAAAAGCACGGAGTTCCCATTAATATAGGGTTATACGCCGAATAATAGGGTAAAATCGCCCGAAATAGGGTAAAATCATCGAGTGTAGGGTAATTAAGGTCAAAGTAGGGTAAAACCGAGTCTGGCACTCTTTTAACGGTCCAATAACACTATCATAGGGTCAAATAGGGTCAAAAACTGGGAATCCGTGCCTAGGTACGGTACTGCAGACTGCCCAAAACGGATAACTCGGGACCAGGGTGCCAACTCGTCCTTAATGCTCTAATACATCCCAAATACTCGCGTGCATCCACTACTTCCATTGATATGTGTACAAAGTCGAATTGCCATAGGGTTTGTGCACAAGCCCTGGCCCTATGCGTTAACGCATATACACACTTGAAAAAACGACGAAGTACAAACCCATTCCCTTATATGTGACCCATATTGACTTATATGTTTTTTACACGTTTTAGACCATTTTAGAATTTCTTATGTTTTTCTTTATTTTTAGGTGTCGGAAATAGACAACTTTTGGCCATAACTCATGACCCAAATGACCTTTGACCTTGACCTTTGAGGTCAGAGGTTATGACCTCCCCTGGAAGTTTTTGACTAAGTCACAATGTTATGCTCCCGAGGGGTCAAAGGTTATGACCTCTCAAAGTTTTTTCCCTATACTTTGTGCAGTAACCTTTTACCCTGTGACCTTTGACCCCAAGGGAGCATAACCTTGTGACCCCACCAACAGTTGTGGGGGGTCATGACCTTTGACCTCAGGGGTCACCGACCTTATACTCCGAGGTCGGCCTACAGAAGATCCCTTAACTCTAACCCTAACCCTAACCCTAACCCTAACCCTAACCCTAACCCTAACCCTAACCCTAGAAGCCCTCGAAGCCCTAACCCTAGAAGCCCTCGAAGCCCTAACCCTAGGTCGTGTAACTTCTCTTCATTGCTTCATTCCCCCTCCTTGTTCGTCCCACCCACCCAATGTTTATTTCATTTATATATGCCTCTTTTTTTCCAGTTTCCACATCACTATTTGCTATTTTTTCCAGTCAACACTAGGTTTGATTCTACAATTGCGCATGCTCTTGACATTGTAAATATTCATTACCTATTTAAATTTCAACTCCCAATTTGATCAAGAACTCTGCCGCTCGCACACTCAAAAGAACGAAATCATCTTCCTACATAACACCCATCTTGCGCAAACTTCATTGGCTACCAATCCAGTACCGCATCCATTACAAAGTTCTTCTTACTTTCAAAGCTCTTCATGGCTTAGCCCCACTTTATCTGAAGGAAATGGTTCAACATCGTCAAGTGAGACCAGGTCTGAGGTCGTCGTCATCCAATATTCTGTTTGTCCCGAAGACTCGTTTGGCGACCTACGGAGACCGTGCATTTTCCAGCTCTGCACCGCGTCTCTGGAACTCGTTACCGGACGAGTTAAGGGTAATACACCTATTATCTCTCTTCACACGCCAACTAAAGACCCACCTCTTCAATCAGTTTCTTTCTCACACATAAAGACCTCTACCTTCACACACACTGACTTTTCACTAACCGGCGCCTTTGAATGACTATTATTGTCAGATACTGTGCGCCTTACACATGCTTTGTTATTATTATTATTATTATTAATAAGTACCTAACAATTCTGACCCTTGACACCCTTCTATGCTGATGAGTTGACAACATCCGTCTTTTTAATACTGCGCTATATTGTACCATTTATTGAACAACAGTTTCAAATGTACACGAGCTTGTCATCTTTCGTCACAATAGAATCAACTGTTGCATTGAAAACAGTATTCTTTATCAACTAAAAAAAAAACATTTCTTCTTATAACTCTTGAACAAAATCACCAAACAATGTACTTTTCATTTCCAAGCACAATAATCAGCATTTGCGTAACCGTTACATAAGCAGAGTATCCAGCAATTCTCTTTGTTTGGCCCAAAAAGTGTTAACGTGTACCAAATTATGCAATTTATGACAAATGGTACCGAGAAAAAAAAGGTGCACTTTTGTGTACGTGTGAGGTTAGTGTGAATCACACCTTGCACGTATACAAAAATGCAACTGTTTTCGGTATGCCTGGAATGCCATCACAGGTTTTATAATGAATATGAAACTTTGCACTATCATAACAACGGAGAAGGCACCAAAACACCTTTCAAATTGGAAAATAAAACTTGAAAATAAGGTTAAATGTGACACAAAGATGTATATATTTTCAAGGTTTGCATTGAAAACTTACTTTGCATGGGCCCTTTGAATACGGCAAGTGGTTGGTCAAACATACGCAAGAATTTTAAGAAATACGTGTTCCCGATGCACAATCATTACCAAACATACGTGTCCCAATGTCTTGCACGTCAAGAAATCGTCAACGTAAAGATGCCACTTGCTCAAACGTTTAAACAAGTAGAAAAGATCAACAGTGAAAAAGAAAGTATCTTAGTCCCTTTCAATTAACTAATTTGTTACATCTTGTTGTCCCTCATATCGGTAACATTTGTAAATTTTACAGTCATCAAGTTTTTTTTTTGGGGGGGGAATGAACCTCGGAGAAAAATAGGAAAATATATCGATTAAAATTCTTTACTAATTTTAATGACCAAACGATGAAAGCGATTGCCCATAAATGAATGAGAAACGAAAAGCATGGTTATACGTTATAAGCGCACAGATGTTCGCTATTTGAACGCCTCTACCGTCAAAAGTTTGCAAAGAGTTAATTTAAGACTCCTACAAATTCAATCTTGAATGCACCAAAACGAAATAGGATGCCCGAAAACGAAAACGAACATTCAGAGTAAAATCTTGGCTGCCTTAAAATGAAATTGAATGAAACCAAAATGAAAAAGAAACCCTGATTTGACCACATGTGCGAAACTCACGCGAAATTGATTGGCTGATAATGAAAATGAGTAGAAAAATTCGGAAATTCGCCGGGAAAACCTAACTACCAATCTTACTTTCTATTCATTGAACGACATTTCGGGATTGTACTCGACATTACTTGATCTCCGCCTCTATCAATAGACATTTTAGATGAATTCAAAGTCAACGAAATCATGAATTAGCCAACATAATTGGAAGTACACATTACCTTTAACATCCAATTTCCTATTTAAAGGTAGCAATTATTTCAATCTCAAATCACCGTTCGCCATTGTGATATTATAGTCAAAACTAGCTTCAGTAAATCTGTATATTCTTTATTAATATTCAAACTCTCCCCACAATGTCTGACAAGTCGATGGCAATTCTTTACATTTTTAGGATTAAAACTCGACAAAAAACATCAGTCTTGTTCATTCTCCGGATTCACATGGACCATTTTATTATTTTTTTTGGAATCTACACGAGCTTGTGAACTTCCGGCTTTTCCTTATGGTCAAACTTAAAATCAGAGTTTTTTCAATGAAAGCAGAATGATCATGTTCACGTAGCAGTTACATATGTACATTGACAGTTTTATTGGGGAGACTAAATTTAAATAAATATCTGGGAAGATTGGGCTGTAAGAGTGCCTGTCTTCACAATGAAATCCTAACAAATGTAATGTATTTCAAAAAAAAAAAATACCCCTTCGCCGTTTTTTTTTTTAAATTAGAGGATCCGCTCCCTCCCTGCCATAAAAAGAAAGAAATGAAACAACACCGAATTAATTACGGTACTTATTATTTTTGGCACTCTTAAGATCTTCGCTGTTTCAACCCAATCAATACATCGATCCTCCTAAACTTCAGATAAAACCTACAAGTGAAAAGAAACCAAACTTCTCAATGCTTTATTGGGTGTCACAGTCGAGAAAATAAACCCTTTCCAGACTTCAAAAAATCTGAGGTAACTTTATAGCCATAATTCTCAGTGAATAGTTGGAATTTTGATTGTGATGCTCGAGTGGGTGCTTTGTGTCAGGATCCGTATGTGCCGGATTATAGAAATGCGGTTCCTTTTTTTTAATTAGTCAATCGCTTGACAACAGCAACAGCAACGCCGGGCGCCATCATTTCAGAGCTATAACAGTGCCACCCTCATCGTGTTGTCTACGACCTCCTTTGCTATTAAGGGAGAAGCTATTGTACAGACAGTCAGTTCCATCTTGTAATTTCGTACTGTCTTTCATTTTCTCAGTAAAAGTGTCATAACCCGGTGCCTCATTAAAAAAAAGAAAACGTGCGATAAATTATTATTGGATTGTGTTTTCTTAAGATCGTCTCCACAAAGTGTTTTTCTCTTTTTTAATTCATTGATAAAGTGACTTTAATTCGGATTAAAATGTTCGCGATACAATAATTGTCACAGTTTGTTCACCAGAGATTGACCCGGTGCGATGGTAATATCCATTCAGTAGCCGTGATTGCTCCGAACTCATTCAACCTTTGGAATTAGCGCCAATATTTTTTGTTATCAGACTCGAAACACCATGCCAATTAAAGGTCAGGTCAGGCCGCACAAAAGTCTAACAACTGCACGTCGCCTCCAGAACACTGTAATCATGATAAACAGTACATAACCGTTACGCAGGTTGGAAAAGTTGTTCCAAAACATGGGAATCTTGAGACAAATACATATCGTTTTTGAGGATGATGTTGCTGAATTTTCTCACGGTGGCGTCATCAAGGGGGCGGTTGTTCTGGATGTGGACGGGGACAGAGACTTGGGCTTGCAGAGAGTTAAAGGTAACTGCGGGTTCGTGCCAGTTTTGTGACCTCATGGAAGTGACTTTGAATCATTTGTGTACTCATAGTAATCCTAAATGTCGAATCCAGGGGCTCTAGCGTCTGGATGAAATGAAGATGTAGTTTTTGGATTTAAACAAAAAAGTACATGGACAACAGCGTGGATAATAGCAGAATAGCTGTGTTCTATACTCGACGGGGCAAAACAGGAATTGACGCTCGATTAAAGAAAGTCACATTATATTTGTCTTCAGTTAAAGATCAATTTCTCTAGTGTTCTTCGTTGTAACAATATCACAAAGGTACATGTAAAGTTCAAGGAATCTGCACGAGATGCACGGCGGAAGCACATGGTGGAATGTGCCTAAATCGAAGCGAATTTTTAGAACAAGAGGAATCAACCACCATCCCGTTTTTTTCATGGACAAAGTTAGGTTGCCAGCTTAGCATTTTATTGTAAATAAACGTTTGCGGTGGTCGCCTTGCGTATATCCCCACTGCTTCATGTTCTTCATGGTACAATATGACTGATAGTACTATATGCTGTAGTATTTTGTACCCTCCATCTTCAATGAATCCTAGCGGCGAGCCGGCGATGTCTGGTCACAAACCCTTCTGAGATTCTGAGATTCAAAAGCTATCTGACGCATCTGATGTGGATTAAATTTCTTTTCCCGGGAGGTGAAAGCAAAAAATATCCTCCCAGAAGCCACAAATCTAAAACTATGTTTGACAATCATACTTTTTCACGACAAATCTCATATACGCCCAATTTCACCCAACCCATACCATCCATTTATTTTGCAGCACCCTAACAATGTTCATCTTTTCGATCGCCGCTCAAGTGCCACATCATACAGCCATAATGGTTGCGAAGGCGAAGCGTGGCCGGTTATCAAGCAAAGCTAATTCGATTACGTACTTAGACGCTATAACAGAGCAGTGAAATTCATGCACCCCCCCAAAAAATGGCCTTTTGAACGTTATGTTTCTAAGAATATTATGCCCAGTATGATTGAAATGTTAAATTATAACTTCCCCAAATATATGTATTGATCACACTTTCTAGGAATCTACTCAAGTTGTAATTTCACGAGTAGCTGAACACATATATCATCTAAGTATATCCCAAATTTCAGCTCAATCTGTTGTTGCAAACGCTAGTGTTACACCTTGAACCATCGCGATGGAAAATTTCGACGAGGATTTTTCCTGACCAAACCACGTGCATGGTTTCAGCAAAGATTCTATAGCTGCGCCATAGGCGCTATGGTTGCAGACCAGTAAATCGGTCCGAAATTGCCCACGCCGGCCAAAATTAATCACGATTTGCATGCCCTCAAAATCTTCAGTATTTGAGCATGCTGTGGGCCATGAACTTGAGGGTTTGTAAAAAATATGGGTGGAAGCCATGCAGTTGAGCTTGTAGTTCCGTTAAATTTGGATGAAATTGGGGCCCTTAAAGCGCTCTATTTTGGAATGGAGTGCAGGCATCGTTTTTCAAAATGGCGATGGCCTTCAGGACTATTTTCAGGGGTGATCATCTTCGGATGGAAATTTCTCCTAAAAGTCATCAGTTGACCCCCCGAAATTGAAAAGATGACGAAATAAGCATTAATTTGATTTCGCTCGTACCCCCGCCCTGCAAACAGGGCGCTGGTAAGGGCTGATGAGCTTCACAGAATCTTGTGAAGGAAGTATAGATTGACCTTCGCATGCAGCTAGGCGCGCGCTACGCATGATGGGCACCGGAAGCTAGTTTGTGTGACGCGTTCTACGTCACAGGTCGCGCAAAATCTATCCAATGAGAGCTCAAATGACGTCAGCCTTTACCAGCATCCTGTTTGCAGGGTAGGGGGTACGAGCGAATATAGTTTGATGTGTTTCTCGAACACCTTGGAGAGTTGTGAGTATTTTTCCCGAATTTCTGAAGTGGGAGCATTTACCATTGGGGTATATGGAAGTTTATTTCAATACTGGTCTGCAACCTATAATTTCAAAATGGCTCCCTTCCATCGTTCGTTGTCAAATGTGTGCGCATGCGCTTCATATTCCACGACAGTGGTTTTTCAGGGGGGGGGGGGGCGGGGGGGGCAGCGTTTCAAGAGGGGTCACCAATGGCGGTTCCGCAACAAATGCGCCCAAAATCTGAATGGGGCCGATGGACTGTCGTCCGATCACAGCAATTTCGAGCGAACGGGGGGGGGGGGGGGGAGGGGTCAATGTGGGGTTGGAAGGAGCAAAAACTCAATTAACTCCCGTTGGGGACGCCCTACAGCAAGGTTGCCGCAGACAGAGTGCTTGTTTTCAGGCCAGAAATCGCAGTCAGAGATTTTTTTCTCGCAACTTTATGATGAAATATGAGTCATCCGTCCACCTCGTCTTCGTCCCCCCCCCCTCCTCCCCCCCCTTATTTTGGATTTTGGAGGGGGGGGGGACCCTCTCACTCCCTCCGCGACGCCCATGACCCCACAGCCACCCCGCCCGACAAGATGTTAACATTTCAGTGCATTCTTTCCGCAGGAGTGTGGATCCAGTTTAAGGGCGTGGCTAAAATCGAATGGACGAATACGAGCTACAACCGCACTTCTGGCACGACAGAATCCGACTTTCACACACAGCGAGAGGACTATCTCAAAAAGACTATTGTGTTATTTGGAACAGGTACAGGCCAGTAGTTTATCTCATTTCCCGAATACTTAATATACCCAATATAATGGTCAAATTCTCCTTCTGCTGACGTTAAAATTGTGTGGCCATAGGACACTCATAATAGGCCAATTAAAGGACGACTTATCAGTTTTGCAGTTAAGGTTTGCTAAGTTGCATGCGACTACCGATATGAGACGGAATGTCAAGGCATATAAGCAGGGAAACTTGGCTTTGTGCATACAGTGAGCAGACAGTCATTAACAAAATTATACATTTTTATAAACAAAGAAACACTGTCTGTAATTTGATTTTTGAGCTGGATGCGAGTTGATCCGTGACATTTCGTGAACGGGACAGAACATTCGCAATAGGCCTTTTCGTTCTGTTTTATTCCAGGGCGGTTCGACCGCGACATCGACAACCTAAGCATTCCTCCGGGTCGGACCAGCCACCCCTTCGCCTTGCCCGTCCCAAGCGAGCCCCTGTTACCACAATCTTTCCAGGGCATCTATGGGTACATACGGTACACCGCTACGGCTACAGTGTCGGTCAAGAGGATGCGCGTAAACACGGAGACAAAAACGACCAGGCCGTTCATCATGACGGGGCCCAAAGTGGATCTTAACATCATTCCCAGCATAGAGGTAATAATAAGGCCAAAAAAAAAAAAATCGGTCTCTGGCCAGACCAAAGTTCCGGAATTGACGCGGGGACGCGGCTTTTTTTTTTTTTTGGCCTTTTTTTTTTTCTTCAAGCTTGGATTGTACAGACAAGGTGGGGTACTATTTTGCTACTTGGTGTCCTCATGTACATTGGTGTCCTCCATAATTTGCCTTGGTGCTCTCGATCATTTGCCTTGGTGCAATTTCCCATTCCTTGGTGCTCTTTGGTAAACAAAATTGAGGAGGTGCGGCAATAGAGGGCGCTGTTGGAGCTACCGCGGAACATTTTGGGAAAAAAAAAGATTGACATACATGATTAAAATCGACGCGCGCGCTGACCAGAGACCGACTTTTTTTTTGGGGGGGGGCCCTAATAATGGGTATTTATAAAGCGCACGCGCTACATCATTATTACCCCCTGCTCATTGGGCCCATGAAACATTCCAAATACATGTACCATCTCAGCTCCATGAAGAGTATACGGCTCGATGCTGCCTGTCAGGCGCAAGGAAGCTTATTCAATCACAATAACCATCTCTGCCCTCACATGTACCCATTTACTCCTGTGTGGAGAGAAGCGATGAGTGACTGAGCCTTGCCCAAGGGCACATCCACCTTGACCCCAGGCTGGACTTTAACCCACAACCTGCAACACGAGGCCACAGCACTCCACAGCACTCCGGGTTCGCCTTCGCATGTACAGCTCGATTTTTGCTGTGTATTTTTTTATGACTCGGGAACACTTTAATAACAAGCAGGGTTGGCTGATTTAAATCACGCTGATTTAAATCACTGATTCAAATCGCTATTTAAATCGAACTATTTTTTTTTACAAAAAGTCACTGATTTAAATCACGTTTTGTAAAAATCTTACATTTGGCCAACTTAATGGATTGAGGGTCATTGAGGGTCATTTTAATCAATTAAAGCATCTGATTCCACCTTATTACAGAGTGTAAGATGTTGTTAACACATTCAAACACCCCTACATGTACTTCATCAGTATCGACTCAACTTGCATGTAGGTTTTGCATAATTACCCAAGATCATTGTTTAGATTAAAGTGAAGATCTGAGTTTAAAGGGAAGATACAACATTTGCAAACATCTCAAAACGAAATGATCAAATTATCCCAAAATTCCTTACTGGATTGTTTTTAGGGAATGACAGTCTAAAGCATCTGTAAAATCGTGGCTCCTGGTGTGCTAACATTTTCAAGACAAATCGTATTTTTCCATCGCTTGTCGGCCGACTAGCGTTGGAGAAAACTGGCTTTTTTCAAAAACTGCTTGCAAACTCTTTGCTGCAAAAAAATTGCAAAAACTATTTGCAATTGACGCGTGAAGGGGTACAAGCCTGCTAGACTGATTCTCTGACCTTACAATTCCCCCAAAATCTATAAATTCTCCGTTTCATCTTAAGTGGGGTCAGGGAACCAGATTACAAGAAAATATTTTCTTGGTTTTTCCAGCATCTACAAGCCCAAAACGTGAAACAAGTCATTTTAACAATATTTGCTATAACATACTAATCCTCCAAATCCATTTATTTTTTAAATTGAAGCAAAAGCAAATGTTGTACATTCTCTTGAATTTTAACGACAGCACGCTCACTTTTGCTTTAATAATTCCTTGATCTGTTTACGTACAGTAATATTGTGAATCGACTGTGCTGGCGTAGGATTTACCTGAACCATCCAAAAGGTGTTTTTAAGTCCCAATTGATAGTCTTATTCCTGTTTCTTCATAAAAATGAAGATTGAGATTTATATATTTATAAGGCTTGATTTCTGTTCTCCACTTTGTAGGAAGGACCATCAATCAAACACTTAAGTTTCATAAGGATCAGTGCTGTCATTTTGAAATTAGATGCATTTTAATGAAATAAACATGCCCATGGAGAACTTTACTCATTTTTTGTATAGGCTACCATGTACACATACCATAAATCACGTTTTTCATTCATATCCTCACACAACATATCTCAGCTGTATCAATCGAGTCATAAAGTGTCTTCAGTATTAATAATGTACCATTGAACCAATGAGGTAGATTACATGTGTATGAAATTAAGTGATTTGTTTAAATCACTGATTCAATACATTTTTCTCCAAAGAATTTATCAATTTATTGAGTTTTGTGGATGATGGGTATTATAGGAACCTGTAAACTCCTTAGTGATGGGTGTAAGGGTGCATCACTATGGGGAGATTTATTCACATTTTTCGACATATCACTATTTTGAAAGTTATAAAATTAAAATAAATCTGACTGAAATTAAACAAAATCTCATTGAAATCAACTGGATAAATCCGATTTTAAAAATCGCCAACTCTGATTACGAGCCTGCTTAGAGGAAATAGCGAATTGCATCTAGGCAGACATCGGTCAATGGAAGTACACGTCACAGGGCATTTTTTGCCATTAGGCCTTCACCTGTTTTGCAGAAAAATTAGACAGACATCAATTTTTTACTTGGCCCTGAGTGTTGTGTAGTACCGTTCCACGAAGAGAGCCATCTTGACTAAAATAGTGGACCTTATCTACCCACGACGTTTTCCAGCAAAGCGAAGTTTCACAAAGAAGGCGAACAATTACTAGCTCTATCAGTTTGGCGTAGGGTTATACAAGAGGACGGTGATGACGAATTCTGCCTGTTTTCTTCGGGTCCGTCATATGCCTTGATTGCTGTCTGCAAGGAAGACGGAAAATAAAACTCCAATCTCGGCCATCGGCGGAGTCACTCACTGCCGCGCCAGGAGGGTCAGGTGACCAGTCTCCGTGCCAAGGGTCATGTCCCGACCAGGCAAAAGATGGAGCAATTAGTGGATCTATATCTACGACAGGAATGCGGTCAATTACATCTGACTTGCATGCCAAGCTGGACAAAGTAATCATGAACCATTCAGGGAATCCCTATCCAGGCTGGTGACAATGACTTCTGGAAAGTAAGCAGAAAGTGATGGAAGATTCAGCCATGTGGTTGCGATCAAGCCGATATCTAAAGGTTATGTATACGTAGGCCTAATACTTTACTTTGAATGAAACAACATTCACGCAGACATGTGGATGTTCGCGGGCAAAATCTTTGAAAATGGGTTTCTCCCGATTGGAAGACCGTATCTTTATGCAACTTTAAGGGTTTGCTTCCCTTATAATGATGCAACTATGTGCTAAAAATCGTTTCGATAATACATTGTAGTATGTTCAGTATTGCTCGTTGAAATTAGAAAAATAGACCTGGCTACGTCCATTTTTAAAAGTTGTAACACGTACTCCAGTGTTTGAAATATTTGTCAATCTTTTCAAGCCTCATCACGAATATTAATAAGGTTCCTATACATTATAGTGTACAGTAAAACTCTGAGGAATAGCCTCCTTCACGAGTTATTAATTAATAAATGTCACCCTTTTTGCCGGTTTCCATTGGTCGATACCGAAAGCCACGCGAAGTCACTCCGAGTGACGCTAGTGAATATGCTAATAATTATGCGCTTCGTCATTGTTGCCCCAAAATATGCCAACCTGAAAAACAATGAACGTGACGTAATTTGGTCGGCAAAAGAACCTTGTCGAAATTTACCTTCGAGATAGTTCAAGGTTTATCACAAGCGTTTGCAGAGAATTAGGCGAACATCTTGAATGAACAGTGTCAGAATATGTTTACCAAGGAGCCTCCCAAACTTGGTGCTAGCCCGTACGAACAGATTGGTCAGCTCATCATCACCAAAGAGGGAGTTGAAAAGCTCCTCAGCCAGCTTAAGCCCAACAAAGCACCATGTCCAGACGGAATTCCACCTTGGTTTCTGAAACTTGGAGCTAAGCAGCCAGTACCACAAGATTGGAAGGAAGCAAATATTGCATCAATATTCAAGAAGGGAGCCGTACTTGTGCAGCAAACTACCGTCCTGTTTCACTCACTTCAGTGGTTTGCAAGGCTTTGGAGCAAATTGTACACAGCCATGCGATGAAACGTTTGGAGAACCAGCATATTTTATCCGATTTTCAACATGGATTCCGGGCTAAAAAAAGTCAACGGAAACGCAACTCATCCTTACAATTCATGACATTAGCATGGAACTCAACAAGAACAACTTGGTTGACGTCGCATGCAGTGCTTGATTTTACCATGCAAGGTCTTCGACAAAGTCTTGCACCGTCATCTTATCTCCAAACTTCAATATTATGGATTAAGTGGGGAGATCTCAACATGGGTTCAGGATTTCCTGACGGGGCGTACCTAACAAGTCGTAAATAATGGGCATATGCATACATCACTCCCGGCCAGCATCACTCCCGGCCAGCAGCCGTTACATCTGGTGTACCACAGGGCACTGTCACTGGTCCACTTTTGTTTTTATTATACATCAACGACCTGCCAAACAACATCACCTCCCACACCAGGTTTTTTGCAGATGACTGCTTGCTTTACGCCCCAATTCCTACCAGTACCAGCGGGGACACCAGCATTTTGCAGAATGACCTGAAACTCCTAGAAAACTGGCAAGACACTTGCACTGCAAAAACTGTAGTGTTAATTTAACACCATTCAGTATCTATATAGAACAACACCAGTAAAATTTAACACCAGAAGGTCCGATAAAGATACCAACAGTGTAAATTTAAAACTGCAGTTTTTGCAGTGTGAACTTTAATCCAAGCAAGTTCTGTACCATGACCGTATAGGCAAGAGAAACCCACCTCAGCATGAGTACAAGTTTTGCAATCAAGTTTTGGACAGCGTCTCCTCTCAAAAATACATTGGTGTTCATATATCTAATAGCCTCATCTGGAACATTCATGTTCAAGAGTCAATGCAAATGCATCCACGGCTCAGCACCAGCATACCTCCGTGAACTTATTCAAGTTATTATTATTATTATTTATTCGGCCAACAAATGAACAAAAGTACAATTACAAGGCAAATATAAATCAGAAAGTAAACAAAAAATAGAAATTGAAAAGTATGACCAGACAAGACTAAAGACTGATGCGAGTAGGAATGGGTTGGAGGGGGGGGGGGGGGGGGGGGAGGGAAGGGAGGGTGGACAGTTTGACAGGGGAGAGGAGATAGAGGGACGGAAAACAAGAACAAAATAACATTTCAAACCGGCCAGGGTAAACAAAAGTGTACTTAAACACTGTAGCCCTAAGGCCTGCCTACCCAAGCTCGAAATGTCTACACAGAAAATAAATAGAATACAATGCAAATAAAAATATATAAATGAAAAGAAAATGAACGAAGAAAAAACAAACAAACAAACAAACATACACCCCCAACAAACCCCCCAAATAACAAACCAAAACAACCCAACAAACAAACACTCCCTAAAACATACAAATGAAATGCTGCTGAAAAACAAGCACACAAGCGGAACTAGAGATTTACACATAAATATACATACCAAGTGAGCACTATAGAAAAGTTATCCGAGATCTTGGAAGTGATCAGACAGACTTCTTTTGAATGAACTTAAAGAGTCAAGTATAACCGAGTCTTTAATATGAGATGGAAGGTTGCTCCAGATGCGTGGAAATGAATGAGTGATGGAGTTCTTGAGGGCAAGAGTTCTGGCATACTGGTGGTTGAATATCACATGATCTAGGTGGCGAGTGTTTACTGTCATATTATTACAAACAGAACGGCAGTCAATAAGTCCATACAGACACTTCACTACATATGTGATGGACTGCTTGGCTCGTCTGTTCTCCAAAGACATCCAGTTCAGGGCTTGAAGTCTGTCCTCGTATGTTACGGTTCCCCTGGCAACCTTCAGACACATCCTGCTGGCCCGCCCCTGGACTCGTTCCAATTTACAGATGGGTCATTCTATAAATTTGGGGTCCACTTTTTTCCCGTCCCTGTTACATCTGACATCTATGATTGTATAATTCTGATGCACTCCTTCATGCAGTCATCCTCCAAGAGTGATTATGAATAGCAAACTACCTACCCAACAAATAAACAATCATTTGAAGTCATTCTTAATGATGCTTGAATGGCAAATTACAAAGTACCAAGGTAACAGGGACGGGAAAAATGTCACACTTTGGACCCCAAATTTATAGAATGACCCAGATGTCAGCGGCAGTGTAAGGGGACCAGGCAGGCACTCCGTATTCAAGCACCGGTAGTACGAGGGATTTATAAAGAGATGAAAGGGCCTGTGTTGAAGTTCCTCCTGCTACTTGCCAGATGAACCCTAGTGTCCTATTGGCTTTGGAAACGACTGCATTGATGTGATTAGACCAGGTCAGAGTGTTGTTGAGGGTGAGTCCAAGGTATTTGTAGGTTGAAGTGATGCTTACAGGAGTGTCGTTGAGGATATAAGTGGGGGGGGGGGGATCAATTTGTTTCTTTGCTCGCGACATGTGGAGAACCTTAGTTTTCCTTAGGTTGAGCTGCATGCCGTTCATTTCACTCCATCGGCCAAGTTCAGTGAGGTCTGTTTGAAGGGCATGCTCGTCATCAGGTGACTGGATGGGTTGGTAAATAAGTGTGTCGTCGGCAAACAGCAGGAATTTTGTTGACAGGTTGTGGGAAATGTCAGTGATGAACTGGTTAAAAAGCAAAGGGCCAAGGACGCTTCCTTGTGGGACTCCAGATGTGACAGGTGCCCAGTCTGAAAAGCAACCACGATACATGACACGTTGCTTTCGGCCAATCAAGAAGGATTTGATCCATGCCCAGGTTTGTCCACTGATGTTGTAATTGCTTGCAAGTTTTTTTTAGCAGGATGTCGTGCGGCATGACATCAAAGGCCTTGCTGAAGTCAAGAAAAATGATGTCAATGCGAGGAGGTCGTGGTCTATCGAGTATGGTCGCCCAGTCATGAATTGCATTGGTAAGTTGAGTGACACAGGATCGTTGTGCAGTGAAGCCATGCTGCTTGGTGTTGCCAAGGCAAAGTGAAGAAATGTGATCGTTGATGTGTTCAGCCACTGCCTTTTCCAAGACTTTGCAAATGACTGAGGTTAATGCAACAGGACGGTAGTTTTCGATATCAGTGCGTTTACCAGCCTTGAACACTGGTGAAATCTGCGAAAGTTTCCAGTCCAAAGGGAGAGTTCCAGTTGCAAGTGAAGAGTTCATGATTCGTAGCAGTGGAGGGGAAAGAGTAGATGCTGTTTTTCGTAGTAAATTGGTGAAATTCCATCATATCCCGGAGCTTTGTGGGGGGTGAGATTGAGCAGAGTTTTCTGCAGCCATCCGAGGCGTATCAAAAATGGGGGAAGTTCAGGTATGGGAAGAGAACAAGGGGGTGGAGACTGCGGAGGCGGTGTAGGCGGTGAGTGGACTGAGGTGAAGAATTGGTTGAAGGCATGGCTGATGTCGGCAGGACTATTGATGAGCTTGTCACCTGACTGGAAGGCAGGGGGGCATTGAGATTTTTTTCTGATCCCTCACAAAGCACCAAAACCTGCGCTTGTTATCTGCTACCGTGAATAGGTTATTGACGTGTTGCCAGTATGCAGATTTTGACATGTTTTTAACCTTGTTGCGGATTTGTTTGTAGTATACCAACCACAACGCACCCTCCGTTCTAGCTCAACATTGCTGCTCAGTACACCGGTCACTCGCACTAAGACTTATGGACATCGTTCCTTCATGCATGCATCACCATCGCTTTGGAACTCTCTCCCACACCATATTAGAACTGTCAATGCCGAAAATGAATTTAAAACACTCCTTAAAACTTACCCGTTCCATTAATTGCTTTTACTTGTTGTTTCCTGTGAAGCGCATCGAGACCTTGGTGTGATGCGCTATATAAAAACTGTGTAATTATTATTATTTTTATTATTATTATTATTATTATGCAAGAAAGCTCAAAGAGTGCAGAAATTATCCTCACGAATTTGTGGAGCTGTAACAGTGAAGTGAAAGCAACTGCTTATTAGTGAGACCACTCTTATATAGAATATGCTTCATCCGCATGGGACCCCTCAACAAAGCAGAACGTTAACTCACTTGAAAGAGTTCAACGTCAAGCAGCTATTTTTGCACAGGAAATTACCAAAGGGATACGGGAACTGTTACTAAACTCCTGGATGACTTGGGATGGGACACACTACAGAACAGAAGAAATCAACAGAAATTATATATGCTTTAAGCCTACGAGATAAAAAATGGGTTGGTCGACATTCCACTTCACAACTATGTTCAGCCTAATACCAGAGATACAAGGGGAAACAACCAAACTTCATTCAAGTCAGTCACAAAGCCAGGGCCTTCCACGATTCATTCTTCGTGTCAACTGTTAAACACTGGAACTGCGCAACTCTAGCTGAATTCAAGGGACATATCAGTAATATCCACTAGTAGTCTATTTCCACACGCAGTGCGCGAGTTAGCGTTGATGTATCCGGCAGGATATTTTGCTGACTTAACCAATGGAGATGGAGATGGAGATGCAACGACAGATTAAGCTAAAATTCCGAATATACTAGATGACGCGAGTGATCAATTATTCGTGAAATAACAACTTGAGGAGATTCCTAGAAATTGAGATAAATACATAGATTTGGGGACGTTTTCGAACCGTTTTCTTCCCGACTTGAAGCCTGAGCTTTACCAGTAACTAGTTTTGAAGTTTCGGCATCAATGACGGCGATTTTTTTCAATGACATGACGTTTAAAATTTCTTCTTCCGTTATAATTTAACATCTTTGTCGCCTCAAAATCCATCGAAGATAATATAATCAAAAGTAAGAACACGATGGATGGGATGTCAGAGTTGGGTGCCAAGATAAGATACTCAGAAAGATACTCTGAACTAATAAACTTAGGTTTGGTGGCATTCCTGAGTCCCAATCTGAAAGCACAGAGTTCCCGTACGAGAAAGTATAACAACTGATTATCCTTATTATTATGGCAGCCAAGTTTGTTAACGCCGTAAGTCAGCAAAGATTTATATTTGTATAATCAGTGAAGGTAGCGACAAAAAGTACTAACATAAATGCTGAAATATTACTGACTGAATGTTTTACGTAGTTCAGATTTGAATGAGGTTAGAGAAGTCCTGGTTCTCTCCTGTACATGCAAATTATTCCATATGATTGTTCAGCCGAGCTTGAGGCATAACATTAATTGTTTTCGCAAAAGGAATCTTCAGTGGATTGTCTCGTTTCACGAATCTGAGTAAGTGTTGTAAACAGTATTATTATAGATTTTTATTCGTATTACTATGTCGTTGTCCTTGTAATTGTAATTATTCTTTGTTAATTTCATACAGTGATGTCTCTATATCCACTCGTCAAGCTCATGCTTTTTGGAGACGTCTGTGCTGATAATATTCACTCATTTGTTTTTAAATAATTACATTTCTATAACTTACTATAACATTTCAAGTTCCTTGCGCAACCCATACGCCAGATATTATAGTATTAAAATAAACTGGGAGCCTGAGGGAAAAGTCACATGTAAACAATAACATTTGATAACTGTAACGAACACGATTGTTGATGTCTTACAGACACCAGTAAAGACCAGAATCTCTCAGAGCGACTGCTGCGGCTGCGGAACCATGGTAGAGAGAGTCATCACCATCGGCCTGCCCAAGCGTGGTTACGTCACCAATGACGTCATATACGTCGTCGGGAAGATCGACAACCGGGACGGCGAAGAAGAAATATTTTTCGATGCAACTCTAGTCCAGGTATTGCATTACCGAATCATTCATACCGCAAGTGATATTTCAAACGTCAAGAGAATGTTCGCGTTATTTCTGCTTTTTCGTGTTTAGACCCGAGCTTTATTGAATGCCCTGTGTATCATGAGCAGGAAGAGCAAAATTATTTTGATTTTACCACACCCATATCAATAGACTTCTTGCACCGACACGCCCTCTTTTCCCTCCAACACAGAGAATCATTTTCACGTGCGGAAAGCACACGCGCACCAAGGAATACTCCCTTTGCAGGGCCAGTAAATCAGTCACATGTCTCAGGGGCTGGGTGACAGATTTCAAGGTGGGCCCCTTGCATCTGGCCACATCGGGCCCGCCCTCCGGTGTGCCTGGGTGTGATCTGATCGATGTCGAGTACTATGTTAAGGTATGTATAGGGATACACATAGATATCAAGTTCTTCTGATATCAATTTCTCACCGCAAAAGCGCTAGTACGGCAGACTGGTGAAGGGATTGTAACTTTGATGATACTACAAGTCAATGGCATTTGGCACACATTGAAAATATGTCACGAGAAAGATATTTGTCTATAGGGCCATCGTAGATTTGTTCTTTGAAAAAAATATATATGTTGAATGGCAAGTAATGGCAGTCATTTTGAACATCTTGAAAATTGCTGGTTATTCTACAAATCTGCGATGGCCATATAGTCAAATATCTTTCTTAAGACATATTCTGACTGTGTGCTAAATGTCATGCTTACAAGTCATTAAAGGCAAAATCAGCCCTACTATAGTTATGAGTATACTATCCGCTAATATTTCCTGTGAGGTGACCCCAACCGGGCGCGCTAACCTCGGATTAAGGTATAAAATTATGCACATTTTATGCAACCCACGAGAAACGACGCGTAGGTTTCTGATTAGTCGACAGTTGTCGGCTACCGACGTCTCGATAGTATTCGTTCTCCATCGTGTCCGATGTAAACCACGGAGGTTTTTCGTCTTTTCTCGGGAACGGTAAGCCATTAGGTTGGTTTTCTTTGAACCAGATGTTTGAAATAGGATAAGTAAACGATCCAAAACATGAAATTTTCGGGGATTTTAGGACCTATAGTGGCCCTTTAATGGTGGTCACGATGTGGAGGTCTCGCATAATTAATGCCGAGTAAACATGAATATCATAACGTATTCAATGGACTAATCTACACCCAGAAAGAATTAAGACATCTCAAATTATATATTATTATTAACATATTATTAACATATGATTCTGGAATCCGAGATGAAGCCAAAAAACAGAACGATTTTGGAAAATAACAAGTTTTACAACGTGATTTGATCGGTAAAAGCGTTTACTATACTCAGATCGACTCAACTGAGTCTTGATGACTGCCTGATCAAGGCCGATGTAAAGACGTGAAGCATCTCATAGAATATATGAAATATTTTTGTTGTAAAGGAACACGCCCCGTACCCTTTTTCAGTGCAGTGGCTGTAAATTCACGAAGACGTTTCCGGTGATTGTTGGCACCGTACCTATCCGAGGTGCTACCCCGGCACGTCCCACGGCCGATTCCTTTGTACCTGTACCTGCTGACACTGTGGCACTGCACGGTACTAGAGCGGTCCATGCACCGATCACCACAGACGGTTCGTCCAAGGAGTCCTCGGACGAATCGGAACCAGACGAAACGAAAAGGCTTTTCAGAGCTTCACGTGAGTTGCCCATTTTATTACTCAAATTTAACATTTTAGTTCTCTATTTTTATTAAACTTTGTCTAATGTTAGACTTGACTACAATTAAAAACAATAATTAGTAAAGGGCAGAACTCAATTCTAATGTTTGCATATATACTACGAAAACCCCCAACAACCCCAACAACAACAACAACAACAACAACCCAAACAACAACAACAACAACAACAACAATAATAATATAGGAGTCTTATATAGCGCAAATGTTCCTACATGCATTTAAGGATGCTCCTTGATTCTTGACAATTGATTAAGATGTACACATTGGTTATATTAGCTTGAAGCCTTTAATATGAAATATTTGAATGACGGATCACTATTAAAACACTTTGAGCAGTACAAAAATGTATCGAATATTAATCCCCCATACTTTTACATGTTGCTTAAAAAGGGGGGGGGGAGGGCGAAAAGCCTGTTACCTTTAATATTTTCTTTACATTGTATTGTAAAACTATAGTTAACGAACACAGAATTTGTGTTTTCTACCACCAAAATGACGATTTGGGCATCGTTTGAATCAAGGTGCTTCCATAAATCGCCTAGAATTTAAGCCACGCCCACCAAATGAGTGACAGTAAAAGTGGTTTAACGTTAAAATGTTTTTATTTCATATGCTACGCTTATTTGAAAGCATATAGACCTAAAGAGCACCGATTGCAGCACAATACAGTTTTTTTCTGGATTTTGTGCGCCCCTTTTCAAATAAAGCTCATCCCCACAGTGGGCAAATTCCAAAGTGGATCCCTCTCGTAAACATTATTATGTTAAGCCCATTTCAAGTTCAAACAGGCCTGTCAATGTTTATGGTTTTGCCACGAAAATGCACAATATTTGTCACAATCGGATCAAACCACTCGTATACACCACCCCTTTTCACATTAAGGCCACGCCCACAAATTGGGCGGAAAATATGACTTTAAAATGCTAGAATGTTTAATGTCATGTCCAAATTGATTTCAAGGCATGGAAAAAGAAGGAAAATGAATGTTTAATACACTTCTTTTGAGTTTTTATTCCTTTCACCCCCTTTAAAAAAACTCAGCCCGCCCCCAAATCGGCAGGTTTCGAGGTGGGTCCACCTCTTAAAATGATTCTCAGACCGTTTTTGGATCTGCACGCCGTATTTCATGCTCTTATCACAAACTTGGGCACGGTTTGGGCAAAAATAATGGGCCTAAGGAGCTCCACGATTGGGCAGGACATATACGTGTACATATTTTGTATACAGTATATACATTTGTATATAGATATATAGATACAATCTTTACTCATTCTTAGGCCAAAAAAAAAAGTCTCCGGTTTCTGGTATGGAGCTTGCCCAAAAAGTGGTGCGGCGACGCGGCTTTTTTTTTTTTACCTGATTTTTTTGCTTCAAATGTCGGCTGATGACTGCAAATGGTGCCCGACTAAACTTAGTGCAAATATATGGGAGTCCAGAGAGGCCACATAAAGCTTATTCTCGAACATAACCCAATCTAAAAACACGTTAAAATTGTGCAGCAGCAGGAATCCAGTCAAACCAGTAAGTCTGGCGGTTTTGAGACATCATCTTACATTGAAAAAACTTTTTCATTTTGCATGGCTACGGCGACGCGCGCGCATACCAGAAACTGGAGACCTTTTTTTTTGGCCTGAAGTAACTTTATCCGACTTTTTTCCGTTCTTAAGTAGCATTTTTGGTATCAGGGGGTCAATCTCAACACTTAAGTCCAAAAACGGCGCTTGTGCGCGAAATGTTAATTAAACTCGAAATTTTGGAAACTTGACAATGGTCCCCTGGCCCCCATCCGACCTAGGCAACTTAAGAATGGCCATTTCGGAACTACCCCCCGACAGACAATCGATTTGTATCACCAGACCGTTTGTGCTCAAATTGTTAATTAAACTTAACCTAGCTCCCGGTCTAATATGTCTATTATTAAAGAAAGGTAAATAAAGTTTATGAGAAATATGAGACCCATTATGTAGCACCTTATAATGGTTTACAAGATGCTGCGGCGCACATTGCAGCCACTGCCAGAAACACCGGGGCAAACCCCTGAATTGGTAGAACCCACTGCTATTGAAAACCATCAATAAGGAAGATTTAATACAAAAGTCAACATTTTGCGTCGTCTGTTTTTCTCTCCTCAGCTCCAGACTATGACTTTGACAGCTTATCTCCACCGAACTACCATCAAGTCATGAAAACCTTTCAGAGTCACTGAGAAGAAACCAACAATCGGATATTTCTCCACAAAAACAAAGACTATTTCCAGACCATATTCTGTGTGCCAAACTGAGAAAATTGCAATTAAATTCGAAGGTCTTTTTTAAAGCGGGAGCCGGGGGGGGGGGGGGGGGGGGGTCAGCCTAGCTGGAAAGTTAACCAATTTTCATGTATGCAGCAATGTTCCACATGCATACCAATGCAAAGAAATGGACGTCTGCCGGGCACACTGTGGTGGGTGTGGTCAGGAGGGCCATGAGAAAGGGGCCCCAAATTGAGCTAGATCAGCTGGTGAGTTAACCCAGTGAAACCTACTGGAAAATGTTGGGCCTAGTCTCAGGTATCATGAATGGCCACTGCCAGACATTTTCAGCGGTGGGAGGTGCCCGCCAGACATGAAAAACCTGTATAGGAGGGGGCGTGGCCATAACCCCCTCCGTTTCCTTTTCGCTGATAGAGCAGCAACGCATTTATATAGAAAAATGTAAAACCAGTTTCTATAAGTGCCCTGACTCTTGTAGAATACAAAAATATAACTTACAAGTAATTTAAGATCGGACTAATTAACTTAACATTTTCCATTAGGTTTCATAGGGTTAACTCACCAGCTGATCTAGCTCAATTTTGTGGCCCCTTTCTCATGGCCCTCCTGACCAAACCCACCACAGTGTGCCCGGCAGACGTCCATTTCCGTACATTGTTATGCATGTGGATCATTGCTATATGCATGAAAATTGGTTAACTTTCCAGCTAAGCTGACCCCCCCCCCGGCTCCCGGTCTATTTAGCAATGTGCTTATCAACATAAACTGCCATAGTTGTTGTTACCGTTGTTTATATACATGTTCATCTCGTCATACTATTCTTATCTGAAACCTTAATGTTTAATTATTTGATTTCTAATTCTTGTAGTTTTTGAAGGGGAAAAGGAGTTTGCGGTTTGCGTTTTGAACCGAGTGGAACATTCTTAAATACATGTTTTCACAGAAAGACATTCATTCTGATAAAATCCCATGTATGAGGTTATAAAACACACAAGAAAGAAACATGATTGAGCAAAAAGAAATAATGATCACAAATACATATTTATTTAGTACTCCACAATTCATTAGAAATGCAATGCAGTTAAACAAACCTGTCCAAAAGACTGCTTTTCAGTCATTTCATTCCACATTTTTCAAGAAAGAACCCATATCTATTAAAATGCATTTCCATAATTTCTATTGCACATTTTCTTTCATCCAACTCAAACTTAATTCGGCTGTGTTTTTAATGAAACGAGCTAAATCAAAAGGTTTGCAGTGTTGCTAGGGTAAAATCAATGCAAAAAAGGCACTAAATGTTGCTTAAGAATAAACTGAATAAACTGACCTAACGCTAACAGGAAGTTAACACGCATACAAGAAGTAAACAACACAACAGTTAAAAATGCACGACTTAAAATTACAAAACGTGTCAACTTAAGGCACAAGTGCTGCAGTGTTGTAATTATACACAAAACCATTAACGTCGACATGGCGGCTTCAGACATAGCACACATTCCTTCAGAATTGCATCTACCATTTGCTAAAAAGTATCATTTCGATATCTTATTTTTAATTCAAGGAACTGGAGCAAAAAGTCCTATTTCCAGATTTTGACACCTGTCATGCCTGTGTCTGATGATGAACTGTGGTCCATCCAAAGGAAGATATTTTGTTAATTTTTTTTTATACCTGCATGTATCCCTTTTTTAATTTGATTTTGGCCAGTCAGCCAGATATGCTAATTGGAGGGGGGGGGGGGGGGGGTTCAGCTCGATAGTCCGAAGGTTCGATAGCCCGAAGGTTCATTATTCCGAAAGTTTGACAGTCTGAAAACACACATCTCCTATACCCGGGGCTCATTAGTCAGGAAATGAAATAAGGTTCGGTCATCCGAACATTTGATGCGATACTCCCCCAGTTCATTCGTCAGAAAGTTAGATAATCCATTCATAAAAAACCTCGGAGAATCGAACCTTCGGACTATCGAGCGGTAACCATGTAATACCCTCAACATAAAGTGCATGGGCAGATGCTCATTTTATATCTGAGCATTATATATTGTTTTGAGTTTGCTCAGCAGATATGAAGGCTTTTTGGCGGGTGAAGTAGAGCAAACGTTTTCTTTTTAGTTTAAGAGTTAAAACACAACTCCAGTTTATCAAGACATACAAGCAATTTTTGTTTGCATTGAAGAAATATGTGCATCAATTTGTGGAAAGTACAGTAATTACAGTAATACAAAAAGTACATCAAAAATACTTTAAAAGCACAAACACCACAGTCACCGAAAAGCCATAAAACGTATCTGCCTCTGCTTAGACTGTCAAGCAAAACATTAATATTACAATAAACCATAGTGACAAAGTAAGGTGTTTTTTCTATGCAACAAAAAAACAAACAAAATCTCTGGAATCACGAACTGTACTTCAAAACAGTCACAAAACGTCCTTCATAATTTGCCCAGGTCATTTTTTGAAAAGATCGCAAGACAACCTAATTCCTGTACAATATGTATAAGCTGGTTTATGTGAATGTAATCACAGTTCACTTAGAAAACATTTCAAGACAGATTGTTTTCAATAAGAAATGCACCTTCAGTGTGATAATAAAAAACAGCCTCAACTAAAAGCAATTGGTCCATACATGTAAGGTTCAATCCTCGTCAGGCATAAGGTTTTAGTATAGGTTTTCCTGACCAATTTCCTGAAATGTCCATTCACTTCTGAAAATCAGTCATTAATTGTCGTCTGAATTTGAATACACGTCTTGAATCCCATTTCAATTCAACGAAAGTTCAATTGTTTTTGTAGTCCGTGCATTCAGTTTAGAGAAACAGACGGCCAATTACGTTACCTGTGCATTCATTTACGCAAGCATATCTTTTCTAAATTGATTTCAGGTACATCTAATTTGATTGACGGTTAATGAAAAAGAAACCCATAATTGTATCTGATGCCGATGACATTAAGCTAAACGTGAAATAGAATGATGAATGTTTGAAATAGCCCTCTAAAAGCGAAAAAGAAGTCTTGTAAACGAATCCGAATGGACATACATGTAAACGAAAGGTGCTGCTCAATCATTTAATTGATTAAACTGAAATGGAATTGAATGCTCTGGTAGCGAAAATGAAACGCGTGTTCGGAGCGACTCTCAAATTCAGTCGAAAATGAAGGACCTATTTTCAGAAGTAAATGAACATTTTAGGAAATTGGCCGGGAAAACCTATATGTCTTTCAGGATTTTTTTGTGGGGTATTGTCGCAAACTAGCTGGATGTCCCATTCCTCCAAATCTAAACAACACATTTTACAAGGTGGTGCAAAAAGAACGAAACACAATTTTCACCTACTTGTTGAGCATATTTCAAACTTTCAATTTAATGGTATTAAAATATGGATCTTTAAAAATAAGTGACAAACATAATTATGATTGCAAATGCATATTTTGTCTCTGAGATATGGTAGTTAAAACATTTCATGTGCCAAACTTGTTTGTCCACGGACGGCTTTATTCCATCTGCTTGACTGAGCTCCAGAGCTTGATTTAAAGACAAAAAACTCTACACTAGACTTACACATGGACAACACTGCTTTTGCTGACAAACACTATTCTTGCGATTTTTTTAAATGTGTTTTCACCAACTATGTTTGAAGAGCTATACTTCACTACATTATATAAGAAAACAGTTCAAATAAGTAAAATAGGTTAGAAATTCCTGTCAAAAGTGGGTTTCCTTCTTTTTGCACCAACCTGTAAATTGAGACACATTTTTTGTAATTGTATATCTTTATCAACATGTCCAGAGAGTGTTTTATAGAGAGCCTACATATTCCTCAAAAAAGTTGCATAAAATCTTTAAGCCTTCAAGGATTTTGGTCTAACTGAAGTTGCTGATAATGACAAGGAATTACCATCAACTAAAATTGGAATTTTATAAAAGTGGGTATTTACATGTACACGTACAGGGTGAGTAAAACAAAACGAAACCCAAAAGCTACTTTTAAAATCTAGGATATGAAAGCCCAATTCATTAGCTTTCTTTTAGTACAAGAATCATTCAAATCACTCATGTACTTTTCAAGTTACGGAATTATAAACCCAACCACGGATCACAAGAAGGCAAGTGTTCATTCAGCAAAACGAAAACATATCACATAGGGATGTGCATCTCATTTGCATTTCAACTATCTTGAAGATGTGTGCGTTTGTTCAACAGGGATATGTGTGATGAGTAGACAACTTGTACATTAATGTTATGAATACACACCTCAATGTTGGCCATCTTGAAGGTGTGTGCGTTTGTTCAACAGTGATATGTGTGATGAGTAGACAACTTGTACATTAATGTTGATGAATACACACCTCAATGTTGGCCATCTTGAAGGTATGTGCATTTATTCAACAGGGATATGTGTGATGAGTAGACAACTTGTACATTAATGTTGATGAATACACACCTCGATGTTGGCCATCTTGAAGGTGTGTGTGCTTGTTCAACAGGGATACGTGTGATGAGTAGACAACTTGTACATTAATGTTGATGAATACACACCTCAATGTTGGCCATCTTGAAGGTGTGTGTGTTTGTTCAACAGGGATATGTGTGATGAGTAGACAACTTGTACATCATTGTTGATGAATACACACCTCAATGTTGGCCATCTTGAAGGTGTGTGCATTTTTTCAACAGGGATATGTGTGATGAGTAGACAACTTGTACATCATTGTTGATGAATACACACCTCAATGTTGGCCATCTTGCAGGTGTGTGTGCTTGTTCAACAGGGATATGTGTGATGAGTAGACAACTTGTACATTAATGTTGATGAATACACACCTCAATGTTGGCCATCTTGAAGGTGTGTGTGCTTGTTCAACAGGGATATGTGTGATGAGTAGACAACTTATACATCATTGTTGATGAATACACACCTCAATGTTGGCCACTGAATCCAATAGATCAATATCTGAAGGGTTGAAGATATCAGCCAGTTTCTCTTTGTTCTACTTGCATCACCGGAAACAAGAAGGGGCTCATGATTTGCAGAATATTGGCGATGGGTATTCCATTAGCTCTCTGACTTGAATCGTTGAGTTGACAGTGCAGCAGCGATGGCTAAAATGACAACACCAATGGTCAGGGCTAGGAACAACCACTTGTTCTGTGAAATGTGAGGAGACAAAAATCCCAAATAATTTACATAAAGTGTTTATCAGCCATGGCTCTTGTGGTCTCTGGTCTGTTAATTCTTTCAGTAAAAAACAATTTTCATAGCACATGGAGACCAATGACACTTATAAAGCCCAAGGACCATTTTAGGCTGCTATAATGAACATATATGTAGAACTTTACCAACTGCTAAGAAAAGACAGTATTTCAGAAGCAAAAACAATATACCAGCTACAAATTCTTGGGAAGTCTAAAGATCAATCCAAGCAATCTATATATACAAGTCAATGTACTCTCAAGAAGGGCCCCATTCAATTTCACAATACTTGTGACAGGTATTGTTCAGATAATCCATCACTGGACAGCTGCTTTGTACAATAACTTGCACAATGCTTTTGCTGTTGATTGCAGTGGCTTAACTGGCACTCCCTAACCCATATGCGTAACTATTTGTTACATGTATCTTCGTTTGTTTTCAAGGTCTTACACGGCGTCAGAATCCATTAGAAACAACACTTTCATCAACCTGATTCCCGAGGATGTGGGAAACTATTCCACCACACATCCGGGATGCTGCTGTAAGCTGTCCCCTTCTGACATTTCTCTGCCAACTTAAAGACATCTGCTTAAAATCCTGACTAATTTTGTTTTACTTTTAACCTGCCCATATTGACCCAGGAGCAGGCAATTATGGAAATTTGATCCGTCCTCTCCCTGTTCGTGTCTTGTGTTTTCTTCCAGTTTTCCTGTCTTACTATGTGAACGATAACATGCTTCCGAGCAACAGTAATTTAGTATACTTTTGTTGTCCCTGACCCGCATAGTATTTTGTATGTTTTTACTTAGTTTTTTCCGATGTCCTTCCACTGATTGACTTCTCATACTTGCATGCTCTCCTCATACACTCAGCAATCATAATTTCTGAAGTTCACTGTGCTCGACTAGTTGCCCTGCTGTCATCGTCTTTACTGTAATAGCTTTTTGGTCTGTATTTGTTTTGCTATTTTTGTATTTCTAGTTTTTGGGTATGTCCTGTGCATGTATATATATATATATATTTTTTTTTTCTGTTCTTGTTTTTGTGCTGTTGAGGTCGAAAAAATACAAATAATCATAATACTGTGCTCAAAATAGTCTTGACTAATTCAGCGAAAAATTACTAAAAACCTTCTTTTTTTTTAAGGTGGAACCACGCATACTGCAAGCGTTCTAAAAGACAAGGCGCGCACACATTTTGGTAACGCCACATTAGTAAAGGATCCTGAACGCAGTGCCTACATACTACCTGAGTGCGACTCGTGCGAGCCTGGTGCCACCTCAGAAATTGGCTGTCGCTGAATTTATAGTCTACAGGTTGTAACTTGCTCCATACCGATTCTTGCTTAGCAATAATTACTGGCTAACCAAAATTGTCTGCTTAGCAGCTCCATGAAATTGGCCCCGTTTTTAGTTTATGGCTCTTGTTGCTATATGCAAGAGCCTAACAGGTGTACAGACAGGGCATGTGTCGTATGGCACGAACTACATGTTATCAAATAAAAGGAGTTCCAAGATGGCAGCTCGCTATGAACGAGTCTTACTCTATCAGTGTCTATGGATTGCGGTGAGTCCGTTCCAGTTATTTCCCTAACATATAACATGGTGGCAGCGCTGGGTTTCTAATATACCCGCGGACATTTAGGGCATAGTATTCTAACGTCACTTGACTTTTTGGACACGTAACAAGGGCATTTTTACGTCGGAAATTCACCGCACGAGTGACGGTTCAGAACAATGGCACAAACTCCACAACAGGGGGCGCACTCTCGCGCACCGCTGATCGGTCGCCTCGACAAATATGATGAGGTGGAAGATATCCGTAACTATGTTGAGCGGCTGAACTTGTATTTTCAAGCAAATGACATTGCTCAGGAGAAAAAGACAGCTGTTCTGTTAAGTGCAGTCGGTCCAACTGTGTATAAAACAGCTAAAAGTCTTGCAGAGCCAACCCTAGTAACTGAGAAAACATACACAGAACTGTGTGAGTTGTTGATCGCCCACTATGGACCCAAACGCCTGGTTGTGTCAGAGCGTTTTCGCTTCTACAAAAGGGATCAACAGCCATCAGAGACCATTGCACAGTATGCCATGACACTTCAAAACTTGGCCAGTACATGTAAATTTGGCCAGTTTCTCGACGACGCATTGCGAGACAGGCTTGTGTGTGGTCTGACCAGCAACAATATCCAGAAACATCTTCTCACCAAAGATGGTCTCACCTTCAAAGCAGCCGTGGACTTGGCCAAAACCCTTGAAACAGCTGTCAAGGACTTGCGTGAATTTAAGAACAGCCCTAATGCAGACACAGTATCAGTTCACGCACTACACCGAAACGCCAAGCAACCGTACAAGCAACCGTACAAGCCATCGTTCAAACAGCCACCCCCACAGACACGTGCCAAACCTCAACAAGGCGGGAAGAGATGCAGTAGATGTGGCAGAGATCCAAGCCACCAATCCTGCCCAGCAAGTGGACAAAAGTGTAACTACTGCCAGAAACTTGGTCACTTCTCGGTAGTGTGTCGCGCTAAACCGAAGAAGTTGCATACAGTACAGCACGATCCAACTGACAGCGATGATGGGGACACTGAAACTAATGATTTCTGACACAGTATCAGTTCACGCACTACACCGAAACGCCAAGCAACCGTACAAGCAACCGTACAAGCCATCGTTCAAACAGCCACCCCCACAGACACGTGCCAAACCTCAACAAGGCGGGAAGAGATGCAGTAGATGTGGCAGAGATCCAAGCCACCAATCCTGCCCAGCAAGTGGACAAAAGTGTAACTACTGCCAGAAACTTGGTCACTTCTCGGTAGTGTGTCGCGCTAAACCGAAGAAGTTGCATACAGTACAGCACGATCCAACTGACAGCGATGATGGGGACACTGAAACTAATGATTTCTTCGTTGGAACAGTGCATCACACCAGCCATGACATACTAAATGGTGATGTGTGGAGACAACCTATCAAAGTGCAGGGACAGATGGTGCAGTTCCTGCTAGATACAGGTTCGGAAGTCAACATCCTACCCGCTAACGTGTACAAATCACTGAAACTCAGTGATAAGACATTGCAGCCAACGACACTTCGCTTGCATGGCTACTTTGGTGGCAAGGCCAAACCTCTTGGACAAAAGAAACTGTCATGTGAAATGAAGAATCGTCAGTACTCGTTGGTGTTCCAGATTCTTGCCAGTGGTCAGCCTGTCATTGGCAAGACAGCATGTGAAGCACTTGGTCTGATACAGCGGGTGTACACCATGGTGAACCGAGACAACGTGTTTGAAGGCACGGGTTGTCTTGAAGGCCCACCGGTTAACATAAAGTTAACCGACTCCGCTACTCCATACTGTGTGACCGCTCCTCGCAGAATCCCCTTGCCCCTACTTCCCCAGTTGAAGCAAGAACTGGAAAAGATGGAAACCCAAGGTATCCTGAAGCGCATCACTGAGCCGACAGAGTGGTGTGCTCCAATCGTGATTGTACCCAAGAAGAACAACCAGATTCGACTCTGTGTAGATCTGCGACAACTGAATAAAGCTGTGCAGAGGGAGCGTTTCACTATCCCCAGCCTGGAAGAGGTTTTGGGAAAGATTGTTGGTGCACAAGTGTTCTCCTTACTCGATGCAAAGCACGGGTTTTGGCAGATACCCCTTGCTAGTGACAGTCAGAAATTGACAACCTTCATAACCCCATTTGGGCGTTTCTGTTTTACGCGACTCCCTTTCGGCATCACATCAGCGCCTGAGTTGTATCAGCGTATTATGTGTGACCTACTCGTGAATCTGGATGGTGTAGTTGTCTACATGGATGATATTCTCATCACCGGCCGAACACAGGCAGAGCACGATCAACGTGTGCATCGTGTAGTCCAAATCCTACAGAAAGCTGGCTTGCGGCTAAACAAAGAGAAATCGAAGTTTTCTCAAGAGACGGTTACCTTTCTGGGTCTACAGCTAGACAAGGGTGGTATACATGCTGATCCTTCGAAGATCACAGCAATCGTTCAGATGCCCCCACCAACATCAAAGGATGAAGTCAAGAGGCTCATGGGCATGGTCAATTGGTTGTCCCGCTTCATCCCGAACGCAGCATCAGTTGCAGCCCCAATCACTGATCTCCTGAAAGACAACGTTGACTGGATGTGGGGAGCACAACAGAAGATTGCATTCCGACACCTCAAGACGCTCCTCACCAGATCACCCACATTGGCCTTCTATGATCCCGCTAAACCTACCATGGTCAGCGCAGATGCCAGTAGCTATGGGCTGGGAGGATGCTTACTACAGCAGCACGAAGATGAGACATGGAAGCCAGTCGCTTACTGCTCCCGTACCCTGACTCCTGCTGAGAGAAAGTATGCCCAAATCGAGAAAGAGTTGTTGGCCAGCGTATGGGCATGCGAGAGATTTTATGTCTACATCAGAGGACTTCACGTGACCCTACAAACCGACCACAAACCACTGGTGTCTTTGATCAATTCAAAGGACCTCTGTGGCGCACCACTGAGATGCCAGCGCTTACTGATGCGCCTCATGAAATTCCACTGTACAGCTGTCTACTCACCAGGCAAGACCCTAGTCGTTGCAGATACCCTGTCTAGAGCTCCAGTTCATACAGACCAGACATCTGATGACAGTGATGATCTCGCAGCAGAAATTGCAGCACACGTGAGCATGGTAACAAGCCAGTGGCCAGCCTCGGATGCCAAACTTGCAGAAATCACAGATGAGACAGTGCAAGACAACGTATTGTCCCTAGTATCGTCGTACGTGAAAGACGGCTGGCCGAAGTACATCAAGGACGTAGATCCTGATGTCAAGCGATACTGGGAGGAACAAGATAAGATAAGCCAGATCAACGGCATACTGACATATGGGGACCGCATCATCATCCCACAGAAGATGCAGCAGGAAATGCTGGAGAAACTCCATGAGGGTCACCATGGGGTCACCAAGAGCCGACTCCGTGCAAATCAAGCCATATGGTGGCCTGGAATCGGTACTGACATCGCGCAGCACATTCAACAATGCGAGTTTTGTAGAGAAAAGCAACCAGCACTGAAGGCGGAACCCCTGATGTCAACACCTTTACCCAAACGAGCATGGCAACGAATCGCGTGCGATCTTGCAGAGCTGAAAGGGAAGGTGTACTTAGTGATCGTTGACTACTACTCGAGGTGGATCGAGATTCATCACCTTGTGAAGACAACAGCCTTAGCAGTCATCAACTTCATGAAAACTACCTTTGCACGATATGGGATCCCTGAAGTTGTTGTATCAGATAACGGCCCACAATTCCTGGGAGAGTTTCAACAGTTTGCTAGAGAGTTTGGCTTCAACCACATCACCACCAGTCCACACTATCCCCATGCAAATGGGCAGGCCGAAAAAGCTGTCCATGTGGCCAAGAGTATCCTGCGTCAACCAGATCCCATACGAGCTCTCATGACATACCGCGCGACCCCACTTCCAAGTCTTGGTGTCAGTCCGGCAAGTCTGATGATGGGACGAGAGTTACCCACTACCCTACCAATGTTGCCCAAGAATCTCCTTCAGAAACCAATCAACCAGACAAAGTTGAAACAAGCAGACGCTGCATCCAAGTCCAAGGGAGAAGTCTACTTCAACCAGAAACATGGCGCCAAGGCATTGGATCAACTGGAAACAGGAGCCCGGGTGAAGATCAGAACAAAGGGCAAACTTGGTCCAATCGGAGAGGTCCTCTGTAAAGCAGACACACCCCGTTCTTACATCGTGAGAGTGAATGGCGCAGAATATCGTCGGAACAGGCGGCATATTGTCCGGATGCCACAACCACCACCTGAGCCAGACTTCGAGATGCAACTGGAGGATCCAGTCCAACAAAACCCAGATGCTCAGCAACAGGGAGTGAGACAGTCTCAGCAAATGAGGAAACCACCAGCATGGCAGCAGGATTACGTCATGTACTAGAACACTGAACTGTCCTCACTCCATCACTCATTACTCGGTTAAAATCAATCAATCTTGCATTATCTCGCACTCATCTCTGAATTACAAATTCATTCTGATTTAATTCAAGAACTCTAGAAATCTGCTTGAACCAAGAACATTGGACTCTAGGAGCTGATTTGGAACACTCAACATTTTGCAGACACTTTCTAACATTGAACACCCAGACTCAATCATGTGCATTGTAAATGTGTTTTCTTAACCAGTTTATTTTGTTCTAGAAAAGGGGGAGATGTCGTATGGCACGAACTACATGTTATCAAATAAAAGGAGTTCCAAGATGGCAGCTCGCTATGAACGAGTCTTACTCTATCAGTGTCTATGGATTGCGGTGAGTCCGTTCCAGTTATTTCCCTAACATATAACAGCATGTACACTCATTGTAGTAACAGTAGACGGGAATGTGTGACCACAGATTTCATCTGAATCAATTTCACTTTACCAGTTTGAATGTCCACCCAAACCTGTGGCATCTCTGTAGGGGCACTGAGTCCAAGGTGAAGTGGTGTTCATGTGCTCAGGACTTTTACTTGTGTTAACACGAGTGACTGGCTTTAACACAGCCATAGTATCTCTCGTTGTACAGGTTTATGTGCATTTTGTTGGTATCCTCCATTGTTTTTCATGCAGCAAATCGACTGCTTATCCGTACAGAAACGTTTCAAATGTTGATGTGTAGAAGTGCAGCTGGAATACCAAACCGGATTATTTGAGTTGGTACGTACTTACCATTTTTTGTCTTGGATTGATTTGAGTGACACTGGCCATGTCTCCCACCATGCGCTGGTACAGTTGCCTCTCTGATTGGCGTTCCTTGGACTCTCGGTTCGTGAGCCGAGACAACTCATTATGGATGACCTAGAAGGTCAAGAATACGGTTTTAATAGATGTGCAAGAAATTGTACATACCACAACTGGACAGGAAGTTTAAAACATTGTATCCACACACAGAGTTGTAATCAAGCCATCATAAACCAGCAACAAGTAACTCAGTCCAAAGTAGAATCACACGTTTAGTAATGTACTGTGACAAAGTGGTTCCCTGTTCATTTTTCTTCACCTTTTAATTGTGAAGTGACTTGTGACCTGAAGTGCAGTTTTTCCATTGTAAAGGGATGGTAGATTTTTCTAGGTTCATGTCAGTTATCCATTTTTATTCCTTCCAATGCATTTTTCATTCTTTGTTGATTGACTCGGGTTGTGTGTTTATTTTGTTTTATTGCTGTCCCAATGGCACCCTTCTCAGTTTTCCTGTTTTTAATATTTAAATCTTTAACATTTACATGCCTTCTATTGATATTTAACATAATTTTATGTTTACAAATTGTTTTCTGAAGTTATATATTTGTTACATTTTGTTTATTATTATAACGTTTATTGGCAAATTTGGGCGCAATGTCATTTGTTATTAATATTATTATTTCTATCGCAAATTATACCATTTGGGAGACACTTTCGCGTGGGAGGATTACATTTGGGAGACGTGGAATTAGGGAGACATTTCAATGTCTCCCTCTAATGCTTCAGCTCCTATTTAGAGGCAACATTTTACTGTGGCTAATAGGCTAGATCAATTGCTCATTGTCTAATTAGTAAAAATACCAAAATTTGTGGGGGTAGGATAAGGGAAATTGGGTAAGGGGTCAGGAAAGTCAGATTACTATTTGTGCACAAGTCTATGGGAATGTCCCCCTAATGGTATATTTTTCGGTTAGATTAATATCATTGCTATTAATTGCAACTGACTTGTGATGTGCGAGTACATACAAACACTACTCTTGTACCAAGTGGATAGTTATGACTGGAAACAGAAAATCTGGGGGTCTTTAAATTGAAGTTCATTATAAATTCCCCCAAATAGCTCAATGTTATCATAGGTTAAAATGTCTGCGAGTTGTGTTTTACTTTATTTGATGGTTCTCGTGATAATGCTTCCTTCATTGTACCGATGGCTTGTTCATATTCTCCCTGACTTGCAAGGACCTGTTGGCATAATGACATGAGGAAATTAACAAGTCTGAGTTGGAACAGTTCCTTCTGCATGTTGAACAATCAAACTGAAATAATGGGATATCGGGTTAGGGGTACTGGTAGCTGAATTTTTTTGGCAAAATTAAACAAATGCTGGCAATTTAATAAATCACCCATTTGATTTAAACCATAACTAATATGACAAAAATGTATGAGAATGAATAACTGATCAAAAACTAATCAGTTACCAGCTGGCCTACAAATATAAGAATTGAAAGTATTACTGGAACTGCCAACTATTAGTTCAGAGTTACATTGCAGCTGTCATTTGTTCTAGGGCTGTGCCGAATATTCGGATATTCGGTTATTCGATCGATAAACGAATATTCGAATATTTATTTTCGAATAAGAATATTCGGTGGTGATATGCAATGAAATAAAAAGGTGAAAAAAACTCTTTTTTTTTAACAACAAAAGTGTATTCTCAAAGTTAAGTTTCAAGTTGCTGCCAAAAAAACCCATAAAAGTAGCTTGTATACACGTATATGCCAAGCAATAATGCCATTCATATATTACTTCTGCTTTGGGAGTGCTTGCAGTAAAGCCAACCCATTTTTTTAACGCCAGACTGCAACACCAATCGCTGATGCTTCCGACAAGATAAACAAGACATTTTGTCTTTCATGTCTTCACAAAACACTTCCTGACACCTTTTCATATCAAACTTCTAGCATGAGTAGTAACGTTTCCGTTGTCTGTATTTTTTGTTGTTGTTGTCCTACTTACAATCCCTACTTTCAAAAGAAAACCGCCGTTGTTTTTCCCCGATGCGATCCTGGCAAGTTTCCCCGCGCGTTGGTGTTACATGTACATTTGTGCAGCATATGCAGAAAATGCAGCGTGGCATTGGAGAGGAGCACGTGTTAATTTGCCCACGTGCGCAGTGGGAGGGGCTTACTGGATATCGCGAAAATGGCATGCCAACATCGATGTAGAAGACCTCTGCAACCTCATGCAAAGAACTTGATTTCTTTTTTCTGTGTGGGCCTTTGTATTTTCCGTTTTCATGTACTTATTTTAAGGGACGTACTGCTCGCACAGGGTCGCACAAGAAGCGGTACATTACACTGATACAGCGAAGCCAATTCCCCCAAAGTTTTCCATCGCCTGTTCAATCGTGTCGAATGCACGTGGTTATAGGGAATCGCCTTGCACGCAGTATGCTGCTCACAGCACGTGGCGGTGTTGTAGAAAACTTGTCATGAACCCCAACATTACATTAAAACGTTTTGAAAACCTTGGTTCATTTACGTTACGGACTCTGGGATTTTTCTAAAAGAATTTCTTGTTTACTTTTAGGGGTAAATTTATTATGGCTGTTAGATGTTCGCCTCAATGCCTCCGTAAATATATACATGTACATGTACAAAATAATCTAGTTCTCTCAACTGATCAGAGCACCCTTTTATCGAACACATTTTCGTTCGCTGTCCGTCAGCTTTGTTCGCTGGGTTAGTCTGCTAATTGCACCCAATATTTGCACAAATAAAACATACATAAACACTTCAAAAACTAGTTCAGCAATTATACTTTCAGTAATAATAGCGGGAACCTCTGGCTTATGTCCTCCAAGTCGAGCAAAACGCAAGAAAAAGGGCAGACAACAGAGAGGATTTCAAACTCAAAAGAGCTCTCATTTATTTCGCCAGACAGACTTTGCGGTCAACTCACCGCACCGTACCCCTGATTCCCAGCATAGAAAACCACAGCTAGACAAAATGTATCAAAATGTTGCAAGTTGGAATATCCAAACCTTTTAGTGGCCTATTTGTTAGAAAGTTATCTCCAGAGCACGCACTTAGCCAGACAAAAGAACCGGGTCAGCGCGCCTGTGCCCTAATTAGCCCGCCAACAATGCGCCCGCCGGAGATCGGCTGGCGATTTTTTTTTTTTTTTGCTGAAATGTCACCCTTCGTGTTTTGGGTACACAGCTTATAATACATCCCCTGTGGGCAAACAAGGAAATACTGCTTTGCACGTGTCAAGCTGGGGCGTGTGTATGCCGCGCCCACGCCCATTATTTGCATAAACTTAAATATGCATTTACAACTCAAAGACCCATATTTCATTGAATAAAGACATTCAATATCATAGGTTTTTTTCTTGGAGTTTTTGGTTGTTGAGAATAAGTTTATTTAAAATGATATAAAATCATTTCCTCAATTCTTGGTGACAAAAGTGCGAGTTATTATAAAAGTGATTGTTTTTTTATCCTCAATACTGTGACTAGGAAGTACACCGTTTTGTAGACTTCAAGAAGCTTCCAGTAATAGATATGCTCGGTTCCTGTTTGCGAATTAAGGGTCGGAGAGTCACAATAGCTGACGCCACCCGCCGTGTTTGGGGTTCACGGCTTAATACGTCCCCCATGCAAACAAGGAATCCTTCACTCCAGCTTCTCTGGTTATTGTTAATCTTTAAATTACTGACGACTGAAGAACAACTGATTGTTGTCAAATACCTGACTTACCTGTGAAGAAATCATGCATGGCATGCTGACGTGCGCACGTACGTTGACTACATGTACATGTATGGCATATTTTTGCTCTTGAGGGAATTTGGAATGGCCAAATAACCGAATATTCGAATATTCGATCGATTGGAAGGTCGAATATTCGAATATTCAATTATTCGAATTGACTCAGCCCTAATTTGTTCTGCATACGATAAATTGTGGCTAATCATCAAACTTACTTTTCCTTTTCTGAAGAGCGCCTTGACATTTTCAGGTTCTATGTCCAAAGCATTGCTACAGGACTTCAAAGCAGGATCATACGCATCAATCTGCAAGGGACATATTCATACACTGAGCTTCTGGTGAGCTGACGAGTATAACGAAAAGGTATTTGTGCTGCTCAAAGCAGCCAACTTTGTGCCAACTTTCTGCCCAATGCCCTGAGTGGCTTGCGGTAATTTCATGGCACTGTTATATGGTTAGCAGAAAGGTTGTGCTAATCTTGAGAATATTTCATGGGAAGATGTGCCAACACTTGTGGGCACGTGTGAATTTCTGTTGTAGCATTACGCAAGTTCTGTTTCAGAAGATAGCATGCTCTTTCCTGTGCTTACTGCTTCTATGTAAATTTGATTTAGCCACTGTAAGCATAAAGTGGTTTGCTTAGCAGCTCCATGGAATTTAACCTGATTATGTGACTGACAACAGCACGGCTCACCTTTAATTGGGCAGCTGCCAGGTTATTATAGCACTTGACCTTCAACTCCATCACAGCTAGTTTAGCACTATCATCATCTGAAACCTGTATCAGACATTAAAAAAATCAACAGTAACCACACAAATATTACAAGTTTTCAGAGTGCAGATAATTACTTCATACTAAAAAATAATGTGCTTGGAAGACCTTCGCTTTTTTTAGGTAGGAGAAAATGTACAAGATAGGATTTTTAGTAATCTTCGCTCAAGCAATTTATAATTCTAAATGTGAGACTCTGATATATCGCTTTTATCTACAATTTACAAACAGGAATAAAACTCTTATAAACTCACCTTTGCTTTTTCAAACAGTTTCAGGGCCCTGAGGAACCAAAAAATAATTCAGAACTGTCAATTCACACCTTTAATTTACATTTTGTTTCCCCCCCCCCCCGAAAAGACTGATGTGACACTGATGTGAGCAGGGTAGGTCTATCTAACGAGAGTGAAAGAGGTACACAGAGCTGTAAGCAAGTCTTTCACCATGATCACAAGTCAAACCACAACTCAAATCACAAATCTGGTCACAAGTCAGTTCACACATAAATAAATGGGACAAAGGAATGTCTTTGTTACAGTTCACTTGAATAAAATGCAATTTGACTTAAGATTGGATGACTAGTGATTGAATTGTGAAGACTGTGACTTGTGACTGACTCGATTACAAATCTAACTTTGTCTAATGTACCATTACAAATCTGATGTAAAATCAAGACTTACTTTGTGTATGAGTTAATAGCACCAGAGTAGTCCTTCCTGGAGTAAAGTTCATTGCCCCTTTCTCTTTTCTTGTCTCTATCAACAACAAGGTAAAAAGTTATCAAATGAAACCTAAAAGCACGTCTGAGCCTAAGAAACTTAAAAACACCAGCATTTTACTACACTAAATCACATCAGATTCAATTGGGGTTAAATCATGCCTGGAAATTTTGAAACAAGGATGTACATTTTGTAAACTAAATTGCTAATGTGGCAGACTGTGGCGTGGTTCTTATTATGGATGAAATTGAACGTTGGGTTTCAGACCTGGGAAATTGTCTTGTTGCAAAGTTGCAAATAAAAAAGATAATTGTGAATGTCATATCGTGTTATTCATAAAGAGACACATTTTCAAATCCTGTGAATTTTGTGAAACCAATTTGTCTCTTGGTGAAAGCGGCAATGGTAAAGACTAAAGATCAAGGGCCTCAATGTTATTTTGAGAAGAGGATTAAAAAAAGAAAAGGTCCTTAATGCCCTATAATGATTGAGGTCTGACAGCCTTGGGTTATAGGTACTAATTTAAACTGGTCTAGTTTGTGCCAAAATTTACATTCTTACCCCGCGAGACATAGTTCATCTATTGTCATTTCTCCTGGGTCTGGTGCTGGTTGTACATTTAGCAGTTCCAACTCGTACGTTATCTCTGCATTGGGTGGAACATCTGGCAACCTGCAGGAATACAAGCAAAGAATAAAATGCTCAGTGAAAGCATGGGAATCATGAGGTGCAGTAGTACTTCATATATCATGTATATGGTTTGAAACCCAGAGCAAGTCTCATAAATACCAGGTAATTTAACAATAGCTGGACTATGTTGGCTTCAAACAACATGAACAAGGTTAGTTTACAAAAGTTTGACCAGTCTAGTCAACTATAAGGGACCTATCTACTGAGGTCAATCACATCACCTATTGCTTCACCGCCCCCCCAAAAAAAATTCTCTGCGGATGGTAGATTTAATCTATCTTCTTTTTGAGTTTGTTGTTAATTCATGGCATTTGTCCAGGAAGTATGATTTGTGGTACCATGGCCTCCATTCCAAAGTGCAAGAGTGTTAAGTAGTTCTGACAACTATAGGGATATCACTCTTAGTAGCATCGATCGTTGGCAAAGTTTTTGACTGGGCAATTGTCGTGAAGGAATAGAGTGCTTTAAGAGTTATGATACTCAGTTTGGATTTAAATAACATGCCTCCACCACTTAATGTACTTCTGTCATGAATAAAGTTATTTCTCATTACAATTTTCATAGGAGCACTGTTTATTACCGTCTTGTTAGATGCGTCTACGGCACTTGATCGGATTCATTATTGTAAACTTTTTTAAAAATTACTTGACAAAAACTTGTCTCCTTTGGTAATGAGATTGCGTGTTTCTTGTCCTTGATTTAAGTTCCACCTTCGACACTGTGAACCACCAGATCCTTCTACGGATGCTGAGTAATTCCATTAGCCTGATGGAAAAGGCACTAATTTGGTTCCGAAGTTATCTTAGGAACAGATCGTGTAGCATGTGTATTGACGGCATGTTTTCGCACCCAAAACCACTGGACTATGGGGTACCACAAGGCTCGGTATTAGGTCCGTTGGCATTCACCATCTATATAAAGCCGATCGGAGACATCATTCGTGAGCATGGTCTTTATTAGTTTCCATGTGGACGATACTCATCAATCTACAGCAGCTTCAACCCCAAAGATCCGGAAACGATCAAATCTGCTCTAACTAGACTGTCAACCTGCATTCAAGATTTGAAGACCTATGGATGACACAAAACTTGCTCAAACTAAACGATTCAAAGACTGAATTTCTGGTAGCGGCCTCGACACACACACTCCGCAATTTACTTCCCATTACTCTGAAAATAGGGGACAATATCATCATGTTCACAACCTCAACCGCAATATCCACTTTCAACTTCGCAACATCTCACGAATTTGCCGGTTCCTGGATTTTGAAACGTGTCACTACGTCATCCCTGCATTAGTTCTGTCCCGTCTGGATTATGGTAACTCTCTAATATATGGTATCGCTGAGTCAGGTCTGGATAAACTTCAACGACTACAAAACCATGCTGCACGCCTTTTATTCACTGCTGACAGGCGTGAATTGGCTTCCCTACTACATGTACTTAACCAACTTCACTGGCTTCCCATCCGGCAAAGAATTGAATTCAAGATAGCCCTCCTCATCTTCAAATGTCTCCCTCACACAGCTCCTCATTACCTTAACCGCCTCATCCAGCTAAACGTGTATCTTGCCGACCTGGCCTTCGTTCCAGTAACGATGGTACACTATTGTCGGTGCAGAGATCCAAGAACACCTCCACTGACTGTGCCTTCATTATTGCCTGTCCTAAGCTCTGGAACACCATACCCCAAGCATCAGATCACAGGAGACTTAGTCTTATCTCCTGTTTTGTTTTCCCTGTGTTTAGATGGTTTCACTGATGAATTACAAAATAGTGGTGTTGGTTGTCACTTACATGTACAGTACTGTACATATAGGTACATGTAACAATTATGTTGGATGTCTAGCATATATATGTATGCAGATGTTATTACTTGAAGGCCCATGAAAGGGTCTACAGACTATGATCACTGTCTGTGAAAAATATGTGAATAACTTTGATATTAATATTTCAGTTGTACAAAGAGTCAGTTTTTGCATTTTAGATGTCGTGATTGTCAAAATATGAATTGCACAATAACAGTTGATAATATTTTGCTAAGTAACACTGACAAAGCTACATGTATGCATCTGGGACATGATATTTCTATTCATAATACTGACAGTATAGTCACAAGTGCCACTGCTAATTTTTGGAGAAGTTTTAATACATGTACATGTATGTTTAGAGCTGATTTTGGTCACTTACCATTTGATTTACAGTGTAGGCTTTTTAACCAGTATTGCTGTAGTTGTTATGGTTCCTAGGCGCTCTTTGTGTTGCATGGAGAAAGGCATTGAGAGGACAAAACTTGTTAAGGGGTTAAACTTGCTATTTATGAAATTTCCTGCTTATCAACGGCACCATAAAATTGGTCCCTGACTGACTTTCAAGGGGCACTGCATCCTGAAATCCACGAAATTTTCATGTTTTGGATTGTTTACTTATCCTACAGTATTTCAAACATCCGTTTGAAAGGAAATGTCTTACCGTTCTGTAGCAAAGATGAAAAAAAACCTAGTTGTTTACATCGGACACGACGGAGTACGCATAAGGCAAAATAAAAAAAAAAACATGTTTAGCGTCCTGCCTCTTTGACAAAAAGGAAGGAGGAGGCCCTTTTTTTTTTTTTTTTTTTTTCAAAATGGCCGCCCGACACATTTTCCAAGACAACGCAGCCGGGCTATTTTTCAAGATGGTTACCAGCTTTTTTTCAAAATTGCTGCCACTTGGACTCATTGACTATTTCCACAGCTTTATACACGGTATAAAAGTCTAAAAATACGATTTCTTTCGTCAGAGATCGTTAAAATTTTATCAATTTTTGTCTTTAAAAAAAAAAAAAAAAAAAAAAAAAAGGAGGCGGCCTCTAAAAAGGAAGCGGGCGGGGACGCTAAACATGTTTTTTTTTTTACTTCGCCTAACTTTTTTCCTGTCGTTTCAGTCAATGTACGATACATGTTGTGTACCGGTATGTTAAATAAAATTACACACAGCACCAATGCACAAATGTGGTTTCTTACAAATGTATCTGCAGAACACGAACACTTTATGGCTAGAATCACAGCTACATGTAGCGTGAACAGCACGGCCTTTTGGGGTCGCAAAAGTGGACCCCGAAAATAGTCCTCACATGCATAACACAAGAATAAAGCAAAAATGCCCAGTTTTAAAAGGTAATGGCTCACCCACGGAACGCATCTCCCTGTTCATTGACAGTTTTCTCAAACCCCTTGTCCCACAGATTTCGTCATACATTCACGACACCCCAGACTTCCTACGCAAGCTTGAAGGAATCAAGGACCAGATTCCCAGCACAGCCATCATTGGGACTTTCGACGTCTCATCTCTGTACACCAACATCCCACATGAGGAGGGTGTTCGTGCTTGCTCCTTGGCTCTGGCCAAGGCAGGACACACGACTCCTCCCATCAGTGATGTTGGCACCCTCATGAGACTTATACTAACGAAGAACAATTTTTCCTTCCTTGGTGAACACTATCTACAGGTACACGGCACTCGCATGGCTCCCTCTATGGCTTGCCTCTTCATGGGCGACCTCGAAGAACGCATTCTTGCCTCGGCCCCATGTCGCCCTTGGATCTGGCGGAGATATATTGATGATGTTTTTTTCATCTGGACCAGTGATGAGGACAGTCTCTTGACCTTCACTAACCACATCAATTCCTTCCACAGAACCATCAAATTCACGTCGGAGTTCTCGGCTCACCAAACCCACTTTCTGGATGTCACCGTCCGCAAGCAAGGCAACTCACTAACCACTGACCTGTATTCCAAACCCACAGACACCCACCAGTACCTCCACTCCTCCAGCTGTCACCCCAGGCACTGCAAAACTGGCATAGCGTTTAGCCAGGCACTCAGACTCAGAAGAATTTGTTCTAATGATTCCGATTTCTCCCGCCATACACAGATATTGAGGAACAACTTGGTGGCCAGGGGTCACAGCTCTCGCCAAGTTCATCGTGCCATTGCCAGAGCTAAAGCTATCCCCAGAAATCTAGCTCTCACGGGAAAGGCCCCTGATGCCATGGCCAAACCCATGATTCCCTTGGTAACCACGTTTCACCCCAATCTCCCTCCCCTTCGCAAAATCACTAATGACAATCATCATATCCTCCATACTTCAGATCGCCTTGCCCGCACCATCCCCAACGGCCCCACATTGGCTTACAGGCGTCCTCGAAATCTACGGGACTTGATTGTTCGAGCTGAAGTCCCATCCTTAGATGCATCCCCTCCCACCCAGCATGGTACTTTCAAGTGCAGTTCCAGATGTGTTGTCTGCCAGATTCATATCCAGGAGTCTGACTCCTTTTCTGGCCACTCTTCTGTCACTACCCGCAGAACCATTGGTAACATCACTTGTAACACCTCTAATGTCATATATCTCATTTCTTGCAGGGTCTGTGGAGTGCAGTATGTAGGTGAGACTAAGAATACGCTCAAGAAGCGTTTCTATGCCCACCGGTCAACGGTCAACACCAAGAAACTAGACACCCCTGTTGGTCATCACTTCAACCTGCCTAACCACTCCATTTCTGATATGATTTTGCAGGGCATTGAATCTCTTGGCCATCGCAAGGACTCAGTTCGCCGCAGCAGAGAGAAAGTGTGGATGAATCGTCTTCGAACTATTCAACCACATGGTCTCAACATCCAACTTGGAAATGATTAATCCTTTTCTTCCTCCATTGTCTTCTGTTACAGAAAATCCACCTGGTCTTCCTTGTTTGTGTTTACCCATCTTTCATCCCTTTCCACCTCCATACTGTTCCCCCCCCCCAGCATCATCCCCCTTCACTCTCACACTCTTTTGTCCGTTCCCACTCCCTGTGACCTTTGATCCTTCCCCTTTCTGGTCCCTCCCCTGTTTACACCAGACCCCTTGTGGTTTGCCATCTCCCTTTGTTTCTTTGTTCTCTCATCCACCCTCCCCTTCATCTTTCCACACCTTTCCCACCTAATCCTCCTTTTGTGTTTCTTCTTTCAGCCCTGCATGTTTGTGTGCACCCCATGTTAATGTATGTACCTCTGTCATTTCTGTTTTAGCCTCTGAAGAAGAACTTGCTAAGTTCGCAACGTCAGGCCACATTAATTTTTAGATTCAGTTTTTAAAGGATATAGTTTTGTGGTTGTTTATACGCTACTTTTAAATGTTCTTAATTAACAGCATTTTGTTCAAAGTGCGTTTTGTAGCCCAATTGGGCTCATTCTAGGACACAGTTTTTCTTTAACCAATTGCTTTCTGTATAGATCTCTCTTAATGCCTCAGTCATTGTATTGTAGTGGTAAATCCAATATGGAAAAACCTACCTTCCCAATATCCCATATGCAAAACGTGGACTGGTTTTGATGATGGAAACTTCACCGAGGTCCATCAGTGATAAACAGAGATCCCAGGCTGAAAACAAACAGAGATGTTACAACAATCAAGTCAAATTAAGGGACATTGAGTGTCTTTGTTCTGCCCAAACTACATGTATACCATTGACCTAAACTTTAAGTTTGGACAGTACAGTCCCAAATTAAGTGTCCCAGTTAGGCTGGCCCAACTAGGAAGTTGATTCTCTGTGCTTAAGGCGTGCGTACGAAATATGCTATACATACACGTCAGTCACACATGCACATTTGTTAAGTGCCAGGGAAAATACATGGAATTGTACCATACATGTAAGTGACTCATGTTGTAATTTACAACATGTAATAAAGGCAAATTGATGTTTTTTTCAATGATTTACATGTTGTATGCCCTGAAAACTATGCCAAGTGCAGGACAATAGTTGGGCTGGTGCCGCTGGTCCAACTAAATCATTTCTGTTGGGAAGGTCCCAAATTAAGTTGTCATTACGAGTTGACCCTCCTATTTAGATGGAATTAAAACAATGTACATGTATTTGTTTTGACATTCAATTCAAAAATATACTGGCTCGTCCTCCTTATAATTAAGGGGTCCATTCAGCAGTGTGTCAACCCTGTCAACTAACAACTGCTTCATGAGGGATACCCTGAAAATTCAGCTGGCATGCCATTAGGGTCAAGAGCCACTCTTTACTGTAATTGGTCTTGGATAATGTGGGGTCAATTTCATGGAGCTGCTTAGTAGAAAAGACTGCTTATCAAATTTTTGTGTTAAGCAAAAATTGGCAGAGTACTTTTTAACAGCATTATACATGAACATGACATGGCATTTTGGCTGGTAATCTGTTTTTGCTAGTCAAAAATCTCCTGTGCTTAGCAGAATTCTGTGCTTAGAGCCTCAATGAAAAAGACCTTCAGTTACAGTAGAATTGTAACAGACTCTCTCACCACTAACGACATCTCCTTCCCCAAGTACAAAGCTGACCTCCTCATGACAATCCACCTCCGTCCCATCTTCCAACAATCCTTTACTTTTTAAAGTCACCAATTCCCCCCTCTGGGGTCGTGTGGCTGCTCCCTGGCCCTCATTCAAGATTTTCTTCATGAGCTGTCCATTTCCGATAACGTCCATCCATTCAGGGGGCTCATCATTGTCTTTACTTTCAGTAGTTGCGCCCTCTTCTTTTCGGGTTGTGTCACCATTTGTGATGGGAGGACTGTCTGGGGTTGTCATACTTGGGTGGGAGTCAATCAGCTCTGGCATACATGTATCACTGTCATCATCCTTGTCTTCCGTTTCCATGTTGTGATCCACCGAGCCATTGCATGCATTGGTGTGAGCATCCTGTTGAACGTCGTTGACGGCACCTTTCCTTGCTTCGTTTGCTGCATAGCCGTGGTCCCCTGCTTCTACAATGGGCTTGATATCTTCAGCATCCATCGTTTTTTAAATTGATGTGGTGGGTGTGCACTTGAATCTTAATCACAAGGTAAAAAATAATAACATCCAGGTGCAGATTATTATGTAATCACGACTCATGGTATTCACTTGTTTTATACAAATAGGTTTTTTGCCTAAGACTAGAGGCCATTCAGAATAGTCAATGTTTAAAATTTTGATGTATTTTTTAATTGTTGCCATTTTCTAAACTCCGCCTTCGGTCCGTCTCTGCTCAATGGAAGCCGGCAAACAGGGTGATAATTGTTAATTAACAACTCATGAAGGAGGCTTTTATGCAATTGTTTACTACACACCGTAATCATGGTAATGGATAGGAACCTCATTAATATTCGTGAGGCTTGAAAAGATTGATAGATATTGAGCATGCCAGTGTTACAATTTTCAAAATTGCACGTAGAGAGGCCTAGTTTTCCAATTTCAACGAAAAGTAATGAACATATCAAATCCACTTTTAGCACATACTTGGATCATTATAGGGGAAATAAATCCTGAAAGTTGCATGCAGATACGGTCTTCCAAACGGGAGAAATTAATTTTCAAAGATTTCCCCCGCTAATGTGAACATGTCTGTGTACATGTAGTTTCATTCAAAATAAAGTGTTACGTAACATTTAGAATCGCCCTTCGCAGGCATATGGCTGCTATAGTTGCTCCTAGAGTGAGAGTTGAGGAGGAAAAATAGATGAAAGAACCATAGAGAGTAACTTTTTGGCACTTGGAAATTGATTGAAAAAACGTGACGTACTTGTACGGTACTCTTTCCCATTTCCGAATGTTAAAAAGGCGATAAGTTGAGGCCAAGACAAGTTACTCGGAATAGGAAATACTTAGAAAATGTTCTTGACTCTCCATAGTAGACCTAGTGAAGTCGTTTTCCTAGTTCCGAACTTTTCCTAGTTCTGGATAGCTTCAAATAAAAACGTACATGTACCTCTTTTGGAATTTGGATTAGTCTCCAATAAAAAATTTTCTGACCAAGTGCATTTTAAAAAGGAAAATGTAAGCTCCTTGATACAAAGATCTTTCCGATAAAATCTTTAGAAGAGGAATTTTGGCCAGATTTCCGTCTAGCACTTTGACATGTTTGGACAGTTTGAAGAAAATCGTGGGAGCTGCAAATCGATAATAAATTTTCTCCCCGGTACATCACTTGTACCGTGTGATTTTGAATATTTTGTTCAAACACTACAGTCATATAAACTCTTCCATCGAATGCTTGTTGAATCAAAATAAGTTGTAAAGTCTCTAATTTTTGAAAATTCGCCAACGAATGACCGTAGGCTTTTGCCTAGTTCCGGGTAGCGCGTGCACTTACGACCCAACTTCACGCGCGTTAATCGAATTTGTGTGACATATTCTGTGCTGGGTCAAAGATTTTCGGTCCGTGCGAGAGTTCGAGCTTTTGTGCTGCACACAAAAGTTTCAAAATCATTTACGTTTTTTCTCTTTGTAAAATTTGTTGGAATTCTCTTGAGTGAACTATTTTTGGAAAATGAAATATTACTTTATCTGAGAATATGCTTCATTTGGTTGGTTCTGGCTGAATTTTTATTTTATTTTCTCACTTTTTTTTTTTCGCGCGAAGCAGTTTGGATCGATTCGGAACTGATTGAACCAATCCGGAACTAGGAAAAGTAACATCGGTACTGTTGACGTCATAAAATCAAAATAAAAAGAGCTTAAATTTTGAAAATTATTTCGTGGTATCTCCATCACTCAAGGTAAACTTTTTAACCAATGCCACTTGAATTCGTGGAGTAGGCCTAGTTGAGCTGAAAGCAGCCTGAATGATGTTTGGGTAATCCTTATCTTTAGGACACCTCTATTTTTACGAGTTCTGTTCAAAATTGACTTTTGCAGATGACTGTCCAGTGCCAAAGTGACTTTTGCAGGCTAAAGTAATGCGATAGGCATTACAGCTGGAGTTACACAAGCTAGCTATAGTAGTCTTTTTTCTTCAGATAAACTCATGTTAGTTTTAATTCTGAAAGCACTTTCAAAGAAAATGTGACTTTTTTACCTTTTTTTGCAGTTTGCCGTCTTGCTTTTTAAAATATTTTCTGTTTGTCATCGTCTTTTGTTACCCCTCATAAATCAAAGCCCTGCCCTCTTTCTACAAAATTAAACCTACTAATATTCAAGAAGGTGTCATTGCCAACTCAACTGTATCAAGAAATATCAGAATGTCACTTTTGACATGTTTGAGTGTCATTTAGCATACTTCTGGAATCAGAAGGCTTCTCTCCGTCAGCTGACGGAGAGATTGCATGTTTAGTCAGCTGTTTTGGTGATTTTTTTGGCGAGTCTTTTAACCTTATATAGGAACGGGGTCCTAAAGGTAAGGATTACCGAAGTTTGCTATCCGGAACTAGGAAAATGTATGTAGGCCTAGGCTGGCTATGGTTCAATGGTTGTAGCTGGAGTTACCCAGCCCTAAATTTTATCATTTGGTTGTCAATGACAACCCAATGGTAAAATTTAGGGCTGGGTAACCCAGCCCTAAATTTTATCATTTGGTTGTCAATGACAACCCAATGATAAAATTTAGGGCTGGGTAACTCCAGCTACAATGGTTGCAACTAGTCCGAGTAACTAGGACTCTACAGTCTGTACGGATCCCTTTTTTAACATTTGGACATGGTCGGGCGATAGTAGAGTCCGAGATCGATAGCCCTTTTGTGGTTACCATTATTTTTTTTACCATTTTCACTCGTACCCCCAATCAAAATCGTCAGATTTCACACCCAAAACGGTCTTCAAACTTAGTCCGAGTAACTTGGACCCAACTTATCACCTTTTTTAACATTTGGACATGGTCGGGCGATAGTAGAGTCCGAGATCGATAGCCCTTTTGTGGTTACCATTATTTTTTTTACCATTTTCACTCGTACCCCCAATCAAAATCGTCAGATTTCACACCCAAAACGGTCTTCAAACTTAGTCCGAGTAACTTGGACCCAACTTATCACCTTTTTTAACATTTTGGACATGGTCTGGCGATAGTGGGGTCCAAGCTAATGCCGCGACCTGGACAACCGCATCCTGTCACTGTCCCAAACCAACATTTTCCAACAAAAAACATCAGATTTCACCTTCATGCGCCTGGCTAGCCAGCGCGACTCCTAGGCGTACCGCGAACTTACACAGCACTCTTCATCAGGAAACAGTCGTCGGCGCGGCGCAGGGGAATCTGCCGTGCATACAGTGCATTGTGCGCAAGCGCGCCGTCACGACCTTTGCATGAGGTCGAGGTCAGACACCATTACCCCATTGGGAACGCGTACACACAGTGTATCATGCAGTTTTGAACGTGAGCACAACGACGACAACCTAGGCAGAGGGGGTCTTCAGAATTGAACGGAAAATTTCACTTTTCTTCCGGATCGTAAGTAAACTTAAGTACAACCATCTTAATCATCGATGTCTACTTGTACTTCAGGTGGCATATCTAGTAATTTGGAGGCCGTTTTGAAGGTGAAATCTGATGTTTTTTGTTGGAAAATGTTGGTTTGGGACAGTGACAGGATGCGGTTGTCCAGGTCGTGGCATTAGCTTGGACCCCACTATCGCCAGATCATGTCCAAAATGTTAAAAAAGGCGATAAGTTGGGTCCAAGTTACTCGGACTACTTCAAACTGTCTTGTGCGCCCCTGTAGGCTTCATTAGGAAGTGAAAACTATACAAATGGTGGTGGTTAGGTTTACATACCTTTGGGAAGAAAAGAGAAATTTCACCTTCAAATCGGGAAACATCCTTGTAACAAATGCCTTGTTTGAGGCTGCCATTTTGAATTCAGGAAAAGTAGTCTGGTGCATGGCTCTGGCTACACTGTTTGCAAGCATCACACAGACCAATCACAGGGCACTTTGATTGGTCAGGTGACCAAAAAGTGTGCTCTGTAGCCAGAGCCATGCACAAGTCTGCTTTTCCCCTCAAAAGGGCTATCGATCTCGGACTCTACTATCGCCTGACCATGTCCAAATGTTAAAAAATGACCTTTCCTTTCACCAGAAAAAAAAACGCATTGGCTATCAAGTATCATTATGCCAGCCGTAACGCATTTCCCATTTTCTATCGTTACGGTAGTACTGCAACTTTTATATAAACATGAGAAGAAAATATAAAATTAGAAGGAAAAAAGTGAATTTGAACATTATGAAATTCGGACTTTATTTCCCTTTTAAAAAAAATCCTCCAAAGCCTCAGTCAGGCCATGGAGGAATAATTGTCAGGCTCAGGTTAGAAAAGGAAAAAAATTCGAGTGCAAAACTGAGATGCGAACCCGCAACCTCGCGGTGCAAAATCCTACACTCTATCAACTGAGCTGTCGCACTGCTCGCTAAAACGTGGGGAAACAAATAATTATATACCTGCGTGCGTATCAAAATAGTATCGTAGAGGGCGCTAAACAACGGCTGCCGTAACGATAGCCACTTCGAAAAAAAATACACTCGTTCCACACAAATCGTACCAAAACCCAATCAAGAATTTAGTTGCTGCACACCTGACCCTTACCAACGTACGTAGGATACTTCTAGGTGTTTGTTTATGGAACAGAAACAGAAACAGAAATCCGCACCAGCAATGCAGCACCCGAGGCGATGCCAACTCTCAGTCATAGAGCTAGGCCAGTTCAGAAGTTACAACTGCATAGAGACTTGACATTGACGAACCCTTGAGGGCGTATCTTTGCTGGGCCAACCTCGTCCTCAGGGTGTTGAGCAGTACGCGCCCACCACTATCCGTTCTCTAGGAAACGAAGTTGGAAATAAAGTAATCACTGGGGACGAGGTTGTTGATGGCACAATATATGCATGACATGCATGAATCATTGCGTCACGTCTATTGTCAGATTGTGAGTACACAATCTACACGTACGTATGTACAAACGTACATGTATACAGTGTACAGTACACGTACACACGTGCATGTGCTGTGTATGTTGTGCCCATTCTTGAAAATCACGCATTCTCGAGAATAGGCATGCACATTCTCGAGAATGGGCGCGCATTCTTAAGAATGAGCGCTCATTCTTAAGAACGAGCACGCGTTCTTAAGAATGAGCGCTCATTCTTAAGATTGGGTGGGAATATCACGTGCACAATTTGTGAATTTTGCCCAATCTTAACAAACATTGCACGACATAATTATGTTAAATGAATTGTATAGCGGTTAAAAGGGAAACAATTCATATAAAGAGGAAACAAAATGTGCTATACTTCTGTACTCGTATAACTACGATAATTTGAATCAAATTAAACCTGTTATTATTGCTTTTTTCTGCCCACTTATGGGAAGTTTTGTAATAACGGAGGACTGGGAACTAGTCTGGGAAGTGCTTTGTTTAGGCTAGACAAGTTACAAGTCCCTGCATGTATCATATGCGTGCCACGAAAAAAAAACGATGTCCAGAAGCTGCCAAAATTGCTCTTTTGACTAGATAGAATCCAGCTCTGCGACGTTATGGTGGGATGTGAACAATAAATTGGTGGCAATTTAAATGGGAAATAGCATTAGCACTATGGGATGTCGCAGTATTCATTCTCATTCTTCACATTCTTCATTCTTACGTCCCCCCCCCCCCCCCCCCCCCCCCCCCCCCCCCCCCGCTTTTATTATCCCAAAAATCAGAATTCTTTGCACTAGTATTATTATGTCTCTTATATTTTCCCGGTCCGCCCCCCCCCCATATCAATACGCCTTTACTTATCATATCCACTCTACTTTTCAGCGCCTTGCGTTGCAACAGTATAATTATTGAGAATCAGTGAACGAGGATTCAGCTAGACTTGCCAAGCGCAGCCGGTGCTCGGCATCGACAAGACCGTTATCTTGTCGCGCATTCTCAAGAATGTGCGCTCAATCTGGAAGAGTTATTTTTTGCCAAGATTGAGCAAGGATCCAGTTGCACATTCTCAAGAATGTGCATGCCCATTCTAGAGAATGCGTGATTTTCAAGAATGGGCACAACATGTGCATAGTGCACTATCCGGCCGTGCGTGAGTCATACGAAAGTGGATGTCCAACTCATCGAACTGAAGCAAAAATTATCAGCGACAAATGGTTTACGTTCTGATAAGTTTAAGTCTGCAGAGTGCAGGTCAATGCTGATCACCACGACTACCGTTCCTTTCTCAGTCCGTGGCCGTGTGCATGGTGGGCAGGTAGTGCGTACTTTTGAAAAGTGTCTTATTACATTTTATTTCAATTATAATCCATCGAAAGGATATTTTGCCGGAGGTAATGCCGGCAAGCTAAATGTTTACTAAAGGGGTTTGCCGGCACGGCGGCAATCCATATGAACAGAGGGCGCTGTACTCTTTTGAGATTGTTATTTATTTGGGGATGGTGAAAAAAACCTTAGTAGAAATGTGGCGGGGATCGGGATCAAACCTGGGCATGCTAGTGCTGTAGCCCCACTAGTGTGGCCGTCGGTATGCTGCGCTGAACCAGAGGTTCAGCGCAGCATACCGACGGCCACACTAGTGGGGCTAGGCATGCTGGGTCTAGCTAGGATGATCCTTAGCGTTATGTTTATGCATAACAACCCGAGTCATCCCGGTCACAAGAGCCGTTGCTTATCCACACTAGTCATGCTAGTGGCACCAAATGTGCTACACAAAAGTGTTGGTGGGAATTTAAGACTAACTAAGCATAATTCTATTTTGCCGGAGACGGCAAATCTTTAGTAAACGTTAGTTTGCCGGATATGCACTGAACATGCGCAGTTACTGTTTTTTTGTACTTAAACATTTTCCGGTGACAAATTTTAGTCTGGCTCCATGCCAATATTATCGTTGTAACCTCGTATTCACAAGAAGGGATTCAGACCATTTTATAATGATAGTGGATATTTTGCCGGAGGTAATGACGGCAAACTAACGTTTACTAAAGGTTTGCCGGCGGCAATCCATATCAACAGAGGGCGCTGTACTCTTTAAGATAGGGCTGAATTATAAGATGTATTAAATTCCCACCAAAAGTTGTGAAGCACGTTTGGCGTAGTGGTTAAGCAAAAGCTATGGTGGCCCTGAGGGGACATCACACATCAAGATTTCTGCGCAGATTTCTGCAATGTCGCATATTTTATCGCACATTTCTGTGCAGATTTCTGCGATGTCGCACATTTTATCGCACATTTCTGCGCATATTTCTGCGATGTCGCACATTTTATCGCAGATTTCAGCGATGTCGCACATTTTATCACAGAAATCTGCGCCTATTTCTGCGATGTCGCACATTTTATCACAGAAATCTGCGCCTATTTCTGCCATGTCGCACATTTTATCGCAGAAATCTGCGCAGATTTTTATGCCATGTCGCACATTTTATCGCACATTTCTGCGCAGATTTCTGCGATGTCACACATTTTATCGCACACTTCTGCGCCTAGTTCTGCGATGTCGCACACGTGTGTACGTGTGTAGGCGATAAGCGCTAGCGCATGGGCGCGCGAACTATGCAATATTAATATCATGGAGGCCAGAACCCCGACATTCTTAGACCCCTTTACTTTCGGCAAAAAATAGCCAGGTGCCAGTGTGTTAAAAAGATGCAGATATTTACGATATGTGCGACATCGCAGAAATCTGCGCAGAAATGTGCGATAAAATGTGCGACATCGTTGCACATTTCTGCGCAGATTTCTGCGACAAAATGTGCGACATTGCAAAAATCGGCGCAGAAATGTGTGATAAAATGTGCGACATCGCAGAAACCTGCGCAGATTTCTGCGATAAAATGTGCGACATCGCAGAAATCTGTGCAGAAATGTGCGATAAAATGTGCGACATCGCAGAAATCTGCGCAGATTTCTGCGACAAAATGTGCGACATGGCAGAAATCTGCGCAGAATTGTGCGATAAAATGTGCGACAACGCAGAAATCTGCGCAGATTTCTGCGACAAAATATGCGACATCGCAGAAATCTGCGCAGAAATGTGCGATAAAATGTGCGACATCGCAGAAATCTGTGCAGATTTCTGCGATAAAATGTGCGATATCGCAGAAATCTGCGTAGAAATCTTGATGTGTGATGTCCCTTGGGGCCACCATAAAAAGCTCTAGTGAGCGGGATGACTCGGGTTCGATCCCGACCCCGGCCACATTTTAAGGTTTTTTTTCCCATCCCCAAATAAATAAGAATATTCTTCTTTTATTATTTTAACATGTCTCAAACATTTTATTGCAGAGTATTACATTTTCTTTTTCAGATTTGTGGCTCTGGAGGATTTTTTTTAAAAGGGAAATAAAGTCCGAAATTATAAAATGGTCTGAATCCCATCTTGTGAATACAAGGTTACAACGATAATATTGGCATGGAGCCAGACTAAAATTTGTCACCGTAAAATATTTTTAAGTACAAAAAAACAGTAACTGCGCATGTTCAGTGCATATCCGGCAAACTAACGTTTACTAAAGGTTTGCCGTCTCCGGCAAAATATCCACTGCCTTTTAAAATTTTTCGGACTTTATTTCCCTTTTAAAAAAAATCCTCCAGAGCCACAAATCTGAAAAAGGAAATGTAATACTCTGCAATAAAATGTTTGAGACATAATAGAAGAAGAATATTCTTATTTATTTGGGGATGGGGAAAAAAACCTTTAAAATGTGGCTGGGATAGGGATCGAACCCGAGTCATCCCGCACACTAAAGCTTTTGCTTAACCACTACACCATACGTGCTACACAACTTTTGGTGGGAATTTAATACATCTTATAATTCAGCCCTATCTTAAAGAGTACAGCGCCCACTGTTGATACATGTATGGATTGCCGCCGGCAAACCTTTAGTAAACGTTAGTTTGCCGTCATTACCTCCGACAAAATATCCACTATCTAATTTTAACATGTCTCAAACATTTTATTGCAGAGAATTACATTTTCTTTTTCAGATTTGTGGCTCTGGAGGATTTTTTTTTAAGGGAAATAAAGTCCGAAATTATAAAATGGTCTGATTCCCATCTTGTGAATACGAAGTTACAACGATAACATTGGCATGGAGCCAGACTAAAATTTGTCACCGGAAAATGTGTAGGCTAAGTACAAAAAAAATAGTAACTGCGCATGTTCAGTGCATATCCGGCAAGCTAACGTTTACTAAAGGTTTGCCGTCTCCGGCAAAATATCCACTGCCTATAATTTTGCCTCAGAGTTAGCTTGATTTGTTGTTGCAGCGTAAACTAGGAACCAACGGATTTGTAAATTCGGTGCGCCGAAACTAGGAATTTCAATTTTGGTATCGCATTTGCAAATCCAGTGCGGTACCATCTCGTTCACAAACATATAACATGGCACGGCCAGTAAAACAAGGATTGCTTTCATTACTATTTATTTATGGAAGGCCCCAAAAATTAAGTAGGTCTATTGGGTGTTATGTTAAGAAAATCTGGGTAGTTTGGTCAAGTAAAACTATTCTGAGACTGTACATGCTGAATGATCACTTGTATCGTCAGACCCCCTAAAGCTACGCGGTCCTTTTTCTACGCATTCGCATTTACCTTCAATTTGTGTGTGACAATGCGCGCAGGTATGCAAGCGTTACCTGCGCAGATAATGGAGAGTCAAGGAGCAATGAACAGAGTCGGCCAATTTACCACGCCGCCATGATGTACTAATAGACTTCTTGCCAGAATAAGCAGAAAAAAAATCGCCGGTGCAACCGAGTATTAATCACGATTTTAGTTAAAGACATGAAAGATGTTTCCCCGTTTGGGTTTCATTCTTTGCAGTGCTATGCGCCTATCAATTGTGGCACCATTAGATTAAACAGTGACATTAGAGTACATAGGGGGCCTAGGCCTCTAGGGAACCCACTTAAAAATCGCTTCCTTGTTTGAAGATTGACGGGTCATTTTGCATTAATAGTATGTTAATCGATAAGTGTTATTAAACAAATATTCAAACAAAAACAAAAACAGTCAGTTACATGTACTTCTAATAAAGTCTGATGAACATGGGCGTCACTTGCCTCCTCTGGAAAAGCAAACAAAATAAAAATAGTTTCAATTGGTTGGGGGATGTCCCTGCCCCCTCGAAAAATGATAAATCGAAAATACGCTTGAAAAGTAATTAATAATAAATACCTTGGAGAGGTGGTGGCTTCTGATTGGTCGAAACTCGATCACGTGGGGGGTGTATTAACAGTGATATAAAGACCGGCTTCAAAGAACAAGCAAAAACATGGCCCCTGAACCAGCATTGATCCAGCCCCATGCAAGACAATGATTGGCCAAATTTACAACAGTCCTACGGCAGCTTGTAACAATACAACACTGCACATGCGCTCAATCACCTTCGCGTGAGACTTACGCGCGCGTACGCAACACAGTTGCTATGGGTGCGCGCATGTAAGGAAGTTTTCAAACGACATCCTACAGCAGTATACTGAGGATGAAAAAAGAAGTTCATTGCCTGAACGTCGTTTTTATGCAGCGATGAAGACGTAGTCCAATGCAGCCTGGGCCTGGCTATGGTGGTATATAACAACCCATATTGAAGAGACAGGGTACCACACATCAGCTAAAATATGGCCCATCGCCATGAACATGAACACAAAAAAGTCTGGAAATTATCGCCCAGAGAAAAGTCACAAAATTGGAGCATTTTAACTGTTATTTCATTAAAAAAGTATTTATTAATGGAAATCGAGGTCCATTAACAGCGGTCACCCCCAAACTCAGTCATTATCACGCAGTGAAGACCGGATCCTCACACTGTTATTCCCTTATTGCTGATTTTTTCGGCAAGCAGTTGGACAATGTGCAGAAAAATAACGACGTAATTCCAACAGGTATTCCAAAATTAACAATATCTTTCATTTCTTCTACATTGTTCTACGAAAAAATCCACTTCTTCCTTTGTAAGTTGACTACAACGCAAGACCATAAGTGGACTTTTTGTTTAAATGTCGGCAAGACCTTGAACAGAATGAATTCCCAATTTCGTTGCAACAAATTCCCCCCTTTTTGCCCTACTATATTGCCAATGCTTTTAAGCAGTGTCAAGACCCTGCATGAGTATTACGTTTGCAACGGGGCCGTATCATAAGTCCGACGCCTCATAAGTCCGAAATTTCAGACTTATGAGGCGTCGGACTTATGAGGCATACAATTTATTTATTCCGCCTCATAGGTCCGACGCCTCATAAGTTTGACAACGGAAAAATGAGGCGTTTAATTTGTCGGACTTACAAGGCGTCGGAGCTTTGAGGTGTCGGACCTATGAGGCGTCGGACTTATGAGGCGTCAGACCTATGAGGCGTCGGACTTATGAGCGGACCCCGTTTGAACGTGTGCCAGATGATGGGAAACCTTAAGGACAGCACTTAATACTTTTCTTATTTTGTCATTTTCTATGAAACTGTACTGCCACTAAAACAAATTACGTTAAAAAAAAAAGTCATTAAAAAGACCTATAACTCATGGGTGTTGCCAGGAGGGGAGCAAAGCACATTATTCTCTAGCATATTCTCAATTTATCTTTTTTTAAGGGTGGGTGGGGGGACATTATTTCAGAAACATACTCACGGCACAAAGTACAATGCAGGCCTACATTGTACAACCATGACAACAGAGCCATGGTGAAGTTTTTACTCCTGAATACAGTAATAGTGAAAGTGGAAGTTATTTTATTTATTTTGAAACTGGTACTGTATCATTTTTTCCCTTCAATAGGAACTGTGTTCAGCACAGTTACATGAAATATTTGAGGCAATATCAAACATCTTCAGACCTTGAGAGCAACATGGAGCACTTGCGGCATCCGTCCTGTTCCATGGAGAGCAACCAAAGAAAAGCACAATGTCGACTATCGGCTGCCATTTTATTGCTCTGTACTATCACAAACTCATGGGGGTGAGTGTCCTATGGTTCAGTAGAATAACAGTTTTGTGCTGACCCTGCAATTTTCCCTGGCAATCTAGAATCAACCAAAGGCACAAGAAGTTAAAAACCCTTGGAAAGAACAAAATCACATTTTCCCAACAGTGTATCAAAAATTAATCAAAAACTAACACACATGTATGTAATTGAAAACATACATACATTGTACATGTATGTAATTGAAAACATACATACAATGTATATAATTGAAAATTACATGTTTTCTTCTTTGATGGTTAGAGATTGCTTGTGTGACAGGACGATGAGATGTGCAATCTTGCGCATGTTTCAATGCCAGTCATGCACTTATAATTACTTCATACAATGTGCGTGTTGTTTGCAAGGCCACCATTATACATGTACACGTGCAAACTCACCCTAAGAGTGTTGAAATTCAAACAGACACATTGTGAAATATTATTTCTTTTTCAGAGGAGGAGGCGGATCAGGTTGGTGGTCTAGTGTGCTATGATTCAGTGAGAATTTTACAAACTCGTCCAAACCAAGGTTGCTAAGATTTTTAAGACCAACCCCAGATTGGAATAATTAATGAAATTGTCCAATTATTCAAATTGCTGTAATTCTTTTGTATGATGCACCTTTTTTTAAATTTTAATATCAAACAGCATGGATACTGCCAGAGAATATGGGAAAGATGCTCTGGCAGTGGACGGAGCCGGAACAAACGAGGATGTCTTGAAACTCCTTGACACCAAGACACCGGCTTCAAGCGAGGTTCCATGCTGGATGACGGAGTCATTTACCACCCAGGGCCCGTGCCAGGCTTGTGATGAGCATGCAATGGTATGCATTAACTGCAGTGTTGTAGTCCAGTCCGTCACAAATCCAGTCACGAGTCTTGTCACAAGTCAAATCATAACTCCTTTCACAAGTCCAGTTACCTAACAGGGAAAGGCCAATGACAAAGGAATGCTTTTTAGTCAAGTGGCTTAAATCAGATTTTTGACAAGATCGTGACCAACTGGTCCAAAGCACCAAACTTGGCAGATAGATTCTTATACATGTTATAGCCCTAAAGAACATTTTTTTGGAAGGGGTGATACCTGAAATTCTTTTTGGAGGGTTGCCTAATTTGCATAAATCGCAATAGCTGCCCTGTAATATATGTATTCCCATACTTTGGTATATTAGTTTGTTTTTTTTTTGAAAAATCAATTTCGGAGATTCTACTTACCCATCCTTAAAGGGAATATACAACATTTGCAAACATCGAAAAATAAAATTACCAAGTTTTTACGAAATACCTTAATGGGATGTTGGTAAATGACAGTCTAAAGCATCCTGTAAAATTATGGCATCTGGTATACTGTCATTTTCAAGAAAAGTGGTATTTTTGTATCAATTTCCAACGCTGATCGGCCGATCAGCGTTGGAAACAACTGGCTTTTTTTCAAATACTGGCCCCAATTGACCATTGCACTTGTTTGCAATCGATTACAAATCTATGAACGGGTACGAGCCAGCTAGACTGGTTCCCTGACCTTACAATTCCCCAATGTATGTAAACTGCTCTGTTTCTTCTTATATGGAGTCAGGGAACCAGACTACAGGAAAATGATCGTTTTTCTTGGTTTTTCTGGCATTTTCGAACCCAAAACCTCCAAAAAGTCAGTGTAACTATATTTGCTTTATATTTCCAACCCCCCAATTCCATCCATTTCTGAAAATTACAGCAAAAGCAAATGATGTATATTCCCTTTAAATAACATTTTATGAAGCAAATAACTGACTGGATCATTATGAGGATGATGAAAGATCCAAAATGGCAGGCCTTATCTTAAAGTTGCACGCATTTATCGATTCCCCAGATTTCATCAAGAAGTCTTGCCAAACTCAGTATTGATGATCTTCAAATTCACAAAGTTGCTCATTGGCACAATTACCCTAATAAGACCATACGGAAAATCAAGTGAACAATGATAACATTACGATACTTAGCTTAGAAAACAAAAAAGGGGGGGGGGGGGGAAAGGTGGTGTCCGTAAATTTGGCTAAAATTAGGAAGGGTTGCCTAACCTGGGGGAGTTGAACAGGTTTAAAGAAATCCCCAAATTTACCTGTAAAAACATTTTGATGTAGAATTATTATAGGCTTATACAACCATAATCTCTTATTTTGTGGGATTTCTTCGAACTTGTTCAAGGCTTCCACATTAGGCAACCCTTCGCCTAATATATAGCTCGATTCATGGATACCTTCTTTTTCCCCTCCCCCCCCCCCCCTCCCCCTTTTATTTTTTTTGCTTTCTGGGCTAAATATCTAGATGTTATCATAATATTCCAAAATATGGTAATAAATATGTTGCAGAGAGGTTATTTACAATTTATGCAAATTATGCACCCTTCCCAAAAGTATTTCAGGTGTCACCCCTTCTGAACATCTTCTTTGGGCTATAAAATTCTATCTGCCAAGCTTGGTGCTAATTTGACCACTCGGTTACGATTCCGACCATATGCCACCTGACTATTTGTTACAGTTCATTTGAATAGCTTGTGACTAAACTTTTGAAAGAGTGGATTACGTGTGCCGGATTTGTGAAGACTCGTGAGGAATTGTGATGGACTCGACTACAACACTGATTGACAGTTACCCTCCAAGACTTTCAAATCTACCAGATTATTTTTCGAACACTAAATACTGAAATACTCCTACACAGGGAGCCTGCTTTTTAGAGGGTGTGTTTCAGTGTAATGATTTGAGCAAAAAGTGTCATAATTAGAGTCAGTTTCTTTTGTCCTTAAATTAAACTGTATTCTAAGATACCAATTGTATTGTTTTACTTTTTAAATTTCATCTCTGCTCAGAAATATGCAAGCTACTGTTGTAATGAGACTGGGTTTCGACAACTTGTTCGTTGTGAATCATCTCAATCTCCAGTTTACAAAAGGTGAGACACATATCTTTCCTTGTGTTTTTAGGGAGATGTACTATGTTAAAGAACATCACTACCTTCTACATATCCTGCAAGGTATCCATAGGGTGTTATTGTCTGTGCTGTAAACACAACTTAATAATGACCAAGTTTAATAAAGGAAAAATGGTGAACTTGTGATTACATTGTGACGTGCATGTACATGTACCTTGCACTCATTAAAGCGCAATCATGATAGCAAAATTATGGTTAAACATCCGTGAAACTTCACTCTCCTGGTTCGCTTCTGTTGACTACCAACCTTGTTTTAGCCTAGTCCCCAACAGTAGACTACCTTGGTCACCTATGTGTACATTGAATTTTCATCAGAGATGGTCATAAAGGGTAAACTTAGAAAAATTGGCTTCATCTCAGCTTTGGCTTCAGACTCATTTTGAAGCCTTTAATGTCCAAACCAAACAAAACTAATCCTGAACTTTGGACTTGAGCATGTGATATTTCTGAATCTGAAAATGTATGCATGGTACCCATATTGAGCCAGAAACCCCGTAATGAGGCCGTTTCTGAATCACTTGGCTGCAGCCATAAATCCCACACAATGACACAAGTCTAGAACAAGTGGCTAGTCATTAGCTTCCACAGGTGATTGCGTTATTCCAGGCAGAAGCGAAGTGATTTTGTATAAGGCCATATACTTTAAAGCTACAGTCCATCATTTGCAGCTATCCAAAAATTAACTGAAGAAATTTTGTTGAAAAGTATACTTAGTTTAAAGATAGTAATTTGGACTAAACTCACTGTGAAATTATTCTTTCTGGCAAGCTGTCCTTTTGAAAAAAAACAATGAAAGAACACCATTTGCAACCGTGCGTCTAAACTTGGAAATTTGTTAGTAGATGGTTTTAAATTCGGCGAAATGCGCACAAGCGTCGACACGAGACACACGTGTGTGTGTGGTTGCTATAATTCGTCGGTTCAGTGCGAAACATTGTGTAGCTGCAATTTGCCAATTGAGAACATTTACCAGATGCTAAATTCGATTCAAAACATGACTCAGCAACTTTTGATTTGAAATCAAAATCCACAAAAATTGTTTTTCTCAGAATATACAGCATGTTCAGCACCCTTTAGATTTTTTGCACTTTTGCTTCTTCAAACGAACATAATGCACAAATTACAAATGATGTACAATGTACCCTACCTTTAATAGGGTTTGTCATGTTTGCTCTGTAGCCCTCTGTTGGTTAGAAAGAGCCATGCAATAAATGTTTCTGCTTTCTATCTCACGTGCACACAGTTGCCCCAAAAGCAAGTGGGCCATGGAGAAGAGTTTCTGGACATTTGAAGGCGTCATGCTGGCTGTGGGCTTGTCCTCTTTTGTTGTCGTCATGTTCAGGAGGAGGGCCCTAGACTGGGAGGCCCTACAACGGGTCAAGAAACAAATAGCCAACTCCGTTTGAGATGGGCTTCATCACAAGTTGTGGTGGAAGGAGAAGACTTTTGAAGCCTTGTACCTAGGACCTGTTATGTCATGAGCCCTGGTACCAGCTGATATTTGTAGCACTCACATTGGGCTATTTGTTTGCCCAGTTTATAGCAAATTATCTGACGAACTTTGGCAATATCCTCCCACCTCCTCATGCTCAAAGCAGACATTTATGATTATCAGGGGTGAAATGAAATGTTTTCCAGATTTTTACAATCCCTTTTAAAATCTGGGATTTCTGGAATTTTACTATAAAGGTCCCATCAACTTTTATGAAGTACAAAAAAAATGGGCATTATCGGGGTTGTCCTTTGCATATACATGTATACAAACATACTTGTATATTGCTTCCTACCGGTAAGTTCCTTTGGAGATTTCACAGCCCCTAAAACCCTCTGCCCATTATTTCATGAATGTCATTTCCTTCCCCCCTCAATCCCATCCCTAGCCCTGTAGCATTTCCAAAGAGGGCTCTACACTCGTATTCCCCATGAAATACCAGACTCGTAGAAATGCCTTGATGCCCATTAAGTCTTTCAGATTTGAGACAGATGGTATTTCTAAGGAGCAAAGTTGGGTTCACATACACATAGTTACACCTGTTGCGTGGGAATTCTGGATGAACACTGCAGATATTTGCGGGATGGGAAGGCCAACCTTGTCCCCAGGGTTTGATTTAATGTCAACCTCGTTTCTAATAGTAACCCCAGGGTGGGAAACTGTCTTCCTCCCTTTTCCATTTTGCTACAATGTACATGCATTAATATGTACACGTTATGTGATACTGCTGAATAAGACTGTAACATTTTAACTTGGAAAAAAAAAATTATATTCCGAGCTGCCACGAATTACAAAAACAAATGCTTTTTTTAAAGCACTGCCAGGCAGCGTATTTTTTCTTTTTGGCAGCATACATCATATTTTAACCAATCACATCACGCACCCTAAAATGAATATTTATCAGTGTGGATCGAAGACACTTCAGTTCTCGTAGTGTTTTCCCTTCAAGTAAACTTATCCCAACCAATAAAAATATTTGATGACAAATTGAATGAATAAACATTGAACTAGGTGAATAATCATGATCTATTTACGATGTGTGCTGCAAATAAAAACACCCCTGCCAGGCACCAGACTAGTCCTAATTTGCATATTCAAGCAATGTTTTGAATATGTAAATCAACCAATATCAAGGCGAGAGATCAGGTAGTGGTGGGAACGTACTCACTAATGCTCGTCACCATGGGAACGAGGTTGGGGGAGATGCGGAAAGGAATCCAGACTCCACATTTACGTCTAATGAAATTTCATTTTTGGGACAATGTACGAGTGAATTATTTGGGAGAATGTTGATTTTTCTGAGCATGAACATATCAAATTAATTCTGAAGTAAATTTCAGTTATGCCCAATATTTTACTTTTTTCAATCTTGGATCACAGTGCATTTGTGAAATGTTCTTCCCACACTTACAGATCCGATGTGTATAACGTCTAGTGAGTGGGGTGAAAACAGCCAACTGCTGTTTACTCCACATTTGTATTAAAATGGATGAAATTATTGGTAGTTAAGCCTTTTGTAATGGAGGACCAGACCTCAAATGACCAATCTAATTCATGTAAATGTCAAAAACTAAGTACCTTTTGATCTCTGTATATAGTGTACATTAGGCTTTTTGTATACATATACCTACACAATTACGTGTATGATGCAACTATGATGAATCTAGATTCTTGCGACATGTGGATACCTTTAGTTTAGAAATCGAATCTAATAAATGTCAAATTTGATGATTAAAAACTAATAACTTTCCTTTCTTACTTTGTGCATTTGTTTTGCTCATGCTCAACCTCTCCTACAGACAGAACACTCACCAAGACTATAATGAATAAAACAACAAGTTCTTTTTTGAGCAATGTTTTATTGATCAAACATGTTCCCTTGGTGTTTACAGTTTAAATATTTTACCACCTATCTCATGGTAGCTGTGAAGGGCCAAACTTAATTCAACTCTCACACATTGGTATGGCAGCCCTTGTTTCTTGCTAGGATTATCCCCATTTTTGTGAGTCTGTTTAAAGTGATGCCCGTTTGTATTCTAGTCACATTGGGTGTGGCATCTTGATTAGTGGAGGCGGCCTGGCATTCTTAGATTCGTTGAGAAGGTGCACGGAAGCCAGGTGCAACGGGCTCAGTGACCTGCAAGTTCTGTATGGTACCGAAGTCCTGAAACGAGATTGGAATGAAGGGGATAATGAGCAATAGATCATGCAGCACAATTAAGTTTTAACTTCTTAACCCTGCCAAGTATGCAATATGCAGTATTTGGATGGACTGAGGTCTGTACATCCTAGAAATGATGACTTTACTTTCTAGTGGAGCTCCCCAGTTTTATATTTATTTATAATCACAATCGTATTTATTAGACCAATTCACAGCTGAAAGCTGAATTGCATGGTTTTTACATGAACTTAAATAGAAAATTAAACACAAGAAATTCTTGGAATTACAAATAAATAAGAACTTCAAAATTAAAGAAACAAACAAAGATATAACCAGCAATAAGAATTTTTATGGACCCCTTTTGCATGATTTTTAGATAGTTATTCTGATTTGATAAATTAATTTGTTTTTGAAATCTGGTTCAGAAGTTTTGTCAGAGAGGGTATTGCAATAATTGCCATACCTTTTGGTTTGTGATGAGGAATCTGGTAAATGTTTTTGTTAAATACAAAGAATGGTTTAAGATACACAGATAGATGTTTGGAAGATTCAGGATTGTTCCAAACAAAAATAGCAAATGCTTAAGTTAGGGTTCATGACCTAGACTCTTTAACACATCTAAAAAGCTGGACTGCTGCTCATGTAGCTTATTTCTGAATGTTGAAGACTATTTCTGAATGTTGGATAAAGGTCATTATGAGGTGTAATCTCTCTTATGATATGAACATAATCATTTACCACAGCAACGTTACTTTGAAGTGCATAGAACTTATTCCTTGTGAAGTTGAATTGGTTACATGTAGGCCTACTCCAGGGAAATTCCCTCCCCCCCCCCCAAAAAAAAGAGTCGCAAGTTTGATTTCAAAATTGGAATTGATTCTACTTATTTTGGCCTGAAGTCATGTGAGCCGTTTTGAAAGTGACAGATGATGTCCTTTACAACTCACTATTCCGATTTGTTAAGCCATGCCTTATGATGCTTTGACCAATCACAGCCTTGATCAATGTCCGACGTGTGCACAAGAGTCTGACATGCGTGCACACGCATATGATTCAAATGGCTGGAAAATGCAGTGTGGCAATGAAAAGATGCACATGTAGTTTCCCCACGTGCCCAGTGGGTGGAGCTAAACAGATCGGTCTATTGCAAAAGGTTATAAAACCTACCAGGACTTTGAGCATTTCCTTGGTGTCAGGGTCCACCTCGATGATGTCTTGCTCAATGGCTGAGATCTCAGGGACGTAGTTGTCTCTCCTCTCTCTCTCCTCCTCCTGCAACTTGATAGAGATGCCACGGACAGGGCCAGCCTGGATGCGCTTCATCAGATGGGTGACAAAGCTGTCAACAAAATAAAGATAGTGAAGTAACATTTACTACCAGGACTTGACGTATTTTATGTAAAATCCACTCGGCAAAAAAAAGGTTAACATACCAGAAATATATTTACTGGACCAGCGTACAGTTGCAATGTGGTGTATGTATTTTAAACAACGTTCTCTTTCATTGATAAAACAAATCATTCAGACAGGAGAAACACTTAAGCCGTGTTCCCATTGGACTTTTTTCCACAGCCACACGATGACGCGGAAACTTGCTGCAACATTCCTTTGCAAGAGTCTTCCATGTGTTCCCAATCAGATTTTGTTTTAACACTGACGGGTGATGTGTACAATAACCTTATGGATAATTTTTGCGCACTAAAATAGTCGGCTTACTGTCCGAAGCGACACGACGCAATGCTGATAGTGTGGGGTAGGGAAAATGACTTCATATGATTTGTAACGGCAATTTGGGAGACAGTGCAAACCACTTCTTGTTTGTGCTGAAAGAATTAAAATTCTCCGTCTGCCTTCAATGTCATCAAACCCAATAAAATTTCTCAAAAAATTGATCAAATCTGCCATGAACTCGAGGAGCGAACTAAAAACATTTCTGTTTTATCGATCGGGCCATGTTGTAGGCCGCGTTGTATGACCAATGTGTAGTTACGGGCCCTGTTCCTACGGGAGAACAAAAGTCCACATTTGGTTATTTGACTCATCAACTATCAGCAATATTTCAACCAAGAAGGGCTTATCGACGGCAGGGTCTCGATTTTTTTAAGGGGACGAATTGTGTAGAATGATAATAAAGAGCACTGAATGCAACACGAAATAAATATCGCGACACACTGTGAATTAACGAAGCAAAGTGCTGATTTGCATAACCTGAACACTGCTTTAGACAATCCTTACTTTCCAGAGTTTCAAATGGAATGAACAACTAAATACACAAATGCATGTACACCAATAATAAAATGTGTAATAATGTTATGTACCTCTTCAATACCATACTGCATGTTCCAGGCATGTGAGTCATACCCACGGCCACCGTGCACGCATGTCAGACTTTCATGAATCCATGTCGAACATTATACATGGCTGTAATTGGTCAGAACATCATAGGGCAGGGCTTATAATTGATCAGTCTATCACTGAACTCACCCAGCAATCTTATTGCGTAGCTTCTTACTGGGGATGATGGCAATCTCTTCACATACTCGTTTGTTGGTGTGGAAATCCAAGGTCAGCCGGGTGTAGTATTTCTCAATGATCACCCTGGCTGCCTTCTTTACGGTCTTTGTCCTCACGCGCCCCTGTCAAGATATAAACCAAACTGATAAAAACTTGTATACAAATGAAGTAATAGATGTTTTCATCAGCTGACTTAGCTCTCCACCTAGTTTGATTTGCAAACAAAACATATGTCACTGAATTGCGACACATTAAGTTTGGCTAGGGGTAATTTAGAAATCACAGAGACAGCGAGTTAGCGCAATACAATACACTACTCGTTATTGTATTGGTAAGTAATTCATCAAGCACAATGAAAATGTCAACCCAAACTCAAAAAGTCAGCGCGAAATTCTTAAAAGTTACTCGAAACTCGAATTCAACTTGAAAAGTAAAAGCAAACGCTAAACTTGAAATCAACTCGAAATTCAAAAATTCAACTTGAAACTCAAATGCCAACCCAGAACTTAAAAAGTCATTGCAAAATTGTAAAAGTCAACTCGAAACTCAAACTGAATTCGAAACTTGCAAATTTGACCCAAAATCGAAAAGCCTACTCGAATATCAAAAATCAACTCAAAACTAGAAACTTGAAAAAAAAAAGGAACCTTTAGCAATTACACATGCAAACACAAGCTTTGATATGGCTTTGTATACCGGCACACATACATACCGGTACATGTATGATGTAGAGCCTAATACAATCCACATTGTTCTGTGCATTGTACATATACATGTATGTACATGTTCTGCGGTACTGCTGCGGTAAACTACATGTACACAGACTGTGATCATCATCACATCGGTAATCGTGTAGTTCTGTGTTTTCTCATACACAGAACAGTCCATTGGCCCGACGGCTGTTGGATGTCCTACTCAGCACAAATAATCGAGACGCCCTGTAATTCGCTCTACTGATCTCCCAAATCCTAATTTTAACGGCCATAATCCAGGCGCCAGCTCTTCATTTGTGATTTGTGTGTACGTTAAAGAAAGGGGATTCTTTTGGTCAGGGAACCAGACTAGTTTTACTGTACTCAGCCACCCGCTGTGAACTTCCCTTCCGTTGGCAAATTGATTTTTAATAAGAGACAAATTTCTCCAGAATAAAGCACGGGTCAGTCCTAATTTGGGCCAAAAATTAGGATGCATAAGCAAGTAAATCCAAATGCCGAGTAGTACAGGCATGAAACTGGAAATTCACAAAAAAAGAGGAAATTCAAATCTTTCCAAGACTTTGTACAGTGTTTTTCAATTTTAATGGCACACAAAGGAAGTAAAAAAAAGAGGAAATCCTACCCTCCGTTTGTACGGAGGGTACCATAGTTCTACGCTCCACTTAGTAGAGCTAGTTCAAAAGCATAGGCTATACAAAATTTGTTGATGCTTGTCATGCTTGTTGACGACCGTTGAGGCTTGTTGACGCAGTTTAGTAGGACCGCACTGCGCAATGCGTGCTAAGATAAAATAAGCAGATGCACTTCTACAGAAATGGCCGTCATTGAACGAGCCCTATTTTCAGGTCGCGTGTACGATGTTGTCGTCGCGCCGTCGAAAGTGTCAAGTGTCATCATCATTTTACCCCAAAATTTCCCTCCAAAAATCTAAACCCTGCCCTTAGTCCGAGTAACTTGGACCCAACTTATCGCCTTTTTTAACATTTGGACATGGTCTGGCGATAGTAAGGTCCAAGCTAATACCGAGACCTAGACAACACAGTCCCAAAAACCAACATTTTCCAACAAAAAACATCAGATTTCACCTTCAAAACGGCCTCCAAATTACTAGATATGTCACCTGAGGTACAAGTAGACATAGATGATTAAGATGGTTGTACTTAAGTTTACTTACGATCCGGAAAAAAAGGGAAATTTTCCGTTCAATTCTGAAGACCCCCTCTCTCTAGGTTGTCGTTGTTGTGCTCACGTTCAAAACTGCATGATAATGGCGTCTGACCTCGACCTCATGCAAATGTCTGGACGGCGCGCTTGCGCATAATGCACTGCATGCACGGCAGATTCCCCTGCGCCGCGCCGACGACTGTTTCCTGATGTAGAGTGCTGTGTAAGTTCGCGGTACGCCTAGGAGTCGCGCTGGCTAGCCAGGCGCATGGCTGGCGCTCTACATCAGGAAACAGTCGTCGGCGCGGCGCAGGGGAATCTGCCGTGCATGCAGTGCATTATGCGCAAGCGCGCCGTCCAGACATTTGCATGAGGTCGAGGTCAGACGCAATTATCATGCAGTTTGAACGTGAGCACAACAACGACAACCTAGGGCTAGGCAGAGGGGGTCTTCAGAATTGAACGGAAAATTTCCCTTTTTTTCCAGATCGTAAGTAAACTTAAGTACAACCATCTTAATCATCTATGTCTACTTGTACCTCAGGTGACATATCTAGTAATTTGGAGGCCGTTTTGAAGGTGAAATCTGATGTTTTTTGTTGGAAAATGTTGGTTTTTGGGACTGTGTTGTCTAGGTCTCGGTATTAGCTTGGACCTTACTATCGCCAGACCATGTCCAAATGTTAAAAAAAGGCGATAAGTTGGGTCCAAGTTACTCGGACTACCCTGCCCTCAGGCTCTAGTCTACGAGTTCGAGTAGACATACCTGTTTAGTGAGAATGTCGCCAACTAGTTTGGGAGGTCCAATTATTTTAAAGTGGATTTTGTTCCGTAATAGGAACCGGGCCCTACACTACACAATCGCCCAATTATCAACATAACTAATCGTGTCAATATGATATACATGTATTTTGCGTAGGCCTTGGGAATTTTGAGCCTTGGCCTACTTGTGATTCAAGTTTGCAGCGTAATAATCAAAATATTAAACGAATAATTGAACCAGCTGATAAGTAAACTATTTTAGTATAATATCAATGAGTAAAATTGTTCATTTCTAACGATATAAAGGAGATGAGTATGGATTTATTTGAAGGTTTATTTCTTCCTCACCATCTTGATTTTTCAAGCAAATAAAAGAGGCCGAATGCTTGGGTACGGTGTCTAGACGTCGACAATGTTATTCACACACGTACACGCAGCTCAGACGTACAAAAAAAAAAATCCCGACTACTTTCAGATTCACCGTTGAGGGCGGGCTTTTTTAAATTTTGCAGAGCTCCACACACCGTACACCAAAGACCGTACCACCACATGCAACAGCAACCTTTCTGCCATCGCCACCCAGCTGGGTGGAGCGCCGTAGTTTTTTTCTTTTTTGGGGGGGGGGGGGTATTAGCGTGTATTAAAAGCGGTTTTATACATGTACATTTATGTATATGACGCTTTGGACCGAAGACTTAATTTTAACAGTGTGCCACCCGTCATGTTTACTATCACTTTTATAAATACGAAAGGAGCAATAAATAAGGCACTTTTCAGTGCCCAGTAATTTTTGCTACAACATTTCCTTCCTCCATGCTACAACTTACAAGACGTACATGTACATACATGTGTGCTAGCAGGACGCTAGTTCATGAAGTCGACTCTCGTTTTTAATACGAGCACGGTTAAGACGAGATTTTGGTTAAGACGAGCAGATTTCGTTAGTCCCGACCGAAGTGTTAATACATGTACATGAGATGACGGTTAAGACTGCTTTATGGGCCTTATTCACGAGTTGGCCATTTTTGTCGAGTTCCTTGAATCATGAACATGGAATTCATTAATTGTTAAGTGTTGAATGGGATGCCGCCAGACTATTTTTGCAGGCACAATGCGGCCTTATTTTAGGCCAAAAAAAAGTCTCCGGATTCTGGTATTATAATATAAGCTTGCCCAAAAAGTGGTGCGGCGACGCAGCTTTTTTTTTTACCTGATTTTTTTGCTTCACAAATGTCCGTCGGCTGAGGACTGCAAACGGTGCCCGACTAAACTTAGTGCAAATATATGGGAGTCCAGAGAGGCCACATAAAGCTTATTCTCGACCATAACCCAATCTAAAAACACGTTAAAATTGTGCATCAGCAGGATTCCAGTCAAACCAGTGAGTATGGCGGTTTTTGAGACATCATCTTTCATTGAAAAAAAAAAAATCATTTTGCCGACGCGCATGGCTACGGCGACACGCGCGCATACCAGAAACCGGAGACTTTTTTTTTGGCCTTATTGTCAATTTTTTTTTTTTTAATATGGCTTTAAACATTAGGGAATGTTAATTACAAATTTTAAATAAGCGATTATCATTGAAGCAGACTGGAATATATTAGAAACTAAATTGCTTTCATTTCTCTTCGCAAGTTCTAAAATTAAGATTTTACCTCACTTTCAAATTAATATGGCCGACTCGCAAATAAGACCCATTTAGAAATGAATAAAATAATTATATTCCCATAAAAAAGTCATAAACATGGGCAATGTAAGATAGAAGACATGATTTACATCGTTTTATGATCAGAAAGGTACAATGTATCCACCAATACATGTACATAGCTCCATCTTTGCACTCAAGGGAATCAAAATACCAGTTCCAGATATACCTGGTTGAGGCCCCCCCCCCCCATGACAATGAGGCAGGCTCTCTTCCTAAATCAAGATTTAAAAGAGACAAACAATAAACAAACACATCAAACTCTTCTAGTTAAAAATTTTTTTTTATTGTCAAACTCCAAAATCACAACCACGAAATATAAAAATGAAAGATAAAACTACTTGGGTTGTAAACAATGTGCACATGCACTGTACAACTACAAGGGTAATTTTCCTTCAACATCGAGTCCATGTATTCATAAGATGGAATCTGTGTAAGGATGATGTAAATCAGTATAAAGTTTTGCCCTTCACCGACGTATAAACACTGTATACAATGTATACTCAGTGTGTACATGTACCTTTATATGCATTTATTCACAGGTGTTCTTAATTATTGCTTATGTTTTATCCTAAAAGTGATCTTGGTGCAAAATGTAATAAGTTGTAAAGTTACAATAATATTGATGTGCTCTACAAAATATCAAAATTTACAAATATTTAATCTGGAGAGAATAAGTCTGAAGTTATGTGTTAATGGCATAAGTCGAAAAAGAAAGATTACGAACAAGTAGAAAAATAGAACTTAAAAAGATATTACAGTCTCAGTAAAAGACACATGGTGCAAAGTTATAAAAGTGTGGTGTTAAATATATGTATTTCCTTCTCACTACAAAAACAAACACTGTGGGATAATCACAAACATCTAATTTACATGAGAATGGAACACTCAAATATATAATCTACGTACACATCTTTGTTTTGTCTGTTTCTGGTCTGTGGTGGGAAGACATCAAGCTGAATTATAGTACAAATGTACCACATGTAAAAATATCAGTTCACTCTTGGACATGAATTTTCAAGAATGAAAATGGATTAATAAAATGTAAAAATATGCACACACTTTCATTTTCTAGTCCTGAAAATCACACCAACTTTCAAATTCAGCGAATTTGCATTGATGAACATAGAGTTCACCTCAATAGGTTACATAAGATTATCCCACAATGACCAAAAAAAAGTAAATACAAAGGAATGCCAAAAGTATGTCACTTTCATGACTATGTGTGAAGCTAAGTGCAAAACTACATCAGTAGGAAAATTGACAGCTATAATATAAATATCAGTTTTCACTTTATTTTCTACATGTTAGTAATGATGTGATCTATCACTATAAATGAAATCATATTTTATGATTGATTAACCCTAACAGAACTCAACCCATCAACCCCCACGGCATGTATTGTTGGAATCTGTCAGGATGAGTACTGCAGTACCCCAGTAAACTGACAGTCTTTTAAATTGGGTTGGCACACCTCCAGAATCAAAGCCAGGAATGCATGTGAAGTTTCCCACAATTTTCCAGGCCGGGTATGGTTCCTAGTAAATCATGCTTGGGAGTTAGGGTTAATGGGACAAGTAGTGCATTCAAATATCTTCTCTCCATGTATTTTATAAGAATCAAAGGTACATTTCTGTCACTATATTATTAGCCTTTCGTTCATGAATGACAATAATTTCTACAATAAGAATTGTGTGCTTAAACAACATCAAAATTATATTTACACCAAAATTTGTCTTCATGCATATAAACTGAATAACAACAAAAGGTGGAACCAACAAAATTCCACAACTAAAAGAAATCAAACCTGCTTTTCAATAAAAGAAAAATCCATTCAAAATCTATAGAAGTACATGTAGCTGCTGTGAGATCTGCTTTAATTAAAGAGAAATCTTTGTTTTGATTGCAAATATTGCTTTCAACTCAATTTTAGGGGCTAATAACCCATAGTGACTGCTTATTTTCCAAAAGTATAGCATTGTATATTCCCAAGTGATTAAGAAGTGAGTGGAGCAAGTCAATAGGCGGAGTGGGAGGTGGCAAAATGCATGTTTATACTGCCTAGGAGTACATGTACATCTGGTTTTTTTGTTCTGACACTCACATAAAGTTTCCAATATAAACTGGTTAAGGAGCGCAGTTGGAGAAAATATGTTTCTTTCTATCAATGATGAGTAGATGTTAACACTCTCAAACATGTACAGGAAATTTTAAAAAATGAACTCGTTAAATTCAATCTGCATATAGTTCATGCTTCTTGCCACTATGCCTGCCAAGCTAGTATAACCATGTCAGAGTTTGCACGTTAAAAAAAACGGTCCAAAAAAAAACACACTTCAAGACTGGGACTTGACGATTGATCTTAGTTCAGCCATTTTGCCAGGACAGCAGCAAAGAGCGCCACCAAGAGGCTAGCCTTGACCATGTTAGAGCCACTTGGAGAGTCGACGTTGCACAGTTCGCCGGAGCAGCAGCGTTTGCAGGCCCCCCAAGCATCGTTGTGGCAGTTGTCCGAGTCAGAACAAGTCGTGTCCTTGGCCCCCGCACAGCCACGTCGGATGTACCAGTAGTTGGCATTTTCATTTGGGCCGCCAGATTGGAAGGTCTCAGACTAAAAAAGGAACAGTTGGGAGACTTTTACTTCAACATTTTTCATTTTCACTTTTTTTTAATTTTAAGATGTGGCATATAGCGGAAAAGCCATAAAACAAAACTTGCACAGCAAACTGTTCTCAACTGCACTGCGTGTACACTGTATATCAACGTACTAACTTATTTCAACTCTTTCAACATTTTGATATCATTTGTTTGCATTCTTGCTATTTTAATGTTAATTTCTGTGGTACATTACATGTATGTATTTATGTTATGTAGGTTGGTGCATGTTGGTGCACAATTCCTGCTTCCACTTTTTATTCTTGAATTGTTTTTCTTGAGAACTGAAAGGTAATACATAGCAACACCTCAGTTCTGTGCAAATGAATACATGGTTTTATTGGCCGACAGTTTATAGTAAGCCCTGCCCGAACTTTACTGGTTAAGGGTGATTTTGTGCTGTGGTATTAAATTTAGTGGCTTATTATTCACGGTAATAAACAGCTCTTTACACTGTGAACTGCCCTGTAAAGTGTACATGACATTGTAAAACGCAAAGATACAGCAGGTACACAGTATGCATGACTATGAAAGAATCACACTGCATTGGTTCTCTGCAAGGTCACTTTATTCATGGAGGTAGGGCTTTGTTAATACATAAGGCTCCTTTTTAACAATAGATCCTTATTTGCATGATGGAAGCCTGGGTGAAGCAAGGCAAATAGACTCATTGTTGGCATATTTGGGAAGTGATCTGGTACAAGGTACCCTCTGGAGACATGGGTGTTCTGAGGTGTGTGTTCGCTGAGCTGTAAAAACGTCACACAAAAATACCAAGTGTCCAGTGACTAATAAGAATTTAAGCATGACCACTGAAAAACACAGATTCATGCACTCATAATTGTCTTCTGCTCCCACGCTAATAGCAAATTCTTCTTTTCCTGTACAAATAAAGAGATTTTCTGGTTCGAAAAAAAGTGACTCATGACTTTCAATTGTGCCTGAATCTAAGATTATTAATACTTAAATGAGATTAAGGGGAAACATTTGCAATACTACATACAACTGATACAAATGTATATTTTAGATATGTACAAATGACATCAAAGCCAAAAGGCGTGTTTTTTGTGGGCTGGAACTCAACCTTTTGCTGTCCCAAGTCTCCATAAATTAGGGCAAGTAAAAAAACAAAACATGTTTAGTGTCCTGCCTTTTTGAAAAAAAGGAAGGAGGAGGCCCCCTTTTTTTCCCTCCAAAATGGACTTGACCGGGCTATTTTTCAAGATGGTCGCCAGTTTGTTTTTTTAAATTGCCGCCGCATGGACTCAGGAAATGACATACAAATTACAATTACAAACATTCATGCTATACATTCATAACTGTTTTCCTACAATGTAGATCTGTTTCCATAGACCTAACAAGTTGCTCTCCATACATCAACAAATTAAATTTGTTTTCTACTAACAAACTTTCAATTTGTCTATTTTTTTTGTTTTTAATGTTGTTTCTATTTTATTGGATTTAAAAAAAAGTAACTATTTTTATTTTAGGCATCCATAAACCCCTGTTCAATTAAATTTGAATTAAATGTCGCAAGTGTAGAGTAACTTTTTAGTCACAGTTAAGGTGGCACAATTTTTTTGCAAGGAGATCATGAACATAAATACCATGAAATTGAAGGCTGGGCTTGTGGGAGGGTTTCCTTGGAGTTTAAGCTTGACTAATCTGTATTAACAGGTGTCCAGCAGTCCAACTTTGATTGGAGAATGAACCATTTATTGTGGTCGTTCAGACACTGTTTTAAATTCCCTTAAAACACCGGTTGAACTCGATTCAGTGTAACTTACTTGCTAAAACGATGTCTGAACGCCTTTTTTATTTAGACCGAACCGAGTTGAACTAAAAAATAAAACAGCAACTTAAACCCCCTTGGAGGGAGGGTTTAGCGAATAACCAGAACGACATCTCCTAGTACGATGTCTGAACGGTTTTAGCTAAAACGCTTCCCGTTTAAGCCAGCGCAGTGACCCGGAGTTACGTAAGGCCTTCTCCGTGGCACGCTGTTCTACGTGGCGGATGTTCTACGTGACCTTAGAAACTGAGATAAACTACTTCGAGTTTAACTTGCAATACTTAAAATGATGTCTGGATGCTCGGTAGTTTTACTTTTAAGATTGGCCTCACGTGGTGAGCGACCGTTTTAACTTTTACCGTTTTAGCTAACACGGTGTCTGAACATGGCCTATGACTAATAGGTATGTAAAAAGACTCACATAGCAGTAGGAGGCGCAGTCCACTTCTGTAGAGTCTGGTGCATTCACAACATCTCTCCAACAGTCTGAGTCCTTAGGGTTGGCCTGGTCGTAAGAACATTCATAGCATTTCATCTGCGCACTGCACAGGGTGCCTGCAATGTTGAAGTGTAGAAGAAAAAACATGTCGCTACATGTATAGTATCATGCTTGAAATTCTGTTTCATTGGAAGTACTGTACAGTGTTACTGTACATGTCATGAAGGTCTAATGAAAGTCGGGCCATGTCATGAACATTATTTCAACTATTTTGGTAAACATATACATGTAGAACCATGGTAGAACCCTGTGGGTTTTTTTCAAGTTTTTTCATTGATGTAGTTGTAGTACATGTACATTGTATGTTTCCTAAGAATGTGTTAACAGTCTAATGGAAAACAGTCTGATTCCGAGACAAAAAATAGGCCTAATTCTCTGAAAGAATTCTATAGTACTATGAACTTAATCTTTCACGACATTTAAGATTCTTGGAAAGTTTCGATTTTGAGTAATTGAGGCAGTACTATGACCTTCTGCGAGCCAAAATTTATCATGTAAATCAAAGCGAGGACGCACAGTAGAATAACCACAAAGGAATGTTACCAATCACTCGCTGTAACTGTTTACAAATTTATGCAAATATGCCTTTAAACATTGTGTAAAAAAATATTAAAAAAGAGACTTTAGAAAACTGTGGAAGGCCCAAAAACTGAAAGCACAGGGACTTTCCACAAGAATAAAATAGTTGTCGTTTAAACTTTGCATTGCATGCACTTACATTCTGCTTACTTTCTAACAAAATGGAGTTCTTCAAATTTCATTAACATGAATTCAATACAGGGAGTATTTTGTACAGCATCTTGCCTTCAAAAAATCAGTCAAAAAATGTATGGCTAATACATTTTATATTTTCATGATTGTGCACTTAAAAGATGCTGCTAAGGAGAGTTTAACTTTGGTCAACCACAGCATAACTGAGATTAATTTAAACATACCGTATGAATCAAAACGATTTGTAGTCGAGTACTTTCGAAGTGCTTTGTTTATTATCGGAAATTGAGCCGTTTCTTGTGACCAACTCAAGAGAAACATTGACAGTCGACAGCAAAATGAAGTCAGTGTTAGAGAGAAAAAAAAATTAATTTGAGACTTTGGTTACATAAAACCACTTTTTAATTAACCTTTTGAGACAGAAGTACCCTAAAAGTACTGGGCGAGTACTTTCCGAATACTTTGGTCTTACTGTCCAGTGTCTGCATTATGCAGCTTTATCCATACCAAACCATTTTAATCTCTGGTAGCTAAAGCTGATACTCGGAAAGTACTCGACTACAACTCTGGACTTACCGAGGCATGCTAGAAGGGCAAAGGTGAAGAAAACTGAAGTATTCATGGTTGGAACTGGCACAACACTTGTTTGAGGTAAGCTGTAAGTGAAGAAAAAAAAAGGAGTACATGTACTAATTTCATGCCAAGATTCAACTTCATTTCAATATTTGGTTTTGCCCTTCACCAAACATGCCAAAGTATAAAAAAACTGTATACTCAGTGTGTCTCTCCCCCCCCCCCCCCAAGTGACAGTGAAAAAAAAAAATTCATGCATGTCCCAATTTGTTTTCAAGACTTAGTTTGTGGGCCAAAAAACTCAATTTTCACTATTCTGGTCACTTTGTGCTCATTTTTTTCTTTTGATATAAACCATGTAAACCAAGTAGTGGAGTACAATAGTAAATATTTCCTTCAATACCTGGTACTGTGGGAAAAAAAGGTCTATATTTATCGTTTAAATCTGTTATGACATGATCATAAAGGTTGTACATTGTACATTTATTTACCCCACTAGATCTTTAAGTATATATGCACTCTGCCCGGGCTTGTTTATTTTACACTGCGAACAATTGACAGTCAAACAGAGCAACAATAAAATTTCTTTTAAGCAGGTTCAAAGATTCCTCTTAAATCCACAGGTGGGGCACCAAAAAAAGAAGAAGACAATCTAGAGGTAAAATGTAAGATTATATATGGTTCTGGGATGTTGACCCTTCCCTAGGTAGTGAAATTTTGACGCTGTTCGCGACATATTCGTAATTGAATAACTTTAATAAATGAGTGGTACTTCTTTCATTAGTCTGAAACAAGTCATGTCTGTTTAGTTTAGGCCAACAAAAAATCTGCTTCCAATTACATGGCATTTGAAAATAGTGTAGGTACATGTAGGTTAGAGAATTTTTTTTTTTGGGGGGGGGGGAATTTTCTTGTGTGCGATCATATGGAGGTGTATGCCTGTAGTCAAGGGTAAAGGTAGTATTTGATGGTTTTCAAGGTTTTTCCTCATTTTCCCCCAAAAAAATATGGGTAGGGGCTGTCAAAATAGGGTAGGTACCAGAAGGGCAACCGGAAGCAGAACTATTATTTTGTTTGGCCTTAAAGAAACAAAAACAATCAAATCAAGTATGTTTCATATTAAACCTTAATGTTTTTGACATTAGAGTTTTCAAATATTTCATTTTCAAAATTACTGAAAGATTCTCATGCTCCTATCAATATCATGATGCACCCCATGACCCCAGTAATGGTGTGTCATTGTCTAACAGTGGGTCATCCTTTTGTGGAATCTATGGGGCCGTATCATACGTCCGACGCCTCATAGGTCTGACGCCTCATAAGTCCGACGCCTCATAGGTCCGCCGCCTCATAAGTCCGAAATCAAATGAATTAAAATGGACAAAATCATGGGTGATCAAAGTCATCCACTCAATGAGCGCTACACATTCAATGGTTCTGGCATCAGGTTGCGTGTGCCATGCACGAACCGAGCACGCTTCTGTCAGTCATTAGTACCAAACTCCATCCACATGTTCAACCAACTTGTCAAGAGATAACACGACCCTTGGTTATAAACATTTCTCCATACCTTTGTAACTTTTAACTTAAGCCGCAGTCAGTCATAGAATTAGAAATTATTTTGTGTATATTGTTGTAGTTATAGTAAAACTCGGGAACTAGGGCAGATTTTATGGACGGAAACCAGTTCAAGCTAGTTCCCGACTCCCTATTATCGTTCGAAATGCACTTGTGTTTACAAACGTGCTCCAGTCTATCATTATCATAATCGATGCATCGCGCGTGCTCGGTAATGAAATCGCACTCGGAATACGGGGACCATCGAATGAACGCTGGGCATGAAGACCACATCCCGTCGTTCAAACATTAACACGAGTCGGAAATTTAACGTGTTCATGATCTCGAGTAATCCCATAAATGTGACTGAAATACTGGACTACCTCTGTATATCAGTCACAGAGCCACGTACGGCCTGTGAGCGGAGCGTCCCGTTGCTAGGGCAGCCGAAAATTAATTAAAGATCGAAATTATTTTGTCAACAGAAAATCAACCCAGCTATTGTATGACTGCTAAATAGCACAAAATCTTTAAATTTGGTACCTTCAGAGGTCTAGTTATCCAAAAATCATGGTAATTCGTCAAAGAATGCAGACGGTTTTGAGCAAGCATGGCATCGCTGATAGTGATATGTTTCCCGGCCACCATAATAATAGTCGAGAGGCCAAAGGGGTCAGGGAACAAGGGCTTTAATCATCTACTGAGCGTGCGTCAACTTTGGCAAAGCGCACCCCGGCTGTTGCCTGTCATTCCAAAATCTTTGAAGCCCTCTGCAGTGCAGCGCGCCCTCTTGTGTGTGCTCTTCATCCGTGGTCGCGTATTGCATCCGGGCACTTCACAGAGCGCCAAAGATTTTGGAAAGACAGGCAACAGCCGCGGTGCGCTTTGCCAAAGTTGACGCACGCTCAGTAGATGATTAAAGCTCTTGTTTGGTTCCCTGACCCCTTTGGCCTCTTGACTATTATTAGGGTGGCCGGGAAACATATCAGCGACGCCATGCTTGCTCAAAACCGTCTGCATTCTTGCTTTGACGAATTACGATTTTTGGATAACTAGACCCCTGAAGGTACCGAATTTAACGATTTTGTGCTATTTAGCAGTCATACTAGTCTATAGCTGGGTTGATTTTCTGCTGACAAAATAATTTCGATCTTTTATTAATTTTCGGCTCCCCTAGCAACGGGACGCTCCGCTCACAGGCTGTACATGGCTCTGTGACTGATATACGGAGGTAGTCCAGTATTTCAGTCACATTTATGGGACTAGATCGCAGGGGGGAGCTCTCGGAATTGAACGGGAAATTTCACTTTTCATCCGGATCGTAAGTAAACTTCAGTACAACCATCTTAAATATTGATGCCTACTTGTACCTCAGGTGGCGTATCTAGTAATGTGGAGGCCGTTTTAAAGGTGAAATCTAATGTTTTTGTTTGGCAATGTTGGGTTTTTGGGTCAATGACAGAATTGTGTTGCTCGGCATATAAGGATTAGCTTGGACCCTATTATCGCCAGACCATGTCCGAATGTTAAAAAGGCGATAAGTTGGGTCCAAGTTTATACTCGGACTACAGTCCCATAGGGTTTGTGCACAGGGTGACAAGTGATGTCTGATGGCCAGATAGGCTAGTATTAGCCCCACTAGTGTGGCCGTCGGTATGCTGCGCTGAACCCAAGGCCACACACCGTGGTCTGCGCACTACTGAGGACGTTTTCATAATTTTAACAGCGAATTTCTTACATATGGTTGTATTCTACGATGTCCCAACTTTCACTTCTGGGATGCTTGGGTGTAATGATGTTCAATTTTCCAAGATATTCTTGAATCTTTCTGGAGCCCATATGCACTCGTGAAACGTCTGGTGATGGCAGCCATTTTGAATGTGACAAGAGATGACCTCAAGCTGTGACGTCGCGTTTATGCAAATTGCTTGTCGAGCGAGGGCGCGAGTTGCAAATGCGACGGCTGTTTCCTGTACCATGCATTTATCGTCTGGGGGCCACGTGCACTGATCTCTATTCAGGATCTACGGCACAGGAAACAGCCTTCGCATTTGCAACTCGCGCCCTCGCTCGACAAGCAATTTGCATAAACGCGACGTCACAGCTTGAGGTCATCTCTTGTCACATACAAAATGGCTGCCATCACCAGACGTTTCACGAGTGCATATGGGCTCCAGAAAGATTCAAGAATATCTTGGAAAATTGAACATCATTACACCCAAGCATCCCAGAAGTGAAAGTTGGGACATCGTAGAATACAACCATATGTAAGAAATTCGCTGTTGAAATTATGAAAACGTCCTCAGTAGTGCGCAGACCACGGTGTGTGGCCTTGGGTTCAGCGCAGCATACCGACGGCCACACTAGTGGGGCTAGGCTAGTATTAGTAATAGTAGTATAGGAATCTTTCCCAAAATCCTACCCTCTAATGAGCGGAAATCGACTGAGCTGTCGCACTGCTCGGCTAAAAAGTAGGGAAACAAATAATTATAATTATATACCTGCGTGCCTATCATAAAAGTATCGTAGAGGGCGCTAAACAACCATGTACGTATGCGGCATGCGGATGTTGTTTGGGCATGTTGGGAGAAAACAAATTCGCCACCCGGACCCGCAACACCACTAGGCCTAGTCCGAGTAACTTGGACCCAACTTATCGCCTTTTTTAACATTTGGACATGGTCTGGCGATAGTATCGCCAGACCATGTCCAAATGTTAAAAAAGGCTATCGCCAGACCATGTCCAAATACAAGTTGGGTCAAAGTTACTCGGACTACACTAGGCCTAGGTTAGGGCTTATCTATTTGTGTAGCTCCATGTTTTTACTATGGGCCTACTTTAAGTACTTACTTGTTATAATATATTTATCGATAAAAATACAGGACGAAAAACCAACGTCTATATCACAACAATTACGATCACGTTCGAACACCATAAAGTACTTACCCGCAGTGCAACCGAAATGCTGACGCGAAAGTTGACGACAAAACTGCACACGCTGCGGTCGTTTTGTAAACCTACTGCGTACCGTATCGGGATTTAGCCGCGTATTGTGTTTTTAGGTGGCTCGATTTGCACTGGTAATCGACATCCGAGCCGTGTCCATTCAACGTACGTACGGAGGCAACTGGTAACCGCTACCCTATTCATAAACAAATGACTTTACGAATGAGTAGCACATGTGTCATTTATTTGTAAATCCGGGTCGGGTGCATGGAAACTTCCAACCACAAAGTGGGGAAAGCATGTAGATTTTTTTGAAGAAATCCGGGTCAAAAATTGATGTTTTTATAAACAATCGATGTTGTACTTATTTTTTGTTTACTATTCAAAGAAAGCCGAGATAAGCAAGCCTTATTATTTTGCAACTGTACACAGTACATGTCAACATGTGGCAAGTAACCAAAACGATTAAATAAAAGACTTACCTATTGGCCAATGGATCATGCTGCACCCTTTTGGTGTTATTTTATCACGACCCACCCAATATGGGTGCAACCCTGCAATAAAATTCCCATAGTCACTAGTGCTAAAATGCGCATACTTTAAAATTCTTTTAATAAGGCCAAAAAAATATATATATTCGGTCTCTGGTCAGACGCGGCCACGCGGCTTTTTTTTTTTTTTTTTGCTTTTTTTTTTTTTTCTTCAAGCTTGGATTGTACGACAAGGTGAGTACTATTTTGCATTTTTTTGGTGTCCTCATGTACATTGGTGTCCTCCATAATTTGCCTTGGTGCTTTTGATCATATGCCTTGGTGCAATTTCCCATTCCTTGGTGCTCTTTGGTAAAAAAAAATTGAGGAGGTGCGGAAATAGAGGGCGCTGTTGGAGCTACCGCGGAACATTTATGAAAAAAAAAAGATCGACGCGCATGCTTAAAATCGACGCGCGCGCTGACCAGAGACCGACTTATTTTTTTTTTGGCCTAATACTCAGAACTCTTACAGGTATTCAAGCTGCACAGAAAAATGTTGATCAACTTGTCATCGTTCATTTTCTTTTCATTTTTTGGTGGGTTGACCGTTGACTTTTCGAGATACTCTCACCCAAAGAAGACGACCCCTATTTTCCCCAAAGCGGAAAAGTAGCTATCTTGAAAAACGACCCCCCCCCCCAACATGACAAAATAGCACCACTTTCGAACCCAATAACATCCAAAATACTCAGAACTGGAAGCCCAAAGTCCGGGCCAGAGGTTCATTACCATATCTCTTCAATTCCCCAATTTTATGGCTCTCAAAAATCTCTGATATAGATAACTTTTATTCAATAGCTCGGCGGATGGATTTTTGGCCTACTTACAGGCGTGCATCCATGTTATGTCCCCTTTCAGCTAGCTGAACTTTACTGGACATTTCGCTAATACCCCCCCCCCCCCCCCCCCCCCCCCCCGCCCTGCAAACAGGACGCTGGGATACTCTGATAAATTCACGCTCTGATTGCTTGGATTTTGCGTGACTGCAGTGACCTGCGCGTCATCAAAGTCATGACTCTGCAAGGTTTAAAACGGCCGTTAAGACTGATTCATTACTCTTTTATTCCATTTTAGAGATGTTTTTTTCTCGTTGAAAAGCATAATAATGTAGGAAATGCTGTTAAACTTATCTGTGTTGTAAATTTACAATTCCCGTCACTCGCTCAGGCTCCGTTTCGAATCACGAACGCTCGCGGATTGCATTGATGCGACGCTCACAATTTTGTCCACATGGTCCGCAATGAAACAGAAATCTCATCCGGTATGGAATGTGCGCAATTTTATGAGAAGTTTTCGGATGGCATTTGCGCACGTTGTCTAACTGCGGTCTTGAACAGCTGCAGCCAGATGCTTTATACATAGGTCATAGGCCACTTCCTTCACAAGATTCTGTGAAGCTCATCTTAGTATTCGCTCGTACCCCCGCCCTGCAAACAGGACGCTGGGATACTCTGATGAATTCACGCTCTGATTGGTTGGATTTTGCGTGACCAGTGACCTGCGCGTCATCAAGGTCATGACTCTGCAAGGTTTGAAACGGCCGTTAAGACTGATTCATTACTCTTTTATTCCAGTTTAGAGATTTTTTTCTCGTTGAAAAGCATAATAATGTAGGAAATTCTGTAAAACTTATCTGTGTTGTAAATTTACAATTCCCGTCACTTGCTCAAGCTCCGTTTCGAATCACGAACGGTCGTATTGCATCATGCGACGCTCAAAATTGTGTCCACATGGTCCGTAATGAAACAATAATCACATCCGGTATGGAAATGTGCGCATTTCTATGGGAAGTTTTCGGATAGCATTTGCGCACATTGTCTAACTGCAGTCTTGAACAGCTGCGGCAGCCTGATGCTTTAGATACATAGGTCATAGGCCACTTCCTTCACAAGATTCTGTGAAGCTCATCAGAGTATCCCAGCGTCCTGTTTGCAGGGCAGGGGGTACGAGCGAATACTGGACATCCGAAACAAAAAAGGAATCTTCCAGGGGGCGCTGTCTACTTTGAGTTGAGAATTAAAAACTATCGAGTTTTAGGTAAATGTTTTCCCAAGCGTGGGATAGTTATTTTGTCTTTTGGACTCAATAATTTAAATAGTTTGTAAAGTTCATAAATTATATATCTCCGAGTCAAGTGCCAATATAAGAGGGCGAAAATCAATGACAACATTCAATGGCCTGCTTTAAAAATTAAGTCATCGACCTGATGAAAAATGATAGATGTCAATTAAGAAAACGGCCGCAAAGTAATAAAAAATTCAGTATTAATGTCCGCGAATATCTTTGGAAATTAGGATTATTTCCCTCCGAACTTCAAACCTGTAGGCCAACGTACCCGGTACGATAAGTACATTCATCACATCCCCCAAAAATCATCCGTATCCGTCCTCAATTTGGTATAATGTTTTTCAATGTACTGACAGAGTCTGCAACCCTCTTTAAAAAAACAAACTTTATTTCGTGTTGCCTTTGCGCTCTTTTTCGCACTATAATGAAATGTTGTAATTCAATTCCATTACTAAATGCACAAGCAAGTTCCTTTGGTTTCAATAGTGAACAATTTCGAATGTATACTTTTTTTAAGAGGTTGAAACTTATACGGCAATAATAAGAATTAAGCATTAAAAAAAATTGGGTTACAAACGCTCAAGTTTGAACTGCTGATGACTATGACTTCAGGAATGACAGATTGCATGAAATATTGATTTAAATATTGAAGTTTGTCCTTTATGCTAAGTCCTGTTCAAGGGCTTGCGAGAGCAACTCACAGTTTACTCGCCGCGATCACTCAAACCCAGACCTCATGCTTAACAGGGCGGATGCAATGTTATTTTAATGCAATTTGTAATTAAACCTTTGTGTCCCATCATACCCTATTTTTAAGTTTCGTTTTGCTATAATAATTTAAACGGTATTTGTGCCTTTTTGAATTTAATGCTCAAGCAAATTTAAAATGTTCATGCACTAGACTGTGATGTCATTCCTGCCTGGCAGACACCTCAATGTTACAGCTATTTCAGCAAAAAAATGTTGCTAAAATTGTGTACATGTTGCTGTACATATATTTTTCTTTGGTGATTCATTGATTTGTAAGTACATGGCAGTTAGTCAATGAGCAACCCTTTCTTTTCAGTGAGCTCACAAGTTGAACAAAAACTGTAAAGTGTCTACCTGAAATGGCATCACAGCAACAACGCCCTCAGTTCCACTAATGTACCGCCTCTTTACATATTTAGGCCACGCCCACAAAGGGGTAAAAATAACAAGTGTTAGAATGTTAGAATTTTTGTATCATGTCTATGTATATTTCAAAGTATGAAGAACAAAGGAAAATGGATGTTAAAGACAGTTTTTATTTGTTTGCACTCCCCTTTTTAACCGATCAAGCTCCGCCCCAAAATGGGCAAGATCCAAGATAGGTCCACCTCTTAAAATGATTTTCAGCCCATTTCAACTAAACATGCCAATTTTCAAGATTTTACCACCAAACTGAATGGTATTTTCAATATTTGAACCAAACTGCTAATATATACCGCCTCTTTTACACATTAAGGCCACGCCCACAAAATGGGTGGAAAATAACAGGTGCTAAAACGCTAGAATGTCTTATTTTATGTTTAAGTTTATCTCAAAGCATAGAAAAACAAGGAAAATTGATGTTAAATACAGTTTTTATGAGTTTTTATTGTGCAAACGGCCTTTTCAAAAAATCAAGCTCCGCCCCCAAAATGGGCAAAATCCAGGATAGGTTCCGATCTTTAAATGATTTCTAGGCCATTTTGACCCCACATGCCAAATTTCATGCGTTTACCACAAAGTGCACGACTTTTCGCTTTAGCAGCTTCACTAAATAGGCCCACTACTTATGTGTAACACTGCTTCGTTGCGGTAGCAGATCACTGCAGACAGCCCTTGGTCCAATTCTAGGTACGAATTACAGCCTAGCCTGTCCTATCACAATTTTCCTCATGGCGGCATTGTCTAAGGGCGCGTAAGTCTTCATGTCCGTATCCATAAAGAACAGAGGGTCTGAAATGACGTTGGGGTCAAATCCCTCTCTGGCTAGGTCAGTCTTCTTGTGCTTGAATGTCCCCGTGATCTGCATCTCGCTCATGATTCGCAGAAACTTTGGGCATGCGTACAGCGGCAGTGACCTGACCACGTGCTCGTAGAAGGCCTTCGGGTCAAGTTGGTGGGTCCTCTTGAAGACGATTGCCGCCATTCCTGCCCGACCGTCGTGACCTTAATTTTCCAAAAAAATATTATTGAAATGAAACATAAAAAGAAGCATTTTTAGATTTAAAAAACGAAAGAAATGTGCCCTTATCTACTCCAAGGTATGATTTTCCAGAGGGCGCAGGTTCAAATCCCACTCAAGTCATTTTCTTAATTCAAGTTTATAAAGCTATATTAAAAATTAATGCATCGACCTAGGCACATATTAGAAGCGTGCACAAAGCGTGCGTGTAAGGGGGCTTTATGCGATTTGAGGCATGAGGAGATTGCGAATGCATCAACAATTATCTCTAACATGAGAGGCGGTTGAGAAACCAAAGGTGCAGTGTTAAACTCGACGTTTTGGTCAAAAGAACGTCTGACCGTCAACATGCATAGCTGAACGTCCAGTGAACACCTTCTTAGTTCAGCCTGTAGTGTCGCATCATAATTATGATGTATACTATGAGCAACCCCAAAATAAATTCATGGTTGGATTTTGGCTTGACAAAACTAAACAGCCTGCGATACCTTGGACCTTGACACCATACACGTTGGCTTCCTGTATTCCTGGGTATTGGTTTAATATATGCGCCACTTCTGTCGTTGCAACATTTTCGCCTTTCCATCTAAATGAATAACAACAAAAAATAATATAAAATGTATTGTCATACATACCAATATCGTCGGTCACTATAATTATATAGCAATGCACATAATCACTCTTACTAGTCTTAGGTTCTATAAAATGCACTCTTATCCCGTCATTTTCTAATAATTATAGGGTTTCCCGCACATTTTAAAACCTTTGTCATTCAATTCATAACGGTTAACTTCAATTTCGTCTCGAGAAGACTGGAACGCGCAAAAGTTACAATTAATTTAGTCGTTGGTCATTCCAAATGATCAATGGTCAATTAATTTCAATATTTGTCCATTCGATGTCGTCAAATTTCACAATGGAAGTCGTCTCACCTGATGACCATCTAAGGATTGAATTCGTCTTAGCTCACTCGATTTTAAGAAATTTTCGATCAAATTCATCAGACAAATGCGCACGCTGGTAAACCATGCACAGATCAAATAGTTTGGCATGGTGTATTGCAAGACAAGAAATTGAAAGTTAAACAACCAATCCAAAGGACAAGAAGGAGAACTGAATTGACTGTTTCGAAAGAAGTGAAAATATGAATGATTTTGCTTTTCATAAGTATACATAGGCCTACTTATTTTTTGCAGGAAAGGAAAAGTATGCATTTTCATTTGCTTGTGTATACCTCATTTCTTTCAGTTGTTGACGCATAAAATTGTCAAAGAACTAAACGGATACACAAATTAGTATTGAAAACGGATAACAATTTTGCATAATACATGTTTTCCCACACATTTAAAAAAAAAAATTCATTCAAATTAATTAACGGTTTACTTCAATTTCGGCCTGAAAATTCATGATCTTGCATACCCCATGTTCAATTTCGTCTTTGGTCGCTCATTTTTGCTCTTTGTTCAGACAATTTCATACATTATCCATACTTTTTCGTGAAAGACAATTCAATTTCGTCGTCTGCAATTGCCGAACGTACGGTAGACGAATCAATTTCGTCATTTTGCAATCAATTTTATATAAATTATATTATACAATTTGTCTCATGATTGTATGCTATCTTCGGTATTTTTATGTTTTCACATGTTCATTTCTACTTTAAACATAATTAATGTTTGGGGTCAAAGGGGTTAGGATGTGCTGGGGTGGACTGGAGAATTAAGCAACTTATAGTGCTTGCACTTATCCCACTCTACCTGATCCGTTTTGTTTAATAATAATAATAATTATAATAACAATAACGATTACCGGGAATGTGTCATTTGGGAGACTTTCCCATAGACTTGTGCACAAAATTTTTTCAACTTAAATGTGCCCTAATTACCCAATATTCCCTTGTCCTTTTTCCACAAATTCGGTATTTTTATTAATTAGACCACGAGCAACAAATATAACCTAATTGCGACAGCAAAATTTTGCCTCTAAAGGGGGGCTGCGCCATTAGGGAGACAGTTGTGTGTCTCCCTAAAAGCCGGTGTCTCCCTATTATTGAAGAAATTACGATAACGTGTCTCCCTAATGGTACATTTGTAGGAATAATAATAATAACGAATTTGAATGAAAAAAATTAAATGTGTGGGAAACTTATGAATAAGTCAATTTCAAAACAAATAAAATACATACAATCTCCTTGGTTTGGCAATTATTTTGCCCTCGGCGTCTACTACCGAATTCACCTGAATGTGTCTCCAAGTCTGTCCTTAAAATACAGGTAACCGTCTTTGTCGTGGACTATCAGATCTCCGGTGTTGAAAAATAAATCTCCGTTATTCTTGACATTTCGGACGAGTTTCTTCTCATTCGATGATCGGTTGCCAAGGTAGCCGGTGAAGCGCATTGTGGTGTCATTTAAACGGATCAACATTAGACCGGTTTCACCTGGTCGAAAAATAATGGAGCATTCAAAGAAAAAATAGCTCTTGTTTGAGTCGATACCTGAAATATATACTTTGGACAAGATCAAACTAGGTATGCGAGAATTGCAAACTATGATGGCCATTAAAACATTAGTTGTGTAACATTATTAAATGGTTCGTAATAACTCAGAAATGTGGAATTTTGAAGAACCAGATGAGTGGCTGTTATAATGGCATAATTGGGCGAAAGGCTTTAGCCAGAAGAATTCTCGGGATATTTCATACAATTCTCGGAAAACATTGCACCAGAGACTCCTTAATTAATTGATAGAAGACGATCAAAGACTATCAAAAAATCAAAAGGAAATAATTGGATAAATACACATCACCACACTGCTTGGCGTGGTGAAGCCTTTACGTGCAGATGCGAAAAATGAGCCCACATTGTTTCATCCTGATATTTTTTTAATTAAAGCGGTCTTTGGGGGCCGTTAATTATGTTTGGCACTTAACCCACCCCTCTCCGGGGGAGAAGTTGACCCCACTTTTATGCCACTGTCGGGTTAGCGATGAAGGGCGGTATCAGTAAACTAATCAAATGGGAATAAATGGAATGCTATAAAGTTACTCAAATTGCATGAGAATGCAGGAGAAAATATCGTAGATTTCAATTTTTTCCGGGGCCACGTCCCCGGACCCCCCATAGCAAGGCGTGCTTTCAGCAGACATTCACTCATCCCCCCCCCCTTCATATCAACCCCATCCCCACCCCCTTTCTGAAAGCTAGGATATAGCTAGATCCGCCCCTGGGTTTACCTGGAGGCATGGGGACGCATTTGCCGTCCGGCCCCCGAAATGGTTGAGCCGTTTCCAAATCGCACTGGACGATAACAATGAAGTCGGTCAACGCCTACATAAAGACACATTTGAAAGTCACTTAACATTGAAGTTTTAATAACATAACCATTCACATCGTTCTGGCACTCATCATCATGCAGTAACACGAGTTCAAAGTGAACGTGTGCGAAGATGCTCCAAATGGCGCAAGCAAAATGTTAGCATGTTGCTGCAGCCTTCACGTCAGCCAGTGAAATGCCCTCAATCGTGATAATTATATGTACTGAGGCCGTGTCCGAATTACTTGGCCCATCGGTAGTAAATACCATAACTGAACCTTGTTAAATTGAAAAAACCTTACCCTGAATATACCATGGTATCGCCCAGTGCTCCCGAGCCTGCCGTCCATATTGACGATAAAGTATGGCCCTTCGGTTGCTCCGTAGAATTCAGCGATATGTCCGATGTTGAATCGCCTCTGGAACGCTTCCCAAATATCAGGCCGCAGACCGTTGCCTATGGCATAGCGGAGTTTGTGCTTGTACTTACCGTCATCTGGGCGCTAGTCGTGATTGGGTAGGAGAAAAGTCATTCAATGTTAATGTCAAAAAGTATAACGCGGCCACAGATTCGGTCTTGATTGGCAAAGAGCGCGTCACAACACTCACGTGGTACTCGCTGTCCCGTGCCACCAAAAAAAGACAATACCACGGCAGCCTCGCTTTGAAATCGGTCAATTAATTTCCAAATATTGCATGATAGAGAATTAACGGTTCATTAGGCCAAAAAAAAAAGTCTCCAGTTTCTGGTATGCGCGCGCGTCGCCGTAGCCATGCGCGTCGGCAAAATGAAAAAGTTTTTTTTTCAATGAAAGATGACGTCTCAAAACCACCAAACTCACTGGTTTGACTGGAATCCTGCTGCTGCACAATTTAAACGTGTTTTTAGACTTGGGTTATGGTCGAGAATAAGCTTTATGTGGCCTCTCTGGACTCCCACATATTTGCACTACGTTTAGTCATTTGCAGTCATTAGCCGACATTTGAAGCAAAAAAAAAAAAAAAAAAAGCCGCGTCGCCGCACCACTTTTTGGGCAAGCTCCATACCAGAAACCGGAGACTTTTTTTTTGGCCTTAGGCTAAATCGAAAAGGTTCATGTCCGCAGCCTATGGCTGCAACCTACGTTCGCATAATGTTTCCATTGTGTGATCCCTTGATAAACACAGCCATACGACTTTAAATTGCTGATGATCAAACTTAGCGGTCGTTGCATGCATAATCATACACAAATTGGTATCTTCGGTCGCACTACGAACGGTGACGTACCATGTGTGCGTTCGTTTAGCTCACCCGGGTCAACACGGGTCAGCCCTGTACGTTCGATTAGCCGCTCTGACGTCATTCTCGGGGCTCCAGTCAGCCACCACAGCTGCTCGTGGAGCAGACGTTACCAACACATTGTCGTAAAAGTTTGTATAGACATTTCAATACAAAACCCCTTCACCGGGGGTTTGTGCAGAAAATATCAGACGGTTATTTTTATTCATATTTTATCATTTTATTATTTTTATTATTATACTCCCCCGATCACGCTCAATTAAATTCGGCAGCGACCGCAAGCTTATTTTAAAGAATAAGTTCAGACAGGATCAAGGTACCAATTTTTACGACACCGTGCTAGTAATGGAGTCACTATAGTGGAAGTACGTCAAGCATGCGTTGTTCATTCCCCAGAGAAGGACACAGTCCAACCTCGTCCCAAGTGCTTACTTTATTTCCAACCTCGTTTCCAATAGTTACCCCTGGATAGGAAACTTTCTTCCAGTATCCTGATTCGATACCGCAATTGGCTAGAAATGGATTTATATCGTATACTTGGTGTTGTTATTCACAACGTGCAGTACGTGTTTTCGCGATGATCCCACTGATTTCACGATTCCACCGATTTTCAAACTATAGACAGTCTTTTTTTTTACCAAAAATTGTGGGTACTTTTTATGCAAATGACTCGCGTAGAAATTGTCTGAACCCTAGTCAATCGCGAATTTATTGCGCCTGCTGTCTGTCTCATATTTGCGCCATTCGGATATATCGTCTGTCTAGCCCCCCCCCCCCCACCACCCCACCACCACACCGGAAAAATAATAGTAATTAAATACTGTTCAAAAATGTGCTCGTTTATACAGAAAGTTTATGAATCATAATATCCAAACTGATTTGATATTTCCAAAGTGTCGTTCCCATTTGGAAAAGTCTTTTTTGAAAGCCCACTTCAAGCGAGATGACCACCGTATCATTATCCGTATCAAAAGTTGGTTCGGTTAACTTACTCTTTATGATGAGGCTTGCGGTTTTGCCGAAGTCAATTGAGAATGATCGGCCGACTGATAAGGTTTGTGCACAAAACCCCACGGTGCATGGGGTTTTGTGTAGAATGGTTGCTGGCCACTTGTTACGAGAGTGTGCTAGTAGTGTAGAGTTCATTGCGACTTTTGAGACTTTAAGTTCAGCCCAATTTGTTTGAGTTTTGCTATTCAAAAAAAGAAGGAAATCTCAACTAAGACCCAATCCAAAAAGGGCGTTTTGTCAGTGGCTATATACGGCCACGGCTACAGGCGTCACGTGAGGATCGGGATGGCCCTCGGTTGAGCGTTCGATTAGCCCGGCTGTCGTGGCTGACCCGTCTGCCTTTGCCTTTACCCGTGTCGACCCGGGTGAGCTAAACGAACGCACCCAAATATGTGCACAACCCCATAGACAATCTGTCACCATAAGGCACTATCATAATAATTATTTGACTCGTCACTTTGTGGTACTTAGCGATTTCCTGGATGGAGAACTCCTTATATTCATTGGAACTTTGATGGTTTGGTGATGGTTTCAATGTCAGCATTACAAGGTTTTTACTATCCTCCAAATGGGGGTTAAACAAGGGGCAAAGGCCTAGCGGGACCCCCGCGGTTCCAAACTTAGTACAGTGTATAACCACGAAACCAGATAGAGACCAAAAGTCATTACGAATTGTCAAGAGATTCCCTAAAAGATCTACATTCCCACGCTTTTGGTCCTTTTATAGGTTTTCCCGGTTATTTAAAAACATTTTTCATTCAAATTCACCAACTCTTAATTACATTCAATGTCGTCGGAGAAAAATCAAGTTAGTCATTTACCATGCATTCAATTTCAAAGTTTGGTCACCCTCTTTAGTCATCGTGTCGAGAATATTCGTCAGTACAGATCAAATGTGTCCGTAAATAAGTCAGCTGTGTTCTAGATAATTTTCCTTGTTTTCCCAAGCACAATTTGGCACGAGTTTTTCCTTTCTGGGCCATTGATATCAAATGCCTCATCAAACTTGTGTCCAGTTAAAGTGATGTATATTTCATTCGCTTAATCATTCGAGCTTGATAACTTTTTGCTCTTTGACTCATTGAACTTTGTTATTTTCAGACTTTTTTCAATAAGTGCAAATGATATCTTTAATATAACCTGTACGTCACGGCCATTTTGAAGTTTAAAATGGCTGTTACAGTTTGAGTGTACTGTCAAGGAGGTCAGCATTGTATTCAGGATATGATATAAAACATCAACACATAAATGTCTCAAAAAGTCGATTATTTTGTCAATATATATGTGCACAATATGTATAGGATAGATGTTTAAAATGGCTGCCATTTGGACATTCAAAATGGCAACCCTGGGGGCGTTGGAAAAATGGGACCAAGCGATTTTTTTTGACTTGTTGAGGTGTCCATAATTATGTAATGTTGAAAGTTTCAAAGAATGTATACATGTACATGAAATGCATAATGCATGCTCCCGCATGCCCACTTTTGAAATATGCCCCCTTTTTATGAAAAAAAGTGTGACACAACCCCAAAAGGGAACAATTTTTTTATGATTTGACAGGCAGGCATTCTGTCCAGCCGGTTTTCTTTGCCGAATGGAATCAAAACCAAAAACACCAAAAAAAGTCCCTTAAAGCTCGATTTTCTGTTAATGACATTTACCCCCTGCTTTTATAAAATATGGCCCCACCCCCAAAGAGGCAAAATTCTGGAATTTTTTTCTCGTGATGTAGCTCTTGGGTGAGCGGTCCAAATGCTAAAAAGAAAAGTGAAATTATCTGAATCATTTTTTGCCCACGAAGCCCCCCACTTTTTAAAGTCATGGCCCCGCCCATAAAAGGGTCAGACAAAAATGGCATCAAGTGGTTTTAAACTTCTTGAGGTATCTGTTAGTGATACTGAGAGTTTCAAAGAATGTACCCGAAATTGCGTATGGTGGGTCATTATTTTTCGACCGTAAGCCCACTGACTAAAAATTATGTTTATTGTGTGGCATTAGACGAACTGGATTTTTCAAAAACGTACACGATTCGGGGTAGACGAGGCGAAATCGAATACTCCTAGTCGAAAAGGTGTGCTCATTGTTTGCATTTGTTTAGACTAAATTTGAAATTGTTTGACAATAGACGAAATTAAACATTGGAAGAGCACTAAATCGATGTTGCCGGACGAATTTGAATATAAAAATCGGTGAATTCGATTTAAAAAAAAAAACGATTAAAAAAAAATAAAAAATAGCCGGGAAAACCTATATTACCGGTGGCTGGGAAATAAGGTAGCGGCAGATTTCTCCGATGTACTGGATAACGGTGGCGCGATATCTGCGGACATCATCCCAGAATCTATGAACTGAAAAGTTGTCAAGAGCGATGGTGCATCCTGGCACAAAGAGGATACAAACGTTACCAGATATTCAAAACAGGAGTATAGAAAATGGTATGTCATGACGATGATTAAAAAGCTAATATTGCAACATAAAACGTTAACGTCTAATAGCCTAGCTGTTACTATAACTATACAGGTATATGAAACAGTTAGTCATTAAAGGCCGATTCTGAATAGGCATTAGCTGCAACAATGTACATCATCAAATGCATTCTGAAAATGACGCACATTATAAATGTGTTTCATTGTCAATCTCAAAACGTCAGAAAAGGGTAGTGGAAATGTTAATATACAAATGAAGAAAATACTTTTTTCAAAATGGATTTCAATTAACCATCCTCGTTACTTACCAACTCGTATGACGTTCGTAAACCCAACAGAGTAGGCGGCGCTATGGTAGAGGGGAAGTGACGTGTACATGACGTCGTTTTTCGTCAGTCCTAACGAAGCGTGAATGAAGGAACTCCTGACCTGACGGTAATGCGGTATCTTGGCTGGTTTAGGAAGACCTAAAATATGATAAGGCCAAAAAAAAAAATAAGTCGGTCTCTGGTCAGCGCGTGCGTCGATTTTAATCATGCGCGTCGATCATTTTTTTCCCAAAATGTTCCGCGGTAGCTCCAACAGCGCCCTCTATTTCCGCACCTCCTCAATTTATTTTACCAAAGAGCACCAAGGAATGGGAAATTGCACCAAGGCAAATGATCGAAAGCACCAAGGCAAATTATGGAGGACACCAATGTAAATGAGGACGCCAAAAAAGCAAAATAGTATCCCACCTTGTCTGTACAATCCAAGCTTGAAGAAAAAAAAAAAAGCAAAAAAAAAACACCAAAAAAACGCCGCGTGGCCGCGTCAATTCCGGAACTTTGGTCTGACCAGAGACCGAATATATATCTTTTTGGCCTAATGGGGGAGTTTCAGTTTGACCAATAGTTAGGCTTCGTGACTAATCATCAGAGTCGGGGGTTCGAATCTACTGGCCAATTCATTGCAGCAATGTCATCATAAATATAATAAGATCAAGATTAAAAGGTGGTGCGTTACACCAATTTCTTGACAATTCTGAGTTCCTTGACTTTTCAAGCTTGCCAGATTTTGATGATGAATCAGAGGCACAGGTTTGGGCTACCTCTATTTGTCATCTACAGTCAAAATCAGTGAAAACTGAGGGTTTGCGGAGACCAAGTTGCCGGCGAGGGGCTGCCAGCGTGACAACGTCCATTCATAACTTTGGGAAGAGGGGGTGGGCTGGAGAGAGGCTGGACATAGAGTTCTCCCTTAAAATTGACCTAGATTTTACCCACCAGTCGTTCCTGAGGTGAATATATACAGCGCGTCATCCTCGTCGCTCATACTATCCCGTTCACTCCGTGGTATGGGATCACCTCGCTCATTCCACGTATTCACACGGACCATTCCATTAGGAATCGTCTGTTGGTGGCTTTTCCCTATGATCCATACTCTGACACCCAGGGCCTGAAGTTCAGGCATGATGGCCTCCATGGAATTCAACAAACGTTTATCTGTAAGGAGGAAATGCGTTTGGGAAAAATTATGGTGATGCACCTGACTCTGGGTACCTACACCTATAGACAAACTCTCACGAAGCTGCAACTACGGAAGCTTGAATTGCCTTCCTCGATACCGTGTTAAATATACCGTGATAATTTATCACAGAAACGCGGAATTCAAAGATAAACATGGAATTCCATAGTTACCTATCTCGAAATTAAACGCGGAGTTTTTTTGGCAAATGCTCTCAGAAACATACGGAAGCCCGTTCGTGCCAGGTTTTGAAAGAGAGAGAAAAAACATTGTATGTGTGAAATAACGCAATAGTTTTCCGAAATTAAATGTAGCTGTTTTTGCGATTAACATGAAGGAACGCAATATTTCTCAATGATTGAACCTATATTGGTCTATTCCGGTAAATTTTCACGGCGTATATTGTGATAAAGTTTTGTGTGGTGCATTAAAGCCTACCCGAGCATGTCTTGTGGTTGCGAAAGCCTGAGGGTGACCGTTGTAAAACAAAGTTAATCCGATCAAGTACATTGACGCTACCACCAGAGCAGTGAAATTCATGCAACCCCCAAACATGGCTTTTTGAATGTTATGTTTTTCAGAAAACATGCTCAATGATTAAAATGATTAAAATGTTTAATTATAACAAAAGAAGAAATTCTAAATTTCTTGTCAGTGAAAAAAACGTCGTTATTGATGCCAAAACGTCATTACTGGTCACTGATGAAGCTGATCTAAAAGTCGTGAAAAAAATCGTTCGAAATGGGCCCCCAATCTATCTATATCATTTTCTAGGAATCCTCACAAGTTGTTATATCATCTAAGTATATTCCAAATTACAACTTCATCTGTTGTTGCGAACGCATATGTAACTTGAATACCTTGAACTATCTCCAAGAAAAATTTCCACGAGGATTCTTGCCGACCAAACTCACGTCCATGGTTTTCAGGTTGGCCAATTTGAGGGCAACAATTACGAAGTGCATATTATCAGCATATTCTTTAGCGTGCCTCTGCGTGATCTCGCACGGGTCTCGGTATCGACCAATGGAAGCCGGCAAAAGGGGTGATATTTATTAATTAATAACTCGTGAAGGTGGCGATTCTGCAAACTTTTACTGCACACCGTCCATAACGATAGGAACCTTTTTAATATTCGCGAGGTTTGAAAAGATTGACAGATATTGCAAACACCAGTGTTACAGCTTTGAAAACTGGACGTAGCCAAGCCTCCCCCCCCCCAATTTCATATAATTCAACGATCAACACTGAACATATCAATGTACATGTGCGTGTTGTTTCATTCAAAAATAAAGTATTACGTAACTTTTAGAAATCGGCCTTACACGGCTGCGAGTGAATGACGGTCCCGGATTTTTAAAGGGTTAGGCGGAGGGTGTTGAAGTCAACACATAGAAAGTTAAGAAGCAATGAATAGATGGTTATGACAAACGTTATTTCAGGAATCTCAGGGAACATTTGTATTTTCTCGGAAATGTATTAGGATTATTTCCATCATCCTAATATCTGAACACAATGTCTGTGGTCAGACGGAGGATGGTGGTTAACCACCCCAACCATTGCTTATTGCCCCCATGACAGCCATGTCTTTAAAAAATAATATGTCTTTAACAAAAAAAAGTTCCGTTTCGCAAATATGCTTTAAAAACTGTTTTTTTTTTAATCTAATTTATATAAATATAGGGTTTCAAGAATGATACTTGAGGCAAGACATCATTTTATTTCCAAATGAAACTGAATGGACCGGTTATAAATGCTCTTAATAATCATGCAACATTTAGACCTAGTTACGGGGGAATCAAGTTCGCTTCTGTCAGCACGCGTTCGTACTGCGGCGTGTTTTTTTGTGTACCAAGGGTACCCATGATTCAATACTGGAGGATATGAAAAGATATTAAATCACTTAAAATCCGTTAGTCCTCCGACAAAAATGCTGCAGAATGTTCCTTTAAATATCAACCGTTTCCTAAGATCAGATCCTTAAAAATTGACAAGATCAATCAAACTTGTTTTCAGCAAACGGTTAACCCCCTCCCGCCTTCAGTCAAATCATGTCAAAATAATAACCCTAGCGCAATGGACAAAAACTAATCGGACGGAGAGGCATGCACTTTTCTATTATACTTTTCTACAATACTATTCCGCAATACTATTGCGTTATTTCGTAAAACTATTGCATTATTTCGCAATAGTTACGGTTGGCACGTGAAAAACATGATTGTTTGGTTTTGCCTTTTTGGCAGATTTGTTTCTTTGAGACTGTTATATTATAACATTTCCTCTACTAAAGAAAATCTTAATCGCTATTATGAAAAACATGACGTTTATGATGAGAAATGTGGCCAAATTGCTTCCCCAAGGTTTACCATGCACTTTTGGGGTCAACATGCAAATACATCAGTAAAATTCAGGTCAAATTAATACATCAGTATATAACCCTTTAACCGCCGATCGTACACATTCGAGCGATATGAATATGCACTTCCTAGCCTGAACCCTTTCTCAAAAATACGTAAATGTTCCCTTTTTTTCAAAAATACGCAATTATGCAACGTGATGAGGATAAGATGAGTGTTTGTTGATAAATCTGCCAAGTTGTTGCTTCAAATTCGGGAGATAATGAATAATTCGGATATTTAGTGGGATTTATCGGACGAAGACGAGAAAGGAATGTCTGTCTGCTGATGATTGTATGAAGTCTCTTCCTAGCTGATTTGCCCAGATGTTTGTTGTTTATTTAGGGGCAATTCAGAATTTTCAATGTTTTACAATTTTGATCTTTTTTCCAAATTGTGGGTGGGTGGGTCAAGCTAAATAATTGAAAATCGAAATTCACTTGCCATGGAAAAAAGATTAAAAAAACAACGAAAGATAGATCTTTTGACTTGCCTGAACTACGCGCAAACGTTCCGATATCGCGATGCGTGTTTCTTTTCCAACTTCGTCCCCTGTATATACTGTCAGTGGCGTAGCCAGGAATTTTTCAGTGGGTGGGGGGAGGGGGGGGGGGGCTGGAACATTTCATGGGGGGGAGGGCGTCATGTAGATCAATGATAATTTTTTTAGAAACTCAAAATCTCAGTGGGGGAGGCGACTGGGGGGGGGGGCGATAAAGTTTCATGGGGGGGGGCTGTCGCCCCCCACGGCCCCCCCCCCCCCCCCCCCCGTGGCTACGCCACTGCAGGTCATACAGTTAAAGTTTATGTAAACTTGTATGACAAGTCAAAGAAAAGTAACTCCCATGATCTATTTGACACCAAGTTTGTGTTAACTTGCCGGTAACGCCCTAAAAAATTATCCAGACAAATATGTTTATTTTGTAACATTTTATGTTCGTCTGTCGGTCTTCTATGCTGTTATGTTTACTTTTAGGTACCTTCAATGGTACTATGTTTAATTAACCTGTTCATTTGTTTAATTAAACTAATAACGCACATATAGTTGCCAAATATGGCACTAACAAGTTTGAGGTCGGCAATTTCGTCTTTAAAAATCTGGGTACGTCGGGTTACCGTAAACACAATTGTCCTGGAAACAACAGAACCAAAGTACAGAAAGTCGTACGCAAGAGCTCCCCAGCAAGTATCGCTGACGCCATTATGATTCCAAAATTTCTCACTGTGTCACACAGTGAAATATCTAAACAGCGTCGTTGTATTGTTAACACATAAAAGCATTCAAGTCGCGTTCTTGCACACTTTTTGCAAGTCGACATAGATATCCTTGAACCACTGCCCCTGCTTTGCATAACAAGTGCACATGAATGAACGATTCGACTTTTATTCAAAGAAATTTCTATGTACAGTCACCAGACTCTATTCATTAAAGTCCCCGTCAAAACGAAAGTAAACAATCCACGTGCGTAACGCACGGCCTCACCATTGTACAGTGTGGCAGGGACACCAACAAGTAACACAACAACTAAACGTTTTTAAAAAAATTGATAAAAATTCTGATTGAATTTCGTTAAAAGATACTTGTTGGTGAGGTATCACATATTTTATCACATAAAAGAGGAAGACCGACAACTTCACGCCGTCACTGAACTAGACACACATGTACATACATGGTGTTCAAGTACATGTACATGCAAGTGCATGTACATGTACACGTTCAGTTTTTTATCAATCGAAATTAGGGGTGGGTGGGTGGGTCAAAATAATTTGGAAAAAAAGTCGATATTTTAAGACATTGAAAATTCTGAATGGCCCCTTACCTCTTTATTTATTTTTTTTTGTTCCACTGACAACTTGCAAACAATACAAATTTACGAATCCACCCAGTTAGCGGGTGCCGCACGAAGCATGGCATCCCCCTATAATTATTGTGTTATAAATAATTATTGTGTTATACCCTAAGCATTCACGATGCGTAAAAGTTCTCACGCCTGTCCGAGTGTGATGCTGCATCACACTTTTTGCACGACGGCTATTGCAATGTGTAATTAGTGTTCTCTTTGGAAGAAATTGGCGACGTTCCATGCAGCAGACATTATAAGTTTAAACAAGTTAACAAAGTGGACCGAGACATATATGTATCTGCATATGCATTGGTATAAATCCCATGAGGAAATTTGATATATTAATTGTATATCCCTATAATTATATTCAAATTTCAACTTTTAGCCAGTGAGAAAGAAAAGAGGATCGGCTTTCCCATTTTGTTTGCTGGAAATAAATGAATTGCCACCCAAACAACTTTGCCTGCATCATTGGGGAGATCAAGCCAATTGAAAGTTAATGAGATCGACATACCTACACCACATGCAATTGCTTTCACCTTACAAGCCTTGATGCAATGAAGGAGCGAATCGCCCTTGAGATTGTAGTTCAAAAAAGCCATCCTCAGCCCCAGCTTGTTGAAAGCCAGCCAGGACAGGACGAAACTGGGCTCGTTGAACATGAATATAGCCACGGTGTCCAAGCATCTCACGAGACCTGTGGACTTGACGAATCGGGCGAGCTTGTTGGCCTCCCCTTCCAGCGCCCCGTATGTGTGGACCTCGTCCCTGTGGAGCAGGAACGCCTTCTCAGGTGTCTGCTTCGCGTGTTCCTCGAAGAAATCAACCAGTTTGGTGTTCTTTTGTCGCAGGGTTTGCAACGCTCTCTGTAGGATCCATCGCTGGTGCATGTAGGCCAGATCTTGGAATACGGTTGGACCGTACTTTAGGCGCAGGAATGCCGCGGTCGCGACCGGGAGCCCTGCCAGGGTTGAAGCCGCTGCTATCCCGGCCACTTTGCTGTCCACGGGAAGAGGCATGAGTTCGCGAGCTTCTATGCCCGGACAAAACTAGAAGCAACAGGACTAGGCTTGCCGAATCGAGCTCGACCTGAACGTCTTTACGTGGCAGTTTAGAATAATCAGTGACTCAGTCAGACAGTTAGTGACTTCGAGTCAGTCACTCAGTCAGAAAGCAATAGGTTGGTGCAATTCCCTCAAGTGTAAATTTCTCCCCCAAAACTCGAGGGCATTTATTTTGCTTGTCTGTCTGGATCAAAGAGGGTGAGTCGTTGTGGTATACATGTACGTAGTTGCTGTTTTATTTAATACTCGTAATCCACGTTAACACGGTGATGTATAGTGATCACATGACACCATAATTAGGTGGAGAATCCGGCCTTGTTGTTCGCGGATATGTTATATTTAACGAGCTTGAGCTTGATAACCAAGATAGCTGATGATAGTGGTTGCTTCCTTCTACAATTGTAATATAACAGGGATGTGGAAGTTTAGCATGCAGTCTGTATACAGTGTGTATCAAATCTCTATCGGCTTTTACTGGGGAGGAGTTGAGTGGACAAACAAATCAGAAATTTACTGGATGCGCTGTTATGGTAAACGCTATTATTCAAACCGAGATTTTTTTATATTAACTTACCATTATCTTGAATCAACACTAACCATGATAAACACCGATCAAAGTTCAAAACACCGAGGCAAACACGAAACACAACAATGGTTATGTTTAATGGCATTTTTTTTTTTGTCATTCTGGAACCATTTTGTTTTTTGTATTCAACTATGTTTGTTTTTGTGTTCATGTATTACGATTCATAAATTTCTTCATGTTCTACGAATAATTTAATGAGGAACATTGCATTTGTTTGCTCACAATATATCACGTTTTTATATTTCGTTTCAGGTCAAGCAGATGTCTACAACTGCGTACATTAATAATTGAATAGACAGTAAATGGCATTACAATCCCTTTTACAATTACAAAGTTCTCAAAGTTATAAAGTCTTCTATTGTACAGGGTGGTGCAAAAAGAAGAAAATCCACCTTTGAAAGCAATTTTCACCTACTTGTTCAGCATATCTCAAACTTTCAATTTAATAGTTTTAAAATATTGATCTTCAAACATAGGTAACGAAAAAATGATTGCAAATGCAATTTGTTTTGTCTCTGAGATATGGTAGTTTAGAAGTTTCATGTGCCAAACCTGTTTGTCCACCGACGGCTTTTTTCCATATAATTATTTCCGCTTGACTGAGCTCCGGAGTTTGATTTGAAGACAAAAATCACTATACTAGACCAACTCACATGCACAACAGTGATTTTGGTGAATAGTATTCAAATTAGCATAATAACACTATTCTTGTGATTTTTTTCGCCATGTATGGTTGAAGAGCTATACTACACTACAGGGTGAGTAAAAAAAACACGGAACCCAAATGTTGGGACCATTGTTCTGGGGAAGTTCTGCATGTTGCATTTTCAAAATCTAGGATATCATTTAAATCACTTATGTACTTTTTAAGTTATGAAATTTAAAACAACCGCCGTTTTTAAGGTTCCGTCCATGGATCACAAAAAAGTGTGCGTCCTTTCAGCAAAACGAAAACAATTTACACACATCCTTATGTGATGTGATTTGTTTTCGTTTTGCTGAGAGAACACAACTTTTTTGAGCTCATCAGTCATATTTTTTTCATCAAGCTAAGTCAGGCATTCTTTGAAGCACATTTTCTGCATTTTTTGTTTGTTTAATATTTATGTCTAAAGCCTTGCTTTACCAATGATAATTTTTCTCATGACGTCATTGTCTAAGGGCGCGTAAGTCTTCTTGTCCGTGTCCATAAAGAACAGAGGGTCTGAGATGACGTTGGGGTCAAATCCCTCTCTGGCTAGGTCAGTCTTCTTGTGCTTGAATGTACCCGTGATCTGCATCTCGCTCATGATTCGCAGAAACTTTGGGCATGCGTACAGCGGCAGTGACCTGACCACGTGATCGTAGAAGGCATTTGGGTCAAAAGGGCGCTGCGATGTCTTGAAGACAATTGACGCCATACCTGCTTTGCCATCTTGACCTATAAAAAGGACGAAAATGCGCCCTAAATAATCTTCGAAGAACAGACGGTACATTCGACGCTCATGTCTAATTTCGCAACAACTGTTGTAAACATTAACATGATACATCACACCAAAATGATCAATTATAAAACTTTGTAGCTCATGTTAGTAATCCACACCAACTGGATAAGTGTCACAGTTGACATATTATAAATCTTACCTGGCACCTCGACGCCATACACATTGGTTTCTTGTATGCCTGGGTACAGGTTCAAGACATGCGTTACTTCTGTCGTCGCAACATTCTCGCCTTTCCATCTGTGGGTTTTAAATTTATATAATAAATTAAATTGATTATTAAATATTGGAAAGAAAGACTATATAATTGCACAATAAAACACTCGGATGCTAATTTATGATGCGATAAGCCTGTACCTGAATGTGTCTCCAAGTCTGTCCATAAAGTACAGGTAACCATCTTTGTCGTGGATCATCAGATCTCCGGTGTTGAAGAACCTATCGCCGTTCTTCTTGACATTTCTTACGATTTTCTTCTCCTGGTCGCTTTTCTTCGCCAAGTAACCGTGGAAGATTAACTTATCGGTGAGACGAAACAGCATGAGACCCGTCTCACCTGTGTGAATGAAAGATACATCTCGAGTATGAAAATACATGGTATGATGGTTCTTAAATAAATCATAACCCACTAAAAAGTGGTGATATTAGAATTGTTGGGTATCATAAGGGATTGTATCAAACTATCCTTTTGGGAAAAATTGCCCCTTCACTGCTCGGGGCCTGGAATCAATTCATAATCTACAGGCACATTAATAAAGACACATTATACACGCTTAACAATCATAATTACACGGAGGTCTTTAGTACGGCAATGCGACTAAGGCCAAAAAAAAGGCTCCGGTTTCTGGTATGGAGTTTGCCCAAAAAGTAGTGCGGCGACGCGGCTTTTTTTTTTTTTTACCTGATTTTTTGCCTCAAAATGTAGGCTGATGACTGCAAATGGTGCCCGACTAGACTTAGTGCAAATATATGGGTGTCCAGAGAGGCCACATAAAGCTTATTCTCGATCATAACCCCATCTAAAAACACGTTAAAATTGTGCAGAAGCAGGATTCCAGTCAAACCAGTGAGTTTGGCGGTTTTGAGACATCATCTTTCATTGAAAAAAAAAAAATCATTTTGCCGACGCGCATGGCTACGGCGACGCGCGCTTTTTTTTGGCCTAATCGGCACCCGATTGTTTGAAGAGGAGTAGATGAATGTACCAAAAAAGTTTGAATACCTGGAGGTGTGAGGATACACAGGCCGTCTGGACCACGAAGCGGTTGAGCCGTCTGTACATGGCACTGAACGATGACTACGATATCAGTTAGAGCCTGTCCATTGTTTAAAACAAACACCATACAGATTCAATAAACCTGGTCGTCGGGTGTATATTATAGACCTATATTCATTGCAAGACTCTTTGAAGAGTTTTTACTCCCCTTAATTGCTCAGAGTTCCTTATCTTTTGTATGGATCGAATAGATAAATGCATTTTCACATTTTTGTCCAAAGATGTTTTAATTTAATCTTTGTCCGATTCTTTTTTTTTTAATGAAGACTTCTTCGACTGGACACGTTTGTAAAGGAAATTAACAATATATTGAGATTGACCCTAATAAAATCTTTGACTTCATGATGCCAGATTATTGAAGAAATACACGACCAAGAAGCAATCAAAGAAGATTGTCATCGTAGATCGTCTTGGTATGCCGATAGATTCTCACCCTGAAAATGCCATGGTATCTGCCAACGCTCCCAACTTTGCCGTCCATGTTGAAAGTAGAGAATGTCGCTTCGGTGGCTCCGTAGAATTCAGCGATATGTCCGATGTTGAATCGCCTCTGGAACGCTTCCCAAATATCAGGACGCAGACCATTGCCTATGGCATAGCGGAGTTTGGGACTGTACTTGCCGTCATCGATACGCTGTTTGTAAGAGAAAGGCTGATTGACTTATGTAAATATTGTAAATGGTCAAAACTGAGCAGTGCTGCGTGTTTAAACCTAATGACATCTATAAGGATGCAGACAACTTGATAACATTACGGTATATTGAATATTTACCGGGGGCTGAGCCATCAAATAACGGCAGGTTTCTCCGATGTACTGAATCACTGTGGCTCGATACCTGCGGACGTCATCCCAAAATCTACGAGCTGAGAAGTCACTTAAGGCAATAGTTCCTCCTTCAACAACAATTAATACACAAACATAACAAGTGTGCTGAAATTTGCTTGAAATCGGAAACCCCCTATTGATTCATTTTCCATCCAATCTTCTCAAATCCCATCTCGTAAATGGAAAAGCTCCAATCTCATCCTATCTGATCCCACATCCCTCTGGATGTTATCCCATCTCATCCCATCCAGTCCCATCTCACCTCATCCCATCCCATTTCCCAATATTATCATATCCCGTTCCACCACATCCTATTGATCCTATCCATCTATCGCAACCCATCCAGTCTAGTCCCATCTCACCTCATTCTACCCCATTTCCTTATCTAATCCCATCCCGTTTCACCCCATCCCATCGATCCCATCCCATCCATTTCATCTCATCCAATCCAGTCCCCTCTCACCTCATCCCATCCCATTCCTAATATAATCCCATCCAGTTCCACCCCATCCCATCGATCCCATCCAATCCATCCCATCTTATCCAATCCAGTCCCCTCTCACCTCATCCCATCCCATTCCCCAATATAATCCCATCCAGTTCCACCCCATCCCATCGATCCCATCCAATCCATCCCATCTCATCCAATCCAGTCCCCTCTCACCTCATCCCATCCCATTCCTAATATAATCCCATCCAGTTTCACCCCATCCCATCGATCCCATCCAATCCATCCCATCTCATCCAATCCAGTCCCCTCTCACCTCATCCCATCCCATTCCCCAATATAATCCCATCCCGTTCCACCCCATCCCATCGATCCCATCCAATCCATCACATCTCATCCAATCCAGTCCCATCTCACTTCAATCCATCCCATTTCCAATATAATCCCATCCCGTTCCACCCCATCCCATCGATCCCATCCAATCCATCCCATCTCATCCAATCCAATCCCTCTCACCTCATCCCATCCCATTCCCCAATATAATCCCATCCCGTTTCACCCCATCCCATCGATCCCATCCAATCCATCCCATCTCATCCAATCCAGTCCCATCTCACTTCAATCCATCCCATTCCTAATATAATCCCATCCCGTTCCACCCCATCCCATCGATCCCATCCAATCCATCTCATCTCATCCAATCCAGTCCCCTCTCACCTCATCCCATCCCATTCCCCAATATAATCCCATCCCGTTCCACCCCATCCCATCGATCCCATCCAATCCATTCCATCTCATCCAATCCAGTCCCATCTCACCTCAATCCATCCCATTCCCAATATAATCCCATCACGTTCCACCCCATTCTATTGATCCTATCCATCTATCGCATCCCATCCAGTCTAGTCCCATCTCACCTCATTTCATCCCATTTCCTTATCTATTCCCATCCCGTTTCACCCCACCCTATTGATCCCATCCATCCATCCCATCCCATCTCATCTCATCCTGTCCCATCTCCCCTCATTCCATCCAAATTCTCAATCTAATATCATCAAGTTACACCCCATCCCATCGATCCCATCTCATCTATCCTATGTCCGATGTTGAATCGCTTCTGGAACGCTTCCCAAATATCAGGCCGCAGACCATTGCCTATGGCATAGCGGAGTTTGTGACTGTACTTGCCGTCACCTATACGCTGTTTGTAAGAGAAAGGCTGATTGACTTATATAAATATTGTAAATGGTCAAAACTGAGCAGTGCTGCGTGTCTAAACCTAATGACATCTTAAAGGATGCAAACAACTTGATAACATTGCCGTATATTGAATATTTACCGGGGGCTGAGCCATCAAATAACGGCAGGTTTCTCCGATGTACTGAATCACTGTGGCTCGATATCCAATCCATCCCATCTCATCCCATCCAGTCCCATCTCACCTCATTCCCTCCCATTTCCTTATCTAATCCTATTCCGTTTCACCACACCCTATCAATCCCATCCATCCATCCCATCCCATCTCATCTCATCCACTCCCATCCCATCCCATCCCAACTCATCCCATCCCATCCCATCCTTTTCCCCATCTAATCCCATCCCATGCAATCCAAAATCCCATCTCATCCCATCCCATCCCAATCCCAATCCCAATCCCATCCCATCCCATCCCAATTTCCCTATTACCCATTCTAAAGGAGATACGGCCAAATGACTCACCAACTCTAACGACGTTAAAGAAGCCTATGGCGAGAGCAGCGCTATGATACATCGGCAAAGTTGTATACACCACGTCCTCACTGTCCAATCCAAACGACGCTTGTATGTATGAAGCACCAAGCTGGCGGGAATGAGGATTTTTCGCTGGCTTAGGAAGACCTGGCCATAAAGAAATAAAGGAACATTCTTCAATTGCTTTTTACAGCAAATTTATACACTACTAGTTACTAGGAGGCTCTTATCACAAGATGGTCTGAGTTAATAAAGGCTGTATATCCACGTATATAATCACTCTTATTTTATTGCACTGACGATAGCTGTGATATATGCAATGTGGGTTGATCTTAGGGAGCTAAGTTCACGCTCTAAATGCGGCTACTTGTTTGCAACGCAAGCTTTTTATCTATGATCGCCACATTTGCCCTACAACAACTTTTGTTCTTTGTCAAAAACTACAGTATCGTCAGAAAGACAATTACAAGTATCTAAAGGTTAGATTGCATTGCCTACCACTGGTCCCTGAAGTGAACACATACAACGCATCATCGTCTATTGGTTGTTGGTCTCGGACACTTCTAGGTATGGGGTCACTGCGTTCATTTAGTGCCTTGACATCAATGTGTAGCATTCCAAACGGAAGATCATGGTCGAAATTCTTCCCGAGGACCCAGACCTTGACACCGAGGGCTTGTAGATCAGGCATCAGGTCCTCAAGAGCTTTTATCAGGCGTTTATCTGGAGATAATACGACAGAGTTGTATCAAATCAAAATTCAAACAAAAGCCAAACATTCATATATTTTTTCACCAATCTGGCAACGAGTAACGAGAGATAAAATCTGAGGTGCTGGCAACTTGAAATGAGACTGTATGATTTATGATCGACTTGCAATGACCTATGCGCTAGCTCCGTGCATCAAAATGTGGATTGCGCTTGGCGACCAATAGACCATTATTATGAAGCCCGGGAAGGGACAGGGTGGAAATTTTTTTTTTTGGAGTTTGCTAATTCGTTCGCACGAATTACTAATTCGTTCGCACGAATTAGTAATTCGTGGGAACGAAATAGTAATTCGTGCGAACGAATTAGCAAATGCCAAAAAAAAATTCCACCCTGTCCCTTTCCGGGCTTCATACATTATCATGTTGCAGCTATCTTGATTTGTTTCTATTCAAATCAACGTAACCAAAACGAGGCTGGAAGGGAAAATAGTCTGGTTCCTTTTTGCACAAAACATTATCATCCAGTACTGTTATTGGATACAGGAAACATGACTGAAAAAGTGGCACGAAGTACGAGCACACTACTTTTATTCTGAACGTGCACAAACTTCATGGGCGTCGTCAGAAATGCGTTTGATCGAATGTCCCTCCCAGTAGATTTCCCCAAACACTCCCTTTGTATCTGTTGAGGGCTTATTGTGCACAGCCTCTGAATGTTTAAGGATAACGGCTTACCGTTCCCACAAGCAATCATCTTCAAATTACAGGCTTTGATGCAGTGAAGGAGAACGTCGCCTCTGAGGTGGATATTCAGCAGTGCAAGTCTCAGACCCAGCTTGTTGAAAGCCAGCCACGACACGATGTAGTTAGGCTCGTTCAACATGAATATTGCCACCGTGTCCATGGGGGCTGCCATAGCGCCTCGCTGGACGAAGTGAGCGAGCTGGTTGGCCTGTCGGTCAAGATCACCGTAGGTGTGCACTTCATCTTTGTACAGGACAAACTCTTTCTCCGGAGTGTCCTTCGCGTGTGCCTCGAAGAAATCGATAACTTTGAACTTGTTCTTCAGTAAGGTTTCAAGCTCTTTTCCCAGTTGAATACTTTTCCGGAGTTGCACCAGATCTTGAAAGACCGTCGGGCCGTACTTGAGGCGCAAAATCCCAGCAGCTGCGACGGGAAGACCCGCTAGAGTTGCAACAGTTGCACCAAGTACTCGGCGATTGAAAGAGCTGCCTGACATGATTATACTTTGTCCGAGTAAGCCTTTTAGATCGTGGCTGCACTCAATAATAAAAAACAATATCGTGGTGAAGCTTTGTACATTCACACGAATATTGTGAAGGTTGTTGCTATTACACATCTTAACTGTGTATCACTTGAACTTTGCACAATCGCTGCATGATGTTTAATTGCACCTTGATTCAAAGTGCATGACTATTTTAAGCAGAGTACACATAGAGTAGCTTTGTTTGTCGGAGGGTTTTGCAAGTTAATTTATGCAACTCCGCCCGCCTGCCGATCGGAGTTTATTGAGTGGTCGGGTATGAACTTGTAGCTTTCAATATATATCGACCCTCATCCGAAGTGGTGCATATTACTCTGACGTCATGATTACGTCATCAGGTGTCAAATTACAAGTGATTTTATCTGAAAAAGTGACCAATTACTTTCACCTCTAACTCTTGAACTAAACATTCAATGATGTTTGTATTCTGTAATCAGATAGACCATTAATCGCTTAACCTTTTTTTGTCGTGTACGTGAACTCGCTTGACCTTTACTTCTGGGTCTACCGGAAGGTCAAAGTTAGGTGAATTCAAAATGAAGACAGCCTGACATCAAAACAAAGCAACATTTCTTCTGAACGCTTCACGGTATGATCACAAAACCTTGTGTGAACTTGTACCATGTTACGAAGATAGTATAAATTTTGTTACCTCATCATGACGTCATCAGGTATCAAATTACAAGCGATTTAAGGGCAAATTTTGACAAAATAGTTTGCGTTATATTCTTTTGAACTAAATAGATAGTGTTTGTTTTTTCGTGAGGTTGTAGACTATGCCGTGAGAAACATTTTGTGTTCCCAGACCCAAAACCGCTTGACCTTTACTTCTGGTGTTACCGGAAGTGCAATAAAAACTGAATATAACTCAAAACCGGAAGCATTTTACTACAGACACATATATTATGAAAGTGTTTAGTGAGGAATGCCAGACACAAAAACAGTGTGATGACGTCATCATCGTTTGAAAGGGCGCCCCCAGCGGCACATAAAATATTGTTTCTTTTCTTTACTTTTAAAACCATAGGTTCAAATTTTACCAAATCGACACTTGATATTCTTTGATTAACCATAGATAACTTGGAAATGTTTCAAATCCATGACGTCATCAGACCGGAAGTTACCTTTATGAGAATTTGCCAACGATCATATTTGAAATTTAATTCTATCATTTGTTCCATGTCGTATATCTTAGCCCAGATAACAATACCATTACAATGTTCACCTTTTGATTGAAAATACTGTGACGTCATCAAACCGCAATTTCGGTGTTATGAATACATACAGTTATATTTTCCAAATGTTCATAATGAACATCCACTCCGAACTAAATCAGTATTCACTTCCCGTTTTTGACTAATGACGTTATCAAGCCAAAAATAATTTGTATGTGTACATGGAATGTTTACTGAAATTTATTTGATTGTCCTGGAAAGGATTTAATTTCCTGATACTTTGTTGTTACATAAAAATATTCATAACTTAACTGGACATGTTTCATAACATAGTTGTCTACCCGACCCTCTGCGTTTGTAACAACAAACCCGAATCTCTAGTTTTAATTACAATATTGTAACGTAATAACAGTAACGGGAAATGACCCCAAACTGGATTTCAAAATATACACGGTTGCTTTTGTAAGGGCGCGCCTAGTGGTGCGCTCCCTTGGGGTAGTTTGAGCGTGTGCTTACAAACTGGGGTAGGGTGTGTACCCTGGTGAATAATTGGCAGTCAGTTCTAAATAAAGTGATCCAGTGACTCGAATATTGCAGCTCAGAATTTATTTATTTACATGTATGTGTAATTAATTAGTATGTGTGAAAATCCCTGTAGAAACCCTCTACAAATCCAAAAAGATATCTCTCCAAAAATCCAGATCCAAATCTTCAGTATAAATCAATCAATCCAATCCGTCTGACAATCAATCCAATCCAATCCGATCCAATCTGATCCAATCGAATCCAAGCGAATCCAATCCTATCGAATCCAATCCAATAGAATCCAATCCAATAGAATCCAATCCAATCCAATCCGATCCAATCGAATCCCCTATTGATGCAAAATAAAATACAATTCAATGATTCAATCTCTTTCCATGATAAACTAGTAATATAAAAGATAAATGGATACTGTTTCCCTCAAAGCCCTATAATACTACATATAACTCACCCAGACCGGACCCGACCATGCGCTGCCCTCTCTCGATTCCCGCGACGCTAGCGGACCACGGTCCTTAGCAACGGTACAGTATAACCTATGTACATGCAAATCAACGTATCGCGTGAACAATGCATGCACATACAGAGAAGTTTCACGGAGTGCGAGTCAAAACAAATCATGAACTCATCACAATAAACAAGCAAAATCTCTTTAAATGAAAGTTCTCAAACTCTCATACCTGCACCAAACTGATCCTGAATCAAATGCGGACAAATCACTTTCATGCACAATGAACATGAAAAGAGGAAAATACCTCAACTTCCAACGGAAACTTTGGAGCTAGAACTTTCCCAACTTTCGCCCAAAACAACGTGGAGAGAGAGAGAGCTAACACGCATGCGCGGTTGGCCACACCAAAATACTTCAATGTTACTGTACACGATTGACTCTCAGAAAGTGACTATAATACATAACCACAATACAATCATGTATCGATATTATTACTAATATAATCATAAATGAGGTTTCATAAATCACATATCCCTACACCTTCCCTGTTTTGAAGCCATACGCCCTCGGATGGTATATGAACTATAATATTACACTGCACAATAATCTCCAAGTGTAACGCATACATACTTTTTTCTTTTTATACATAAATAAATCTCTTACATCATCTTTAATCCCATAAGTTATTTAGCTGCAATAGAACTGGCAAGAAAACTTCACTAAAACTTGGAATGTATAGTCACACACAAAACTTTTCTGTCGACCTTCAACAAATGTAACAACCTTAAATCTTTTAACATCCTCACATCAGGTGCCATATCAAATCTGTTAACTCCAAGAGTATGTCACCTTTAAATCTTAAATCACATTTAACCATGGCAAGCAATTAGCAAATTAGCTAAGTTACATCGATCAAAAGAAATTGAACAAGAATACAGGAACTATAGGGTGCAGGGAAAAGCTACTTTTACCTGTATCTCTCCACATGGTGGAAAGCGAACACCCTTTCTCTGTAAATCACTTAAAGTTACATATATGACACATTAAATATCATAACTCTTCAGGAGTAACAAAAAGAGGTATAAGTACAAGTATAACACTAATGGCGACACTTGTGCCAAATTATTTCTTTGAGGCCCTTGCCATAACGAATTAGGCCCTCCTCAGAGAGGTGACAGCCATCACGGGATAAATACTTGGGACGATTCACCTTTCTCTGTGTGTACAAACTCACACGTGAATAACGAGCTTTTATCTCTCGACCTAGGGTTGCATTGTATCGTTTTACTCGATGATTAAAAGTGGATATTGAAACTTGGCCACTACGAGTAATCTGTGCCCGCTGAATGACAGTGAACACAAAAATATGGGCTGGATTTATCCCTTTCTCCCCGAGCGAGTCTATGAACCTCAAGGTATTTTGCACAACTACAGAAGGAGATCCCTCAATTTCACACAAGTCATTAGTACCCAAATCAATGCACAATACATCCATTGTTGTTTGTTTCATCTTTCTATAATAATGGTCCCCACCTCGAAATAATCTATGAAAGCTTAAGCCTGGGTGACCCTCTACCTCGACTCTGCAATTACGCCCGACACCTATGAACGCACCCGGTGTTTGGCGATTTCTCTGCGCTGCCTTTGAAAGTCGCGCAGGGAACGAATGCCCGAATACATATATCCTCTTCGGATCAGTCATCGTCCTTAACTTCGCGAACACTCAAAAATGATTCAAAACGTTTACCTTGAACAGTTACAAAGGGTACAGAATTCAAGGATCAGAAGCGGTAACCACCGGTACCCGTGAAAATTCACAGGCTACTCCCTCATGGATTCCATAGATTCCCTGAAAAACAAAAAGGCAAATATTAACAACAAGAACAAACTTTTTTTTTTTCCATACAAGGTGCTAAAACTTTAGAACTTCAAACTTCAGTTTAAACTAAGCCCTATCCTGGACTATAACCAGAAGTCACCAACACATACCAAGAATTCTCATGTAATTCTACGTTATAGCAGAAGACCATGACCTAGAACACTTCTTTCTATCACCACATGTGACATCAACGTTGTTCGCGCTAATGTACACCAACCCTGGCTCGCATCTGCTCAATCCACGACTAGCGTAAGCGATAGGATATAAAGCCCCATCACTACCTGTCTTAAGCAAGCATGCACCTAATCCCTTGATGGAAACATCCACTTCAACAACAAAATCTTTCTGGAAGTCAGAATAAGCTAGTACAGGAGCTCTACATAATACATCCTTCAAACTCCAGAAAGTGTAATCAGCCTTCGTTGACCAACTACATGCATCACTCCATGGGGGCTTCCCTGTTTTTGTCCCACCCCTGGCCGTAAGTGTATTCAAGGGGACAGCCATCTTGGAAAGTCCGGGAAACTCACCAGCAACCTGTTGTACAGACTTACTAAGGTCATCAGGAACCTCATGTAAGAAAATCTCATCACCCTCCGAGACCACAGTGGCCTCTTCATCCAAACAAAATGAAGCAGGCAAACAAATGGAAGTCTTTTCCTGATTGCATACAAGAAGCCGAACTGCGGACTCCTCAACAGTATTAACTCTTTCCACTATGTCTGAACCAGGATATGCATCCCAACTCTTTTTGTTCTCATCAGCCAAGTTTGCATCTAACTGCCCCTGCAGAAAAACCAGAGTACCAGTATCAGAACACAATGGTCCCAATTCATCAACCACGCAGGAAATAAACCTGGCCGAAAAAGGCTCAACCGTCTCATCCTGGACAGTGCAAACCTTACCAACAACACCCTGTGTTGGCAACCTCGGCCCACTAACTTCACCATCCTGCAAACCCCGAGTACTCGAAAACCACTGAAGGGCAACCTTCCACTCCCTTCCTTCTGGTCCGGAAGGAGTGACTCGCAACTTGACAAGCATCCGCAAAATATTGCAACCAAGAAGGACTGGGTGCATCTGTCGTCGATCACCAGGAACCTCCTGGGGACTATCAGCCCTAACTACAAAACAAGCCTGGACAGTCTTACCAAATATTGTCATAGGAATCTCAAGATACCCACACACAGGTATCTCTACGTCATTAGCACCGACAGGTAATTTCTCAACAGCTTTCAACCCACCAACATTATCAGCCAAATGCTCCTTATAGAATGCAAAACTCATCACGGAAGTTTCAGCGCCGCTATCTAAAATGCAACTAACAGTTATCCCACCTACAACAATCTTGGTTGTAGGGCTAGGTCCGATTAACTCGTCTCTTAACTGTTTATCATTACATGAATGGTCACCCCATATAGGCCCGGCACTCAGTGCTGAATCAGCACACTCCCCTTCTAGAGTCAAATTACTAGAATCTCGTGTGGGCAGGTCATTCCCCTTCGGTGCTCCACCCACTACACCGAAGGGTTCCGGTTTTCCGAAACTCGCGGTTTTGCGCCATCCGTATCATCACTGGCTTTCTTCCAGCAGTTGCGGGCAATATGCCCAGCTTTCTTGCAATAGTGGCAGACAACTGCAGAGCGGTCTGACCTAGTCGTGATTGCAGAGTCGAGCTTTTTGGTCAAAACAGAGGTAAGTTCCGACAGCTGCGCATTGGTTGCAGCCTGTTGCTGCGCAAGGTTCTCTAACTTCTCAGCCATTAACTGATTGGACTTCACCAACTGCGAAAAAACATCATCTGACTTCCTCGCAGCAGCGCAAACCGGCACCTCGGCAACTTTATCAATAGCCGTAGCTTCTCTCACCTTGGCCTTTCGAGTCAATTTCTGCTCTGATTCTGGAAGCAACTCCAGAGCATGCGCTCGAAACTTGTGGAAAGGCAAATCAGGTCTCTCCACCTGTATGCGGCGAAGCTCGCGTCGAACAGAGGAATCGCACGCCCCATTAACTAATCGCTCTTTCAACACTTTATCCCGCGTAAGCCGCAGCGCAGGCAGCTCTGGGCCTTCGGCCTTTTCCTCCATCCTGTCATGTAACCTCATGATTGCCCGACTAAATTCAGCGAGGGTCTCACCCTCCATTTGAGAGCGTGCGTAGAAAGCACCAGTCAGAGACGCGATAGTCTCTGTTGGACCGAACATTCGCGCCAACAGGGTCAATAACTTTTCCAAGGTATCCCTCTCTTCCAAAGGATTACATAATACCTCTTCCTTTGCCACGCCCCCCAAATAATCTAAAGCCACACCCACTCGCTCCTCCCTGGTCAACTCAAGTTGCCTCACATATGAGTTCAACTCTTCTGCCCATTCTCCCAAAGTCGGGTCACCAGATTTCTCGGGTGGGCCACAAAATCTCGATAACTTTAACTTTGGCGCTCTAGTAAACTTTAATCCCTGAAACGCCTTTGTGAGTGTCTCAGCGAGGGCCTCATTCGATTTGGCAAGGATCTCAGCCAATCCCTCAGCCATAATGCCTACCTCTACTCAAGCAAGTGATCACCAAAAGATCACCAAAAGGTTATCAGCGACTCTACAATATGCCTATTACAGTAAGCTTAATACACTACTGAAATGTGACAAACACAATATTATTTCAGCATGGCCTCTAACAATACCAGCAATACATATACATGTATGCAAAATTAACAACAATTTCCAATACGAACCCAAAAATTACCCAAGGTTCAAAATACTCAAAAACACAAAATCCAGTCTGGGGGAATGTAAATGCAAACACTAAAAGTAATTAATAAGATTAAGACTCTCTAATCGCCACGATAAAACCAACTGTCAATTATCCTGTCTACGACGCCACACTTGTAAGGGCGCGCCTAGTGGTGCGCTCCCTTGGGGTAGTTTGAGCGTGTGCTTACAAACTGGGGTAGGGTGTGTACCCTGGTGAATAATTGGCAGTCAGTTCTAAATAAAGTGATCCAGTGACTCGAATATTGCAGCTCAGAATTTATTTATTTACATGTATGTGTAATTAATTAGTATGTGTGAAAATCCCTGTAGAAACCCTCTACAAATCCAAAAAGATATCTCTCCAAAAATCCAGATCCAAATCTTCAGTATAAATCAATCAATCCAATCCGTCTGACAATCAATCCAATCCAATCCGATCCAATCTGATCCAATCGAATCCAAGCGAATCCAATCCTATCGAATCCAATCCAATAGAATCCAATCCAATAGAATCCCATCCAATAGAATCCCCTATTGATGCAAAATAAAATACAATTCAATGATTCAATCTCTTTCCATGATAAACTAGTAATATAAAAGATAAATGGATACTGTTTCCCTCAAAGCCCTATAATACTACATATAACTCACCCAGACCGGACCCGACCATGCGCTGCCCTCTCTCGATTCCCGCGACGCTAGCGGACCACGGTCCTTAGCAACGGTACAGTATAACCTATGTACATGCAAATCAACGTATCGCGTGAACAATGCATGCACATACAGAGAAGTTTCACGGAGTGCGAGTCAAAACAAATCATGAACTCATCACAATAAACAAGCAAAATCTCTTTAAATGAAAGTTCTCAAACTCTCATACCTGCACCAAACTGATCCTGAATCAAATGCGGACAAATCACTTTCATGCACAATGAACATGAAAAGAGGAAAATACCTCAACTTCCAACGGAAACTTTGGAGCTAGAACTTTCCCAACTTTCGCCCAAAACAACGTGGAGAGAGAGAGAGCTAACACGCATGCGCGGTTGGCCACACCAAAATACTTCAATGTTACTGTACACGATTGACTCTCAGAAAGTGACTATAATACATAACCACAATACAATCATGTATCGATATTATTACTAATATAATCATAAATGAGGTTTCATAAATCACATATCCCTACACTTTATTCCCACCAAACTTAGCTAAATGGGTTGAAAAGTAATCATCCAAAATTTGTTTTTTCTTTCTTCAGCCTATGAGCAATAACATAATTATAAAGCTATTCTAAGTCATACTTGAACTTATCAAGTTGAACGCATCACGCAGTTCAAGTCATTCAAATCGAATCCAGCCGAGCCGAGCCGAGCCGAGCCGAGCCGAGCCGAGCCGAGCCGAGCCGGACGGTTAACTTAGCAAATTACGTATATTAAAAGTGTATATTGTTTTACACAGTACGATCACTGTTAAATTACACATGGCTTTTCACAAACATGGTTTATCATAGCAAAGGACGTGAGGCTTGATTTTGATACCTTTTACTTGATGTTTAAAATACATTAAATAGCCAAGGTATTACTTAAACAGCAAATTAAAACTATATGTGTTGATTGTCTACAATGGGCAATGCAACCGGCTTCTCCGTGAAGTTTTTTTTTATTAATGAAATAAGATAATTCACTACTTTTTTTACTTGGATCTTGAGATGCATTTTGTAAAAAAGGATTTCCAAGTGTCATCTATATCAACTTAGCCGATGTGTTAAGAACATGCAATTCAGTTCATTATAGTTTGATAACTTAACCCTGGGTAGGACTGTCCACTGTACTGCATTCCAAGTTCATGGTAAAGTGGTTAGGAGGTCTGACCACAAGGGTCCGCCTACAGGCTTGGTTCTATATATCTAGCCCATGATTTATATGTAGTGGAAGTTGTAATTTTGTCTATATAAGACTGTGAACTTTCTTAATTTTTTTTAGGACACCTCGGCTGTGGTTTAGTTGATTTGAAGTGTGTAGTTGATCGGATTTCAGATAATGCCGAAATTGGCAATAAAAAATGACGAAAGTCGAAAACTTTAAAAATTAAGAAAACATTAGAATCAATAAAAAAATACTCGATGGCATCATCGTGAAGTCAGTTTCATTTTCATATATAACACATACGTGACTGTGTATTTACTAAGTTTTAACCCAACCAGCGCTCTAAACTCTAAATATAGAATTTTAAATTATGCACATGTAAGATGACGCCACTTGGTACATAATGACGTCATCATGATGAAACTTTACCTCGGGTTTTAGTCTGTGCCTAGTTTGAAGTCAATCTATTTCCATTTCATGTCAAATTTTGACAATAACAAAATATACAAATATTAAAATTTTAAACATTTATAAAAACATTTCAGATTTGGAATACTATTGTCAATATCTTCCCCAGCCAACAAGTTTCATAGCGATCAAACATTCCCTTGAACATGTATTTTTTTTTTTTTTTAAAGTCACATTTGTAATGACGTCATGATGACGTCACACATTTTTTTTCAAAATTGTGTGCATATATCTATGACCTAAAAAACCTAATACAAAAAGAAAGTTGAATGCAACATGTTTTGTTCGTGAGATATGCAGATGAAATGAAAAAAGGAAATCAATGAAAATATTAAATGATGACGGCATCATGACGTAAACTCAATTTTCATCTATAACACATCCCTTACTATATACGCACAAAGTTTCAACCCAATGGGACTTGTAGTTCTGAAGATATGACTTCATCATGAAGTCCATTCTTCGCTGACCCTCTTTGCTGTATGGTCTTGATTTTGTAAAGTTTGATCAAAACCTGAACAATGAAACTGTCGAAAGTGCCATTTAGAAAGGTCGTGTACAAAGTGTATGGCATTTGGATTCAAACAATAAGAACTTGAGAAGAAAAATAATCAGAAGAAAAACATATGGCTGATGGCCGAAAAGCCAAAAATAATAAAAATCTTTTATCCTGGCTTTAGCGTCTTTTCACCTGTGTCTTCCAGATACAACCCAATAGGCATTCAATTGTATTTCATTTCTCTTGCAGTTCATCACGCAGGCTTCTTTTTTTTCCTGAATATTTCCTTCTTCATTTAAGTCTAAAGCCTTGCTTTTCCAATGACAATTTTCTTCATGGCGTCATTGTCTAAGGGCGCGTAAGTCTTCTTGTCCGTATCCATAAAGAACAGAGGGTCTGAGATGACGTTGGGGTCAAATCCCTCTCTGGCTAGGTCAGTCTTCTTGTGCTTGAATGTACCCGTGATCTGCATCTCGCTCATGATTCGCAGAAACTTTGGGCATGCGTACAGCGGCAGTGACCTGACCACGTGATCGTAGAAGGCCTTCGGGTCAAGGGGGCGCTCTTTTATGATGACAATGGCAGCCATACCTGCCCTGCCATCTTGACCTAGAATGAGTTAAGTAAAAGAGATTTCTGAAAGTTATTATTTTTTTAATTTACCTAATTTTGTGATATCCAGTGACCCTTTCGTAATTGCCCATGTCCAGCAGATAGGCCAACAGTTTCCATTCGCGATATAAAGAAATAGTCCAAAAACGTGTTTAAATATACCATAATTATTTCGTTACCAGATTTTCTAGATGTAGCCTCCAGAGGATAGATAAAGCTAACAAATGTTGAAACGTCTGTAAATACGAAATTTGCGACACAAATGATTAACCGTAACGTACAATTAAAAACTACTTAGCAATCATAACTCATAAGCAGTTACCTGGTACCTGGACGCCATACACATTGGATTCCTGTATGCCTGTGTATAGGTTCAAGACATGCGCTACATCTGTAGTTGCAACATTCTCGCCTTTCCATCTGAAAAAAAAGGCAAAATTAAGAAATTTAGGATGTAAAAAATTCAAAGTCGTGAATAAAAAAAAAAGGGTCATTAAAAAATGCAGTCGTAGACACACAGAATCAGCCTACCTAAATGTATCTCCAAGTCTGTCCATAAAGTACAGGTAACCATCTTTGTCGTGGATCATCAGATCTCCGGTGTTGAAGAACCTATCGCCGTTCTTCTTGACATTTCTTACGATTTTCTTCTGCTGGTCGCTTTTCTTCGCCAAGTAACCGTGGAAAATTAACTTATCGGTGAGACGAAACAGCATGAGACCCGTCTCACCTGCGTGAATGAAAGATACATCTCCGATTAAAATAGATATAAAATAGATTGCATTGTTCTTAACCCACTTTGTAAATACTTAAGGGATTATATAATAGACGTTACGTCATGATGACGTCATCATGTGATTTAATATTGATTGTTGAAATGTTCAAGATTATCGCCATATCTCACGAACGCAAAATGCTAAATTTAAAAAAAATCATTTCGTAAGTGATTAGTTAGGTCAAGGATATATGCACCAAAATGTGACAAATATAAGGGTTGGTCGGATCGGTAGTTTTTATTATTATGATTAATATTATTATTATTAAGTATTCATATTCAAAAAATGGGTATTTTGGGAATTGAGTCAAAATAAACCTTTGGAAAAATTGCCCCTCCACAGTTCCGGGCCTGGAATAAATTCATTATCTAAAGGCACATTAATAAAGAAACATAAGTAAACGCTTAACAATCCTAATTTCACATTTCAAATGTGAGGTCTTCAGTACGGCAATGCGACTAATCGACACACAATTGTTTGAAGAGGAGTAGATGAATGTACCAAAAAAGTTTGAATACCTGGAGGTGTGATGATACACAGGCCGTCGGGACCACGAAGCGGTTGAGCCGTCTCTACATTACACTGAACGATGATTACGACGTCATCCAAAGCCTGCAAAATTGGTCATTCAAATAAATAACTACATGTAAGTAAGATTCAGATACAAACAGCATTACAAACCGCACGTTACTGCAGCTCCATCTCACCGTTTTCACAGCTGCAAAGCTAGTTTTCTAACCCACCTTGTGTCAGCATTCAGTCCCTTAAATTTAAGCAGTTAGACAAGACGTAAGTTTTAGTCTGTTAATTTTTGTCCATATTTGACCACAAATGGATTTTCACCTGCTGAATACCGTGGTATCTGCCAACGCTCCCAACTTTGCCGTCCATGTTGAGTGAAGCAAATGGCGCTTCGGTAGCTCCGTAGAATTCTATGATACGCCCGATGTTGAATCGCTTCTGGAACGCTTCCCAAATATCTGGCCGAAGACCGTTTCCGATGGCGTAGTTGATTGTGTGACTGTACTTGCCGTCATCTATACGCTGTTTGTTTACAGTAGTAAACAAAGAATTTATACAGGATACGAATTTGTGGTGGTCACGTGACAACCAACTGTTTTAGCAGGACATGAGCAGAATCATATTTACGTTTACATTTGAAATTTACACGGGGATGAAGTACAGTATGAAGAGCACATTCATTGCTTTATTGAACAAGTTTGACTTGAGAAACTGTGTCGTCAGAATGACACTTCACAGGTTTATTTATTGAGTATATTATCAGGCGTGCGGAGTTTGATGGAAAAGAAACAACACGTATAATGGGGATGTGAGACCAAATGGTTGACTAGTCATTTACCCGTGGCTTAGCCATCAAGTAGCGGCAGGTTTCCCCGATGTACTGGAAGATCGTGGCTCGAAATTTTCGGAGATCATCCCAGAATCTATGAGCGGAGAAGTCACTTAAAACGATAGATCCTCCTTTAAAAGACAGAAAACCAGGAAAGGAAGGGTTAGTAGAAACTGAAATCTATCTGCAATATTAAATATACGCTTGTTAATATGCAATGTGATGCCATCCCCTCTAGGTATCTTACTGAAGCCCATTTCACCCCTTCCCAACCCATTTCACACATGCAATCTAACATTATCCCAAATAATCCAATTCTAGCCCATTCAATAGCAGCTCATACTATGTCCCTTTCCCTCTTCCCCGCTATGCCACCAACCCATCCAACCCCATCCTATCCCATCCCATTGTATACCATCCCATCCCATCCTATCCCATTGGGATTCTATCCCATGGGATTCTATCCCATCCCATCCAATCTCATCCCATTCTATCCCATCCCATCCCATCTCATCTCATCCCATTCTATCCCATCCCATCCCATCCCATCCCATCCCATCCCATTCCATCCCATCCCATCCCATCCCATCCCATCCTATCCCATCCCATCCCATTCTATCCCATCCCATCCCATCCTATCCCATTCTATCCCATCCCATCCCATCTCATCCCATTCTCATCCCATTCTATCCCATCCCATCTCATCCCATTCCATCCAATCTCATCCCATTCTATTCTATCCTATCCCATCTCATCTCATCCCATTCTATCCCATCCTATCCCATAAGATAAGATAAGATAAGATAAGATAAGATAAGATAAGATAAGATAAGATAAGATAAGATAAGATAAGATTGAACTTTATTATCCCTCAGGAGGGAAATTAAAATGGCCTTGACAAAGAGTGGGTTATATAAACATACAATCATTAATTAAAAAGATGTAAAAATGCGATGTAGTTACCACAAACTTATAAATCCAATAATTACGGGTAAAAAACAAACTACTACATATAATACACATATTACATTACATTAATGAGGGATCAGGGTCAGCCACACGGCAGTTCATCGTTCCAGATGCTCATTGTACCATTTGATAGCTGCTGGAACGAATGAACTGCCGTATCGCCGTGTCCTGATCGTTCGTTGTAAAAAGCGATTACTTCTGGAGTTCGTTTGGAAGTCGGCATTCAATGGGTGATGTGAGTCGGAAAGAACCGTCTTAATTTTATTGCACATAAGAGACCTGTATAATGCCTCTGGAGACTCTTGTTGTAACCCAAGAGTCCATCCCATCCCATCTCATCCCGTTCTATTCCATCCCATCTCGTCCCATCCCATTCCATTCCATCCTATCCCTTCCCATCTCATCCCATTCTATTCCATCCCATCTCATCCCATCCCATTCCTTCTCATCCCATTCTATTCCATCCCATCTCGTCCCATCCCATTGCATCCCATCCCATCTCATCCCATTCTATTCCATCCCATCTCATCTCATCTAATCTCATTCCATTCTATCCCATCCCATCCCATCCCATCCCATCCCATCTCATCCCATTCTATCCCATCCCATCCTATCCCATTCTATCCCATCCCATCCCATCCCATCTCATCTCATCTTATTCTATCCCATCCAATCTCATCTCATCCCATTCCATTCCATCCCATCTCATCCCATTCTATTCCATCCCATCTCGTCCCATCCCATCCCATCCCATCTCGTCCCATCCCATCCCATCCCATCCTATCCCATTCTATCCCATCCCATCCCATCTCATCCCATTCTCATCCCATTCTATCCCATCCCATCCCATCCTATCCTATCCTATCCCATCCCATCTCATCCCATTCCATCCAATCTCATCCCATTCTATCCCATCCCATCCCATCTCATTCTATCCCATCCTATCCCATACGATAAGATAAGATAAGATTGAACTTTATTTTCCCTCAGGAGGGAAATTAAAATGGCCTTGACAAAGAGTGGGTTATATAAACATACAATCATTAATTAAAAAGATGTAAAAATGCAATGTAGTTACCACAAACTTATAAATCCAATAATTACGGGTAAAAAACAAACTACTACATATTATACACATATTACATTACATTAATGAGGGATCAGGGTCAGCCACACGGCAGTTCATCGTTCCAGATGCTCATTGTACCATTTGATAGCTGCTGGAACGAATGAACTGCCGTATCGCCGTGTCCTGATCCTTCGTTGTAAAAAGCAATTACTTCTGGAGTTCGTTTGGAAGTCGGCATTCAATGGGTGAGGTGAGTCGGAAAGAACCGTCTTAATTTTATTGCACATAAGAGACCTGTATAATGCCTCTGGAGACTCTTGTTGTAACCCAATAGCTTTACTGGCTTGCTTAACCATTCTGTCTAGCTTAATCCGATCCTGGCACCTCATATTTCCGTAAAAACAAACAAGACAAAATGTGAGAATACTCTGTACAATGGACTTGTAAAACAGTTGTAAAATAGTTTTATCAACGTGAAAAGACTTGAGTTTGCGCAGAAAAAACAAACGTTGTTGCAGCTTGTTATATTTTGATTTGGTACATGCGTCAAATTTCAGTTGGTCATCAATTTCAGTTCCCAAGTATTTGTAAACAGACACTGCTTCCACACATTTGCCTTTAATATTAGCTGGTGTAATTGGAGATTTCTTTTTCCTAAAATTACCATCTCTTTGGTTTTGTTGATATTGATTTCTAGATAGTTATCATCACGCCACTGAGTAAATTGTGCCACCTCACCAGTGAAACAATCTAGAGATTCTTGTTTGTCATTTAGAAAGCCAACAATAGCTGTGTCATCGGCATACTTAATTATTCTATGTGATGTTTCCAGAGTAGTGAGATCATTTGTATACAAAGTGTACAGGACAGGTGACAGAACGCATCCCTGTGGGGCACCTGTGTGAGTGTGCTGGACGGATGAAAGTGTGGAATTCACTTTAACACATTGACTTCTATCGGTTATAAAATCGTTGATCCATAAAATAAGCCTGGGGTTAACATTCAAATTCATTAGTTTTCGAGCTAGAAGATGCGGTTGGATGGTGTTGAAAGCGCTTGAGAAGTCCACAAAAAGAACTTTAACGAAAGCCCCTGCTTTTTCTAAGTGTTCAAAGATACCATTTAGCAATGTAAGTACAGCATCCTCCGCACTCCTGTGAGGACGGTAAGCAAACTGGTACTCATCTAGAGAATTAGTGACAAGTGGCAGTAATCTCTTCAATACAATTTTTTCCAAACACTTCATTGGCACTGAGGTAAGAGCCACTGGACGCAAATAATTCATTTCTTTAACTTTTGATTTTTTTCGGAACTGGCACAATTGTCGATTTTTTCCACAGAGCTGGCACTGACGCATTGTCAATAGATGCTTGGAATAACATTTGAAAGGGGATCGCTAACTCGTCAGCACATACCTTAAGTGCCTTAGAAGTGATGGAATCTGGTCCCATTGCTTTGCGTGAATTAACAGTTCTAAAAAGACCTTTCACTTCCCCAACAGAAATACCGATGTTCTCCACTGGAGAGTTACGTAACTCACACATTACTTCATTCTGTTCCTCATTAAAATCAAACTTGTCGAACCTGCTGTAAAACGAGTTTAACTCATTAGCATAGCTTATTTCATCCTCTACCAAGACACAATTTTTCTTAGGTTTGTAACCTGTTATTGTCTGCAGACCTTGCCAAGCTTTTCTAGTGTCGGTCGTCTGGAAAAAAACCTCAATTTTGTTTTTATAAGCCGTTTTACATTCCTTTATTTTACGTTTCAGTCTTTTTTGAATTTCTTTCCGTTCATTCCTTGTACCAGTATTGAATAGTCTCTTTTTTTCATTTAAAAGCTGTTTGAGTTCTGAAGTAATCCACGGTTTGTTGTTAGAAAACACTTTAATTGTCTTTGTAGGAATTACCATATCTTCACAAAAGCGGATGTAGTCTGAAATCACCTCAGCTGCTTGGTCTAACTCGTCCGCCGGGTCGATGAGAACATCCCAGTTAGTACATGCGAAGCATTTTCTTAACGCCTCTGTAGCTTGACTTGACCAGGATTTCACTTGGATTTTCTTTGCCGGTTGTCTCCGTATAAGGGGTTTATAAACTGGCATTAGATGAATCATGTTGTGATCAGAGTCACCTAAACTTGGCAAAGATCCTGCTCGATATACGTCCGGTATGTTCCCATAACAAAGGTCCAGGCAGGCGTCATGGCGGGTGGGGCAGTTGACATATTGGTGGTATGTGGGCAAACATTCTGATAGATTGCACTGATTGAAGTCACCCAGTATAAACTTAGCTGCATCAGGTGAAGAAGTTTCAGCTTGGGAAACCAGGTCATGAATAATGTCAGCAGCTGTCTTGACATCTGCTGAAGGAGGAATATAAACCACGAATAACACAACCTGGTTTATTTCCCTAGGCAAGTAGTATGGGCGGAGATGAACATCGAGTATATAGTTCAATGTTTGGGGTACACATTTGATGCTTGATTGTGATATGCGATGGGTTGCAATAATTTTCGCTAACAAACACACATACACCCCCACCTTTTCTTTTTCCTGAGTCTTTATTTCTGTCCATTCTCAGAAGGGTATACCCGTCCAAGTTCACCGTTGAGTCAGGATCCTTCTCAGTTAGCCAGGTTTCTGTCAGGCATATAAGGCTGGAATCTCGGTAATCTGAGAGATAGCGCATGTTGGCTCTCAGTTCATCCGTTTTGTTCCGAATACTTCGAACGTTTCCTTGGATTACAGTTGGGAGTGGGGTTCTAAACCTTGATTTTTTTAAGCTGTTTCTGACACCTCCTTTCCTCCCACGTTTCCTCGTTCTGGGTGCGTCCTGGCATATTTCTGCAGGTATTACGTAATCTGGTGCTGTCGAAAACGTACGTCGACTCAATAGAAACTCACGGCTATACGATAGCACTGGTAGAGTCTCACCTTCACTGTCCTGGACGGTGCACAACATTCTCTTGGCACTCCATGATAGCGTTAGTAAAACAACTAAAATCACAAACATCGTTGAGCACAGTACATTGGACATCGTGAGGCATTAATTAAGTGCAAAACGTACACATCCTATCCCATTCTATCCCATCCCATCCCATCCCATCCCATTCCATTCCATCCCATCCCTTCCCATCTCATCCCATTCTATTCCATCCCATCTCATCCCATATCATCCCATCTCATCCCATTCTATTCCATCCCATCTCGTCCCATCCCATCCCATCCCCTTTCCATTCCATCCCTTCCCATCTCATCCCATTCTATTCAATCCCATCTCATCCATCCCATTCCATCTCATCCCATTCTATTCCACTCCATCTCGTCCCATCCCATCCCATCCTATCCCATTCTATCCCATCCCATCCCATCTCATCCCATTCTATTCCATCCCATCTTATCTCATCTCATCCCATTCTATCCCATCCCATCCCATCCCATCCCATCTCATCCCATTCTATCCCATCCCATCCCATCCCATCCCATCTCATCCCATTCTATCCCATCCCATCCCATCCTATCCCATTCTATCCCATCCCATCCCATCTCATCTCATCTTATTCTATCCCATCCAATCTCTTCTCATCCCATTCCATCCCATCTCATCCCATTCTATTCCATCCCATCTCATCTCATCTCATCCCATTCTATCCCATCCCATCCCATCCTATCCCATTCTATCCCATCCCATCCCATCTCATCTCATCTTATTCTATCCCATCCAATCTCATCTCATCCCATTCCATTCCATCCCATCTCATCCCATTCTATCCCATCCCATCCCATCCTATCCCATTCTTTTCCATCCAATCCCATCTCATCCCATTCTATCCCATCCCATCCCATCTCATCTCATCTTATTCTATCCCATCCAATCTCATCTCATCCCATTCCATTCCATCCCATCTCATCCCATTCTATCCCATCCCATCCCATCCTATCCCATTCTTTTCCATCCAATCCCATCTCATCCCATTCTATCCCATCCCATCCCATCCCATCCCATTCCATCCCATCCCATTCCAGTCCATTCCATCCCATCCCATCCCTTCCATCCCATCCCATCCCATCCCATCCCATCCCATCCCATCCCATCCCATTTCATCCCATTCTATCCCATCCCATCCTATTTCATTAATCACATTCCATCCCATCCCAACCCATCGCATCCCATCCGATCTCATCCCTTACCAACTGTTCTTCTTCAAATGAATAATACTTAACAAATCTTGAAAGACAAATCACCTGCTCTCAGAATATTTAAGAAGCCTATGATGAGACCTGCGCTGTGATACATAGGGAGGGTAGTATACAGGACGTCGTCCTTTCCCATAAGCGATATTTGCATGAAACTTGAACGAACCTGTCGGTAATGTGGGAACTTCGCTGGCTTGGGCAAACCTGGACGAATAATAAAAGAAGGCAACAACCAACTATTAGCAAGAAATGAAGCTGCCATGATTTTGAATAAAAGTGAAGACAGTGCATGCACAATATAGCTCTCCAAACAAGGGGTATGGTCATTTGTTTTGTTTATCAAAGTGTAGAGTGGCTGCGTGAAGTAAGTTTATTTCCATCAATCTAAGCAATTTGCTGCTGGTCGGTGTTTTACTCGAAATGACTGTGTATAGGCCTACTCCAAGTTTGAAAAAAATCTTTCATTGATTTTGCTCGCTCGATTCCGGTACTACGAAAGCCCATTAGCGCCACTGCAAGTATATATGTTGCGGATTATTTAATTCGTTATTACGGATTATTAATTCGTTATTACGGATTACTAATTCGTTATAACGGATGATTAATTCGTTATTACGGATTATTTAATTCATTATTACGGATTACTAATTCGTTATAACGGATTATTTAATTCGTTATTACGGATTATTAATTCGTTATTACGGATTACTAATTCGTTATTACGGATTACTAATTCGTTATAACGGATTATTTAATTCGTTATTACGGATTATTGATTCGTTATTACGGATTATTAATTCGTTATAACGGATTATTTAATTCGTTCTAACGGATTATTTAATTCGTTATTACGGATTAGTAATTCGTTATTACGAATTACTCATACGTTCTGAGTCATTACTTGGCAAGTGTGGCACAGGAGTGCGAGCGTTTCATTCGGTGCCGGTGTAAAGCAAACGTTGTATGCAAAGATATACATAATCCCCTGATCACGTGCTCTCCACGTGTGAGAACATCAGACTTAATTCGTAATAACGAATTAAATAATCCGTAGTAACGAATTAATAATCCGTAATAACGAATTAAATAATCCGTAATAACGAATTAATAATCCGTAATAACGAATTAATAATCTGTAACATATATACTTGCAGTGGCGCTAATGGGCTTTCGTACGTTTCTTAAGTTCTGCTAAGTAACTATTGGCGACAGTGCTATACTTGACGAAACTGTCACGGACACACAGTTTAGTTGGGGAGTCAGGTTGGCGTAGCAGTACTTTCCCTGCCTTCCACCGCTGTGACCCAGGTTCGAATCCCGCCTGAGCCAATATGTGGATTGGGGCCAATATTGTGGCCGGAGTTGAAATGTGTTCAACTTGTGCGAATTCGCATCGCGAAAACACGCCCTGACGACACAAATTCGCGTTCGCTTCTGCGCCGAGTATGAACCGGGCTTAAAACTTGAGATCTTCCGATGCTTCTTTGCTGATTGTCCCTCACACTCACAAATCTTGGGGTGATCGATCATTTTCTTACGCAGGTCCTCATCTTTGGAACAAACTACCCCTCGGCATTCGCAATATCTCATCGCTTTCTGAATTTAAAGTTGCCCTGAAGACCTATTTGTTTCAGACCACTCAGAATATTCTTGTTTAGTTAAATTTAATTGTTTTGTTATTTCTGATTTGATATAATTTTTGTTTGCGCCATGAGCGTCATTTATGGCGGATAATGGCGCGGTATAAATTTCCGTTATTATTTTATTATTATTATTATTAAAACTGTAATTCTCATTGTCTCCTCTCTACAGGTTTCGTCAGGCTTTCGGGCTACAGTGCTAAGGTCACTTTTGAGGAATCCTTCGTTTCATTAGCAAAAAGAAATAAAAATACATACAAGTTACTCTTGGATATAAGACAATAATTGTCAAGCTTAATGTACTACCTACCCGTTGTCCCTGAGGTGAAGATGTACAATGCATCATCCCCGTTAGGTTGTTGGTCTCGCACACTTCTTGGTATGGGATCAGTCCGTTCGTCCAATGCCATCACATCAACGGGAATCATTCCAAACGGAAGATTGTGGGTGATATTTCTCCCTATGACCCAGACCTTAATACCTAGAGTCTGTAGCTCCGGCATCAGGTCCTCAAGGGCTTCCAGAAGACTTTCATCTGCAATAAAAGCATTTTTTTTTCGTTGATGATTTAGAATAACGTTTGAGATATATTGTAAGGTCGGATTGATTGATGACGAAAGAGGGACTTGAACTAACCTACCTTTTCCACATGCGATCAACTTGACATTGCAGGCTTTGATGCAATGCAAAAGCGAATTGCCTTTCAGGTTGTAGTTCAATGGCGCAATTCTCAGACCCAGCTTGTTGAAAGCCAGCCAGGACAGGACGAAACTGGGCTCGTTTAGCATGAATATTGCCACCGTGTCCATGGGGGCTGCCACAGCGCTTCGCTGGATGAGGTGAGCGAGCTGGTTGGCCTGTCGGTCAAGATCACCGTAGGTGTGCACTTCATCTTTGTACAGGACAAACTCTTTCCCCGGAGTCTCCCTCGCATGTGCCTCAAAGAAATCAATTATTTTGAAGTTCTTCTTCTCCAATGCCTCTAATTGTTTGAACAGACGAAATAGTTGTCGACGTGCCACCAGGTCTGCAAAGACTGTCGGGCCGTACTTAAGGCGCAGGAACCCGGCAGCTGCGACGGGAAGACCCGCTAGAGTTACAGCAGCTGCTCCGAGTGCTCGGCGATTGATGGGAAAGCCTGACATGGTTGAATGTGTTAGTGCAATGCTATGCTACATGCAAATCGTTAAATGGCGGCGAACCTTGCTTCCTTTATCCATGTTATCATGAATAAACTGATCTCAATAGAGGTCGATCACTGCACTTGACATTGTACATGTATACGTTTTTTTATACAGCTAAAACTGTCTGATAAGGGCTGTAGATTTCCACATAAACTTCTTCCCAGTCCCTCGATTGTTTTGTCTTCCTCATAACCGAAAGAGCGGATCTGCGGATGTATGGGTTCGCTCGTACCAACCACCCTAACAGGGCGCTGGGAACTTGGGAAGGGCTGATGAGCTTCACAGAATCTTGTGAAGGATGTGACCTATGACCATAGAGCGTAATTTAATTTACTACACCTCATAATTATTCATGATCTAATTGGAGCGCGTCATTGGCCAATTCCGCCGCGCGTCACAATAGTACGGGGTACCCAAAATTCAGGCGAATTGAATCAAGGTTATAGGATTGAAAAGCGCCGCGTAGCGGTGCTCTACAACCCTGTAGCCTTTTACCTAGGCGCGCGCGTATACTCTCGCCTACGGAAGCGTATATGGCCATCCGCGTTACTGCGTTACTGAGATAAAATATCTTGGAAACATAAAGTTCAGCTGGGGCCGTATTCACAAAACGACTTAAGTCATAAAAAAGCAAGCACCCCACTTAAATATGCGACTTAGACTAGTTTTACAATTTAAGCAGTATTCACAAAGCATTTTCACTAAGCGCCCCACTTATTTTCATGACTTAAATCTAAGTGTGGTCGGACCTGTCTTAAGTCAAGTTAAGTGGGGCACTAGGGTGTCATGGCGGCTTTATTCCTTTCCGTTGGTTGGTATTTTTAGGCACAAAATTGGACTTTCTAGGGGTAGAGGGAAATATCGTCAATAACGAATGATTGTAAAAGGATAGCCAAGTTGAAATTAATGTGTGACAACCCTAAGATTGTAGTTCGTCGACATTCTGACAGTCATTTTCGAACGATTTGTTGATTTTTATGCGGGCGGCACGGGTACGATTGACGAAACCAATGTAATGGCATGCACAGTCCTACCACGTGACTGCCGAAAGGCTATTAATAAGGGAATAAATGTGTGCTCCGTCGGTTTTTATCACTCTGTTTAATACCACTTAGAGTCTGGGTGCTGATAATTACCCGAGCCGGAGGCGAGGGTAATTATCAGCACCCAGACTCTAAGTGGTATTAAACAGAGTGATAAATACCGACGGAGTACATATTTATTCCCATTCATAAATACCTTTTCGGTAAAAAAAAATCATATAATTCGTTCAAAACATCCCGATTTTGTTCAACAAATTCACTTTATGCTTTTTGAATCATCCCTCCTGCAAAATAATGGAGTGTTCAGCTGGCGAGTAAGATGAAAACAACCCTTTTATGGAGATTGACGCGCGCGTATCATGTTCTATGCGATGTCGCGCAGAATGCACCTGGCGCGTTGCGTTTTGAATTTAGAACTATAAAATTCTAACTCCCTGGTAATGTTGCGCATGCCGACGTGAGGATTGTGAACGTTCAACCAATTAAACGATAAGAGGCACTGGATTTTTAGGAGTCCACATTTTATTGTGACACTGGAAAAGTGTTTAAGACCAGCTAGCCATGTCTTTATCATCCGTTTAATACCGGCCACGTGACGGGCTCTCGACCAATAGGAATGGCTAAACTGTCTGAGGTATTTATGAATTAAAATTAACTGTCTTACCTTCCAGCGCGTATGACATAAATCATCATGACAATTTGTTTCATACTCGATAGCAAATAAAATGAACAATTCACTTGTAGTTTAGTTGTTCAAACGACCGTAAAAACTATGGTAAATAACTACATGCACTGAGAGCATACGATGTGCATGACGAACTAGGTGGACGCGCGCGTGACGCAGATAAGTTTTTGTGTATTAAATTGAGCTTGGAAACTGCGTCGCAGAATACGCGCACGCATGATTATGTTAAGGAAGCACGCACATTATTGATTGAACTGCTGCTGCGTAGGAACCACTGATCTCTATATAAAGACTGGATAGCTAATACAGAGCCGCACAATGTACGAATTTGACGCCATATTGGTGAGACCGGCTGGTGATCTACAAAGGACAAGTTGCCGTTTTTATAGACAGCATGATTTATTTTGTAACGTCGCGGTTCACTTGACTTATATTTTGACCACCACCACTGACCAAGGTTAACTACAGTTTTTCTAATGTCGTGGTTACTAAAATGCCGCAAATATCACTTTTTCGGCGTTTTGAAATAATAATCACTACGGAAATGTTACCCTTTTAGAACATCATAATATGTGTACGTGACCAAAATGCGCGTCAACTGTTGATACAACGCGCGCGTATTTACGCGTAGAACGTTTGTATATACGCGGCCATCTTCGTGAGACCGGGGGCGAATTGGTCAATATGCAAAGTCTACTGTGTGAATGTTGTATGCATATCCGCTATCCAGTCTTTATATAGAGATCAGTGGTAGGAACGTTTATGACGTACATGTTTTGTGCATTGAGCAAGAGTGACTGTTTTGAACACTTAAGTTAAGTTGAGCACTAATATAATTGGGGTGCTTAGATCTTTCGTGAATACCTTATTAAGCGTTCCACTTAAGTTAGTAGGGTGCTAAGATTTAAGTCTGGCTTAAGTTATCTCTTAAGTTTGAGGTTTGTGAATACGGCCCCAGGCATAAAATATCTTTCCTACTCGGAATGCAGCGATAGCCCATCATGAAAACGCTGAATTCCATGAAAGCCTATCATGGAAACGTGAAAATCCGTGGTAGGTTATCGTGGAAGCGTGGCATTCCGTGATAGGATATCATGAATAAGTGGAATTCCGTGAGATGTTATCGTGGAAACGCGGAATACTGCGATAGCCTATCACCAAAAACGTAGAATACCGCGATAGGGAATCTCAGCAACATGAAATTCCGTGATGTTTTATCCTCACAAAGCGAAATGCTATGATATCGTTAGCCTATCACAAAGTTCCACGTTTCCACGATAGCTCATCACGGAAATACACGCTCTCACGATAGCCTATCACCGAATTCTATGTTTCTGTGATAGGCTATAACGATATTCCATGTTTCCGCGATAAGCTATCACAGTATTCCACGTTTCCACGATAGCCTATCACGGAATTCCACATTTCTGTCATAGGCTATCACAGTATTCCACGTTTCCACGATAGCCTATCACGGAATTCCACATTTCTGTGATAGGCTATCGCAGCATTCCACGTTTCCACGATAGCCTTTCACGGAATTCCATGTTTCCAAGATATTTTATCTCAGTAAATCAGTAACGCGGATGGTCATATACGCTTCCGTACATACTTTGACGAAGAACTTGGATTGTGCTGAATAAGGCAGTGAGGCTACTAAAAAGGCAGTGAGGCTACTATTATTATGAGGTGTAGTAAAACAAATACGGCATGGCTTATTTCTGGAAAATAGTTGGAATTACTGGTCCCTCGGTGTAGGTCGGCTTGACTGACCTACACCGAGGGACCAGTAATTCCCACTACTTCCCCTCAAACCATGCTGTATTTGTATAACAGCTCTATGTTTATGACCTTTATATAAAGCATCCGGTTGCAGCTTTTCGAGACCGCAGTTAGACAATGCTCGCAAATGCTATCCGAAAACTAGAGAAATGCACGCATTCCATACCGGATGTGATTTCTTTTTCATTGTAAGAATACATTTGGGAGACATCCCCATAGACTTGTGCACACAATTTTTCAAACTTAAATGTGTCCTAACCTAATATTCCCTTGTCCTTTTCCCACCAATTTACGTGTGTTTACTAATTAAACCACGAGCAACAAATATAACATAACTGCGATGGTAAAATTGTGCCTCTAAAGGGCGGCTGTGACATTAGGGAGACATGAAAATGTCTCCCTCATGACCGATGTCTCCTGCCGTTCGAAGAAATTCAGATACAGTGTCTCCTTAATGGTACATTTAGTCGAATAAAAAGTATTCATAAGGCCAAACAAAAAAATAAGTCGGTCTCTGGTCAGCGCGCGCGTCGATTTTAATCATGCGCGTCAATCTTTTTTTTTCAAAATGTTCCGCGGTAGCTCCAACAGCGCCCTCTATTGCCGCACCTTCTCAATTTTTTTTTACCAAAGAGCACCAAGGAATGGGAAATTGCACCAAGGCAAATGATCGAGAGCACAAAGGCAAATTATGGAGGACACCAATGTACATGAGGACACCAAAAAAGCAAAATAGTACCCCACCTTGTCTGTGCAATCCAAGCTTGAAGAAAAAAAACAAAGCAAAAAAAAAAAAAAACAAAGCCGCATCGCCGCGTCAATTCCGGAACTTTGGTCTGACCAGAGACCGAATATTTTTTTTGGGGGGGGGGGCCTAAAGCGCAAATTTTATGTAACATATATTCAAATGCATTGTACAACAATCAAACAATAAAATGGGTATTGCGGACTATGTGGACAAAATGTGAGCGTCGCATATTGCAATCATTGACCCTTCGTGAATCATTCGAAACGGAGCCTGAGCAAGTGACGGGAATCGTTACAACACAGATAAGTTTTCAACGAAAACAAAAGCATCGGAATAGGAATAAAAGAGTAATGAATCCTTGCAGGGTCGTGGTCGTGATGAATTGCAGGTCACAGGTCACGCACAATCTATCCAATCAGAGCGTGAATTCATCAGCCCTCCCAGGGTCCTGTTTGCAGGGCGGGGGGTACGAGCGAAATGTATGGGAACCAAATAATTATATTTTTAAAAATATCGATAAAGGGCATCATTTGTCTATAACATTGAAATCGCATTGAAATTAAATACCACATTAAAAGAAATACGAAAATGACTTGAATTATAATGAAGGTTTCTGTCTGAAGGGAAAAGGCGTTTTCATATGTGTTTTTTTTTAATGTTTAAATCTCGATCTATAAATGTTGTAAATAGTTTTCCAGGGGGAAAAAAACGTAAAACTTTAAAATCGTAACATCAACCAATTAGGAAAATCAAGTCTTTTATTCGACTCTACACAGTTCAGTTGACTGAACTTGATAGCGCAGTCATCGATAAACATCTCCTACTTTCAGTTCCAAATAGACCTGAGTTCTTAAATGTTAGTATGTATATACATTAACAAAGTTTAACACTTCCACTTGATCAACCAAAAATAAATAATATCCAGAACGTTTTGGATTATAATCATGATAACATGTACTTTTACTAAAGTTGTATGGATAATTAGAACTCAAGGACACCCTCGATTGCTTCTTATTACTCAGAGTTTAAGTGACTGACGCTGTATTCCACATATTACGCATATGTTCGTACAAAACATAAAACAAGTATTATAAAACAAGAACTACTAGGATAAAACTAGTAGGCCCTACTGAATTTATTCAATTAACTCAATTCGTAGTTTTTTACAGGAGAGCTCATCAGTCATATTTTTTTCATCAAGCTAAGTCAGGCATTCTTTGAAGCACATTTTCTGCATTTTTTGTTTGTTTAATATTTATGTCTAAAGCCTTGCTTTTCCAATGACAATTTTCCTCATGGCGTCATTGTCTAAGGGCGCGTAAGTCTTCTTGTCCGTATCCATAAAGAACAGAGGGTCTGAGATGACGTTGGGGTCAAATCCCTCTCTGGCTAGGTCAGTCTTCTTGTGCTTGAATGTCCCCGTGATCTGCATCTCGCTCATGATTCGCAGAAACTTTGGGCATGCGTATAGCGGCAGTGACCTGACCACGTGATCGTACAGACTCTTCGGGTTGAGTTGATATTCGTGTGTAAGGTTGATCGCAGCCATCCCAGCTTTTCCGTCATGTCCTTATAAAACACCATGCAAAATAGTCAGTTAACATACAAGTTTGGATAACAACTTTGGTTTTCATGAAGGAATACTGTTTAATACATTGATCATTATTTCCTTGAAGGATTTTGTTTGCTGTCTGCCTGCTTATCATTCTTGATTTTTAATAGTTGGAAAAAAACCCTGTGGCTTTCCAAACATACACATAATTAGTTAGTTCTAATAATGCAAGCACAAGGAACCTTAAGAGATTTTTTTTTCGCTAAGGTTGCTCTCAAGCCTAGCCCTCAATTTGATTACCTGCCCATTACACTTACCTGATTATATGATACCTGTTTTGACATTCACTGTTTAATACCTTGTCATTATGTTTCATATTGTTTCTTTATTGTTTCTCCCATTATACTAAGTTTATGCATTCATATTTCTCTATTTTCAGTATATTGTTTATCTGAATATGTTACATTTAGTTATGTCTATGTTTATCCCATTGTGTTGGATGTAGCTTGGGTCCCTCCTAAATCCTTTTAAGTACCCAATCTACAATCAACATAATTTAGGGGCCCATACTCGACAAGCTGTGCTTCTTATGTACCCCCTTCATTTCCAAACTTTATTGTCTTTCTAATTATTTTTTTCTTTTTCTTTTCCACTGCATCCTGTATAATGTTAACCATACTCTCTGTATATTTTGTTCATTTTCTTGTTTGGAATTGGAAATAAAGTTAGTAAAAAAAAAGCCTGAAGATATATGGGGACTACCTCCTTTTTTGAAGTGGGGGAAAACACCATATATTTGAGAATTCCAACGGTCTAAAAAAAAACATGAAATTTGAAAGGAACACAAAAATCCAGATCTATAATTATGAAGGACACTAAGGGTATATTATAATGGACATGCAAACCTTGCACCAAAACTTTAGCAATAGGGCCTACCGGGTACTTGCACACCGTAGACATTTGTCTCTCGCACGCCGGGGAAGGAATTGACAACTTGAGCCACTTCGGTGGTTGCTACGTTCTCGCCTTTAAATCTGGATTTGGGGGAAATTGCTCACTCGTTTTTAACATGTCTCAACACAAAAAAAGAAAGCAGAATAGTACAAAATGTCATGGATCAAAATGATTTCAGTCATCAGCACATAGATCGAACTGTAAATTATTTATAGTTTAATAAAATATCAGTTCCCGAAGATCACGTCCTCGAAAACATTTATAATCAAAAACTGAAGTAAAATAACTACAGTTTCCGAATTGTTTTCTTCATAGTTGTGGGCATACAGTCAAGTCCATCACAATAGGGATGAACAATGAAAAAAAAAATCTTTTGTCGCAGATCATTAGTAACTTGTCACATGTCGAGTAGAGTGAAGATGACATAATTGACTTGTGAGGACCTTGGGGACTTGACTACAATGATCACCCTGCATGGATATGATTCCAGGATTGGATTTGGAAGAGGAATCTTGAGATGAGTCCCAAAGACCAACCTGAACGTGTCTCCCAGCCTATCTTTGAAAAAGAGACGGTTGTCCCTGTCAAGGAGCATCAGGTCTCCCGTGTTGAAGAACACGTCGCCGTGTTTCTTGACGTTACGCGCCAGTTTCTTCTCGTTGATGCTCTCGTCAACTTGGTAACCGTCGAATTTCATCCTCTCGTTTAGTCGAAAGAGCATCAAACCAGTCTGGCCTGCGTCCACCAAAAATAAAGCAAGCGAACAAACCTATTATTCCTACATTGAGATAAGAAAATGTCAAATCTTGAGTCTACTAGATCGTCGTGCACTTCTGTCAGGCATCGTCAATACACTAATGGTAACATCAAGAAATGCGAGTCACTATAACCTGAGTCTTTGCTCGACGCAAAAGACTTGGATTCCATTCTTTTAAAACTTCGTAAAATATGCATCAAAAAGCCTTTGAAAAACATGAATCTGACCGCATATATTTAGTTCGGTATCATCGTCCAAGTAAGGCTTTAACCAACTATCAAAAATATAATTATGTATTATGTTGAGGAATGAGTTGATGATACCTTTTGGTGTGAGAAGGCAAAGTCCGTCTGGACCTCGTAGCGGTTGAGTTGTCTCTGGATTGCACTGCACCAACACAAGCACGTCCGTTAGAGCCTAGAAAAATAAGTAATGACTAATATGTAGTTTATTCAGTGGATAAGGATTTATGTGGTTGCATACCGTGTATCTGTTTTCTGGATGTGCCGAGCTCCAACGAGAAGCGGTGGACTCATCGTTTCAAACAAGAGTATGTACTGTAAGTCCTCGGAGAATTGAGTTTGCTTATTACTGATTAATTGAAAGGCAATGCAGCTCATAACAATCCAGTTCAATTTAAAAATCCAATAAAAAGTCCGAGATTACCAGTCAATTACAAGTCAAATCCCAACAAACAGGGATGTTGTGTCCTAATTGGGCTGGCTACTTCACCTCAATTTGCATATCTCCACCCAGGAGTTTAATGGGTAGCAAGATCAGCTGGGAGGCAACCTTGTAGCAACATCAGATGGGAGGTAACCTTGTACCTGTGATAGACTGGCATCTTATTAAGGGGGAAATATTCTCAGGTGGTAAGCGCCGTCCTAATAAGTTTTGGATCGAGAGAGACTTATTTAAGTTTTTATCATTAATTAATTCGCCCAAGTAGTTTAAATTGCTTGCCGTTTGACTTGAAGCAGGCTGACTTGTGATTGTGATTAGAGATTGCTTTGTGATGACGTGTGATTGACTCGTGGAATTGATTACAACTAGCTCTTTAAACAGTTCTCGCAAGACCTGACAGTACAATCTTACCCCCACAAGTGGCGGGTATCTACCAACGCTCCCCACTGTCCCGTCCAAGTTGACGAAAGCGAATGTCCCTTCGGTTGATCCGTAGAATTCACAGATGTTCTCGATGTTGAATCGCCGCTGAAAGTCTACCCAAATGTCGGGTGCCATACCGTTGCCCAGGACGTAACGAATCTTATGGGCGTACTTGCCATCATCATGATGCTGTGATATTAAGTTCCAAAAATTGAAATAGCTCAGAAATACAAAAACACCAAATATTCAAATTCACAAAATATGGCGAACAAATGTTGAGATTTCTCTGTGGCTGCACATTATTGTTCATTGGGTAACACGTTTCTTTCAACAGAACGATGTTTCAAAAACACATCGTTCAGCGAAAGTTTTGGAATGTAGATAGTGGATCAGCGCAGTTACAATTCAGCTGATATCTTGATACCAAAGTCGCGCCGAATGAAATTATCTGGAAGATTTGAATACCGAACATCGGGTCGAGTTCTGAAACAGTTAGAAGCGCGGCTATACAAATGGACCGTTGGAATCGTTCGGAATAATTCACAGTCCTGTCAAAGGCCAGTTAATACGTAAACGTCGCCTGTGTCAAACATAAACAATCAATCTGTGTCGACCTGAATAGCTCCTACTGTATTGTTTTGTTATTACGGCAGTAATAATAACCTAGTTACCGGTGGTTGGGCCAGAAGGTAGCGGCACAGTTCTCCGATGTACAGGATGATGGTAGCTCGATACTTGCGAACGTCGTCCCAGAATCTCCGGGCGGAGAAGTTGCTGAGAACGATGCGACCCCCTGGAAAGTGCGATCGAAGATTAACACCGAGGAACATATAATATTATTATCATGTAAGTTGCTTTTTGTTTGAGTCAGTGATGAAAAAAATGATGCTCTGCATTTTGGTAAGCGGGATAGTTTTTTGGTGTTGGGGTGGTGGTGAAAGATATTGATAGTGAGCGTGACGGTGGTGAATATGAAGTTGATGCACCTTCCACTTCTTGGTCCGAGCTCAAGTCCCCTCATGGCTAAATGCATAGGGTGTTCAGCTCCTATCCAGTTCGTTAGTAAAAACGTCATACATGCGCGCGCACCACTGATTACTAGCGCCCATTGGACTCATGCGTATCCCTGTTTAACAAAAGCACACACCTCAAACATGGCTGCAGTGCACATGGTCTATAGCGGGGTGGGGGGATTTCCTCCCATCTCTAACCAAAAAAAAAAATAATAAGATCTTTTACATCGAACTGGGTCTTTCTAGGTTTTTTTGTCATTAATTGACCAAGGAAATGTGGACTGATTTGTGTTTTCCAGTGAGATGTAAATAATTCATATCGGTCAGGCGGATGGGAATGGTTTGCCAACCGACCCTCCCCCCTCCCCCGCCCCTCCCCAATTTGCTCTTTCAGAGACTTGAGACTACCATAATGATGACGATGATGACAATAACTCTGAAATGACGATTCTGGTTTCAGCTTTATTAAAGAAGAGAAAACGTGTACAGTTTTATAAGGACTACATGAAAGTGACAAAATGACTTACCCACTCTCACCATACCAGCAAATGCAACAATGAAAGCTGAACTGTGGTACAGTGGTAAAGTGCAGTATATGACGTCATCGGCCCCGAATGCCAACGCGGGTACATTCGAGTAAGAGCTGACTACCATTCGGTAATGAGTGATCCTGGCAGGTTTTGGGACACCTAGGAGTGAAACAGTCACACCGAATATGAAGACTGTCATGCAAAGATTTGGTGATTCACTTGTTATCTAACACTTGAGCTTTTATCAACTCAGTACGGTGCTCTTGATCGGACACACTATACTTCACATCCACGTTACTCCATGGTGAGGTGATAATTAAATTCCAGCTTGGTGTGACAAATACTAATTTTAAATATTCAGGACCCTTGTTCTGCATACGGTGGATTTGGTAGGATTTATTCATATAAGGAGTGATAGGGAACAAGAGCAAAGAGCAATAATAAATACAATGGGATCCAACAACAAGTCGTGGGAAATATATTTAGTACCCCGCATCAAAAATGCATAAGCAGGCCATGGACCCATCGTGTCAAGTTATATGTGTGTCTGCTGGTGCGTGTTCACGGTGTAAATCGAGGACACACATTTTGAAACATCATCGAGTAATTGAGGACAGAAGTCAAATTGAGGATGAACTCGGTTACAAAACGTTTTACAAAGCCAATGGGAGCTGTTGCAAACAAGATGGTACAAAATAAACAAAATATCGATAATGAGGAACAATATAAAATCCTCGATTGACACCATAAACTAACCTGTGTGTGTAAACCTGGGAGTGGGGATACGGGACAGGACGTACATAGTCGCGCACATTTAATGCACCTACCTGTGGTCCCTGAGGTAAAGATGTACAGTGCCGTGTCACGACTGGCCAAATGTCGGCGTAATGACTGCGGTACGGGATCAGTACACTCATGTCCAATGTCCACGAAGTTCAGACCATGTGACAGGGTCGGATTCCGGACCTCTGGTCTTCCCAGAACCCAGACTACGATACCGAGAGCGTCTAGCTCCGGTTTGATAGCCCCAAGAGCCCCCAACAAGTCAGGGTCTGAAACAAAAAGAACGTCGCTCAAAGGTAATAGAGATTTTTTTTTGTACAAGGAATTCTTTTTGGAAATGAAGACCTTGGCTTAATGCTAAAGAAAATGAACTCGTTACCACGGAAGAAACTGATACTCTATTAAATGTCAGCAATAAACGACAAAAATGACAATTATTTTCCATTTATGTGAATTATAATATTACTTCAAAATTGCACGAGAGATATTAACTAATTCTTCGAATGTTGCCCCACGATTTCCTTCTTTTGCAACAGTTATTCCTATCACCAAATCAACAATACCTAAACACATTACGTTGTGTAGGTTGAAAGGAAATGAACTTAGGTAAGGTATAGGCCTAGATTAAGATATGCCATGACAGGATATGCTTCACATAAATGTAGCCTCGCAGATGCTTTTCATATATTTCAGAATTTACGAGTAAGGTGACATTGCTTTTCGCTTTAAACTAATGAAACTGAAAAGTTGCCATATTGAAATCCTTTTATAAATGAGACCATACGAAAGCCTAGTAAATCTCGTCCCAGTCTAAGTCATAAGTGACAGTCAGTCAGTGAAGTAGGTACAAAGAGGTAGGCTGGCCCTTTCACCAGCGAAAACACAAGTACATGTATACCTTTGCCACAGGCGATCGCTTTGACATTGCAGGCTTTGATGCAATGAAGCAGAACATTGCCTCTCAAATTGTAGTTCAAAAACGCGATCCGCAGCCCAAGTTTGGAAAAAGCCAGCCAGGACACGACGAACATGGGCTCGTTGAGCATGAATATTGCCACCGTTTCCATGGGGGCTGCCACTGCGCTTCGCTGGACAAAGTTCGCGAGTTGATTGGCCTGTCGGTCAAGATCACCGTAGGTGTGCTCCTCACCCTTGTACAACACCAAAACCTTGTCTGGTGTGTTCCTTGCGTGCTCTTCGAAAAAGTCACTGAGCTGAACGTTCCTCTCTTCCAAGTCCTTAAAAGCCCTAAATAGAGCCAAGGCCCGTCGCATGTTCAACAGATCTTGGAAGACCGTTGGGCCGTACTTAAAGCGCAGAAACCCAGCAGCTGCAACTGGAATTCCCGCTAGAGTCGCAGCCGCTATTCTAACAACTTTTCGGCTCATAAAACTCGTCATGTTTTAGTATTGGATAAAGATAACTACTGAAAGATACAGGAACGAAAATCGGAAATGTTACGGCAACATCCTGCGTGGTCCTGTAGTGCGGTTCCTGTGTCAAGGAGTACTGCGGCTGCCTGCCCTCGTACGCAGTTTTATCGTGCAATCAGTGACTGATAAATATTATTCCAATACTGTTTGAAGTGCAAGTACACTGCCGTAGCTGTGTCATGGTGCTTTTAATGATTAACATCGAGTTTGATATCCACTATAGGAAGGCACACACTTCATGGCACGGTTAAAGATAAATAAAAGTGCAGAGCTCAACATGCACTTGATCTTTTGTACAATTTCAGAAGGTCGTTTCTATTGTGTACAGTATTCCCCCCCCCCAAACTCGACCAAATGTATTTACCGTGATCAGCAATGCATGTCCACAATTTCAATCACTAACCTAACTTTACTGCTTGCTCTGCAGTGGGTTTTTTTTTTATTAGTGGCACATGGGGCAGGGGGGGGGGGGGGGGGTGGCCCTCGGGGGTTGAGTTTTTGCTTGACCCAGAGAGGACTGCAGCCGATAGTTGTCCTCTTTGCATGTACCTGACTGACTGATTCTCTCTGACCGACTGTCACTTGGCTTATACTGGCCTGGACCATCTTTATGAGGCTTGCCTATTCATGTATGTGATGTAGCACCAACCACATGTGCATTAATCCGGCACCGCTCCTTTCAAACTTTCATGATACCGTTGACTGTAATTTTTGTTCCTTTTTTTTTACTCTATTCTAAAAAAATGTGGGGTAGCAAATTTAGAGTCTTTTCAGTGGTATAATTTTATGAGGCAATGCGATTTTGGCTTTCTTCTGATCGATTGTATTGCAAATGTGTAGAGTGTCTATTCTCTTTGGCTGAATTTTATAAAAACTCAAACTTATTGAAAACTGATGTATAAATAGCCAAGATTCTTGGGGACAGTCCATAGTCCATCCGTCGATTACGAAGTCAGTGGAATACCAATGGGTCAAAGGTGAAACTCGAATATATGTATATATATTTTTTTTTTTTTCTTTTAAAAATATTATGATGGAATAGATTTAATAGATTTCAGGATGAGGGAATCTGTAATTATCATAGTTCAATTCGAATCCTCGTCGATAACATTTATACCCATAATATATTGTCTGAAAACACACTCACACCGTTCGTGCGTTTGGCAGACAGACGTTCTATTGGTCAATGTTTATATTGGAAGTGGGTGGGCTTCTAGTTTCCTGCTTCGGTTTCATATATCACCGGAAACATACCTGGTGTACTTTCTGCCGGTGCACCGGCTTCCAACTTTCATCGGTCACTTTGACCCGAAAAAAAACACCTGCTGCATAAAAGAGGCTAACTATATATTTTATGTGCTTTTTTAATTTGATGGAAAATTTAGTATTGAATCCATACCCAATTTTGTCATGAAATAATTCAGTGATATACAATATGCAGGATGATTCGCCCTTAACTATAAAAAAAAAATGTTTTTCGTGTTTTCATATGCTGTATTAAGGATTTTTTTTACAGGAGCCAATACCAACATGAACAAACAAAAGTTCGAAAGTTGCACTGCGTTGTTTTTGTAGCGCACCCAAGGAACCCGTAAATTAACTGGTCTCCCAATCGCATCAGCTGCAGCAGGTAGAGTACGTATTTTGTCGCATTGTGATCATCTACAAGAGTAAATTGATTATTGCTAATCATTATAAAATAAACAATATTTTAATAGCGAGCTATAGCTATTGATAAAGGTTTTTTTGTGCGTCACTTTTTTTTACAAATTAAATAACAATTTTGAAAGAGTGTTTCTATTAGATGGCGCCCTCAATCACGTTCGCAGCGCCGATAGATTTCGGTGATGTTACATTACATAAAAGAAATGATGATTATGATTATGATTATGATTGAGTTGGATTGTTGATAGGATGTCTATTTTGTTTATAAATCTAGGATTTTTTTTACGCTGGTCTTTTCTCTAGCTTTGGCATCATCGCTTGCTCCCGAATAAAAGCCTTTAATGTTACAGTAAAATTGACATACTCAAAACCTTAACAAAATTGCCTCTATGATAAAATCGCCATTCCTGCAGCAAAAATGTATCCATATGAGCTGGAGTTCCCCGGGTAAGAGGTTAAATTTAGCTTGATGTCAGAGCTGGAAAAAAAGCCATGGTTTCGAATACCCCTGAGTCAACTAGTCTTTCAAAGTCTGGCCTGGCCAATCAGAATCCGCCGCATGACGTCATTATTGAGAGGCACGTAGGTCTTCTTGTCCGCGTCCAGAAAGTACAGTGGGTCAGAGATGACATTAAGGTCAAACCCTTCTTTGGCCAGCTCGACCTTTTTGTGTTTAAAGGTCGTTGTCGTGGAGATCTCCTCGGTGATGCGTAGGAATTTCGGGCATGCGTAAAGGGGCAGGACTTTGGTGATGTAGTCGTGTAGATCCTTGGGGTCGAAGTTGTGGTCTTTGCTGAGTTTCAAAGCCGCCATGCCTGCCCTGCCCTCTTGCCCTGAATACAGGGGAAAAAAAGCGAATTAGAAACAGTCAGTAGAAAACAGTGTGGATTGCTGTGGCCTCGTGGTTATAGGGCATTGGATTCGTGGTATGCGGGTAAAACTGCAGGTTGTTGGTTCGAGTCCTGCCTGTGGTGCGTGTGCCCTTGGGCAAGGCACTTTGTCACTCATTGCTTCTTTCCACCCATATATGGGTACCTGTGAGGGCAGAGATGATTATTGTGATTGAATTAGCTTTCTTGCGCCTAACAGGCTGCATCCAGCTGTATACTCCCCAGGGAGCTGAGATGGTATTTGGAATGTTTCATGGGCCCAATTAGTAGGGGTAATAATGATGTAGCGCCTTGAGCAACAGTCCTGGTGGATACGTACGCTTGATAAATACCCACTATTATTATTATTGGATTAAATCCTTCGTCGTCGTCTCTACATATATATATTTAATTAATATGAAGTTTTTTCTGATGCATGCATGTTATGAAACAGACGAACATTCTACTTAAATAGATGTTATTGCTGCATTTTATGATTACACTGACGTATGAGCTTTCACAAATTCTGTCTCCCGTAGTCATTTTGTTTGGCTAACTTTAATACATGTATAGCCTATATGTGCTGGAAAGCAACGTTTCAAATTCAAGATATATCACCAAATGATATTTTACCATTTTTAACTTAATAATGGCTTTGCAAAATTGTTCGTATTTCTAGTTATTCTATATTCAATTCTATATTTTTCTCTCCTTTTTTTTTTTTACTGAAATACTCCTCAAATGGCGCACTTAGTAATACTCGCTAATATTCAAAATACCTGGAACAAGAACGCCGTAGACATTGCACTCTGCAATGGCGGGAAATGCGCTCAGCATTTCGGCGACCTCTGTCGTTGCAACATTCTCACCTTTCCATCTGGAGATCAGAAACAGTATTACAACGCGTAAGAAAAGAAACAAAAACGTACGCAAAACGTAGTACCCAATTTTATTAATGAAAGTTTCGGAGAGTGTAAAACACTGTAAATGTCAAATTAGGTTTTGCCCTTCACCGACGTTTTAAACACTGTATACTCAGTGTGTTACCTCCCGAGTGAAAGTTGGAAAAAATTACTCGGGTGGGACTCGAACCCACGACCTCCTGCTTTCTAGTGCAGATGTCTTTCCACTCGACCACCGAGCTAAATGTCGTTTACCAAAATGGCCACCATGAGCAGTTAAATCAATCGCTATGCATTCAATTGGCTAGAATCTCCATTCGTTCCAAAAGACAGCAACAGGCGCGATCTTTCCGTGCATAGAGTCGCTCTTAACGGCTGCATACGTCAACCTTGGTTAAAATACTTTTATAGGTGCACGTTTGGTTAATGTAAACGTTTTATATAGCAAACTACTGATCACGCGCCCCTGAAATGTTAGGTCATTTAAAGCCAATTCGCATTAATAGCAAACACTGAAAGTCACCTTTACCTAAAAGTATCGCCGAGTCTGTCCCTGAAATACAGGTATCCCTCCTTATCAGCCATCATCAGATCCCCGCTGTTGAAGTACACGTCTCCAATCTTCTTGACATTACGGACCAGTTTCTTCTCATTGGTCTTCTTGTCCGCCATGTAGCCGTCGAAATGATATAGATCATCCACCTTGGTGACCAAGAGACCTGTCTCACCTGGTATTATCGATTAATAACAAGGGAATATTAAGGGCGCATGTCAGTAAACCATAGCTTTAATAGAAAACACATCCTAGTGTGTCTATACGCTGAGCGTGTAAAGGCCATTTCTCAAACCCGGGCCTCGTTTCCGGTTGGACCGAGTTTCACATCCGACTCCATGGCAGGCCAAAATGTCAGAACTCAGGACCAAATGAAAGGACAGCGTGGGTTGGCCTTGTTTTATAGGCTGGTCGACGTGAGGCTCCCGAATGGACATAAACTGTGCTTGATTCTGCAAACGCAGGGACCTAAAATCATCAGTAACCCAAAACCGAAGCCGAGAAGAAGCCGAGTTTGAGAAATTGTAAGATTATAAAACTTAGCGGAACTGTAGGCATATTATTATAAGTTTTAACGTATATGGAACTTATGAAAAGCACGATGACCGCAGACCAATTGTTCATGCAATTTTGAGAATATAATGCGATGAGCTGCCACGCATCATGCGTGGGAAGTCTACCAATGACTGACCTGGATCAGCAAGGATGCACTTCCCGTTAGCATCACGGATCGGCTCAGCTGTTTCGATGTCACACTTGACAATCTCGAGGACGTTACTCAACGCCTGGAATTAATAATAGAATGAATAACCACAATAGAAATGTATGTTACTGTCAGTATGTTACGACGTCCCCATTGAGTCTATAAGTTGACAGAGTTCAAATGTCACGGTTAAGTTAAAAGGGCAGACAATCAGCGTGCGCGAAAATGTACAGAATCAAACAATGCCATGAGGTATACGACCTGGATCTGGGCAGCTAGGGCAGGAATGATCAATTATTATGTCAATGGGACCGGTAACAGGCCGTACACCTTAAGTTACAGTGTTTTAATACTTGAGATATACTGCAACCCAAACAACCAAGAGCATTTCTGTTTGGGTGGTTAGTGTACCCACTACGTATAGTGTACAGTACACCATGAAATATGAAACTAGAAATGTGTTTGTGGACAAACACAAGCTGTTTCGGATATTTGAAATACTCTGTGCACGTGATGAACACTTGATGAAGTCACTTCGAATGTCATCTGCCAAGTGAAAAGTCAATCAGACATATAGTGCCAAAGTATGATTTGAAGAAAAACGTGTACAAACCCTATGGGGAAAAATACATCTTTAATGTGAAGTAACCTTACACCTGATGATGTCACGATCACGAATTTCTTCTAGGACCATCTGTAGGTGGTAGTCTAAGTGTGTACCAAGTCTAACATCGATCGGATTTACGAAAGTGCCAAAGTAGAATGTTTTAAAACGTGTACAAACCCTATGGGGAAAAATACATCTTTAATGTAACGTAACCCAACACCTGATGACGTCACGATCACAAATTTCTTCTAGGACCATCTACGGGTGGTAGTCTAAGTATGTACCAAGTCTGACGTCGATTGGATTTACAAAAGTGCCAAAGTGGAGTGTTTTATAACGTGTACAAACCCTATGGGGAAAAATGCATCTTTAATGTGACGTAACCCAACACCAGATGACGTCACGATCACAAATTTCTTCTAGGACCATCTGTGGGTGGTGGTCTAAGTATGTATCAAGTCTGAGGTCGATCGAATTTACGAAGAGGCCAAAGTGGAGTGTTTTAAAACGTGTACAAAACATATGGGGAAAAATGCATCTTTAATGTGACGTAACCCGACACCTGATGACGTCACGGTCACGAATTTCTTCTAGGACCATCTGTGGGTGGTGGTCTAAGTATGTATCAAGTCTGAAATCAATCGGATTTGAAAAAGTGGCAAAGTGGACTGGTGGAAGAAACGTGTGTTAAACCTATGGAGAAAAAGTCTGAAAAAGGAGAAAAAAAAAAAAAAAAAAAAAAAAAAAAAAATCTTAACGAAAACAAGAGCTGTTTCGGTGTGTCACCGAAACAGCTAAAAATGGAGTGGTATTATGTAACCGAGGGTTAAGGAAATTACGCCCAAAACAAAAACAAATTAAAAAACAAGAGAGCTCATTCCGAAAAACACATCTTGTTGAAAAACTCAAGATGCGAACCTTCAAGAAACCACCATGCCTGCCAACGCTGCCTACTTTATCCTCAGTATTCACGCTCATGAACGGGCATTCCGTAGCTCCATACATCTCATAGATCTGCTCAACATTGAAACGCTTCTCAAACTCCCGCCAAATGTCCGGTCGCAACCCGAGGCCGATAGCTGCCTTGATCGTTTGCTCATACTTGCCATCGTCAGGTCGCTTCATGGTAAAGATTGAAATACGACAAGCAATGTCACAAGATTGGCGAGAATTTGGGGAATGTTTTTCAACAAAAGTGGTACCCTAATAATAAAAAAGGCCATAGTCCACGATCCGTTGATTCTGTTCTTTTAAATTCGCACTAGATCAATTAAGGAAATGGATCCTGAAAGTTTCTCTATGAGCCCAATGTACGAGTCGGCCATATTGAATTGAAAGTGAGGTAAAATCTTAAGTTTTGGAACTTACGAAGAGAAATGAAAGCAAATAATTCCATACTGCTTCACTGAATGATTTAAAATTTGTAATTAAACATTTCCTAATGTTTAAAGCCAGATTAAAAAATAACAGTAAAAATAAAGCTGCATTATGCCTGCATAAATAGTCTGGCTTCATTCCATTCAACAGTTAACAAATAATGAAATACATTCAAGGAACTAGACAAAAATGGCCAACTCGTGCATAAGGCCTATAACATATGATCGAGAGATCATTTTTCAAAATGGCAGTGGGCTTCGGTATACCTTTCAGGGTGGTTATTTGGAAGGACGTATCACACGAGAGATGTTGAATTTATTATCCTCACAAAAGTGACAAACCAAGCTGTAAGTTGATGTATGTTTTGAACACCTTGGGAAACTATGAGTTATATCGAATTGAGGTTATCCATCATTAAACCTTCTGTATAAAAAATCAATGCATTGTCAATCCTTGAGGTAAAACCATGCATTTCAAGATAGTAAGTGCCTAAACCAAGCTTTACCCAGTGCTTTTTGTTTTTACCAGTGGTTGAGCGAGAAGGTAGCGGCAGATCTCCCCGATGTACAGGATGACATTGGCTCGATACTTGCGGACCTCATCCCAGTAAGTCTTGGGAGAGAACGTTCCCAGTGCGATAGTGCAGCCTGCATATGATGCACACAAATCAGAAAAAAAAGATCAGTATGTAACGATATCTAACTTTTTAGAATGACGTACCAGAGTCGCGCCGAACCAAATTATTTCGCAATTAAATTATACAAAATATCTCCTGTCAGTATTACAAAGGTTCTGAACGAATTCAGGGTGTAGGCTACTCATGGTAAACCTATACAAAAGTTTGGCTGTCTGAAAGCAAATTCCATAACCTGAGTCTCTCCTACTATATGGTTTGAAGCGACTATGGAAGGACAGTATGAAGCAGATGTAACGTCCCCCGAGTTTCGAGAAAGTGCCTCCGCGACTCCAGCCCTCTCCTAGATCCTAAACACTTCATCTTGAGGGAGAAGCCTGTCATGCGCTGTTCATGGTGATGATTGTGCCAAGGATCCAAGACATTCATAAGTGTAAAACAAGCATGGGACAATGTTAAGGACAACAATGCATTTAATCATTTGGTAATAGTAAAAGGAGAAGCAATAGTCACATCTGATTCAGAAAACCAAGGGAAAGTGTTCTTGTCACGAAGGAAACCATCATGTACCAGATAGATTGAAAGAAATAGGATTTCGTCAACTTTAAGTCTAGTTGATCGAAATTGTGTATAGTGATATCAGATCAAACAACCTCCCATTGCAAGCAGTATGATACCGAATAATATTACGTAACATTTTGTTTGTACTGTGGATCGTCTTCTCATGACGTGCTTTTGTTGTGATACTTGTAATCATTCAGTTCTTTATTACTCTTGACAAAAGTGCATGTATATTTTCTAAGGGGACTCCTCAGTAATTGTTGAGCAAATGACGATACGGCGCAGTTATTGTACAATCAGACGTCAATCCCGGGCTAGTGACGTACCGTAACTAGCTCAGGTCTAGGCTACATGTACATATTGCTATAATTCAAGAAGTATTTCACAATCCTTAATTTTTCACTCAACAAAATCGCCGGTGTGATGTGACCGGTTCTATTGGGCGTGACACTTTTCCAGGTCAAAATGACATTCTTTGACTCAATTTCCGGGTCATTTTCTGGACATTGTCAGGCAAAAATAGCTGACCAAGGACTTTTTAGAGTAAGGTGAAGCTGCTAATTGCTTCAATAAACGTCTTCATTTCTGCTGTTTATCCAGAATTATGGCGTCGTAACACAACGTCCCAATTCGCTCAAAATACGGTCATTATAGACCTCATGTGTACAGGCGCGGATAACCGGATCCAGAGTGGGGGGTCGAACCCTCAATCCCCCCCCCCCCCCCACTCTGACACCAAACAAATGTGGGTTTTTTTTACAATTGTAATAATAATAATTACTTATATGTCCGCCTGTCCGCAATAAATCGAACATACAAAAACTGACGGGCCTGACCTCCCCCCCCCCCTTGCAATAATTCCTTGATCTGCCCCTGGCTTAGTAGCCATCTGACAAGGCAATGCTTTTGTGTTGCTGGGATGTGCATGAGTGAGCCTACTGAGCATTCATTGTAACTATACCCAGCATTATTTAAGACGAAGGGGGTACCCCCAATCTCCCTATACCATATGCAAACCCTAGACTATTGTGACCTAACCCCCCCCCCCCAGATATCTCAAAAGAATTCCTGAGATTCTGGTAACACAATAACCAACACAAAGGAGGAGGGGGGTCCCTGCGTCTCATATCGTGCTTCATATGATTGTAACTGCATTATTAAAATAAGAAAAGATGCCCGCTAAGATGGTCGCTACGCATAAGGATCTATTCACCTGTAAATATTGTCGTCATGAGCCCCATCCCGAACGCCATGCTGTGGTAGAGCGGCAGGGTGACGTAAAAGATATCCGAAGGTTCCAGCTCGGCCTGCATCGACATAACTGCACTGCCACCACACGACCGATAATGGGATAACTTAGCTGGCTTCGGGAAACCTAGGGAAGTCAAACCAGTAGCCGTTACTTACAACATTTAGTCATCATTATTATAGATATTAATTATTATCGAGATGAAAACCACATCTCGGTCTGGCGATTGTGCGGTATATCATTGAAAGTATTAGGTAAAATCTGACCCGAGCCTTTTTAGAGTGTACGAACTCTACAAACTATTTCCCAACAGCGTATTATTGATTGTTTGACACTTTGATTCAGAGGTAGTTACGACGCCATTACAAAAAGCACTACGTCAGCTGTTCAACGTGTAATTTGTTAACTAAAGGTATCAAATGTGGCACTCTGCAAAAAATGGAGTGTGAATTGAACCCATGTGATATCTTAAAGGACTGGTGTAAAATTGTAACACAGTCTGTGGTACTAGATACCACCGGTGTTAATTGTAACACCGCGGTGCAGAGACTACCTGTTGTCCCTGAGGTAAAGATGTACACTGACACATCGTTGGCTGTGATTCCATCTCGAACGCTCCTTGGAATCGGATCGCTCCGCTCGTTCCATGTCTGGACCTGGGTCATTCCTGAGGACAGAGGGCGCTCGCTGACCTCGCCTAGGACCCACACCTTGATCCCGAGGTCCAGAATGTCCGGCATGATGGTCTCCAATTCTTCCAGAAGCTGTGGTTCTGTCAAAACATAATGCAAATTTATGACCAAGTATTATTAAGGTAGTACCCATGGTATGCAATTTAAAGGGTGCATGAAATGTAACTTTTGTTTAATTATTCTTGAAAATGTACCTTTTGTGTCCTATTTAACCGTATCTTCAATTTCCATTTTTGCCATTTCAAGGGTACTGAAAAGGGTACCTTTTTTGTTTTTATGCTAATGCGAATTTCCATATTTATGACCAAAAACATGATTTCATATCAATGCACAAAGAGTTGCCAGAATTTTGGATATTTCGCTGTCGTAAACTTTTCTTTAGTGATTCGTTGGTGTGTCAGTTAATGGCAGTTAGCCAGTGAGCAACCTTTTCTGGCAAATGTTTTTAATAAGCAAATGTTTGGGTTCACCATTTCAATAGAAAAACACCTAATATGAACAGAGTATTTAAAGGGATAATACAACATTTGCAAACATCAAAAAATAAAACTACCAAATCACTTTGAAATACCTTGCTGGACTGTTAGTGAATGACAGTGTAAAGCATCCTGTAAAATCATGGCACCTGGTATACTGTCATTTTCAAGAAAAGTGGTATTTTTGTATCAATTTCCAACGGTGATCGGCCGATCAGCGTTGGAAACAACTGGTTTTTTTTTCAAATACTGGCCACAATCGACCATCGCACTTGTTTGCAATCGATTACAAACCTATGAACGGGTACGAGCCAGCTAGACTGGTTCACTGACCTTACAATTCCCCAATGTATGTAAACTGCTCTGTTTCTTCTTATATGGAGTCAGGGAACCAGACTACAGGGAAATGATCGTTTTTCTTGGTTTTTATAGCATTTTCGAACCCAAAACCTCAAAAAAGTCAGTGTAACTATATTTGCTATATATTTCGAACCCCCTAATTCCATCCATTTCTGAAAATTACAGCAAAAGCAAATGATGTATATTCCCTTTAACTGAAATGACATCACGGCAACAGCGCCCTTAGTTGTCTAGAAAAGCATGGACAACTTTAAACGTTTAAAGAAGTGCACTTTTTAGCAAAATTAACCCAAAAAGGGATGTCAATTAGTTTTCATACACTTAAGAGGATTAGAAAGTAGCACAAAATAAGTTCCTAAGAAATATTCACTTCATAGGCCCTTAACGTGAGGAACATACCTGTAACCTTGGTAGTTTTTATAATGAAAATTACAGTTTTCTGCACTGAAATAATCTGGGTTCGAATTTAACAGGGATTATGAAAGGATCCAGAAAAAAGTCCCGCAAAGATTTGGACAAGCGAGAATGAATACCAACACTGTGTTAAATAATAACAAAGGTGTAATTCTCCTCACGCGTCTAGAGCTGTATCGATTTCATTATTGGTGAGCAATGAATACAAAATGCCGTGTCAAAGTTCATTTGAATAGACGGTAAATAAAAACATCTGCATTTTGCACCATGACAGTGGGCAGGTCTTTGTTCCTGTGTGATAAACTGTCATGGCGCACCGTGGAAAGAATATATTTGTGATTAACAGTGGCGTAACAACGAGGGGGGGGGGGGGGGGGTCACGAGCACGTGCCCAGGGTGCTCCCTATTTCAAATCTTAAAATTTAACAGAAAATAATATATAATTTGCCTTAGTGCCCCCTTTGAATTATTGGTGGCACCCCCAGGTGCCCCCCCCCCCCGCCCCCAGTTTAACCACTGCTTTCAGGGGCGGATCCAGGAATTTTTGCAGTTGGGGGGGGGGGGTTCATCAGCCACAAAATGCTGAAATGTACACAGGTCTATTTTTCCTCCGGACACTTGGCCTCCGTAATATCAATAGGTGGTTGGGGGTGGGGGGGGGGGTCCCACCATACTTTTAATGGGGCGCTGTTCAAATCTGACGAAATCATCAACGCTATATTACAGAAATAACCCCGTAAAAACGTAATACCCTGTTGGCTCCGACAAAATTCTGTGCGCAGGTGGATATTATTAACAGTATAATTGTCATAATTTGTGGAGGGTGTCAGACAGTGGCGTACGCAGGATTTTTTCAAGGGGGGTGTTTCAAAATTGGATGTCGTCATTTGTGACGCTAGAAATGAAGATGGTAAATTGTGTTGGCGCCAGAAATAAAAGATAGTATCAGTGGGCTAAACTTAACGCTAAAATAAAAGTCAGGAGTTTGTGTTGGCGCCAGAAGAGGGTATATTTGGACGGGTTAAACTCGAAGGGCCGGGAACCCACGACCATCAGTTATCTTTTTGAGCTAAAGCATAGTAAATCGGGGAAAAAATGTTCTGTGTCTTTAGAGTATTATGATGAACATATGAGTAAAGGGGTCAATGTGGGCAGTCCCCTCCCCGACAGCATTTAAACAAAAAAAAGAAGAAATTCAAGAAAAAAAGTGACGAGGGCTGCGGAAGTGCTAGGATCTGTTCTTGTAATTGGCTAAAATTACTCCGCTTCGTCCCCTGGATCTCATGATTTTCATCCGTTGGGAATCTTTGTGTAAACCGCCCCCACCCCTAAGGCCAAACTTCAGATACAGGATACATATGCGCTCTGGTCACAGGGACGGATTCAGACTGCCATTTTCCGGGGGGCCTAGAATTATTGTAATGAAGGGTCCAGGACCTGTGAGCGCGCAGCGCGAAGCCCTGACGGCGTGGGGTCCGGGGCCCGCTTAAGGGCCCCGGGAAAATTTGGATTTTAGATGCTCTGTGGTGCAATCTGAGGCGATTCCTGGCCACTTCCACCGTTTAGAAAACGTTTTAAACATCGAAAATTCCATTTAATTTTGTTATTTTTTTTTGTTCTTTATAAAGTTTGTTATGTACTCAAAGTTGAGAACCATGTTCCATCTCCGTATTTTTTTCACATTTTTCTATTTTGGAAAGGGATTTAGGCAGCGAATGTAGAGCCATTCGCTGCTGAAGGTACAAAATGGTGGGGGCACAGCTAAGGTGAATTTATAGCATAGAGGGAATTTGGCCGGAGGACTAATGCGGAGCGCGAAGCCCTTACGGCGTGGGGTCCGAGGCCCGCTTAAAGGGCCCCTGGGAAATTTAGGATCGTAGATGCTCTGTGGTGCAATCTGAGGCGTTTCCTGGCCACTTTCCCCTGATTTTTTTAACAGAAGTTTTTAAGCTTATGTTGGGATATTTTGTTTCATTTGTTTCAAATACATATAGGCCTATATACTCTGCTCTTATAAAGTGTCTTCTGTATTCGTCAAAGCATAACAATGAGAACATGCACATAATTTGTAATTGTTCCGCGCTCGGTCACATAACTCTCTTCTCCCTCCATATTTTTACATGGCAAAGGGGGGTGTTTAACAGCCAAAACACCCCCCCCCCCCCCTGCGTACGCGCCTGGTGTCGGAGAAGGAGCTGGTTTTGGGGGGTTGTTTTACCCCCCCCCCCCCCGGATCCGCGCCTGGGCTTTGGACTGACCTAGACTACAACTCACCTTTCCCACACATGATAGCTTTGACCTTACAAGCCTTGATGCAGTGCAGTAAGGCCCGACCCTTCAGGTTGTAGTTCAAGAAAGCTGTCTTGACTCCCAGTTTGCTGAAGGCCAACCAGCTAATGATGAATCCAGGGTCATTCAGCATCAGGATTGCTGCGGAGTCCTTACAACCAAGTCCACCCTGACTCATCATGAACCGCGCCAGCTTGTTGCCTTCCCCGTCCACCTCCCCGTATGTGAACGAGTCGTCACGGTAGAGCAGGAACGGTTTATCCGGTGTCTCCTTCGCTCGCAACTCGAAGAAATCCACCATGAAGAAGTTGTTTTTCTGCAAGTTTTGTAGGCGTTTCAGCACCTGATAGCTATGGTACAACTTCACGATGTCATCGGCTAGAGTCGGCCCGTACTTCAGGCGGAGGTAGACCGCCCCTACTATGGGCAAGCCGAGAGCTGTTGCGGCAGCCGCGCGAGCAACACGCCGGTAGTCGATTTGAGGACCTGGCATTTTACTTTTTTAGAGAGACCCCAGGGTACAGTTAAACAATGAATGATAGAAATTGGCAAAAGTCCTATCAGTATCAGTTCACTGCACCGTGGCACGGACGTATGGGTCTTCAGAGCACGATGGGTACTGCTATTCAAAGGTCAAACGATCCGGTTGATAATGCACACAACGTATTGTAGCCATTGTGGCCCAGTAAGTACATGTACTGCAAGGATTATGACTATGGGACGATGTTTACTAGATTATCATAAACGATGCTAGACTTGTCCAAGCTCTTTGCTTGGCACGAAACGTCCAAATTTGATAATCTTTTCGACATCCTAAAAGAAACAATGTACGTGAGACAGGCCCAGGCCTATTCTTAAACAGAAAAATAGCCACAATATTTCAATTTACCACCACAGAACAGTTTAAATATTCTATTAGAAAATACAACGAACTAACCAAATTTGATAATCGAATTCCTAACTACCATACACTTTTATTTTTCTGCCTTTCTTGCAGAATTTAAACAACGAAATTTAGACTTAATAAAGAATCGAGGGTTTACAGAAATTGTAAGAGAAATGACACCGTTTAAGCATTTTTTGTTTGGAAGTCCCCCCCCCCAAAGAAAAAAAAGAAAAAATAATCGGGTCCCCATGATAACTAACCGTGAGTTACATAAGGCAGCCCATCTCAAATCACGGTCCTTTTTCTGAATTGTTGAAAGCAACGGTTTCAGTAATAACTGAGCTAAAAAGGGAGCATGTTCCTATGTAAAATCCTCCAAATCCACAATTGCAAGTCAAAGCGGGACATTCGTGTCGAGCGACTAGCTATAGTTCATGCTCTAATTGCTACACAGCCTGATCATAGTCCAAAATGTGTCCATTGATAAGACTTAATCGAAGCCGATATCCTGGGCGATAACTTCCAAACATTAAACCAGATCTTTAATTTAATTTTTAGCAATCCTCAATTCAACTGGTGTTTTGTGTGTGTTTTTTTTAAAGAGGGGACAAACGTTTTGCTCCATATCTGTAATATGAAGGAATTTGTCAGGAAAAAAACCCGGTTAATTGCCAAGAAATATCGACTGAGCCGAAAGTTTCTCACGGACATGAAGGATAGCAGAAGCCGTTCGTTGTTTCTGGAAACTTTAATACAGAACGCCTGGCACAGAAATCTCAGATCAATTGATTATATTTTATATCTTCTTTTTTGTTTTTTTGCTGACAAAATACGGCTCTATTCAACCCAATCTAAGTTCACTGATTCCAACCAAAAACCAGTCATCAATGCACACACGTTGTCATACTATGTGTGGTCAATGCATAGAGCAATATTTAAAAAATGGGCATCAGCAAAGACCAACTCGGATTATGTCAGATACATTACTCGTCCTTCTTTGAAAATTGTCTCGTAATTTTTAAGATATTCGGAAAAAGCCTCAAGTTGGACTCGATATGTTTAAGGAATTAGCCATTGGTATCGTGAGGGTTCTTATTATAGCGGTTTCCGCTCAGGCCTTTGACTTTGTTTCAGTGAATTTCAAAGCTTTCTTCAGTTTCACGCATTAACCAAGTTGATACTTGATATATGTACATATACAGCGATCGACGTGTTATAGATGAAAATTGACGTGGCGTCAGTGATGACTTCACAAGTATCACGTTACGTCGTATTAAAGGTGTTTTTTTTTATCAATGCCCTATATCTAAATTTAGAACTGCATGCATGTCCAATTGGGTTGGTAATTGGTATGTATAACATGAATACATAAACATCACATTAAAGGTGTATTTTTGAAGCCCTATACTAGGCTATACATACCGAATAGAACTACAGGTCCCATTTGGCTGATACATAGTATTTTCATAGACAGGGACTGTTATAGGTGAAAACTGAGGTGACGTCATGATGACGTCATACTGCGTTACGTGACGTCTCATTAAAGGTGATTTGACGTCTTATATCTATTTAAAGGGCCAAACAATGTAGTTTTTAATGCAGTCCTGATATTGTGTTTCTTTTAACCAGATTTTCAATTTTCGTTTTGCGATTTTCAAGGGTAGTTTTTCGGATGCCTTTTCCTTTTTTTTCTTGGCTAATGCGAATTTCCATATTCATGAAGGAATGTGGAATGTCATTTCAGGCAGAAACCTCAATGTTACGGCTATTTCAGCACCAAAAGTTCTTTGAATTTTGGCTATTTTGCTGTTGTACATTTTCTTTTCTTTGGTGATTCGTTGTGTCAGTACATGGCAGTAAGCCAATTATCAAACTTTTGTCAGAAAATGTTTTCAATGAACACATTTTGGGGTCACAATTTGTACAGAAAACCCCTAAACTGAACACGTGCATGGCTTCCTGAAATGACATGCTGCAGGATTGAGGCAGTGGTGCCGGCAAAATAGAAAATGAAGAATGGAGAAGGATGGGGAAAGGAAGAGGGAAGATGAAAAATGGAGAAAGTAAATAATAAACACCGCTGCTATGCTAAAAACTCCGCGAAGCTACTATCCGTTCTGAACCCATGGCAAACAAATTGTACATTATGTCATGTCAACACGAGCTAGCGTGCGAGGTCGCTTCATAATACGCGGTCATTAGAGACACACTCTCGGAAAAAATGGTTCGGATAACATTGTTAACTTATTTCTTATGATGGGACTGCGGTTTGGCCGAAGTCAATTGAGCGTGATCGGCTGACTGATAAGGTTTACATACAAAACCCCAAGACAACGAGGTTTTTGTATAGAAAGCTGCTGGACTACATTTTGCGAGAGTGTGTCCGTAATGCTTGAAGCCTGCCGGTAATGCTGAGCCTGCATACTGCCAAAGTTACCATTGGCATCCCTACATGATTTTCTCATGCAAATAGGACCCATTTTGGACCCTAATTTTATCAAATCTGCTCTTAGATAATAGCCCAAAAGCTAGGGAGATGATCCTCGGCTATATTCGCACGATTCCACCGATTTTTAAACTAGACGGTCTCGTTTTTTGCAAAAAATTGTGGGGGCACTTTTTATGCAAATGAACGACGTGGACGCGTAGAAATTTTGAAACCCTAATCAAATTGATTGCGCCCGCAATCTTATTGCGGCATTATTGCGCCATTCTGATATATCTTCTGTTTAGCCCACCCCCCCCCCCCCCACAGCCACCCCCCCCACCACCACACCGAAAAATAATGGTAATTAAATACTGTTAAAAATGTGCTCGTTTATTCAGAAATTCATGAAGCATATTCAAACTGATTGGATGTTTCCAAAGTGTCTTTCCCATTCGCAAAAGTTCTTTTTAAAAGCCCATCAAGACGGCCACAGCTGTGCAAGCATGTGCTCGCTCGCAGGTGGTTACGAATTGATGGATCAAGCTAAATAGAGCAATTTTCAAAGAGAGTAAAGCTACAGTTTGATGTGATGTTTGAGATGTCATGATAATATCAACTTTGATGACCCTCTCCCATCTCCATATGCACGCTTTCATATGTCATTCAAAATTAAGGGAAAGTGGCCATGCAAATGCCTCAGATTGCACCACAAAGCATATAATCCAAACATTTCCCGAGGGCCTTCAATATGCGGGCCCCGGACTCCGCACCCTCAGGTCTTCGCACCCCGCGCTCGCATAAAGTTCCACCCTCCACGTTTTCCCCTTCTCCCTCCCCCTCCCCCCCCCCCCCCCCCCCCCCCCCCCAGTCTGGGATCAGGGCACGGGCCTGAACAAGGTATGCGCACACGTACTGAGCGTGTACACGCAGTTTTGCGACGAGCAACGTGTCCAAAACTTTTCAATATGAAAGGGCCAAATTTTGACGATTTACTTATCATATATCCTGAAATATTATTCCCGTTCAAAGTAATCAACATACATATTAACCATTTATACATTTGTGGAGAAAATTAGAAATGAGTTCAAGGGATCATTTTGGGCGGAAATAATTAATTACACTCTTTTGCGTGACGGTCCGTAGGCAAATTTCATGATTTGCCGACAAATCATGAAATTCAAAATGGTCACGCCCGTGTTAAATTGAAGCCTTTTAACTATTTACAGATAATGAAATTATTTGGGGTATAAAAACATGCGTTGTTGCAAATTATAATGAACTCAAGACTATCATCACTTGATTAGTTTTCTTCAAGTTTTCGAGTTTTTAGTAGTGTTGATTTGCATAGGAATATTCACATGATACGGTACTCCATTGTTAGTACATGTATCATAAATACATTATTAACTCATAACTGCCTATCAGGGAAGATGGGGTCGGAAGAAGAAGTCGAAGTCTCAGTAGATGGAGAGAGGCTGGAATGTGTCACCCAGTTTAAGTTCCTTATTTGGCTTTACAATCACGGAGGATGCGCAAGATCTGTAGCTGAAATCATAAGGATTGCTGCCACCTCAGCATTAGCCAAATTGAAACCGCGATCTGGCGTGACAAGAACATAGCATCAAGGATGCAGCTACTGCGGGCTCTGGTAACATTTTCTTGTAATGGTTGTGAGACCTGGACAATTACAGCAGAGATGGAGAAGAGAATCAACGCCTATGCGGAAACTGCTCCAATTAAGTTCATCAAGCCACAACACTAACCAATGGCTGTGCGTGAGCTAATGGAGGGCTACCGGCAAGCAAGAGAGATTAACAGCAGAAGACCGAAACAAATGAAATAATTGTGTGACAAATACCATCATAATACGTCGCCCCTATACGGCCGTAACGCTATGGGACAGAAGGACTATATAAGTGTGACCCTTGCTGTAATTTTGAGCCGAGTAGATAGAGGCAGTCGGCAACAACAATATATCTCAATTTTGCTGGTTTAATTCTGTGGGACGAAGACGAAACAATGTTGGTGAGTCTACGTCTAAAATCATTATCAAGTAAATAAATTAAAAGTAAAATAATGGAAATGCAACAAATAGAATATTTAACACTCTGCGGTTCGCGCCAAAATTACGGCAGCGGCCGCCATCTTGAATTATACATCAGTTACAAGCAAAATCAACGTTGATAAATCTAAAATAGGTCTAATAATGCAAATACCGAAGATATAAACAAATAGATCTCTTCAATACTCACAGAAGCAAGTAACTTAAGAAGGAAGATAATCGGAAACAGGAATAGTCTGGCGTTGATACTTTCTGTTCACCCAAATAAAGTCAATTAAATACATCTATAATCGATGAAATAATCATCGTAACGGCAAATAAGAATGAGTAATGTAATGTATGATAGTTTATAGTGCTAAGAAAATGATAATCAAACAAAATAAAGTGAATTTACAGCAAAAGATTATTACCTGTGGGACGAAGACGAAACAACGCTGGTGAGGCTAAGTCAAAAATCAGTATGAAGGAAGCGCGCGAAACCTAACATAGGTTGTAACGGCGACCCAAAGAGGCCGACCGTCAGTTGGGAGGATTAACTAATTAATAAAAAATACATGGATGTTGATCTCAAAATAACAGACAAAGGGAAAAGTATATGCAATATCAGAAAATAGAAATAATGAGAATTTAATTAGCGCTTAATTCTTCGCTTACAAAATAGTTAACCAGGGGAGAGCATGCAAATATGAATAATAGAATTTGAATGACTAGTCACCGTTCTGACAGAGCAGAGTTCAGATTGGGACCACTACGATGAAACACCGTAGTCTACAAGGCCATGTAAAAACTATTGGGTGCAAGGGGGGTATAATTGGAACATACTCACAAGACTATGCATGACCACTAAACCCTAGGTGTAAAGTAATGATGCTGGTGGCGTCTTGCACAAAAACGAAGGCTAAACTAAACTAGGCTTCCACCTTCAGCCATACATCATGTACAGGAATTAACTTAGAAAATATGGAACTAAAATGCACACCACCATCTACCACCATGCCCAAGTCCACGCCCTACTGGGCTTTCAAAGGGGTTTTATAGCGCTGAATATGCATAAGAATTTCAAGATTGAAAATACTAATATGCAGTGTCCACTATGGATTACTGTGGCCAAAGCGCTCTCTATATAGTTTAAAGGTGCAATTGTTGGGACCATAATAAAATCAATATTTGTTACAATAAATACAGGTAGATAAAGAAATTGTTACGTAATCAGGTAAGTATAGGCTAAACAAAAATAAACAGGGTATTAAACTTATGCATGACCGTCATAAGGAAGGAAGCGCCGAATCAACCCGTTGTTCTGTTCTGTCTCTATAGTTTTATATCTATTCTTCTGCATCACAAGTGCGCTCATGCTCATTGTGCTCATATAAGTAGTAAAATACACAATGTCCTTGTCATGACTGTTTGCGATTTGCTCGCAAATGACAAAAAAACTCAATCCATTCAGATTATTCACAGCTATAAGGAATGCGTGTTACATGTAACGGGGTTCCGTATGGGGCGCATACAAGCAGAGAAATTAGCATTTTCTCTATGGGTATACCATACAATAGTCAAGGATTTCTGCAAGGGCACGGAGCTATTGCTATACCTCCATGGTGTTATCAATATGTGCTCAATAGAGTGTATGACTTAGGTCATGCCAGTAACCTGAGCGTGGAACTGTGACCGAATACACTAGACATCGATGTAGAGTGCATGGTAGGCCCTAACTTGCATGTTAGTGAATGCCGTCAAGGCCAAAAGCGAGATTGAGCTACGTTTATTTGGAACAGCAGAGTCAACGTTGATATGCGACTGGCAGCAACAGGAAATTTACTGTAAACGGTAAGTTCACTTTTGCACTTCACTTCACTTTATTTTCCATGTAAATGTCAATACATAGGTAAGGATGGTATACATATATTGAAGGTCATCATGAAAGTGTATAAGGACTGAATATGTACATATATTTCGTCCAAAAAAGCCTTTCCCGTCCCCCAGCTATGAATACTGATTGATAGAAGCTGCCAACTAGTCTTGGTTCAAGACTGGATTTAAAGTTTAAGCTCTGGCAACAGAGCTTACAAGTCACTTTGGTTTCTGTTGGTTGGTTTCCCACAAAAATTGACCCAACCCGGAATTAACTCACCCATAAAACTGAAAGTACCAAAAGCATATCAAATACATTAAATAGTTGACAATAAAAGTAACAATTCGTGAAGATGATTGTAACAATTTGTGACAGTGTTTATGAATGTTTTCAATTATAATGTGTGATAATGTAATGGTCACGTGGTATACACGCCCCATAAACCTGAGGGGCTAGGGGGCAACGCGTTGGTTTCCTATAAACAGACCTTGGAAAGTACCTGTGCACTATGAATCGCCTCGGCTATGGCCTTGGGCCCTGGGGCACTTTTATGGGTCCCGTGGGAGGCATATGGGGGTATTGGCCAAAAGTATGGTGTTCCATATGTGACATCCGCGCTTCATTTTTCAGCGTCGCATTTTTCAGCTCTAACAGCTTCAAATGACTAGGATATGTGGTGAAAAAGTCCATTATATTAATTCACCCATCAAACTGAGATCTGCACCCGATTTCATCAGACTCTTCGTAAGTTACGATGCATCGCAGCGATGCGACGCGTCATATCTCTACGACGATCCATTTCACAAAACACGTCGTAAGTGCGACGCGTCGTAGGTGTATTTATAGCACAACTCGGTGACTGTTTTATTATGTATTTAGTCAGCGTACAGTAAATAGTCGTCCGATATTCAACAAAGAGTCGTCGGATCTCAGCTCAAAATTTGTTAAAACGTAAAACAAAATGGCGGCCGTGCGATGCAATTTTGAAGGAAAACAAACTCTCATTGGACTGTATAGCTACTTTGAAATTTCAATTCTAATATTCCGGTCTAATTCATAATTATTCAATGAATTTTCTATTTACAACTTTACACACATTGCCTCGGTATTATAATCTCGTTAATGTAATGTTTATGGCATAAAACTGGCTTAGAATTGACTCTTCTTATTTTGCGACGACAACTAGACACGTCTTAACTTGCGACGTGTTTTAAGCCGTTGTCAAGGAACTTACGACGCGTTCAACACATCGCAACTTTCGTGAAATGGAAGATACGACGCGTCGCGAGTTGCGACGTGTTACACGTCGTAACTCGAGTTGCGACGCGTCGCAGCGCTTCGTGAAATCGGGAGCTGAGGTTGCTGCGGTTCGTTTTGGTAACGCCATCTTTCGGCGGATGAACGCGTATCAATATACAACAACGTCTCGACACCCATGCATTAGCTTAAATGCAGCGCGCGTGAGGTATGCTCGGAATTTCCCGGGTAGCACTGTCAATATTGCCAAGACTGGGTTTGATTCATCTTGTTGATGGCGACCTCAGTACCAATCCAGCAGGCCCCGCCCATTGCGCCCACAGTGAAAGTAGTTATCCGCACCCGATTTCAATTCACGAAGCGCTGCGACGCTTCGCAACTCGAGTTACGACGTGTAACACGTCGCAACTCGCGACGCGTCGTATCATATATTTCACGAAAGTTGCGATGTGTTGAACGCATCGTAAGTTCCTTGACAACGGCTTAAAACACGTCGCAAGTTATGACGTGTCTAGTGGTCATCGCAAAATAAGAAGAGTCCCTTTCTTAGCCAGTTTAATGCCATAAACATTACATAAACGAGATTATAATACCGAGGCAATGTGTGTAAAGTTGTAAATAGAAAATTCAATGAATAATATGAATTACACTGGAATATTGCAGTTGAAATTTCAAAGTAGCTATATAGTCCACTGAGAGCTTGTTTTCCTTCAAAATTGCATCGCGCGACTGCCAGTTTGTTTTACGTTTTAATAAATTTCAAGCTGAGATCAGACGACTGTTTGTTGAATATCAGACGACTTTTTACTGTACGCCGACTAAATACATGAAAGAGTCAACGAGTTGTGCTATAAATACACCTACGACGCGTCGCACTTACGACGTGTATTGTGAAATGGATCGTAGGACGCGTCGCAGCTGCGACGCATCGTAGGGTTACGACGCGTCGCAGCGCTGCGATGCATCATATGTTACGAAGAGTTTGATGAAATCGGGTGCCGGTTCGTTAGTAAAAAGTCATGCGCGCGCACCACTGATTGCTAGCGCCCATTGGATAAACGCTTGAGTTGCGTTAACTGCCGCTCCCATCAGTGCTATGGCTACACCGTGCGAAGAACGCATGGTTAAATTGAGACTGACGAACCGGATACAGAGTGAGACAGTCACACGTGCAGGAACTGCCAGCAAAGATATCTCAGGCTAAGGCCCTCCCTCAACATTAAGTCAACACATTAATCCAAAATGTCCATACCGCGAACATTATTTTCGATATCATCAAGGAAAAAAAGGCATCCATTCTCAGTAATTCTAGATGACGAGAATAAAATAACAACTGTTTTTACTGTATGAACTATGTTCAGATGGTTGGTGGTAGAATTGACCTTATAGTACAGTGGCAATATATCTCAAAGGGCATTTTTGTTATTTCAATTCAGTAACAAAATGCACAAAAGGTTCTTTCATGAATATCCCAGCAAAACAAAGGCACTGCCCTCTAAGATGGCTGCTACACAAGGTCTATTGGACAGGAAAGTATGAGTGATTATAGATGTCGTTCGTGGTATAGGTCATTTAAAGTGTACAATGACGGGCAATTTTATATCATTCGGTTTTCCCTCACACAATTTTACTTTATCAGTCTTCAACTAATAAGAGATTATGTAGTTTGCAGTTGTAATAATTGAGAGTAAGCTGTTGCATGCCCTCGACATGTCTGTTCCTGAAACTTTAATGTGATGGGGTTTGACGGTTAAATCTGTCCTATCGTCTTTCACAGATTTAGGTTGTCGCTCATACTGCAAACCACACAAGTCAGCATGGTACTTCTGTTGCTCATAATCGGCGCCGTGCTAGCCGGCCTACTGACACTGTTCATATACATCAGACTGACCTACCCAGCTTTCTTCCACGACCTATCCGAGTTTCTACTAATTGCTCGCAAGGTGATGGGACCATCGGAGAAGCTGATGCGCAAGGGGTTGTTTCAGGTGGATGTATTCGAGTCCTATGCCAAGAGCCAGCCGGACAAGCCATTCGTATTGTACCAAGATGAGAGGCACACTTACGCCGATGTGGACCGCGCCGCTAACAAGGTGGCTAACTACCTCAGGAAAAGTAAGGCGGTGCAGGTGCGTACAACAATGAATCTTGAGAATAGAATTAATCAGTAGAAAGGTCTAGTTAAATACCATCTGGCCAAAGACTTAGATTTTACAAATTGTACCAATAAAAAAGGCCCAAAATGCAGTTTATATGACTGTGTACACCGTTTAACTTACGCCAAGTAAAAGCGTAACGGTTCATAACACGAGAATTCCCCTCAGGTTTTTTTAAAACAAAAACACGTAAGTGTTCACCTTAAAGATTTTTGTAAACGTTTCTCACTCCGAAACAACGTTGAAACGTAACTGGACTTTTTATCTTCGTTAATTTATGGCTCATTAATAAACGCAGCAAATGTTGTTACAGACGATGAGGGAAGTACAAGTATGCAATATTGTTTTGCGGTGGTTTGGTTTTGACGTTTATCTATTTGGTGTCGTGTATTTGAGTTGCCAGGAATCTGTTCTTGAATATGGCTAATAAACAATGTGTTTCCACCTCATGCAACTATCCATATCATTATTTTTTGTTCGTAGTTTCAATCAGCTGGGCAGAAGTTTATTAATGACAAATTTGAGGGAAAAAAACATGAACAGGGAAGTCATGTATCATGCTGTCAGCAGCGAGTGCGCGTTTCCTCCAAATGAAGATTTCGCACCATGGGACCTCGATCTTTAAAACCCTTTTCCCTTTGCAGTTTGGTGACATTATGGGCATCTTCATGCACAACGAACCGGCCTATATATTCACGGTGATTGCGCTTCTCAAGCTCGGAGTGACGGGAGCCAATCTTAACATCGGTCTGAGGGCAGACGCGCTCATCAATTGCATCCGGGTCGGGAAAATGAAGACGATCATCTGTGGCCGAGGTAAGAAAAGCCTTCTCCTTATGACCGTCAGAGCATACTCTATTCTCTTTAGAGCTAGTGGAGCCACACAGCTTCTCTTAAGAAAAGCTTGGTATATTTTCAACAGTATTTTACCGCCTTTACCTATAGTGATACGCACTAACTCCTTTACTACTGCAGACATTTTTCTGCTGCAGACATTTTTCTGCTGCAGACATTTTTCTGCTGCAGACATTTTGTTTGGCCGGTTTAAATCTGATAGCAGCGGATATCGATTGGTATACATGAAACGGTACTGGATAACGCACCCCGGCGTTCTTTAAACGACACGGAACTTGCTGAATCTTTGTCTTTCATGTTACAAAACGTAAGCAGGGTCCAACATTTCATGGAGCCGCTTAGCAGAATATGATGCTTAGCAAAGCTCAGCTGAGTACCAGTTAAAACAACATACAATGTGGGACACTTTGGTTGGTAACCTCGTTTTGCCAAGCAATTATTTTAGGTGCTTAAATGAACCCCAGTGAAATAAAGGTGAGAGTTCCCGGAACGGAATTCAGCACGATCGGGTTCAAATTCTGATTGAACACACTATCACTCAATACACCAAATACATCAACAACATTCTGCGTGACAATAATAATATATAGAATTAATGCTCGATCCCCCCCCCCCCTTCCCAAGATCCCGATTTGGTGGAAGCCATGCTGGCGATCATGGAGACGCTCAAGGCCCAAGGCATCCAAGTGTTCATAACCCAGAGCCCGGAAGCCGAGACCGTTCCAGAGGGATTCCTTCCGGTTGACCTGACCTCGCCCCTCGCCTCGACCGAAGCAGTACCGCGTGACGTGCGTAAGGGCAGCTCGTATTCAGACGCTGCTTTCTTTTTCTACACTTCAGGAACGACTGGTGAGTATTAATAAAATGCTTTAAAACACCAACTTGGTTTTTATTTCATTAATTTTTCTTTACCCATAAACTGTACATCTATTAAACTATATTAAAAAGACTTCATCTAGAATGTCAACTCGGTATATTTAAGTTCGCTCCTATTTTGTTTCTGCTAAAAGACAGCTTCTCAGTAATCAATTTGATTCTGATTAAAGCTCTCCGCATGAATTTTTGAAGAACTGTTACTTTACTTAGTATTATTTTTATTGCGAGACCAATTGCTTTAGCGGATACGGTTGATAAGTTTATAATATCACCCTGGTCAAATGGTTACGGTGTTTGACTCATGTGCCGTGGTACGTGAGTTCGAGCCCTGATTTGGATCATGGCATCATGGCACTTGTGTTCTTGGGCAAGACACTTTATTAGTACAATTGCCTCTCTCCACCGTGACCCGGGAGTATAAATGGGTACCTGTGATTGCGCTGATCTCGAGCTGCTGCAGCAAAAAATATGCATGGCCTGACGAATTGGGGAAATAATGGTGAAGCGCTTTGAGACCGTTGGTATAAAGCGCTATATAAGCAGCATATTATCATATGTTGTTTCGTGTTTAATGTTGATATGGCTAAATACATTTGAAGCAATATGAGAAATGTTGCTCAGTCACGGTATCGTTACATATATATCATTTGCATATCTTTTTATTAGAGATGCTGTTCGCCGTGCTCTTAAAAAAAAACACATACATGTATTTGTTTCGTCCTATTGTATTTTCAATTTTTGTTTTAACGAAAACACCTTTTCCCCGATTTTTGGCGCCTGCAACCCTCTGGAAAAAGGCCTTAATTTGCGCATAAATTAATCCGCCCTGCAAGAGCTAAATTGCTGTCTGAAAAGTGCCTGGCCGCGGCTATTAATTCACATGTTGTGAAGAAATAATTCAATAACTAAACGTCAGTGGATTTTTTTTTCGCTCGATGCCTCGTTCAAAAGTGAACAACTTTTACATATAGCAAAATACAAATCTTTTTTTTCGAGGTGAAACTTGAAACAAGTACGGGAACCCATGTATAATCAATCCTTTTGATTGGATAGGAATGCCTAAGGCGGCCCGAATGCAGCAGAGGCGTTTCATGATTGGAGGGAGTTTATTAAAGATGTTCGGCCTGAGTTCATCTGATGTAGTGTACATCTCGCTGCCGCTGTTTCATAGTGCGGGCATGGTCCTAGGTGTCGGCAATGTCATATCGGCAGGCAAGTATGCCCCACTGATCTCCAGGTATCTGGAATTGGCTGTTAAAAGTAAAGTCACTGTGCGCCATATTACTACCACAAGAATTAGATAATTAAAGAAAGATATCTTATTCAACTGATATGTACACTTTTTGTTTACTCAACGAACTTTTTATATTTTTTATTAAAAACAAAATGAAATAAAATGGCAGCTAAATATGTTATTTTGTCTGTATAGAAAAAATGTTTCGTGTACTTAAAAACGATTCTATTCTAGTTTTTTTTATTTTGAACGATGGGAATGGTTGGGACTGGTTCCCTTCCCACATTTGAATAGAAGGATCCGGAACCAGCGTGTAGCTTCACTTGTTTGTACAGCTCGGAATGGCCAACCAGATTAGCTCACATAGAGATGATTGGTATGAACCCTATGCAGGCAGCCATCTGAGGGGCCCTTTAGTTACTTTTATTTATTCGATACTGTTATTTATTTGAATGAGCAATAATATCCAAGGGAACAAAATGGCACTCTCCTCTAATATGGCTGCTGCATATTAAAACGTGATTGCATTTCCAGGCACAAAGAAGGGCGTTATATCAGTACCTGCATGTATCCAAAATAAAAATAATCGGCAGGATACAGTTTTTGAACTAACACAATGCGAAGTACCTTCTTGGACTAAGATTTCTAAGAAATTCACGCAGAAGACATGAAGGTGTTTATCATGATTGATAAGGGAGGAAAGACCCTGTTTGACAGATTCCTTTTATTTGAGATGACTTAGCCATTTGCCACTCAAACTGAGAATTTGGTGGTTTTGATTATCACGACAACCTAATCTTATAGGTTGGAGATTGATACAAATCCTGAATTTTCTGGCAGGTTGTACCATGGCCCTGCGGACCAAGTTTTCCGCCAGCCATTTCTGGCACGACGTGAGGCGATACAATGTGACTGTGGTCCAGTACATCGGGGAGATATGCCGGTATCTTCTGGCCCAGCCTAAGGTAAATCAAGGCCTCCATTAAGGTCCCTGGTTAAGATAGCAAATGAGATATAAGGCTATTGTTCAGTGGCCTGACCGGTGACACAACTATAGGTCCAAGGTGGGGCACCCATGTGGGCTTGGTCACAGTTTCAAATCAGACATTTCTCTCAAAATGCTGATGCGATGACGATAATTGGCCCCTTCCTCCAAACAGTGCGTACTGACCAAGGATCTCATGAATTTTTTTTTTTATAAATGATTAAACTTGTTTAAAAGATGCACATAATTAAACTAAAGCTGGGTGGGGCTTGTTGCGAAGTAAGGAAGGGTGCGTTCTTGAGACTGGTAATGTGGGATGTCCCATTGCACTGAAAACCGACTTTCCCATTCAGGCGGAATAAAGTGGTTATTTGTTCGAATGTAGGCTATTCACATTTGTTCACATTTGACCATATAAATGTCATCAGGACAACAGTGGTACGCAGCAGTGGCGTCGCCAAGGGGGGGGGGGGGGGGGGGGGGGGGGCACGTGCCCCCCCTGGAAAACCTAGTGCCCCCCCCCCCGAGTGCCCCCCCCATCAAATGCTGGTGCCCCCCCTATCCTCTGCAAAATTCTGCGCGTTGTTAAAATCATTACCTCAAAAATAGAAATTTCTTGAGATATCTTCAGATCGAATTTAGCATCAAATGTGGCACCATTTTGCATCTAGCCCATCCTTCGTATGCGAAAATTGTCCAAAGGGGAGGGGGGCACCCCCTCCCCTTAGACCCCTCCCCCAGGACGGCGATCCGTATCCACCTAAGTGCCCCCCCCCCCCATCAAATGCTGGTGCCCCCCCTGTGCCCCCTCCCCCCAGACTGAAAAGTCTGGTGACGCCACTGGTACGCAGTACACTGACCAGTCGTTCCCTGACTCTATATCTGAGAGAAATACAGACCGCATACATTACGGTGTCTCAAGCTTAGTCCACATTTCTGATCGAAAGGACGTCAGAGTGTCGAAAGACCTCTTCGTTAATACAGGTCAGTTTCTTTTTGACTCACCCTGTATTAAGAAAAGACAGAGGGAACAGGTCAGTGGCGCACCCAGGCCTTGGCTTGGGAGGCTCACAATTTTGTTTCTTCATTTTTTTTTGTTAGAAATGCGGCCCAAAATGTTTGGCCGCAGAAAAAATAAATGGTTTTTTTTTTGGGGGGGGGGGGGGACTATTTTGACGTTGGTGGCGCCACTTACACCCCTATTATACTACTCGAAAATATGCCACATACATATCACCAAGGTCAAATCGTGGGACTAAAAAAAAATTAAATGACAACTTCTTGGGGGGCCTCAAACCCCCGCCCCCCCCCCCCCCCCCCCCCCCCCCCCCCCCACTGGAACAGGTTAAATAGAACAAAGTGACATTAGTTAAATTTATGTTATGAAACAGACCGACTCTGAGCTGGAACGCGGCCATTCCGTTTGGCTGGCCTTCGGTAACGGTCTCTCCCTGGATATCTGGACGGAATTCAAGGACCGATTCAACATCTCTCGGATTGGAGAGTTCTTTGCAGCGAGTGAGGGGAACCGAGGATTCATGAACACGGACGGCACGGTGGGAGCCGTGGGCGCACACTCACCCATAACCAAGGTACGTGGAAAACTAGTTTGCTCTGCTCTTTTGTCTCATTTCCAAAGAGCAAGAACTCTGTATTGCTAACTTAAACCAGGTACAAGACGTTCAGTCGTAAGTCGAATAGATAGTAATCCACTCGTTGATTTCTTTTTTCTTCACTTCTCTTAACAAAAACATCACAGTATTCCGTACATGGTCTTGCTGTCCCTATATAGTTTCAGTATATAAGTGATATAGAATATCATTTCAGTCTTTAGAATTAAAACTATTATTTACTTCTGAAGTTTGTATGCTTTTGGGGGTTAATAAATAACCATTTTTTATCATTGTAGATAGTAGAACTTACAAATGGATCAGCCCAAGTTATCATTAGAAATTCAAAGACTGGGTCAGACGATAAGGCTTGGCTTTGTCACATTTTTCGATCGTCGCCTCTTTTGTTGTTTGTAGTGCATGTATCTTTGCCCGTCAAATCGAACTCACTAGGCGCACACGCTCTGTTCTGACCAATCAGGCATGTGTTTTGCATAAATATGCACGAAGTAATGTGTTTCTGTATTGCGTTGACCAGTGGCTGGCGGATGATGTGGAGATCATCGAATGCGATTGGGATACTGCTCAGCCAATCAGAGGACCAGATGGCAAATGCATCCTTCTGCCAAAAGGTAGGCCTACAGCCAGTCATCAACAATCAAGCATTGGTTAATAAGCGTTTATATTACATTCGTATGTACATCATCGACACAATCTCACATTGGATTGGAGGGAAAAGTGGAAAGTTCATTATACCGCACAGGTCTTGGTCTGTGAGGCTTTGCACGATGGATTATCGTAGATCTGTTTGTGATTGAACTATGTACTTGGAAAAAAATGTCTTCTTCAAGTCTACCTTTGTTTTATTGTCATTATGGCAAAATTGGTCTTGAGGATTTTTTTTTAATATTATGGAAGAACTAAATGATATCTTGGTCAATATCTACTGTAGCAATAAAAATGAACGTTTCCGGTGTTTTTCATGCGGTAAAGTTACGGTGTCATTGTGGTGAGAGGGCTGAAACAAGGCCTCAACTATCGGACAAAAATTGAAATTTAGCAGTCTCGTAAAAACTATACCATTCATGATACAAGCATACATCCACCCAAGACATCCATCCCTCGATTTCTACATTCTGAAACTCTTTATAACCTTTACCATAACAGGTAAAACGGGCCTGATGGTCTCCAAGATCACAAAATCGAATGTCTTTGAGGGGTACGTGGGAGGCACGGAAGCCGATGAGAAGAAGATTATTCATAATGTCAAGGTGACCGGGGACAAGTACTTCAACTCGGGAGATCTGATGATGATTGACAGCAGGAACTATGTCTTCTTCAAGGACAGACTTGGAGATACATTCAGGTGGAGAACAGAATGGAAGAAATGTGTTGAGTTAGATTTTGGCAATAGGTTTAAGCGGAGTTCTAATAGTCATGTCACGAGTCAGTCACAAGTCAACAGATCGGACAAATCACTGACAAAGTTATTTCTTTGTCGCTAACCTCCTGTTAAGTATGACCCTATACTTGATGGTGGACTTGTGACGACTTGTGATGAACTCAGTAATTTAGGTTGTGAACTAAAAAGTATCAAATGTGACAATGTGAAAGCCATATTCATACGAATTGGCAGGATCGTGAGAAGAATTGACATTAGTATACTTTCAGTAATTCATTAATAAAACAAAATATCGACGAGATAGCTTTCTAAAGAAACTGTGAATTTCCAAGCGAAAAATGTTACTGTGATGTGGAAATTGGAACGAACATATATTCCATAACTGATCCGAATGTGTTACTAAACCACCCTGTTCCATATCCTTATTTTATTTCAAGTTTACAGACTCAAACTTGACAGACTGAAACGTCACTGTAACAAAAAGAAAACCTCTCTCATTATTTCTTTCAAATTTAGATGGAAGGGAGAGAACGTGGCTTCGTCCGAAGTCGCCGCCGTTTTGACCGATCTGCCGACCATCGCCGAGGCCATTGTTTATGGCGTCAAGATACCAGGTAAGTACATGTTTATTACATACATGCAGAATCGAATCTATTGTCACTTTGTGGATTAAATAATGGCTCCACTCGACGAACTCGAAACCCGAGGATTTTTTTCAAACTAAAAATATTCTTTTAAGACATTGAAGGAAAAAACCTTTTCCCCCGGAAATTCAACTGACAGTAATTTAACAGTTCTCTCTCTCTCTGGCTGTCACTCCTGAGGAGTATGACGACTTCGGCAATATCGTTCGTGGGCATAGAGTCCAATTTGGTGAGAACACTGTCTGCCGCAGTGGCGGCAGCAAAAGCGAGAGATGTGAGCATGAGGGTTGGCTACTAATGCAGCCCTGGCAGCACGCTTGCGACTGCATATCATGTAATAGCCGAAACAGTAACATAATTTTGCTTGTAAGATGTGTTTGTATAAAGTGAGATACCAATGATCGTACATGTAATCTCCTCATCACCTAAAATGTTTGTGTTTTTTACGATCGGGACCATAAAACTGGTCTTAACTTTCACATCGTCTCAGATTCGGGCGTGTTAAGGCTATATAGTCCCACCAATGACAAACCTGGAAGACGTATCAAAATAAAGACTGACTTGGACTCAACGTGCAACTATCAATGCTGATAATAATGATAATTGCTCTATAGGTTACGACGGAAGGACAGGCATGGCGGCCATCGTGCTCCTAGATGGCGCCCAGGCACCAGACTGGAAGGAGGTATACGCTCACGTGACGAATCACCTGCCTCCTTACGCACGCCCCAAGTTCTTCCGGGTGAAAGGTCAAATGCAGACCACCATGACCTACAAGTATCGCAAGCTGGATCTTGTCAGGGAGGCGTTCGACCCAAAAGCCTGCGCAACGGACAGGCTGTTTTTCATGGACGATTCGCTGCAAACTTACGTCCCACTTGGAAAGGAATTGTGTGACCAAATTGTGAATAAAGAAATTCGTATAAACTAAGACAGTGTGTTATCTTGAGAGACCAAGGAAACTTAACTATACTTAACAGTGTGAAACTCTTTAGTTGGTAATAATATTACTCTATGTGAAAATTCGCTCTGATTTCTCCCCCCCCCCCAAAAAAAAAAAAAAAACACCCCCTAAATTTTGCTGTCGGGCGGCGATTGAAGACCTTTATTTTTGATCATGTGGCTGGTAAGCCGTATAGAGCTCGGACGTTTGTATGAAACTATATACATGTATTTCCAGAAAACCTTACAATTCGTCATAAATGTAAATGAAACTACGAGTCAATCATAGTTTGTACAGAATAAAAGCCTGTGTTTAAACATGGGGGTCAAAAAACGCTTTTTGTAGGTTATATTTTGTAGCAGTGACGTGTGAAGCGTCTCCAGAGAATTTAATAGCTAATATAGCTTTAGTAAATCGTTCAATACGAATTTCTCCTCTCATTGAAATGGCGCTTTAATGTGGTAAGATTTATTTATTTTTGTACTTTTCAATGCTTTAACTGCAGAAATAAAAAAGAAATCGATGAACAGCATTACGATGTCTAAAGGTCGACTTTTTGGTTTATAAGCTTTGTGTTTTTTTACCCATAACTTTTTGGTATTTAAGTTTCGTGACACAGAGTCGCAGTCAAGGTTTTCATTCAACAAAGTTTCCTAAAAAAAAAAACTACTGTAAAGTGCCGCATCATTTGGCCTGAGCTATTGCACACTACGTTACAACACAAGCCTAAGGTTTCATCCACTCCTGAAAGTGAAATTCACGCAATTTGTAAGGACTTTGAGTTATTAAGATGTTCTAATTCTGGAGGAAACGGCAGTGTTCAAAGTTGATCTTTGTTTCACGGTAATAACAACAATTTTACTTGTAAATAATCCAGTTATTAGCAAACCATTTTTAAACCATTATATTTTTGTAGCTGTACGTTTTATAGTCCACTTTTCACTTTTCAACTTGTTTAATGTTTGTGAGATAGTAAGGTAAATTGAAAAGTAGAGTTTACTTAAAATACGTGGGAAGATTTTGTCGTTTGTTGCCCGTTATTTTTTTTTACTGGTACTGCCAGGAAAATAATTTAAAACATGAATCTATTAGGCTATTTGGGCTGAAACTCGAAAAAAGCAGACAAACTTCGATTGATAGGCCTAGTGTATTGTATATTTTAAACATTCCAGGCTTATTTGTTCTCATTGAAGATATCAATGTACATCTCGTAGCCATTCGATGCCTTTTTCCATATCACCACGTGCCTGAAATGTAAAGAAACGAAATGTATTTTATTCTCACTACAGACATGAGTTACTGATTATAAAGCAGGTATGTTTAAATGTGTACATAATAATTGTTATGTTCTACAATCCCACTTCTGACACTATATAATGTTTTGCTTTAGCAGCTTAAATAAATCACTGCCCAGAGGAGGATATAATGAGAACTCAACTAAGTAGATGACGATGCCATGTTCACATGTAACTCTGCGTTTACTGAGGGCGCTCTCACAATATCGTAACAATAATCTTCAGAGTGGTTTTATAGCCTCAAAGTGTGTTAGAAAGTGAGTGTTGGAACATTCATTCCATTGCTGAATACAAGAACGTACGGTGTCTCAAATGATGAATAAACGAGTAATGCTTCTGGAAAGTTTGTGCTTTTCTGAGATGTACATACTTTCCTTCGGTCACAGAACTCCCATCAGATTTCAGAAACTTGTAGTTGCCAAGTTCAAAGATGACGTCACCATTTCCCGTCATTGGCCCAAGCTCATCGGTCTCCCAGCTAAGCGACGTAGTGCCTTTCATTCGCAGCTCTTTCAGACCATCGGGAATATCTAAAAGTTAAATCAGCTTATTATCTGGTTGTTTATGGTGTAAATGATTGAGGACACACACGTGCATCATCGATGAATTGAGGACAGGGACCAAATCGATGACTCCTCGGTTAGAAAAAGTGTATAAACCAATAAGAGCTGTTGCAAAAAAGTATAATAGGAAAGTATGAAAGAGTATAAACAAGGAAAAGGGAAGAGGAACAATAGAAATCTTCGATTTACACCCAAACAAATGTGATGGAACACGGTTTGGATTGAAGCTAGATCACTTCACGATTGCGAGCAGCAACGAACGCACTCAGTTTGTAACTCCCCTATTTCCAAGTTTTGTTATTGTATACGTTCAAAGTTGTTCAACAGCTTATAAAGAGAGGGACCATTGCTACCTTCAAGCCCAGTCACACTTGAGCCGATTAGGGTTAAGATGTGCTGCCGAGGCATGAAAGGCCGGCTGCTAGCGGGCTACTTTTTCGTAAAATCGACCAGATACCGTTGGGACACCGGAGGGGTAGCGGTGCTCATCGGAGGGCAAAATGGCCATCGGTGGACCCATCGGGAGAAAATAACGCGGAGTTATAATTTTTCCCGATGTGTCTCAGATTTTCAGGCCGATCACACATCCTCAGATGACCTACCGCCTACCTACCAGTGACCTTCCGGGCACGCGTGCTAATCGTCCGATCATCGGCACAATTTTAAGCGTTTGTATAAAAATGAACATCCTGCGGAGACTGTCCGATAATCCACCGGGTACCCGGCGATAATCGGCAGATAATCTGACGATACCCGTTCAATATGTTAAAATCGGCAGATCCCCGAGCGTGCTTATAGCGGAACCCGGCGGGTCACCCGTCGGTTCCCGGTGGATAATTGGAGGGTGTCCGAGAGGTTGCCTGCCATAACTTCGATGTTTTTTTTTCCCTTGTGTATATAGAGGGGGAGGAAAGTGACTGTATCCATGGAACCTAACGAGGATCGACCGCATAGCGAACGGGCACTGACCGGGCACTGACCGATTATCGACCGATGTCCCGCCAGTGACTGGACGGTATGGGGCTACCAAATTTTTTCGAAAAATTTTCAAAATCGGCAGATATCTTACGATACCCGACTGAACACCGACCGAGTATCGGCCGGTCATCTAAGCATTTTCCACCTAACCACCGATATATGTAAAATCTACCTGTGAAAATCTGTCGGAGGCCGGAGCATCGGTAAAAAGCACCGATGACCTAGAATCCTACGGCGCCCGGCGCAAATGTGACTGAGCTATTAGCCTGTTATAATTATGAGGGCGTCGTTTTGCATATTCAGGTATACGTTTCCACTTTTCCATAATGTGGTTTTATTTACGTATCTGGCAGTCAACACAGCACTGGAATAAAATGTGATACAAATGTGGTATGAATATCCATAAACAACAAAAATGTCTTTAAAGATGAGTACTGTCTCAAATTTAATGTTGTATGACGAATTGTTGGCTCAAATTATGGAAAGACTCCGAGCTTCGGTTTGCGGTAATACCATGTGGTAATACACTCTAAAAAACAGATTGGTTATCGTAACCAATATTGGTTAAAATGTGTCCAACCAACCCGACTGGTTGGACACATATTAATACATTTTTGGTTATTTCAACCTTATTAGTAGTTATGATAACCAATCTGTTTTTAGAGTGTAACGAGCCTGCTCTAGTCATCATCAGGAGATTAAATTATGATTGTTTTGTACTCTTGCTTAAGCTGTAAGCTCCAAATTATTGACACACTGGGCCATCATCAGCCAGGTTGATGCAGAAATCAGGCTAAGGAAAATTGCACCACGGCAAATGATAAGGGGCACCAAGGCAAATTTTGGAGGACACCAATGTATAATGAGAACACAAAAAGCAAAATAGTACCCACCTTGTCTGTACAATTCAAGCTTGAAAAAAAAAAAAAAAAAAAAAACCAAAAAAAACGCGTCGCCGGATCAATTCCGGAACTTCGGTCTGACCAGAGACCGATTATTTATTTTTTTGGCCTTAGTTACATGAACCTTAATGAATTTATGAATGCTGGATGGCTAACTTTTCTACAAAGTAAAAACAAAAATAACTCAGGCTGAGTCATGATTCATTAAATTCATGATATAGTTCTAGCGACAGAAGTTACACTCTAAAAACAGATTGGTTATCGTAACCAATATTGGTTAAAATGTGTCCAACCAACCCGATTGGTTGGACACATATTAATACATTTTTGGTTATTTCAACCTTATTATAGGTTTTCTCGGTCAATTTCGGCAAATGAGCAGCCAATTTAACCACTACGCTATTCTATTTTGCGCGAAATCAAATGCTACTGAAAAGGGTCATTCTTTTTCGTTTTATGACCAGTCAAATGTACTGTGGCGTCATTCGATTTAACAAAATAATCATGCAATTTAACAATTCAACAAAGCAGCATTCAAATTCGCAGGAGCTTTTTGAGGCGTGTGTTTAGTCATTCAAATTCATTTTTGGTCAGTCATTTCTGGAATTTGTGCAATCTAAAAAACGCTTTGTTAAATTTTTGTTTCCTTAAGAATGTTGAAGGCATAAATACGGTTCACTTTTTGGCACTTGAGTCACTTTGCCGATGTACTTCGAAGACGAGCTTTCGCTACAGTTTTACACGCATATTTCTAGAAATGGCAGCTCGTGGTCGCTACGCTAGAGTGGCCCAGGTAGATCGAGAAAGGTTGATTGAGGCCTTCGAGGGAAACGAGCAAGACTACCTTCAGCTTGCGGTCAATTTGAACATCAACAAGTCCACAGCCAGATCAATTGTTGCAACATATTTGAGGACTGGAAGGCGAGAGACGCTGGCAAGAGGAGGAGCAACCCACAGCAAGATGGATGATGACATGCAAAACCATCTGCAAGGCATCCTTGACGCTAATCCCGTCTTGACACTTCAACAAATGAAGGCTAGTTTGAGTGAGCATCTGCCAGAGAAGCCCCAGGTTTCTACTGCCTTCATAGCCAGGGCCGTGGATGGGATGATGATTACACTGAAACTAGTGGAGGACGTCCCTGATGCAAGAAATTCCCCTGAAGTTCTTGATCAACGCGTCCAGTATGGTGAGTGGTTCCTGCAGCATGGTGTTCTGGCGCATCTAGTCTTCATTGACGAGACGGGTTATAACGTCTGGGCTCGACGCTCCCAGGGTAGAGCTCCACGAGGGATCGCTGCAAGACGAGTCGTCGACAGACAACGAGGGAGAAATTGCAATGTCACCTTCGCTGTTTCTAGTGAAGTAGGCTTGGTGCACCACCAAATCGCATTCGAAACTGTGACGCGAGAGAGATTCGAGGAGTTTCTTGCGGACACAATTCAAGAGTGTGATGCAGTTTTCCCAGACGACGAACCCATTTACCTCATATACGACAATGCGAGGCCTCACGTGCGAGCCCAACTCCCTGAAGGTGCCAACCCAATGATCCAGCTGAAGCGCCTCCCTCCCTACTCCCCATTCCTGAACAGCACGGAGATGGCACACTCTGTATTCAAGGCTGCAGTTAAACGCATCCTTGGGTTACCTGAGTGGCAACAACGTGTCGGAGACAGACAGGCTGCCCAGCAAGCAGGAATGAACATGCAGCAGTGGAGGTGCGATCTCCTTCAACAAGCAGCCATCCAGAGCGTTGATGTCATCACCCAAGTGAAGTGCATGCAGTGGTACAACCATACCCAAACATATATGCCAAGATGTCTGGCACGCCAACAGATTGATGGTTGAGGAAGAAACAACATAAACAATACAAAACCAGGAAAAACATAAAGAAACACCCCATTCAAACACAATACAAAATTAGGTCTTGGTCAGTTAACCAATAAAGATCCCCCCCAAGAAAAAAAAGAATGAAGAAGAAAACAAAGAAGAAGAAAAAACCTCATTGGCCCCATGTAAAGTCTACTGGAAGCATAAATAAAGAAAACAAGGTTTGCCTGAATTAAAGTGAAGATACGAAACAGTTGCCTAGTACAGTTTATCTGTTTATTCGTATTTCTTTAGTCGTACTTATTTGAATTTTCTTTAAGCGAAATTGATTGCCTCTTTAGGAAATTGAAAAAAAATTAAATCAGTAAAATCTCCAGTCGAACCAGCTTTGCTAAATTGAATGATGATTGTGTGTCACGAAAAAGAATGACGATATGCTAAATTGATCACAGTGCTAAAGGAATTTGAATGCCTCAAAACGAAATTAAATGGCCGAATTCTGAATTTGAAACGCAGTAACAACTGGAGAGGCAAAATAGCTTCAATTCGAACGCACGAAAATTAAATTGGCTGCTCATTTGCCGAAATTGACCGAGAAAACCTATAGTAGTTATGATAACCAATCTGTTTTTAGAGTGTAACTTCTGTCGCTCATGTAGATAGATTTAGTTCTGATAAGAATTTGTCCCGCTTATTATCAATTTTCGCTAAGTCCTACTTCTGATAAGAACAGTCCTGCTTTAAGTTCTAAAAGAACTTGTCTTTGGTCTCAACGTTTCGACGAGCCTGCTCTAGTCATCATCAGGAGATTGAATTATGATTGTTTTATACTCTTGCTTAAGCTGTAAGCTCCAAATTATTGACACACTGGGCCATCATCAGCCACGTTGATGCAGAAATCAGGCTGGTTTGACTGTTGGTTGTTTAGTTGAAATGATACGTGCAGAAGGGTTTCCAGGATAGAAGGTGTCACAATGTTAAAATCTCGTTTCCCGTTAAATTTCGGTGTTTTTTTTCTTATTAGGTAAACATGAGATCTCTGTGGCTGAATATCATGGAAATCACCTCCCTCACCTCATCCCCAGTCTAAATAAAAACACAAAGCTTCTATTTTGTTAAACCCAATGTATGAAAGCTATTGCAAAATATTGTACATTTTAGACAATTGTTGAGGATTTGAATAGTCTGTGGAACAATGGCGCTTACTCAAATCAGACTACATCTCGCGGGAATGGGGAAGAACTTAGGAAATTGAATTTAATTAAAGTGACATATCCCCGGATTAAATTTGCTAGTTTAAACTGAATTGGCCCCGGTATAATGTGAAATGTTCCAATATTTACTTACCGTGTCTGCCGTGTACAGTTGGCTTCCCGTGAGGCAATAACTTGCAGTCCACTGCGTAGATTTCACCGATTGCTTTCAAGTTATTTTCCTCAAAGTGTCTCTTCCACTCGGCTTTCTTGGCTTCGATTGCTGCCTTGGCACCTATACGATGATAAGGGAATTATACATCCCTAAAAGGAGATAATTTTGATACCCCCCCCCCCCAAAGGACAATGCTTGCCTATTGAGCTGGATGGACAGTTTGACAGCGGATACTCCCTGTATATTACATTGTTAAACTTGGACATTATCTATGTACTCACTGACACAGTCAGTCAGTGGCTCAGTCAGAGGACATTACACTTTAATATAAATTGAAATCATTATTGGCGAAAACTTCAATGACATTTCGGTATCTGAGAAGGGTACAATTCGATTGAGTTACATTTTAAAGCCGAAAACAACGCTTTTCAATTTTCCGATAGGAACAGATCAACTAAAATAGCCTCAATGTTTTGGTTTGAAAGACAGGCATAGTTTTGATCCAATTTGACGGTTTATCCCATCCTCATCTGTTGCCTACGGGGTGGGTAAGCCAGCAAAAACTGAAGAAAAAAACACTTACCCTCCATTTCGATAGTTATCTCTGCACAAACTGTTAGTTATTTGCGATGATAGTCAACCGTGAACGGTCCAGTTCAATATCTCACCCTACAACCGACGAAACCTCTAGCCCAACAGCCTTTGGTGACCTGACGAGTTTCTCATATAGTTATTTTAGTTCATGACCTTAGACAACTGGGTTTTTTTCATCGATCGGCTATCACTACCTGAATGATTGCGGTGTGATAAACACGTGGTCTGTGACGAAGTTGCCCTTTTCTCGCTGTACATGGGAGCCATTTTGAGGTCAGGCCTGCCCCTTATCAAGGTCCTTATACTAGCTAATCTCTCACGTAACATTTTCCCGCCTTTTTGGATGCACTTGAGGGTAACTCAGAGATGATTGCTCAGTTCGTCAACTCGCTAGTCTTGTAACGCATTGTTGATATTTCACATGGAATTGGGTTTACTCAACTATTATGCTTTAAAAAAAATATTTGCCAAAGTGTCTGTGACTTTATTGATATTTTGGGTCGTGTATTGTATCTACACTTACTTCTAAAGACCCTCGTTTGGGAGGCAGGTTGCCATGGATACCCTCTCTGGACCTCAGATTTTGTCAAAGTTTTGCAGTAAGGCGACATTGTCATTGGCATTCACAACACTTTCATTTAACACAGAATGACATGTAAAAAAGACAAAAAATACTGTTTTTCAATAAAGTTTTGGGAAAAAATAAACACAAACAGATGCAACTTGAAAAATAGATAAATTTATTTTTACCATTGAAACGAATAAAAAAGCAAATACCCAAACCAAACGCAATCCAAAGCTGCATGCAAAAAAAAAAGTTGGTCCTCTTCCCTATTTCTTATTGTGTATCAGGAATAAAACGCCCAGAAAGTATATTCTTATCTTTTGAGGAAAAATGCAATGAAACGTTAACTTTACAAACAAAGCAGACAATTTCATGGAGCGCTTTCTATAAAACCCTTATAAATTATCCGAATGCTTCATGGGATATTCTACCGGAGGCCAACGGACAAATGCTTCTCATATGTAATTTCACATATTTCCAGAATGAGAAAAGAAACACGTTCAACCGTTGACCACTTACGCAGTTGTGACTGTAAAATCGGTACTGCCGATTAAATTCAGTTAATGGTTTTTTTCTCTCTCAAAAAAAGTATACATCTCCAGGAATAATTTGGAATCCCCTAAAGAACTACAAATTCTTATGAGACTCAACAAATAGATTTTCAACACTAAACAGCTAAACAGAAATTGAAGAATTTTTTAAATATGACAAAATATACATTTTTTACATGCATCCCATGGTAAGATAGATGTAGATGTCTTTGTTGCTAAGCAACCCAAAATTAAAACACAAGAAATGCCCGAAACCTGAATACTTAATGATTGAAAAGTCATGTTTTTCCTCATAAAATGATGCTATTAATATGCATTTTGTTCACGCTGGGACCAGCTTTACCTTGTTCTTTGTTAGTGATGAAGTTGACTAATACTGCAATACCACCCCTCTGGGATAAGAATATCCAAAGTGGTAAGTATGACCTGATTGGTCACACTGGGCTAAACCATTACCTGGGGGGGGGGGGAGACATACAGAAAGTGCCAAAATGTATTCAAACACTAAACCAATGTTAGCTACATGTACCTTAATGAATGTATAAATGCTGGATGGCTAACTTTTCTACAAAGTAAAAACAAAAATAACTCAGGCTGAGTCATGATTCATAAAATTCATGATATAGTTCTAGAGTAGAGGGTGCAAGACAAAATGCTCAACAAAAGAGCACAATTAGTTTTGACCTGGCACACGTAGTCTCAGTTTGTCTTCATTACCTCATTAGCATGCACTTAAAGTACAGCATATCCATTTCTGTTCAGGATAAAAATGGGAAAACTGATCGGAAAATGCCTGATGTCCGGACGTTAGTCTGATGTTTCCACTTTCCTTCAGGCTTTCTCTGTGATTCCTTGTGATTATATTGTATCAGCTTTCAGCGGTAACCTCAATTGGTACATGCCAGCCAGTGCCAATGCTGTGCTGTAGATCATATCCCGGCGCGAGACACCTGTGAGTGCAACGTGCCAATCACCACGGTTCACGCCAGGTATGTCGCGCTCGACAACCTCCCCGATCGTCACAGCTAGCCCCGACCAGCGTAAGGTGTAGTCCGGTGGCGTCATGGCCTGGGCTGAGGTCACAAGATCCAAGGGCACGGGCGTGGCCTGGGTGAAAGTTTCCAAGGTGATGTTGTGGACGGGGTCTTGGAGCAGCACACAGCCAATATCATACCATCTGTGATTGAAAATAAAGAACAATAAATTCATTTAATGTGACTTGCTCTAATTAGCCCTAACCAAATACCGGTTCAGTCGAATGATGTATAATCTTATTAAATGGAGCATAGTTAGGTTTAACATTGGTATTTTAAAGCAACACTTGGACAAAGAAAGAACTAAAAAAATTCACTGTTTCCACATATTTTAAATCTTTTTCTTCTTTTTTTCATGAAGAAAGTACAAGTAGAGTCCCCTTTATACTTTCCCACTAAATTTGCCATCAAAGTATTCCAGGGGTTCCACCTGAAGATGATTTATGCTTGAACTGAAGGAAATGGCTGCCACTTGAGCTAGTGCATCCAAGAGGTGTGCCAATGCACCTGTTGACCTAATTACAGGTTGATCTCATATACCCTATTGTTCGAGGCTGAATTGACCCTGTACCTTATCCCGTTGCTTTGCAAGTTCTCTCCCGTTTAAATTTTAAATAAAATAAAAAAAAAAAAACACCAGAATTCATATTCTTGAAAATATGAACCTGTCATACAGCTGCTGTCAATTACTGACTCACTTTTCAGGGAGAAGTTCAACAATGAAGTTCTCAATGGACACCACGGTCTGGGTTTCATCCACAAAGCCGTTGCGTCTGAGGTTATCGATCCTCTCTTGTGTTCCTTTGCTCCCTGCTGCGTACCCTTCAGGCTGGGGGGCGATGTTAGGCTGGCTTGGCTTGCCCACCACCGTGGCTCGGCCGAAGACTTTCTGAAAGGCGTCCCGGATGGCGGCCACTTTGACCTCTTTGTCAGAGGCAACGACAACATGAATGTCACCTCCTGATTCTGTGGGTAAGAATCAAGGAAAGAACTACATTTCAAAAGTTTCAGAATGATAAGTTAACACCCATGAATCCCGAAATGTGCCTGATAAAAAAAATTGTTTATATTGTCACCTTTTTTTCCCCCAAAGTTTAAGTGGGCATTTTCAGACTGGCATGTCAAAGCTGCACTGAACCAAATTAGTCCAGGCAGTCAGGTCGGTACAGTGGGTTTTTTTTCTTGCCTTCCACCTCCATGGCCTGGGTTCGATTCCTGCCCTGATCCACATGAAGATTGGGTTCCTAGTCCCAGCCTGATTCTGTGGATTTTCCCAGAAAATTTTTCAGGGGTTTTCCTTTCATGTCTAAATCTGTAATTTCTTCATTGTCTTCTCTATACAGGATTCTTCAGGCTTGTGAGCTACAGTGCCTTAGGAACTTTTGAGGAATCCGTGATTTCATTACAAGAAATAAACGTAAAAAAAAAAAATTGCATTATGTGCATGAAGAATTCAATGGTTGAAGCAAGAAGGAGGGACTATGTTCAATGACTGTTGCAGGCAAAAGCACTTATTCAAAATGACTCAACATCTAGTCAATTGACAATTAATGAAGTTCTTTTTGAAACCAAAATCTATTTTGGGTCACTCCTAAAATGTTTGGTTCAGTTTGACTCTGAAATGCCAGTGTGAAATAATAAAAAACAATAATTATAAACTGTCCTTATAAAGTGCATTTCACACAAGGTCCAAACACGCTGTACAAGAGTCATAGGATGTTTTGGGTTATGATGACAATCACTGGGCATAGAACATTGTAGAATACCAAAATAACTATGTGCACTGTTTATTTCAGATTTCAAAAAATGTCAGTAGATGTATGACTTACTTATTATGGGAGCCATGCCTGGGTCTAATGTTGTTATCATAGAATCAACTGAGCTCTGAAAAAAAAAAAAACATTTACAAAACAGATATTACCAAGTTGCAAGCAAGCAAACAAACCTTGTGCCTCTTAATTCACACTTTTCCCCACATCTTTGAAGATGACTTTTTCCATGTTTTTTCTAAGTTGACAGTAACCAACTGGCCTTATCAACCAAAACCTCAACAAGTCAGTTAGAAGTATTTGTAGGATTAGGGTCTGTGTGAATGCTCTAAATGGCAAAGGTACAAGAAACATGACTACAAAAGCTCAGAACTCCTACAGCTATGCACTAAAATCATTGGCCATGCATATGCACAGAGTGAAATGAAACACTTATTTAATGATATTGTGGTTCACTTTTGAACTTGCCAGCTTTATTCACACTTTAAAGGGAAAATACAACATTTGCAAACATCAAAAAATAAAACTACCAAATCATTTTGAAATACCTTGCTGGACTGTTAGTGAATGACAGTGTAAAGCATCCTATAAAATCATGGCACCTGGTATACTGTCATTTTCAAGAAAAGTGGTATTTTTGTATCAATTTCCAACGCTGATCGGCCGATCAGCGTTGGAAAAAAAACTGGCTTTTTTTCAAATACTGGCCCCAGTTGACCATCACACTTGTTTGCAATCGATTACACACCTATAAAGGTACAAGCCAGCTAGACTGGTTCCCTGACCTTACAATTCCCCAATATATGTAAACTGCTCTGTTTCTTCTTAAATGGAGTCAGGGAACCAGACTACAGGAAAATGATTGTTTTTCTCGGTTTTTATAGCATTTTCGAACCCAAAACCTCAAAAAAGTCAGTGTAACTATATTTGCTATATATTTCCAACCCCCCAATTCCATCCATTTCTGAAAATTACAGCAAAAGCAAATGATGTATATTCCCTTTAAGTTCTGAATGAGACTAGCCGTAAAAAGATTAAGCCCTTTATAGGTTTTTGCACAAACATGGATGTGCCCAGCAGCCTTCACTGCATGAGGCAAATCAGCTCTCTAGTAATTTAATGTAGCTCTGTGGTCTCACATCAGTTGGGAAGACAGTGTGCCCAACATCCAGCTCTATCTACACGCCCTGCCCAGAGTTCCAGTCAAGGTCAGGGAACGGAGGATGAGGCTGGCAGGCCACTGTGTGCGTTATCCAGAGCTAGCTGCGAGCCCACTAGTGCTGTGGGAACCTGTCGATGGAGCTAGCGGCAGGGGCAGGAGGAGACTCTCTTTCGTCGACCAGTTGAAGAGGGACGCAGCACAACAAGATACCGCTGAGCTGAGGATGCTGATGCTGGACCCGCGGGCATAGAATGTGACCATCAGAGTCTCGCGAGAAGGCCCCAGTTGAAGACGACCTCTTGCATGATGATGGTCTCACTTTATGTGAAAGGCAAAGAGACTACCACAAGATGGAGTGCATTTCTTACCTTAGTCTTCTCCACCATTTTCTTCATGAAGCTACTCCCCCAGCCAATCAGCCCCCCACTCCCTCCTCCCCCAACTTGACTCTGGTACTGCCCCTCAAGGGTGGTTGATGAGGGGGGCGTGTCATCACCTAATGACAGTGAGACTGCAGCGCTGGTACCCTGTTGAGGAACATGGCCTGCCGGTGAGCTCTATTGGGAAACAAGCATCAGGACATTCATTAAACTGGGCTGCAACATTTAATCATAATAATAACAATAATGATGTGGTGCTTCAATAGTGCTTATACCAAGTCTAACAGTTCTTTACAATATTACCCCTGTGCATAAGGCTGGACGCTGCCAGACAAATTCAGTTGCAAATAAGCAAATCAACTTGAAGTTGCAGCTTAATGACTACATGTACTTGTACAACTACCCCTTCAACAGTTACAAAAGCAGAGTTTGGGAAGACGTCTGGGAGAGAAATTTGAACGCATTTCCGATGCGTTCACGCAAGGACGCCATTGTTTTGTGCCCATTCGGAATAGAAATATTCATACATAGTTCACGCAATATGTACGAACCACTACTGGCAAGCAATGTCCCCCCATTGGTGCTCTTGTACATGTATGTCAGTGGTCGAAGAGTATCATATACTGTTCCCAAACAAAGTCTTTTTACTAGATACTTTTTCAAGATAGCTACATTCCTATGCATTATTTCATAGCTGTCATGATTGTGAGAAGGGCCTAAGACATCACAGCAGGAGGACAACACATTTAGCTTCACATTTGCACCTGTCAGTTAAAAGTTGACAAACTAAACCAGGACAAATAAAGTTTGCCTCTACTTTATTCAAACGCGTTTTGGGGAAATGGCATATTTGTATTTTATAGCCGAACACAGAAGCACTCTCCCACAGTGTCCATAATAGAAAAGGCTAATTACCTGTGCTCCTGGTAGCACAGGCTGCTGGGAAGGAGTATACATCTGGGACTGGGGTAATGATGCATCCTGGGAAAGGCTGAACCCAGGTGACTGTGAATCCGCTTGGGAGGCAAGAGGTGGAGGCACGTACATCTGAGAGGGCTGGGGCGGGGGAACGTACGTTGATGGAGTTAATGGATTGGTTGGCGGAGCCACGGTAGAAACTATGGAGGACAACAGAAAAATAAACTTAAGTCTTTAAAAGTCACAGAGAGTGCGAGTAACAAGAAGTTTGAAAATACACCATTTGTTTACCTCAATAGCTCAATCAGACATAAAGCGTCAGATAATGACCAGCACATTGATCTTATGGTCTCTAACATGGGGTCAGTCTTCATTTATATATTACAGAATTACAAAAGAAACTGTGTTTGGTGCATGCATACTTTGAGAGTTTAGACCAGTTATTCTATAAGTGGCTAGCGATACAATTTCAGAGGCTTATAAAGAGTGTTTCTTGTCCTCAAACATATCAGGTCTCCAGCCTCACACGTTTTCCGACCATTATTCTTCTGATTCAAAAATTTATCAAATATCATAAATTGTAGTACTGCAAGTGTATTTTAAATCAGTAAAATATATTGACACTCTGATAACTCAAGTTTGTGATAATTCAATGTTGTCCATGTAAATGTTGGGTCTGCATTTAATTTCAGTCTCAGAGATGCAGGAATTTAAAATGTACATCACACAGTCGCAATTTATCCTCAAGCTACCACACATGTCTGGGATTAAACAGATTCTATGGCAGGCCTCTCATGGCAAAAGTCTGACTTACTTGGTGATGCGGGAGGAGGTGTGGCTGCCTGGTCATCACTCGTCACTTCCTCCATCATATTGACTGGATAGGCAGCCGAAGAAAAGGCTAGAGTTTCTCACAAATAAGGAACGTCAACTTGGAATTCTTCAAACTGTTGCATGAGTTAGCTCCTCAAAAACCTGGCAAAGAAAGAATGTTCATGGTTGTTCAACTACATTTGTTCACCTGATGAAACCCCCTATGACTCCAACAGGTACTTTAACTGTTCATTTTGGTGCAAATGTAGTTAAATTAACAACATGTCTGGCATGTTTGGGGTACTACTCTCTTAGAAGTGCTCCTCGGAGTTCTGGTACTATATGTAAACCTGCTGTATCTTTAACTTGACTCAGTTTTGACTAGAACGGCGAAGCCACCATGGCTCGCTGTCGAAGGCGGGAAAGGAGGCTGAAGGTAGGGTTGGGTATGTGCATGATGGGGATCAGGATTCTCGTTAATGTGCCAGGGTGTAGGGGTCAGGTTTTAAATGTCAACATTAAAAGTCAACAGATGACCTAATAAATACATGTGTATATAGGTTAGCCGTCACTGCATTATGGGGAAGTTTTCCATTGTTAGGGTAATTAGGACCCAGTTGTGGAGACTTTTTGCAGCCCCCACAGTGTCTTCGGGTCTTCATACACGTCATACTTGTATTACCATGGGAAAACTCTTGTGTAGTCGCCACAAATGCGGAACAAGAATGGGTATACATGTACATGTAGACACAGCACCATCACCACATGCCCCAAACCTTACCCCATCCCCGACCCGCCCCCACCCCAACCCCCTACCCACACCATCCCATCATCCCCTACCCATCCCCACCCCATCACCTACACATCCCAACCCCACCCAAACTCCAATCCCTATCTCCTTCCCCCTCCCCTGACCCCGTACCCTCCCCCACCCCAACCCCCTACACCCACCCACCCTATCTTCCCCTTATCCATCCTTACCCACCCATACACATCCCCACCCTAACCCCTACTCGAATCCCAATATCCTGCCCACCCCATTCCCCCTACCCATACATCCCCACCCGACCCCAACCCCGATCCCTATACTTCCTCCTCCCCTTACCCAACCCCTACACCCACCTACCCATCCCCACCCACCGCTACACATCCCCAACCCAACCCCTACTCAAATCCCCATATCCCGCCCCCTCCCCGACCCCCTCCTAACCCAATCCCTACACCCATGCCCATCCTCCCCCTACCTGTCCCCACCCCACCCCTACAAATCCCCACCCCACCCAAACCCAGTATTCCAACCCCAACGGTGACTGAAACATCTTATTATTGAGCTTGGATGGGGGGGGGGGGGGTTTCTGGAATTAGAACTTGGAAGGCACGATCATTTTTCAGAGGGTTGTGCATGTTGGATTTGGTTTGGAGTTTTGATAGATGCAGACCTACCAAGTCTCGTGCATTTGGCGTGTTTCACATGCCTCAGAGTCAATTCACACGCTTACACACCAGACAATCATAAGTCATGTGCCTTATGCTAAATTGTTCTTTACAAAAATTTGTTACGGTTGTTTTCGGGACAAGAATATGGAAACAAGTTTGTGTTGGGGCTAAGCATTTTGTGACCTCGGTTTTACGCCAAGATCATAATTATTGCCATGCAGTGGGCAGAGACACCTCTTTGCCAGCGCCGGCCAATGGCCTTGTAATGAGATTATGTTCATCGCTGCGCTCCTGTAGTAAATGTGCATGTATACTAGTACAGGTGCATCAAGCATGTGCCAACTATGTGTTATTTAATATTTACTAATGTGGCCTGGTTCCTAATAACCGTGTCGTACCTTGATTTTTTCGCCTCTAATTGCATTGCTGTACAAAATATTCACCTCAAATTTCACAGGATAGTGGAATTTCATCAAGCTCTAAGTATTCCTTGAAGCTTTCCCAGTTTTATAAATCTTGAGGTTATGTACCTGTTATAGAAAAAAGTTTACAGAACAAAAATGTATTGTTGCATCTTTTAAGTTCCTGTCAAACTTGTATTTAGGTAGGGCCTACAGAGGAAGATAATGATGCATAGGCGTCGATCAGTAGCGGGACGGGGTGATGCCCCTCTCCCCCTTTTTTTTTAAAGTGGGGGATATATTGTTTATCCCTGAATAAAATATGTAGGCTACGTACATTTGATTTTACAGCTCAGAATAGCTGATTCAATGACTCCAAACTCAAAAATGATGTTTAAATGATGATTATTTGGCAAAAAAAATTGAAGAAATTGCCTCAGATCACTCCACAGATCATCTGCAGGTAGAATCCAAAAATGTTTGGGGCCCTTCTGGGCACCTAACCCCATGTAGTTAGGGCTTCGTGGTTGCATTAGTTCTGATTCAAATCCCTGCTGACGACATTTTCAATTTCTTTTATTTCATCCCAAAATTTTAAGAACATTGTTCTTTTGTTATTTCAAATTGACTCCAACATTTAATTACAGAATATTACATTTTCTTTTTGTGATTTGTGGCTCTGGAGGATTTTTTTTAAAGGGAAATAAAGTCCGAAATTGTAATGGTCGGATTCCCATCTCGTAAAACGAAGTCACAATGACAATGTTGGCGCGGAACCAAACTACATTTGTCACGGTAAAAATTTCTAAGTCCTCAAAATAGTCACTGGCATGACGTTCAGTGCAGTCCATAGCGGGCAAAATAGGAAAAAAATGTTGCAACCTGACACCACTTCATTATTTTGCTTGTGTACCTCAGAGAGTATACTTTCATGTGAGAACTGCAAGGAATATGTTCACAAAGTCTTTAAGAGCAATTTGTAGTTGAATATTTGGCCAACTTGGTAATTTTTTTACATGTCACTGTATGTTGATGCCCTCAACCGACACGTGATAAACAAAGGTGGAAACATGAGGTGACATGTTAAAATTCCCTAAGTTGGCCACACAAATCTCTCTTAAAGCTACAGTCCATCATTTGCAGCTACCCAAAAAGTAACTAACGTAATAATTGTTGAAAAACATACTTGGTTGAAAGATAGTAAGGGAAATAAACTTCCTGTAAAATTATTCTTTCTGGCAAGCTGTCAATGTGAAGAAATCAACGAAAGAAGGCCTTTCCAATGGTGCGTCTGAAGACGCAACATTGGAAATTTTCGATTAGTAGTTCATTTTTTTTTATTCGGTGGAGCGCTGGCAAGACGCACACGCACGCTGTTGCTATAATTCGTCGGATCGGTGCGCGACATCGCGTAGCTGCAATCAGCTCAGTGAGAATGTGTCTTTGGACGCTGAATTCAGACCCAATTCAAAACATGATTCAGCAACCTTTGATTTAAAATCAAGATCCTAGAAATGCTGTTTTTCTCTGAATATACAGCTGAAACAGAGCTGAAACTTCATCAGGTTAATTGTCATGATTGTTGGGCACCCTTCTTAAGATTTAGAGATTTTTGAAATTTTGAAATTACAAATGATGGACTGTACGGTGTACCATTGATTTAAAGACTCTGTCAACATATTCTTTACAGTTCTCACATGAAAGTATACTCTCTGACTCTGAGTACAAGGTATTAAGCAAAACAAAAAAGTTTTTTTCTGTTTCAAAAGTGGCGTCATCGTCAGGCACTTTTGTGAGATAGCCTACACATGTATCAGACTTCAGAGGATTTATTCTAATTCTAATTCTAGAAGTAGGGGTGGGAGGGGCTTGAAATGAAGAACGTATGATCAGTATGATTATCTAATATGAAGTATGATTGAGAAACTAAGTTATACTGCAATACAATAGGAAACACGGTCCTTACTTTAGTTTTAGGCATGTTAGGACACCTCTATTATTTACGGGTTCTGTTCAAAACTGACTTTTGCAGATGACTGTCCAGTACCAAAGTGACTTTTACAGGCTAAAGCAGTCTTTTTTCTTCATATCAACTCATGTTAGTTGTAATTTGGAAAGCACTTTCAAAAAAATTTGACTTTCCTACCTTTTTTCACAGTCAGACGTGCATGTTGTAGTTCTCACACGCGTGAAATCCCTACATAATGAAAGCCCGATGCTGATTGGCTGCTAAAAAAAATAATTAAGATGTTTATTTTTTATCAGCCAATCAGCATTGAGCTTTCATTGCATCGAGCTTTCACGTTTGCCATCTTGGTTTTTGAGTCTGTTTTCTGGTTGTCATCGTCGTCTTTTATACCCCTCAATTTCCCTCTAAAAATAAAATCAAAGTCCTGCCCTCTTTCCACAAACTTAAACCTGCTGATATTCAAGAAGGTGTCATTGCCAACTGTTCAAATGTGTCAAGAAATATCAGAATGTCACTTTTGAGTGTCATTTAGTCAGCTGTTTTGGTGAGTCTTTCCCTCCCTATATGGGAACAGGGTCCTAAAAGTAAGGATTACTGGAAACACAAAAATGTGCAGCACAATCCATATAATCATGTAGTCCGAGTAACTTGGCCCAACTTATCGCCTTTTTTAACATTTGGACATTTCACTTTTTTCCGGATCGTAAGTAAACTTAAGTACAACCATCTTAATCATCTATGTCTACTTGTACCTCAGGTGACATATCTAGTAATTTGGAGGCCGTTTTGAAGGCGAAATCTGATGTTTTTTGTTGGAAAATGTTGGTTTTTGGGACTGTGTTGTCTAGGTCTCGGTATTAGCTTGGACCTTACTATCGCCAGACCATGTCCAAATGTTAAAAAAGGCGATAAGTTGGGTCCAAGTTACTCGGACTAATAATCATGGCATAAGTTCTCCACTGAATGTACTCATGTAGTGTGTAAAAAAATGTAGCATGCCCTAACCTACAATATTAAACAAGGCTCATACCTGAAAATCGTGAAAAATACTTACACTTCATGTTCTTCGACACAAATCCTGCGAGTACATACACATCTGATGTATAGTGCGAGTTGGAATCAGCGAACTCGAAGCTTAGCAGGGTGACCGTAAGGCCATGACTAAGTTCTGCTAAATGCACTTCAAAAATCTGTCAGATTTATCAAAAATCTGCCAAATTCCCCAGAATTACTCGAAATACACTATAAACACTTACAATCACATGCAGATGTTGTAATATTGACTTAATTAATTTTTAAATTGCATTATAAACAATCTTTAGCCACATATGAAATTGCATAAATTATTCAGGCAAAACGCGGTTGCGTCACGACGAAATCCGGTTCCCAGTGCACCTCAGCACCTAGACCAGCAACTTGTCCTATTTTTGCAAGGGTTTGTTTGATAAGATTGAAGCTTTTGTAAACAAATGTACCTTTTTTGCAAATTTGCTGTTTTTATATGTCAAATAACCATTTTTGCAGAATTCTGCCAGGAATCTTCCAAAAAATCCATCCTGTCAAATTTTCTGTCAAACTCGTTTTTTAACAAAAAAATCGTCAATGTTAGCCGAAAATCGGCTAAAACGGTCACTTTGAAGCTTAGATCTGTGGGTTTATTTAGTCTGTTAATCTGATGTCACTGTTCAAAGAGTATTATGTGTTTAGGGAACTAGACGCACTATCTATACTACAATCACGAAAATGATTGGGGGGCGCTGCCATTTTCCCGACCGGTCTCCCGTCCCCATCGCGCCTGTTGGCTGCGGGGAATGCGGAACGGGGCCCGGCTATTTCCACCCTATTTCCCATAATTCCCTTCCCCATTGAGCCGGCCGCGCCGGCCATCTTGCGTACGGGCCGGATAATTGACGTGCCACGTCGTATACGTTCGTTTATGAGCATGCAGCGTACGGGCCGAATAATTGACGTGCCACGTATACATGTACGTTCGTTGTGAGCATGCAGCGCATGCAACAGCACAGCATTGCTGACATGGTTGATGTATCTGTTCCTCCTTGCTCCAGTTTTCTCTTTGAACGGTAAGTCTCATTTATGATAATTGATATGTATTTTTGTTTGTGAAAAGTGGTATTCTTTCGAACGCCACTGGCATTGAGAATCATTGTTGTTTGTGAAAAGTGTGAAGTTGTGAGTGTCCAATGATGGCGTAGTCTGGTGGTAGTACGGGGAGGGTTGTACGGGGAGGGTTGTACGGGGGAAGGCCTCGGCCCGAGTTTGGCCGTGTGTTTACTTAGCTAGGCTTAATGTGGCCAATTTACTGCACGCTGCATGACCTCGCGCAACTACAGGCCTCACTTGGAACATGTACCCGAACATGTTTGTAGAACTTTGTCAACTTTTGATTTCACAATTGGGCTTTGTTGGTAGTTTATTGTTGGAATTTGCTTTAGTTTGTTATAGTCCTAAGCCTAGGCCTACTACTACTACTCAGTACTAGCTACAACAAAACTGCTGCATTTGTATATAGGCCATGAAAATGAAATGTACATTCATTCCATACAAATGATGCAAACTAAATCTTTGTGGTAATCTTAGAACACGGCAAATCATACTAAAAACTTCCTTTAAAGAAATGGCTTTCATAGTCATAGGCAAAACAAAATTAATTTACTGCAAATCAAAGACCAATAACCAACTTAATAAAGAAACCCTCAAATCAAAATTAAAGACGTGATCAAGTTCAAACCTCAGGCCAAAAATAAAAAAATACAGGCAAAGACTAAAACCTGAAACCAACACAGTTAGAATAGTGGATCTAAGAGAATACACTCTGGCAGAAAATCACATGACTCGACAACAGACATGAACCCAAGCAGGATAAAGAGGAAACTAATACATTGATGACTGTTCAGTGTCTCTGCTGTTCTGCTGAGATAAAATCATATGCGGGGGGGGGGGGGGGGGGGGGGGGTCACAAAAATACAACATATAAGACATGTTTCGTTGTTTGGCATGTTTGGTTAGTACTTCAGTAGTGCATAATTCCTGCATAAATGGGGTATTGCAAGTTTTCTTCACCTTAGTCGTTATTCTTTTCTTTCTAACTCCTTTACACAGGACTCCCGATGACACCCACATCACATGACCAGCTCCAAGCATGCTCCAGTGCATGCTTCAACCAGTTCCTAAAGCAAGAATCTCAACTCAAGACGAAGACACCTATTCCTTCCAGTTCAACTGCAAGATTCCTGCTTTTTCTCTTTACCCATTCAAAACACATTTTCCTTCTAGCCATAATTTTATTTTTAGAAGTCATGAAATAGTGCAAAAAAAATCACTCTTTTCTGCTGTTTGATGTCCATCCTTTTTTAAAATCATATCCTTGGCTTAGTTGTACCCAAGAATAATGATGGAACGATTACCCGATAATTACTGGCCAAGCAGACTGTGTCGATCCTGGCAAACTTATTTGATAACAAAACAATGTCTTTGATTACCAAATTACATAATCACTCTTAAAATTTCACAACAAAATATTCATGATCGCATACCCCTCCGTTTCTCATGAGTTTTCACCAACACTCATTAAAAAAATGTTGTCCTGTAACTTACAATGCCACTGTCATTATTTATGATTACAGCTTTTAACACAAAAAACTGCAATTGCACAATAACCTTTGGCCGTCTTGCTTGAAAGTCTTTCATGGAATGTCTGTGCCTATGGTAAACAAGCCTGGACCGACGTCCCTTGCGAACATTGCTCCGAAAACTGACTACAGTTATATCCCCTATGTTTTGTCGAAGAACTACCCTGTACAGTAATGAATGCAAATACATTATTAATAAAAAAATTGTGTATACCTGATTTCATTTTCACAGTTTTGTAATAAATACATTTAACATGTGGTGCTTGACATAATTATGAAGTGCTCCAATATGTCCTTTCTTTTAGTTTTACTCTCTTCTGCAAATAAACGTGTTACGATACTTTGCTGTACAACCCCATCACCATAATAAAAACACCAACTGCTATAATGACATTAACTTAATACATAAGAAACACCCTCTTCACCATAACAAATATAAATTGTTGCCCACTTCCCCGGAAATATAAGTGACCATTCACAGGTGTAACATAAATAGGCATGGGTGGAAAAGCAAAAAAAAAAGAAAAGAGGCGCGAAGTCATAGTGGTGTAAATTTAATGGGTTGGGGGGAGCAAAATGTCCCTGCCCCCCTCTAAAACTGATAAATCGAGAATGTGTTGAGAAAAACAGGCATTTTGTGGGCAAACGTATGTTTTGCCCCCCTCTAGAAAAAATCCTGGCGACGCCCACACAATATCCAACCCCCACCCCCACTGGCTGCCCCTCCTCTCCTCTGTAGTGAGAACGATGGATACGACGTTGTATCGGCCAAGATCAAACTGCGTTTCATCTAAATTACCTAATTGTACAGTTGGTGTATAGGCCTACGTCCTTAATGGTTTGGCACCTTGAAAATTCAATGTTCAAATTGACTGGACAATATTCCAGCACACCATTATTTATTAGCTTTATATAATACGACACCGCATGAGACAATCGGTCGGCAATGAATACTTAATTTCATTCAACTGTTGACAGCAAGACCTTCCTAATCGGCGCGCAATTTAAAACATTTAAACGGTATAAATCCCGGCACAAACATAAACCTCCACAATATCAGCGATTTCAATATCACCATCTCCCCTCTATAACAAAAACCATTTCTCCCCATCCCTGGAAATGTTTCTCCCCATCCCCGGAAATATTGGTGACATGGTCGACGGGTTTTACGGAAATTGGACGTTCCGTTTAGCACCCTTCACCCTAGCTAGCCCCTTCCCCTATATTGACAATATGTCCTGGACCCTCGCACAATCTCCGCAGGAAACGTTATGTACGCGCACGTTGAACGCAAATACAAATTAGGCGAGACTGATGGCGAGTCCAAATAGGCTCGCGCCTCGCGTGCAGCAGAGGGTATGATTCTTTATTTGACTTAACAGTTGGTGGGGTAGCGGTATCGTTTCGGTTTTGCGGTAACACCATGTGGTAATAACTACTGCTTAGAAGATATTAGTTCTGAGAAGAACAGTTGTTTGGAGTTATTAGAGTTTAAATTATCGAGATTTCATTGTATTGTTGATGTACCCTAACGTGGCGCGGCCCCTAACGTGGCGCACTTTGATTTTTCGCCTGTAGCGCCTAGCTAGAGCAAAGGTTTTAACTGAAATTTCACAGAAAGTGAAATTTCATCAAGTTATAAACACTGCCGTTCATAAATCGCGAATTTATTTACCCGCTACAAAGTTAAAAGAAAAACTTATTTTGGCGTGATTTTCCGATTTTATTTTCAAGTGCAAAGTGAACCCTTTGAAAATGCCCGGAAAAATAAGAAAATAATTTTGTGACAAACATCTGGCTGGGTATGTAAGTAGAGATAATAATGATTTATCAGAATTTATCAAGTTTTCAGAAATTCTTAAATGTTAATTTGGAATTTTCCGAGATTTATTTAAGTGCGCCACGTTAGGGAACACTCCGCCAAATTGTGCCCAATTTCCGGACGCCACCGTTTTTTAATTTCGGCTTAAATTTTATGAAACCGAAATTGTTCACAGAGGTTAAACAGCAAGCATTAATAAGGTAAAAGTACCAGTATTTCACTGCATGAATTTGAGGTTTGTCAACAAAGAGGTTTGGCAACACTACACGAGGAAATTTGGGTATGCTTCGAAGTGCGCCACGTTAGGGTACACCACCATATACAGTAATTATTACGAAACAGTAAACTCTACCCATCTAGCGGGTGCCGCGCGAAGCGCGGCATCCCGCTAGTTATTATTATTAAAAAAGAATGAGTATAAATGATGACGTTCCCCATGCCACGTGTTCTGTGTAATAATGGTAGCAGACCAGTAAATAAACGTCCATAGACCCCAATGCCGTAAATGCTCCCACTTCAAAAATTCGGGAAAAATACTCACAACTCTCCAAGGTGTTCGAGACACACATCAAATTAAAGCTTATTTCATCATCTTTCATTTTCTTTTCAATTTTTGGGGGGTCAACTGATGACTTTTAGGAGAAATTTCCATCTGAAGATGATCACCCCTGAAAATAGTCCTGAAGCCCATCGCCATTTTGAAAAACGATGCCTACACTCCATTGCAAAATAGAGCGCTTTTAGGGTCCAAATTACATCAAAATTACACAGAACTGCAAGCTCCCAGTCCTGTGCACGGCTTCCACCCATATTTTTTACAATCCCTCAAGTTCATGGCCCACAGCATGCTCAAATACCGAAGATTTTGAGGGCATGCAAATCGTGATTTGGCCGGCGCAGGCAATTTCGGACCGATTTACTGGTCTGCACCCTATATAGTCATCAAGTACATGTACATGTACATGATGGACAAAATGTCCTGATCGTGCGTGCTTGGATAAAAGTGTGTTTTTAATATCAGAACCTACAACTATATGGTTTGAAGATGTCACATTTGATAGGCCCTGAATTAAAAAATATATATATCGTTAGACCCCCTATATAGTCGTGTTCCCTAACGTGGCGCACTTCGAAGCTTACCCGACTTTCCTCGGTAGTGTTGCCAAACCTCTTTGTTGACAAACCTCAAATTCATGCAGTAAAATACTGGTACTTTTACTTTATTAATGCTTGCTATTTAACCTCTGTGAACAATTTCGGTTCCATAAAATTTAATCCGAAGTTCAACAACGGTGGCGTCCGGAAATTGGGCAGAAATTGGCGGGGTGTTCCCTAACGTGGCGCACTTGAATAAATCTCGGAAAATTCCAAATTAACATTTAAGAATTTCTGTAAACTGGATAAATTCTGATAAATAATTATTATCTCTACTTACATACCTGTCCAGATGTTTGTCAGAAAATTCATTTTCAAAGGGTTCACTTCGCACTTGAAAATATAAAAAAATCGGAAACACGCCAAAATTAATTTTTTAACTTTGTTACGGGTAAATAAACTCGAGATTTATGAACAGGGGTGTTTAGAACTTGATTAAATTTCACTTTTTGTGAAATTTCAGTTAAAACTTTTGCTCTAGCTAGGCGCTACAGGCGAAAAATCAAAGTGCGCCACGTTGGGGGCCGCGCCACGTTAGGGTACATCAACAATAAAGCTACGCGGTCCTATTTCTACGCACTCACCTTCAATTTGTGTGTGATAACTGCGCGCCCGTTGCAAGCGAATTACCTGCGCAGATTATGGAGGATCGAGGATATATCATTGCATTATATAGCGGCGCCGGAAATGTTTATTTATTTGGGCCTGGGCCTGGATCGCTATTTTTAAAGTTTGCCGTGCGTGGGATAGGACGTCGACTGCAGGATCGAGCTGTGTTGATGCGCCTATCAAAATGTTGTGGCCAAACTTCTTTGTTGACAAACTTCAAAACCATTCAGTGAAATACTGGTACTTTTACCTTATTAATGCTTGCTATTTAACCTCTGTGAACTATTTCGGTTTCATGAAATTTAATCCGAAATTCAAAAACGGTGCATGGTGTCCGGAAATTGGGCACAAATCGGCTGCAACGTGGCGAATTCTCGGAAAATGCCACATTAACATTTAAGAATTTCTGTGAAATTGATACATTCTAATAAACAATTATTATCTCTACTTACATAACCAAATGAAAGTTTATCAGCAAATTATTTTCTATTTTGAGGGGACATTTTCAAAGGGTTCACTGGCACTTCGAAAAAAAAACCCGAAAAATCGCGCGGAAATATATTTTTCTTCTATAGCTTTGTAACGGGAAGATAAACTCGTGATTTATGAACGGAAGTGTTTTAGAACTTGATGAAATTTCACTTTCTGTGAAATTTCAGTTAATTTTTTTTGCTCTAGCTAGGCGCTACAGGCGAAATATCAAAGTGCACCACGTTGGGGGCCGCGCCACGCTAGGGTTCATCAATAATAATAATTGTACGTCCACTACGGCGCCCCCGTCGCCAAGGGCGGGGCTGATGAGCCGGGTATGTATGTAGAGACGGTTAATTGGAATTAGCATGTTATGTTTTTTTTTTTTATTATAGTGTGTCCCCTTTGCCCCCCCCTCCCCCCCCTCCGCCCCCCCCCTCCCCCCCCCCTCCCCCCCCCCCGGATCCGCCCTTGGCGACGGGGGCGCCTTTGTGGACAATTATTATTGTGTCGCGGTACGTCTGATCGACTGCCTCTTGGATTGCATATAGCCAGAGGATCGATCCTGGCGGCGCACTGAACACGTGAGCCCCCATAAATTCCCAGCGAACCCCCCCCCCCCCCCCCCCCGTGCCCCCTCTGCACACCCGCCTCCCACCCCCCCCCCCCCCCCCCCCCCCCAGGAATTAAAAAACCTGAAAGTGAAAGTTGCCGGAAATGTCTATTTAAAAGCAACTTTTTTTAGTAGGCCTAATGCAACCGAAGTGGAATGAAATTGACTATAATTGACGATTCTAATCCCCTTAATTCCCTTAAAATTGATGAAATGTTAATAATTGGACAGGAAAAAATAATGCCGTAACGCTTTTCGATCTTGAAAATCACCCTGGCGTATCCACTGGATGTCGGGGGGGGGGGGGGGGAACCGCACATCCGCGCCGAAATGTAGACACTTGGCCTCCGTAAAATCAAAAAGGGGGGAGGGGGGAGGGGGCTGGTACCCACCATTCAAATGGGGGCGCTCTTGAAAACTGACCATTATTATGCATACTACAAATTGCATACCTCTGGATACGCCACTGGCCCTTTGCCCCCCCCCCCCCCCGACAAAATCCTGGATAAGCCACTGAGCAGACGGGGGGGGGGGGGAGCTGTCTCAACCGCGAACTTCATCTTGAAGTTCGCGGTTGAGACAGCTCCCCCAGCTTCGATCCCTCATATGATGATGATACAAAACCGAATAAAACTGTGGTTTCATATTGTTCAGCAATTGTTGAGTATTTTGGTTTAATTTCCATGTTAAACGTGCTGCATTGGAGTTTAACCTCGAAAAAATCATAGATGTACCAGCCCTTTTGGGGTTTTATCATTATTGTTACTTTCTTTTATAGCCATAAAAAAAAAACCTTTAATCACTTTTGTACGCGACATCGAAAAAAATCCGCAGACGTTTAATTAGCCCTATTTGCGGCCAGATTATCCGGCTGTCTTCGTCAGTCGTGCACAAAATGAAAGCCCTTCCCAAGAGGGTCGCATACCCGAAATCAGGGGAAACGTTTTTGTTTCGTTAAAATAAAACACACATTTTGAAAATTTTACATTTGGAAGAGCACGGGGCACGCATTTTAAAATTAAAATCAAGCGTCATGTATATAGTTCCCCTTGCTGCAAAGTAAGTAATGAAACGATAAGTTCGACAATTGTCAAAAAATTAAAAGCAAAATGTACTTACATGCCAAGAACTGAAATCGGTAAGCTGCACTCACCCATCAACATATACTTGACATACTGGCATGCCTGCTTTTCAAAAACTGTCCTAAAATCCTGTTCCATTTACGTTCTGTTCTTTATTTCACTTATTCAATCCTGCGTAAATAATTAACTTCACATGTACAGCGGAATGAGAACGTCAAACATAATCTTACAAAATTAATACAACACAAAAAAGCTATGTATAATTTACATACTGGTATTGTATTGTAACGAAAAATACCGTCACCATGCATTCTGCGTTAAACAACGTTCAACCTGCCCATTATATACAGACAAAAAGTTGAGATTGGTTTCAACGAGTATGTTCTGCACCTCAAACTGTTAACTTGGGTCATCTGTTATCATTTTCAAAACGTATTCTTTTTGGCAGACCCCCCTGGCTCTAACCTCTCTCAAATAGTACTTTTACAAAATGTTTATAAAGATATCCTGGAACGAACAGTTCACCCACAGCGTCGCGATTAGTTATGGAACGTCTTAAAGATGTCGTTCGGCGCAGGCAAACCATCCCTATACATAAAGTGGTGGATGAAAAGTAACCTCGTTCCCCGTGGGTACGATCTTGCTGTGCCATGTTCGTTCCAATCATGCCTTGCGCGATCTTACCCCTGGAATTGTGTAATTTAAATGTGCTGCTATTTGGCACATTTAGTTTAACTGCAGGCGATGTTTGTGAACTTAATGTATCAGATCTGAACAGCTCTGGCAGGAGATTCTACATGTCACTTGGTGGTCTGTCTGTCTGTCTGTCCCGAAAATTGACCAAAAGTATGGTGTTGTCAATGTGTGCCATCGGCGTTGCATTTTCCGGTGTCGCATTTTTAATCTCTGGCAGGGATAATTTGGATCGATTTCATTGCAAGACTTTCATGCAAGACTTCTTGCAACGCCAGCCTCGCTTGAGTCTAACACGGCCAAAGTTAATTGTACACTCGCATTTGTTTACCACAGAAGCGTCTGAAAGCCCATTACAAAAAAAATACTGAAAACCATTGATCGGCAGTTTTACAAAATTTCAAAAGCGTACATGGGTCGGTAACCCCCACTCCAGCATACTGAAAATGTTGATAATTATGGCTAACAAATAGTTCTCATAAGATTTTAAACATTATTTTAGCAAAATACACCACTGAACAGTTAAAAAGTTATGATATATGATACGCATTGTATAATATAACAAAAATACAACCACCTAGGCCCTATATACTGGGTTAAATAACAACGTTCAACTATTATGTATGATAAGTTAGGAACTGGTTTAAATGTGTTTGTTCTCTACGGCAAATTACTTCTAACCTCGTTCTCTTTTACAAACACACCATTAAAGAATTGAAAAGCTATTATACATCGATACGCACTGCATAATGTTTAAAAAAAAAAACAATCACCATGTATACTGAGTTATACAATAAACAACTAATATAAATTGAGATTGGTTTAAACGACTAAGTCCTCATGCATGAGGTTTTAAACCTTTTTGACAGTCACTTACGATTATAAAATGGAGAAAAAAAAATCTCAAAATGCTTAATCCCCGTCATTTTCTGAATCCAACTTCCTTTGTATAAAAAAAGAATGTTGCTGCCAATGTTCGACATTTTACTCTCAAATATTGTCTTTATTTATTTGAAGTTCGGAATTTAAATAAAGTTTGGAATTTGCTGATTACCGGAACTGGTACGAGGAAAGTCTACCCTGTAAAATTAGCACAGTTTGGAAGAAAACAACAGGATGTTTGAAAAGTGTGCCCGAGGGCACATTCTTTTTAATTTGACAATATTCGTTAAATACTCATGTATTTAACGAGTGAATGAAAATCACGTCCCCAGTGCCGATCAAGGGGTTTTACACGAGAGCATGAAATTCAAAACATAAGAAACATGAGACAGCAACTCCTGAATCAGAAGTGTACACTATGGAATCAAACTTTATACGAGAACCCCCTCAAACAAAATCTATAGTAGAGATTTTCTCCTTTTTTTATTCTAAAAATTTGACTCCAACGGGTAAGCTGTAATATTAATCTGTCATACTTAAGCCTTTGAGAAATGTTGCTTCGGTAAACTTAACAAAATGCAAGCGATCGTATGATCTTTAAAAGCTAAGTAGTGTATCTTAAAACTGCAGACAAATGTCAATTTTAACCAGACCCACACATATTCACAAAATGTTCCGTGTCACGTGATGGGGCCAAATCCAATCAGTCAACGGGAATGCTGTGACGTAACGTAATGTTGATGGTTACGGTTGTCCTGCTTGGCACAATTGTACGTCGGTAAGTCCACATGATTCACCCTGTGGAAAAAAAATCAGTATTAAAGCAGAAATAACAACTTCTTAAAAGACAGATTTACTTTTCATTGTTAACTGGTTTTAGTATTGACCAAATACTAATCAAAACATTCCCAAAACCGTGGCCCAGATATCTTAACTGCTAAAGCTGTCATATCGCCACAAATCACATACCGTGGATTCGCATAGGCCTAGATGGGAATCAACTTGAAAACGCTATTTTAAAATGGTCTGTTTTCTTAATGCGCGATATATTCTATTAAGCTGAATAGGGCCAACGCATTTCATATTTCCTCATTTTAACCTCTGCATAAAGCTGGTATAAACCCTTGTCCCGTTTTCACTGGGACCAAGCTTGAGTTTGTTTTTGTGACTATACACGGTGAGTAAAAACAAAACAGAAACCCAAATAGCAGGACCATTTTTGTAATGAGGTTCTGTATGCAGCACTTTCAAAATCTAGGATATAAATTCCCAATTAATGAGCTGTATTTTAGTACACGAATCATTCAAATCACTTAATATATGTAATTTTTAAGTTACAGCATGTTAAACACAAACACCGTTTTAAAGTTCTGTCCAAGTAGCACAAAAAGGCAATAATGTTCTTTCACCAAAACGATAATAATTCACGTTCATGCCTGTAGCTTATGTGCATTGTTTTCGTTTTGCTGAAAGATCCGTGGACAGAACTGTAAAACAGTGGTTGCGTTTAAAATTCCGTAACTTAAAAAGTACATCAGTGATTTGAATAATTCGTGTGCTAGAAGAAAGCTTACGAATTGGGCTTTGATATCCAAGATTTTGAAAGCGCTACATGCAGACTTCATTTACGAAATGGTGCTGTCATTTAGGGTTCCTTTTTTTGTACTCACCCTGTATTGGCATGCAGGCCTATCACAAAGTAAATGCACTTACCACCTGTGTTTGCCAGTCTTGCAGGGTCCTTTTATATCGTCTTATTTCGTTGTCGAAATTCTCCAGTTGGCTGATCTCGGCATCGTTTGCACTTACAGCAGCTACAAATAAGCAATGAAGAGTAGCAATTCATTTTCAACCAAACTAGGGACAAGACGTTTGCGAGTGAAATTCCGTCCATCGAATAGATCGAGATTTTCACTCCTTTTCCAAGCACTTTAATGTAACATTTGAGTGAGTCCCGATTGAAATCGTCTGTTTCCTTTGCTCTTTGGTCTGGTTCCCCGACCAAAAGATTCTGACTATTATTTATGACGAATCTTAGGCCAGGTGGACCTCTTGGTTTAATATGAGCATGATGCCCCTTTTTCTAAAGCTGGATTTTGTTTCAGGTTGGGATTTATCATTAAAATCTCCGAATGTTCAGAACTTTCGGTTAAATAAAAAAATCACTAGCATCATTATAGCTTTATATATCATAGACTGTGATATTTTTCATTTTCTAATGTTGAGTTATAGTTGAACCCTCAGGCGAAGCCGATTGGCGACGACGCCGACTTTTGGAATACCCCCTTTTTTAATAAGCATGGCAGGTAAATAAAACGTATTTTATACCCGAAAATATACCCAGGCTATAATTCGAGCGTCGACAAAATGCAATCGGCAAACTTAGGGCATTTTCGAGAACGGGAGGCATTCCTCCTCTTTGGTCACGTGATACTGACGGCTTCCAAAACTTAATGATGTAGTGTATATTGTATTATACATTGGTTTGGCGCACAGTTTTATATTATGTTATAACAGTGGAAGCTGAGATTCTATGCTTTTTAGCGGGATAATGAACTTGAATTTAAATTTGAATAACCGAAGATTCGGAAATAGATAAAATCTTTTAGCCTGGGAACCAGACTATAGTTTCACTCCCTGAAAACCAGAGAGAATTCATTTTAAAGTAATGGGGACTGTATAATGTTCTGAAAGCAAGCAAAGAAACCATGCATCTAGCAAACAACCCAACTGTAATAGCCCAACATAAATTACGTACCAGAATTGTCCACAGTGAGATCAAAATTGACCGAACTGTTAGGGCCTCCGTCTATGGCCAAGACGACTGTACAGGAGCAGTTCGTAGTCTCCGCAGAATTTGATCCATTGATGAGCAAGGACAGGAACTCTTTGCCAGAGCTGGAGGCTCGGTGCTCGGTGTACGGCAGGCTGGCGCACGGTGTGCACTGGACTTCGTCGTTGACCACGCGAAGGTTTTCACCCGTAGGTGCCTCAGCGAAAAGATACAGGTTGATGGGTTGGTTCTTGACGTTCAGGTACCTCGTTTGACTGTTGGGTCCCAGGTGTATTGTGATGCCTAAGATTACAGTAGGCATACAACAAAGTGTGCTGTTTAAATCCCAACAGGGTAAGCAACGGATACTGAATGGATTTTACTGCTCCCACTCATCCGGGGGGTTCATATACAACTTGATGACAACTTATAGTTTTCTATGCACTTTGAAAAAGAATCATGAAAAAAAAAACACATTCAAGACCACAAAATGAATAGGCCTAGACGTTATTCATTTGTGTGGTTTGTACTGCAAGTGATAGAAAAGGCGTATTATAGGCCTATAGAAATTTTGGGGAAAACTTCAGTAGACTGAAATCACGTGGATAACTAAACGTTTTCATGCTGTAAAAACAATTTTTTCACTGACCGTTTTCATCATTATTCTTTACATCCCTCCCGATAACATGACTGAATGATGACTTAAACCGAATATTCAGAACTTAAAAGAATACGTTTCCAGTTTAAGAAGTTTACAGCTCCATTGTTCCAGGAAATGGGTGAAAAACAGAGACAAATGGGATTTAGGAGTCTTGATGAAATAGCGCTGTACAATGCGGAGTGTAAAGATTAACACTGCATCCAGAATAGCTGTTGCTGCTCTCTGCTAATCTCTTACGTGGCTATAAAATGTATACTTTCAAATAAACTATACACATACTTGGAGGCTCGGTGTTGTCAGCTCCCGTCTCCAAGTCCTGCTCCCTGTGAATATACAAGAAATACAAGTGAACTCGACCGATTCACAGGATAGACCAAACAGAGGCGGCCCCCTTCAATGGCGAATGCATTGTGCCAGCTATTATTCTGATAATCCGCCACGTGGTATTGATTTGTTTAACAAACGTGCACAAGGGTTTCTCGATAGGTTTCGTCGCTATAGACTTCAACCAAAACAGACAGTCAGCCTACATGAGGTTCTTGTGAATCATTAGACCAATCCGAGCACTATTACTGTATACTCACGAAGGCCCCCTTCAATGGCGGAAGCAATGTGCATGCTAACTGCCCGAAGACGGATTACCATATAGGCATAGGCTTATTTTGTGATGACGTCCCATTACATCGCAGATCACATACAATACTATTTTGAGAAACTCAGACAAGGCAACCATTTCAACTCCAGCTTACAAGCCAGATACTTGTACGAATTTCTTGCATTCCTGCTTTGATATTAATGAAAAGGAGGTAAGCAGCAACACCATTGCTTTGATATTTTCCCAGACTCGTCTATAGCTCAATGAAACTGACAGTTCCACAAAAGGAGAACAAAACACAGCTAACAAGAGGCAGGAAAAGGGCGAAATTAATGATTTGTTTTATCTACAAAAGTGGGAGTAAAAATGTAGGACATGTAACTTACCCCTCGTCAGAGTTGACACACGAAGTACCGTTCCATCTGCAGTACGGATCTTCAATGACTAAACAGGCCACACGCGAGGCGAAATCCTGGCAGTGTTGGAATGGTACCTTGTAGACGCCAATGTCGGTGCCGACAAAAACGGCTTGATCGGAGTCACTCAGCAACATGGTTAACACTGGAGTCTGCGTGTAAATATTGATCATATTAGTCGTGGCTCAAGACGGTTTGTGCTTATAATACGTCATGCATAAAATTACTATGGAACTATGAGTCAGGAATAGTCTCGGAGGAGAAATGGGAAAGAGAGAATACTAATTTTGAGAGACTATTTTTCTGAAAGTTTTGAATCTCGGACAATCCAAAATTCGGGGATTCTGGACTACTTTAAACTTCAAAATCTGGGGAGTTGGAACAACTTTGTCACAAATCCTGCTTCGTTAATAGAGCATTTGGCATGACAGATCACGGATCCTCTACACAAGGATAAACGACTCATCTGAGCTTGTGTACAAACTATACGCGCACAGGCCGTGATCACGCCTCTAACCAGAAATTTTGGAAGTCGTTTATCCTTGTGTAGAAAATCCGTGGACAGATGTCCCCCTCAACTCAAACGGCACATCGTGAGGAATTTGAGAAACGTGAGAATCACGATGAAGGAATAACCAAAAACAGAAAAGGTTTTGTTTCAATCTCAGAGTTATTTATAATTATTTTCTACTGACTTTTCGACCGTCTGTATCCAGGCTAATCTCCTCCACGACTTTCGCTTCGGATCGGTTCGCGTTCAAATACGCCTTGAGCACAGCCCCATTCTCTGTGAAAATCATCCAAAGGAAAAAAAAATGAATGAAACTTACAAAAATGACTCTTCTTTACCTACTTCATTCCTAACGAACAAAAGGAAAATTAATTTAAAAAGCGAAGACTTAAGTGAAATTATTCAAGTGACGGGGAAGTAATTTTGAAATAAGGGCGATAAAGAAGTTCAGCAAGAAATACCCGTCTTCGTGGCACATGTACTTCTAAATGTACGCGAACAAAGGCAACCGTCCCGATTAGTGTCCTTTAGAACATACAAAAAGTACCTTAAAGACATGCATTCAATGGACTGTTTTAGTGCTGAGCAATTACCAAATTTTCTTTTTAGATCTATATCAGTCATGGAACAGTGAAAAGTATACGCAAAGTTCAAGCTTAACCGAATTGAATTTTATTATTAAAATGAATTCATTTTATCATTAAAAATTCAAAAAATATTTTTCAATATAAATACATTGTAGAACAGTGATAACTATTTTCTTAACGAATTGATTTTATCATTAATAACTGAACCAATTGTTTTATCATAGTGCGATTTCACACTTGTGCCCTTAAATGAGTGAGTTCATCATAGAAAACTGAAATTTGTCGGTTTCCCGTATCGATGGGTTAGATGTAAACACTCCACCTAGCACCTACATATTTTGAAATATGTGTCCATCGTCCGTGATAATATCTTAAAACTCGTTCAAATTCGACACGAAAAAAATCGCGTGGCAATAAAATCGGGAAAGTTTCGACCGGAGATTCTTTTTGTGAAAAACAATACATAAAACATTCCTTTTTAGGACCATGTATCGATAACCAGTACATGCCGTGTACCTACCCGTTCCGATGAACATGACATCGATGGAATTGACGACGTTTTCATCAACCACGATCTGTGAGAAACGTTCCCCGTCTATCACCAACAGAGGGTTGCTTTGAGCGCCCCCTGCCGTCTCGTAGTGCAGCTTGTTCTCAGCCGACACCGACATTATTTGACCTTGTCTTAATATGTTTAGTACGGTAGCTGAACTGAAACTGTCTGTGTTTTGACACTGAAATAACCATATAAATTGTTTAATTTCTTCTTTATCTAAAAAGGGTCTGCGGCGAAATATTGAAACATTGAAAAAGTATCAGCGAAACTTAACACTAAAAAAGGGAGCCATATTTTCAAGGTTTTAAATATTCAGTGAACTTTACAACTGTTTTAAGTATTACAATGTGCTCCTTCAGATGTAGGCAAGTCCGCCTCCCTGACCTGATGATCACCTGACTCTCTTACTACATTGTAGGTCGGGAAACCATTACATTCAAAAACGGATACAATGATTATACTTGGTTGCAGAAAACAAATAATTGCGTACCGTTACTAGTCTGGGAGTGATGGGGTCCGTGGCTACGTCCTTCCAAATCTCGCCATTATTCTCCTGAAACGTGAACTTATTCTCGGTGTTGAGAAACAGTGCCTCAATCTCATCCAAACGGTAGGCGCAAACTGCAGAACTTGCCACGACAGGTCTAAGATAATACATGTACCAACAAATTCAGGACAAAACAAGACCAAAATGAACATTGAACAACATCCGGTCAAAAGTAATCAAGCACTGCACAGTGATTCTCTGTTGCAAGATGAATTGAAATTAGATGATTGAAATGATTACTTAATATGTTGGTTGTATCTTCATCAAGGACTACAAAATCTGAATTTTCTCAACTTGCTGTTGAACAAAGTGTCCTCCAATAGCACTTACGCTCGTGTGGCGAAAATTGCAAAGACTACGTTGACATCATCAGTTGACTGGTAAATGTCCTCTGTTGACAAGAAATAAACATAAATGACCACAGTTATATCATGCGAGATGATAAAAAAATCCTAGACATCGAGTTTGAGATAAGTGACTAGCACAGCCCTTCAGAAAATTAAAAATATTAATAATAATAACAATTAACATGTGTTGCGTCCGAGCTTCTGCTTGTAAAGTAAAAATTGAAGAAAACGAAAGGGGGACCCGCTGTTACAACTGATAATGTGGTAACCAACGGATAACGTATCACCAACCGCTAATGTTTCACAAATTGACCGATATTTTATCACAACCGATAATGTAACAAAAATTGACTGATAGCGTAGAACAATTTGTTTACAATAATGTCTCACGTTTTGACGGATAATAAATATTTACCAAAAAAAACTGTATCAGATAACGTATCACCACAGAACGGATACTGTATCAACCGATAGCGTATCAAAAATCAACTGATAATGTATCAATATATGAACATTGGCGTCGCCAGGATTTTTTCCGGGGGGGGAAGCAAATTTTCCCCAAAAATTCTTTACCTTTTTCATTATATTCTCAATTTATCATTTTTCTGAGCGTGAGCAAGGGAGCTTTTGCCCTACCCTAGTACCCCCCCCCCATCAAATGAACAGCAATATGGCTTCGCAACTCTTTTTTCCCCTTTTTAACGATTTCCGGGGGGGGGGGGGCGGCGCCCCCTTGGGCCTTCCCCCCTCGCGACGCCCATGTATATGGAAAACGTATATACAAAAGTTTGTTTATGTCCTATTGTTTGCGCCCATTACGGTTTGGTCCCCAATAACGGGGGACCAAATCGTCGCTGTGCTCACGAAATGCAAAACAAATCTCAAAGGAAAAACAATAATATTTTCGGTTTTCAGTTTTGATAACCAAATTATTATATCATGTGTCAAGGAACAATAAAATCATAATTACAAAGTTTAAAACAAAATTTTACTTGTACTTTCTTCTTCTTTTTTTTATCGTGAATAAACATTAATTTGTCAAAAAGCCTGAGATCCGAGTTCTTTATTTCTCACCGTGGCAAAAGTCACCTTGTAAGCAGGGCGAGAAGAAGGATCATACCATTTGTCGATCTACACGAATCAGCTTGTACAAAATGTAATAATTTCCCACCGCTTAGGAAAAGGTGCGCACAAAGTAGGTAGACAAAAATCATCTATGCATTTGTGTTCTCACGAAGTGCAAAAAAGTTCCTTCGATAAATAACCACTATAGATTACCAAAGAGTAGAGCATGACGTATTGGACAGTGCAGACAGTTTCCGAATTCTGTTACCGCAAAGTGGTCGAAAGGTTTGTAAAAAAAAAGGATAAAGCTCAACAGTGATTTTCTCGAAATGAACTTTATTCCAGATTCAGAGGTTTTTTCCACTTCGTGAGATCAGTGATGAAATTGGGTAGAAACTCTAAAAAGATAATATTTTCAAAATTAAGTTTCAATGTGATCCGTTGCTTGCTCATTACTGAAAATCAACACGTGATACATTATCGGATACAAATTTTAATACACTATCAGTCAAATTTTGTTACATTATCGGTTAGCGATACAATATCGGTAAATGTTTAGACAATATTATCGGTTGGTGATACGTTATCCGTTGGTTACCGGTATTACATTATCAGTTGTAACACCCTCATTGGTCGCCCTATCTCTAAACACCTATTAGATTTTAAAAAAAAAAAATTTTTTACAAAAGACAGAAAACATAAGAGAGGGAAAAACTGAGCAGAATGACTCACGTATTTCGTTGTAATGGTAGGGGATGGCTCCGTCGATAGAACATGTTAGTCGGGCTTTCACAAAGGTGACTATGTTGCGGACCGATAACTGGGTGCTTGCTTGACCCCCTGTATCATTCTAAAGAAATACCAATTTTGATTAAAAGTCATAACGAAACGTCATTAAACATTGATGTCCATAACTTTTTGCCCATTACTTTTTTTCAATAGTACTGGATCCTTCAATCGAAGGGGAGGACAAGAGTTAATAATTAGGGAAGAGAAATGCAAATGGAAATGTTGGGAGGGGGAATACGAAAAGAGGAATTGAACAATAGAATGCAGTGATGTAGTGCCTTGATGCTGGGCCTTGGCCTTAAGGCTGCCTTAAGGCTGGATTTTAGGGCCTTGGCCTTGGCCTCGAGGCTTGAGGGCAAAAGCCTTGGCCTTGGCCTTGGCCTTGAGGGTTCAGAGCCTTGCAATTTTGAGTCAAGGCTCTTCAAGGCCCATACATTTTTGCATTTTCCAGATAAATCTGTTCGAAATTTTGCTGACCATTTTAATCGTATTACATGGAGGAGGGAAGCACCCTATAGATTTGTGTGTTGGGCACACTTCCACTTTTGTAGCATCACGTTTTGTTACCATTGTAGTAGATTTGCTGCAAAAATATTCGTACACTTGTGGGCTAATGAGATGATCACTTTAATTGCATATAACTATGGAATAGATCCGATTGGTTGTATACATGTATGTCTCCCTGATAAGTGCTAAAGATTTGCATGTATCTGTTTTAGATAATGCTGATATTTCTGACCATGTTGGGCCAGCAAATAAAAATTTCCCAAATCAGTTTCTTGGATCCCCTTTTTTTTACACTTGGGAGAATTGTGTGTCATTATAGAAGTAAATCATTATTTTGTTTACTTAAACCACATTGAAGACCTGAACTTATACACTAATAGATGTAGGCCTATGCGAGCATGTTGGTTGCAATTAAAGAAATGTTGTTCTTCGTTACGAGCAATTCGTGATGATAAGGGCGGATCCAGGCGGGCCAAAAGGGGCCATGCCCCCCCCCCCAAAAAAAAAACCGAAACCATTTTCTTTTTTATGTGACGTCGTAATAAAGGCAGGCAATGAGTACACCATCATCTTTCCCTCAAAAAACATTGGTTAAAATGGTCAGAAATTGCCTCAAATCGCACCACAGAGCATCTCGAATCCAAAAATTTTTCGGAGCCCTTAAGCGGGCCCCGAAGCCCAAGCCGTAATTTTTTTTGATCCACTCTTTTTGGGTGGACCAAAATTTCTTTGCCCCCCCCCCCTCCCAAATTGTGTTCTGGATCCGCCCTTGCGTGATGATGTGTCACTCATGTGACTATAATTAGATGATATCAGTGGTCATTTTATAAAACAGGGCCTTGGCCTTGAGGGTTAAGCCTTGGCCTTGGCCTCGAGGCTTGAGGGTCAAAGCCTTGGCCTTGTCCTTGAGGGTCAAAGCCTTGGCCTTGGCCTTGAGGGTCAAAGCCTTTGCTCCAACACTGATAGAATGCAAACCACAAATTCTATCATACCTTCACAATAATAATATTCACTACATATTTGTACCTGACACACCACTGCGACTCTTGAATACACGAGACTTTCAGAGATAAACTCCGCTGCAATCTCGCGGAAAAAGAAGTAGACTCGTCCATTGTAACTGATGGGATCTCCTACAAACTGTGGAGTCGGCGGACCCCCTAAAATGAAAATGTAGGGATCATGGGTTGAAAAAATGCAAATGTGAGGCATTCATGTCGTTATGTTGAAAATGTCATCCAGCAATGCATGAAATTAAAACAGGGCAAAGGAAAACAAGGCAAACTAAGCATTAATGATTTTCATTACTCTTTAGTCTAGCTAGGCTTAAACCTACCAGCTGCCGTCAATACATTATCATTATCCGATTTAGTCGTTAGTTGCGCCTCAACACCAACCACATTTTGGGAGGAGTCACGCTGCAGCATCAATTTGACGATAGCTGGTCTGGTCAACGACCCAGCCGACAACTCCAGGTTGGTTCCAACAAACAGTTCAAGATCTAAAAGTATGCAACCAACTAAATATTTTAAACGTGTATCACAATTAAACTGAGAGAGTAAAAACTTGCACCAATTCGGGCATTTCGGATGGAGGATGGGTATGTGCTTTTTTGTCGTTCGAACACCCCATTGCATTTGAACATCTGGAAAACTGTGGACAAGCATTACATTCACTGTGTGGACTTCCGAACAAAACGGTCCACATAAACCAGTTTTCAGATACGTTGTATTGACTTGCCCACGCCCACACAAGGTTTCCCCCTCTGGAACACAGGTTTATAAAGGCATTTTTTGGGTATTAGGTTTATCCGTCGCAAAATAAAACTAACCATTCAAGGGAATCATAGAAAAAAAATGGGTTGAAAGAGTTTTCAGTACAATTTTTTTAGAGGTTTTTCTTAACTTTATCAGCCGTCTTACTCGGTATGGTTGCAGTCCAGTAAATCGGTCCGAAATTGCCTACGCCGGCCAAATCACGATTTGCATGCCCACGATTTGCATCAAAATCTTCAGTATTTGAGCATGCTGTGGGCCATGAACTTGAGGGTTTGTAAAAAAAATATGGGTGGAAGCCGTGCACAGGACTGTGAACTTGCAGTTCCGTTCAATTTGGATGAAATTGGGGCCCTTAAAGCGCTCTATTTTGCAATTGAGTGTAGGCATCGTTTTTCAAAGTTGCGATGGGCTTCAGGACTATTTTCAGGGGTGATCATCTTCGGATGGAAATTTCTCCTAAAAGTTATCAGTTGACCCCCCAAAAAAATGGAAAAAAAAATGAAAGATGATGAAATAAGCTTTAATTTGATGTGTGTCTCGAACACCTTGAAGAGTTGTGAGTATTTTTCCCAGAGTTTCTGAAGTGGGAGCATTTACCATTGGGGTCTATGGAAGTTTATTTACTGGTATGTAACCTATAATTTCAAAATGGCGCCTTCCATCGTTTGTTGTCAAATGTGTGCGCCTGCGCTTTACATTCCACGACAGTGGTTTTTTTCAGGGGGGCGGGACCTGGGGGGGGGGCAGCGTTTCAAAAGGGGTCACCAATGGCGGTTCCGCAACAAATGCGCCCACAATCTGAATGGGGCTGAAGGACCGTCGTCCGATCACAGCAATTTCGAGCGGAGGGGGGGGGGGGGTAATTTGGGGTTGGAAGGAGCAAAAACTCAATTAACTCCCGTTGGGGCGCCCTACAGCAAGGTAGCCGCAAACAGAGGGCTTGTTTTCAGGCCAGAAATCGCAGTAAGAGATTTTTTCCTCGCAATTTTTTGAAGAAATATGAGTCATCCATCCTTCCTCGTGCCGTACAAGTGGTTTTGGGGAATTTTTTAAAACCTCGCTTCTTTATAGGTTGCAGACCAGTAAATCGGTCCGAAATTGCCTACGCCGGCCAAATCACGATATGCATGCCCTCAAAATCTTCAGTATTTGAGCATGCTGTGGGCCATGAACTTGAGGGTTTGTAAAAAATATGGGTGGAAGGCGTGCACAGGACTGTGAACTTACGAAAACAAAGGGATCTCCACACTAGGTAGGTAACGTAAATGGGTGGGTGAGTATGTGTGTGGGTGGGTGGGTGTGTGGGTGTGGGTAGGCATACACCGCGTTATGGGGACGTTTTGTATTGTTAGGCAAATTAGGACCGAGTTATGGGGACTTTCTGCTGTCCCCATAGCATTTTCGGTCCCCACAAATACCGTTCTTCTAGTGCATTATGGAAAGAGTGATGACAAAAAGTACAGAACAGAAAAAAATAATAGAAAGCACCCCAAACCTAAAACATACGCCTCGCCCGCCAAAAAAAACACCATCACGTCTCTTTTTATATTGTAATAGGCCTAATGCAACTTTAGTCAGGCAGCTTAGTGAATGGATGTGGACATTCCGGACAAAAGCGCCAAATGTTCCATACATGCTCCTCAATGCCTTACCTTTCAATTTTTGATAGGATCAACTCATCCAATGAAATAATGGCGGCCATCTTGGATTTTAAAGACGGCGGCCGTTGAAATCCTATATCTACCAATATCTCATCTTCTAAGCCACTTAGGATTTAAGTTATTGTGTCTGAACATACATTTTCAGGGTCAACGAATGCAACTGTACCATTTGGGATAGTGTCAAATGGTTAGTTTGTCCAAATACAGTATTGTGGCCATCTTGTATTTGAAACATAGCCGCCATTTAAAACCTAAATCTCCGAATACGTGTATTCCATCTTTAAGCCACTAAGGGTCTAAACCTTGGTGTCTAAACATATATTTTCGGGTCATGGAATGCAACTAAACCATTTGGGTTAGTACTACATGTATTTGAGATCGTGTCAAATGGTCAGTTTGTCCAGATAGCCTACTTAATACGGCGGCCATATGGTTTGCCGTAAAAGGACCAAAACTGGCCCAGTTCAGGTTCTCTACCTTTTTGCCATTATGGTTTGACTTGAAAGGGCCGACACCGGTCCCATTCAGGTTGTGTACCGTCTTGCCATTATGGTTTCCTATAAAGGGACCAACACTGGCCTGGTTCAGGCATTTTACCGTCTTTTCATCATGGTTTATCGTAAGAGGACCTGCAATGGCCTGGTTCAGGCTGTGCGCCGTCTTGCTGTTATTGTTTGCCTTAAAAAGACCAGCACTGGTCCGATGCAGGCTCTGAAAGGTGTTACCATTACCGTTTGCCACTTAACAGGGCGAGCACTGAACCAATTCCGACTCTGTGGTGTCTGTACCGTCAACACGGAACCGTTTTGGCGCAATCAAGCCAGCATTAGCCCGCTTCTGGTCTTGTTCCGTTTAAACTGTATGGTACTGCCACAACAAACCCATAATTAGCAGATATCGGCCCAATACCGTCAAGTTTACTGGGTCAATGCCATCTTTGAACCTAGGCAGGTAGAAATCTCTGGCACTACATGATGTGATACAACTCTGCCTCTCCACAACTACATGCAGCTGAACTACTTTTGTAGCTCCATTCGATTAAGGCGGGTCTGTGATCGGCTAGTCCTGGTTCTCAAGCGGCTGATAGTTTTCCATTGAACCCATTTCGATGTAGCACCTCTTGGGAGGTTTTCTGCCGTTGTTTTAGTATAACCATGACAATCGGTGGGCGCTTGCTCCCAGTCATTGCTTCCAGTGTTGGAGTCTTGCCACTTCCCTGGATGTTGTGAAGGAGTGGACATGGCCAAGGGAGCTTTTCTTGACTTCAGCCTTTTGTGCCGAAGCTTGCCGTCCCTGGAGGAGGCGACACTCGTCATTTATAAATATTTGGACATCTTAGCTCGGCTGGCAACTTCCCTTCAGAAATCCGAAGAGGAAATGCCAGCAAAGAGGTGCAAATTACTTGTGTTGGTGGGTTTCAAGCATCCAGTGATCAAACTGCATGTTGTTTAAGGCTGGGTCAGATTTCATGGTATGGGCTGATCTCTCCCAGACGGGGCACGCACTCTGCTGAAGAATGGCACGGAGCCACAACGGTTCATCTTAGGGTGTGTGGTTTGGCTCCCCTTTCGGAGGTTGTTCAATTTCCTTATGATGTTGTTACGGGGAACTAAATTTGGATAACTTTAATGACAGGATGCGATGGAGGGTCACCCTTAGGTAGACAGGATGGCTACAAGGCGTCAATGGTGTTCCGGACCATTCGATGTTAAGGGGTCGGTTGGCTTCGCGGTTAACGTTCCTGAGATGGAACGAGCAGACTTAGGTCTTAGCGAAATTGGCACGGAGGTGATTGCGCTCATAGTATAGAAACGGCTAAGTGCTGAGGTAAGTTTCGCTTCTATGGCTTCGACCGGAATCTTTTGAGATGTAACACAAAGATCGTCTGCGTAGATGAAACACTTAGTGTCCTGGTCTTTTAAATTGTGATTTGTTATGTGTAGACGTTGTACAGCAATGGAGCTAGCACAGTGCCTTGAGGTAGAACGTTTTCTTGCCGTCGACAGCGTTTTTGTTTTGTTCTGAACAACAAAGAAGCATCTGTCTTCGAGAAGGGCTCCGATCCGTAAATGCGAGGTATTGAGTCAAATCCAAAATCTTTTTCAGGAGGCGGCAGTGGTTTACAGTCTACTTATTTTTCGTTTTGAAACCCATCCTCAGCTTGATGTGCCAGATTAAGAGCTTTTTGGCTTGTTGTTGACTTGCGATGTCGCAAATCCGGTTGCTGAGGGATAAGGGATGTTTCAGCAACGGGGACAAGCCTGTTTAGGGCCAGGCACTCGAACATGAACAAAAACAGTAATGAGTTCCTGTCTGAACCTAGCCTTGACCAAGGCTATCAGCTTGTTCCCATACGAGCTTGTTCCCGCTACCGCACACCGCGCGCGCCGCGACACAACCACGAGTTGTACTATACCGTTAGCCCCAACGACCCTTACGTGTGCTTTGTGTGCATGTACGTACGCCCCACACATACTTCCGCAAACAGCCGTCCTCGACTTACTGTACGGCTGTTCGCGGAAGTGTGGGGCGTAAGTACATGCACACGAAGCACACGCAAGGGTCGTTGGGGCTAACGGAAAAGTACAACTTGTGATTGTGTCGCGGCGCGCGCGGTGTGCGGCAGCGGGAACAAATTCGTATGGCAACAAGCTGATAGCCTTGGTCAAGGCTAGTCTGGACCATGTTACCTGTGGCCTCCAAAGCCTGCAGTGAACTATAGTTTATGTGGCTTCAAGAATCAAAGTGTATGAGGTGCAAGACGTGCATCTTGCTAAGTGCAATAAACTCTGCGGTTGCAACTGCGAGAATTAGAGCGAGCACTTTTAAACTGTAATTTTGTGTGAGTGATGACATTTATTTTCTGCAGTATACATCAACGGTATTCTGTTAGAGCTGTTACTTTCATTTTGACTATTTTGTGTGTATAACTGAAATCATCTTCGTCTCTTCTGACTAAAAAAGAGTTGTATTTCCTGAACCTGAAAATGTATGTTTTGACACCTAGACTGTGATTTGATATGGGGTAGTAGCTGAGATATTAGTAAAGGCAATTATTATCTGGCGGCCATCTTTAAAATCAAAGATGGCCACAATAGTGTACAAACTGACCATTTGGCACTGTCATTAATGGTATAGTTGCATTCCTTGACCCTGAAAATGTATGTTTAGACACCAAAACTTTAATCTTAAGTGGCTAAGAAGATGAGATATGGGTAAAAATAGGTTTTCAAAGGCAGCAATCTTTAAAATCCAAGATGGCCGCCATATTGTTATTGGATAAGTTGGTTCCTATCAAAAATTGAAAGCTAAGTCAATAAGGAGCATGTATGGAAAATTTGGCGCTTTTGTCCGGAATGTCCACATCCATTCCAAAAGCTGGCGTAAGCTGCCTGACCACTTGTACAAATAAACCTTACAAGACAGTGATTGAAGTTGCCGGGTTCATACATACACGTTATACGCCTAGCCTAATATCCGTTATATAGGTTTTCCCGACCAATTTCGCAAAAACAGCATTCGAATTCATCTTGATAGTGGCCAATTTGAAGCAAAGTAGCGCCCTGCTGTCATTCCCTTGGTCCGTATTAGATTTCAGACGTTCAAATTCGTTTTAAGACATGACATTTTCATGTTTAACACATCCTAAATTGAAGTTTTGTCATTCGGTTTAAGTGATCATTCAATTTAGCAGTCGGTTTGGGTTAAGGTTATTTGCTTGAGATTCTTCGTTTCGTTTTCATTTTCGCGCATTCTATTTAGCACTTTTTTCATTCAAAATAAAAGTCAACGAAGGTATACGATGCGAGTCTTAATTTTCATTTCTTTCATCTTTTGATTATTTCTACTTCATGTCGTGGTCCCTTGTTGTGTTTCTGGCCCCTCCTCTTGGCACGTTTTCCCGACTGCCAGATCTCAGATACGTTGCTACAATTGACCTGGCAATAGATATCTGTTTATGCCAACATTGTCTGCAAGTTCAAGATAGTCTTGGGCATCAAACGAGCATGGTCTACAATTGAAATTCTCATGTAACGCCCACGAGCTGGCATATTGATATTTCTAGTCTTTCAATCTAACAGTTTGCATGGTGATCAGAGTAGTGACAGAGTCTTGTGTGAGTCTTGTGGGTTTTGCATATTTCCAAAATGGCACAAAATCACTCCATCTCATTCTAACAAACGACGAAACGACATGGACCTATTTCGAATTACTTTGCTTACTTTCTACATATGCTTGCTTAATGGTGAATTCAAATGACCAAACTTACACAGCTGGAATCTCCGGCGAATTTGGATGCTCGTTTGTGCAATTTTAATTTGAATGCTCTATTGTTGAAATTACATGATTAAAATGTGAAATCGCATGCTTTTAATGTGAAATTGATTGTTGTCTTTAGGTAATTGGATGTTGATCTCAACGTGCATTCAAATTCTGGCGAAAATGGGTGATTGGTCGCCAATTTGGACGCCAAATCTGTTAACTTGCCCGGGAAAACCTATATTTTGCATTTTTAATAATCAATATTACAATCTACATTTAATAAAAATTGTCTGTTTGTGGCTTTGTGGTACATACCTTCAGTAAGAAACCAGCCAGTGGAATTCTGATTGTACGTATAAGGAGCAATAAACGTGGGAGAAGTAACGGTGGTATCGAAACGTGGACCAGATGCTACTGACAACTGGAAAGAAACGATCTTGATCACGACTTTGATATTAAGGAGGGGAGAGTAAAAAAAAAAAAAAACAATCCGGAAGTTTTCGATTTATCGAAAATTCGAAATGTCTTACCCTAAGAGCAATACATATGGGACGTTACAGAGGAAATCACATTATACACCCAAAAACATTTCAAAACAATGTTTTCGGTCCTCTATCTTCTTCCAAACTAATAAACTTGGCTATTATCGGCGCCATAGAATGTTATTTTGTATCACAATAGCAGCCTCGACATCATGGGCTGCGTGCGCGTTCCTTCACTAAGATAGCGAAAGGCATGATGGGGACCGGCATGCATGGGCGTCAATCCTGGGGGGGGGGGACCAGGGGGACATGCCCCCCCTCCCCCCCCCCCCCCCCCCCCCCCACCACACACCGTTTGATGGGAAACACAATATCAAATGTCCACCAAGATTTTTGAACTCGTGTGTCTAAAAAAAAAAAAAAAAAAAATGTCTCAGATCACACCACAGAGCAATGAGAGCATCTAGAATCCAAAATGTTCTGGCCCTTAAGCGGGCCCCGAACCCCACACCTTTAGCTCAGAATATAATAGCTGATTCAATGACTTCAGCCTCGAAAAATGATGTTTAAAGATTATCTTTTGCTAAAAAAACCCACAGAATCTGGTTAGAAGTGGTCAGAAATTGACTCAGATCGCACCACAGACTGAGAGCATCTTGGTACTTTGTACTTGCTTGGTACTTGGTGCTTGGTACTTGGTACTTGGTTGGTGATCCTCCGAAATATTCCATCTAGGGAATTTAAACTGGAGGTGTGGTGTAGTGAGAGTGGTCAAGATTAGGTTTTGTAACAAAGAGCATTTTCTTAACGGAGTCTGGGTTGGTAAGCGCCACTGTTGAGTCCAGGAGGTCATTCCAATGTTGAAGCGTTCTTAGAAAAAATGAAGAAGCATATGTGTCGGTCTTGACCTGGTGGAGTTGGAACTGTCTGTTGTGTCCTCGTCGTGATCTTCCAGTTTTTGGGGTGATGTATTTGGTATAGTCAATGTCCATTAGTCCATTCAGGATTTAAAAAATATAAAAGGTGCGATGCTGTTTTCTTCTTTCTTCCAAAGGTGTCCAATTAAGATCTTTCATGATAGCAGAGATGCTAGTGTCACGTCCATAGGTGTTTGAAACGAACCTTGCAGCTCTCTTCTGGACTTTTTTTTAGTTCTTTGATGTTCTTGGAAGTGTGAAGGTCCCATGCTGCCGTAGCGTAGACAAGATGAGGTCGAACAAGGGTAAAATACAACCTCTCTTTGATGGAGGATGAGGCATGATGAACATTTCTTTTGATGAAATTCAGAATGTTTGTAGCCCTGGCAGATGCATGCTACCATCCGAGGTCTTTTGGAGGAATATTCCCAAATACTGACACTGGTCTGTTTCATCTAACTGTACACCCATCTTGTTGTAAAATGTAGTTCCTGGTGATCTATTTCTAGTGATGCGCATAGTTGTACATTTCTTGGGATTAAATCTCATCCCCCAAGTCTCGGCCCAGTTTACCATGGTATCCAGGTCTTTTTGAAGCATGAGGATGTCGTCTGGTGTCTGGATGGATCTGCACACTAGACAATCATCGGCAAATAAACGGGTGGTACTGGAGACTTTGTGATGAATATCGTTGACGTGAAGGAGGAAGAGGTGAGGTCCAAGAACTGTCCCTTGCGGAGCACCACTAAGGACGGGGACCCAGTTAGATTTTTGACCATTTACGACAACTCGTTGAAACCTTTTGGTGAGGAAGGAGTCTATCCATTTTTTGGTGTCAGAACGAATTCCACATAGTAGTCCAGTTTTGCGAGCAAGCGATGGTGTGGCATAACATCGAAAGCTTTGGAGAAATCTAAAACTGCCATATCTGTCAGATGTCCTTGGTCCAAGTCGTGGTTTGTCACAATTAGTTGTAATTCACAAGATCTAGCTTTTCTGAAGGCATGCTGATTGTCTGCAAGGATGTTCCACTCAGAAAGATGTTTCATGAGACTACTATCAATTATATGCTCAAGTAGTTTGCAGCAAACACAGGTTAAAGACACGTACTGGTCTGTATAGTTAGCTGGGTCTGTTGTTGGTCCTTTTTTATATATCGGGGTAATGTTTGCCCTTCTCTGGTCTAATGGTAGATCACCAGAATCAAGTGACTGTTGGAATTTGTGCCGGAGTATAGGTGAAATCTCATCAGCAGCTATCTTCAAAACTTGATTTGGTATCTGGTCGGGGCCAATTGCTTTGGAGACATCAATAGTTTGTAGCAACTTCTTCACACCCTGTTTTGTGACAGTGATGGCAGTCATATCTGGATATATGGACTTGGTGGCATAGAAGGTAGTTTACCTGGATCGCTAATTTCACGAGTAAAAACACTATCAAACTGTTTGGAGAGAGCTTCTGCTTTCGATTGGTCTTCTGAATGCAATTTTCCATCCACTTTCAGTGTTTGGACTCCAGTGTTATCCTTCCTTCTTGATCTTATGTATCGCCAGAAGTCCTTGGGATTTTCGGATATAAGTATGTTGTTAACATGGTGCCTGTGGGCACTTCTAATAACTGTGTCAACTGATTTCCTACCTTTTGTAAACTTTTCCCAGTCAGAGCTGGACCCAGACTGTTTTGCTTTGTTGAAGAGTTTTTCTTTTTTACTGCAGAGTCTCTTGATGTTGTAAACCACGGGGTGCGGTTACGGCCTCTAAATACCTTATGAGGAACATTCGAAGAAACAAGGCTACATATGGAATTGCGAAACCAAGTTCAGTTTTCTTCGGTAGAGCAGTTGGAGGGATTTCTATCAAAGTAATCATTTTGAAGAACAGCAGCTTTTCTTTGAGGTCTTGTTCGTCCTCTTTCTTCCACAAAGGAACTCTACGGGGTGATTTTTTGGCTAAGAACAGTCTTTGTAACAAGCTTAGCTTTGATGAAGTAGTGATCACTAAAACTGGCATAAGGCTGCACAGCAGATATCAGCGATGGATGGCTCGTCAAAGTAGATCCATGGTATTTTCGGTACCATTGGTGTCACGTCTAGTCGGAAATGTAACAAGTTGGGTTAAGTGGTTGTCGTTGATGACATTTATAAGAGTTTGCTGCAAACTTCCTCCAGAGGCAGTGGTGGTATCACTCCATTCAATACCTGGTATATTAAAGTCACCGCCAACTATGACGAATGGAGACCGGAAGTTGTCATTGATCTTATTCAAAGATTCATGAAGTCGTTCAATGGGCAAGGATGTTGCATTTGGTGGTCTATAGAACCCGCCGATCAAGATAGACTGGCCCGGGAGCGTAGCCTCACACCATTTCAGTCTCAGGATGAGAAAGATCCAGTCTCTCGAAGCATGGGATACTGTTGTTCACAACAATAAATACACCCCCACCATGGGAGGTACAGTCTTTCCTAAAAACTTGCATGTAGTCGGGGAAGATCTCAGATGAAAAAAATGGAAGGGTCGAGCCATGACTCAGTGCCAATCAGGATGTCCTGTTGTTTATTCTCTAAGAAAGCTTCCAATAATGCAGTTTTGCCACGGATACTTCTACAATTCAGTATGGAAATATTAAGGCTTCTATTTCGATGATTAGATGCATTTTCGCAATTGTCCGGAGTTACCTTCCATTCTCCGCATGATTTCTTGATGAAGAGAGGGGGACGATATTTGTTGTGCTACCAGATGGCTTAACCTTCTTTCAAGTATCTCCTGATTGTTTCAGTTTAATCGGTGTAACACTAGGACGGGGGCGGCTTCGCACAACTCCATGTCCAACTCGACCTACTCAGTTTCATTGGAGTAACTTTTGCTTCGGCCTCATTTATTGTTAGAGTATTTTTTTCAGCGCCCGCTGAACCTACACGCCGTGAGGGCTTTGCTTTCGCGCTCGCATAAGTTCTGATCAAGCTAGGCCTATGTCCCCCCCCCCTACACACACTTTTGAATAGCGATTGACGGCATGACGCAGCAAGTTCGTGCCCATGGGGAACGAAGTTGTCATGATAGTGACTTAGGTTTTGTTAATGTATGACTTGAAATTTCGAAAAGTTGAGTTGATTGTATCAGCCAGCTAGCCGCATCACGAGACTGTCATTGGTGTTTAATATTATCATCCAGATATTGCACTTACGTCTCCAATTGATCTCTGTTGACAATATGGGTATATGATATTCGTGCCGCACTCCAACAATGCACCGTTGGGGAGAGGTTGAATCACGCGAATGTAGTTATCGCACTGTAAGACACATCCAAAATGATACTGTTGAATGATGATATTAAAAAGTAAAGAGGTTGTTTTCTATTTGTTTAAATATTTATTATTCGGTAATTACTTCAATGCATCTTCTGCCCGAATTAACAATGGGGACCAATAGATATGGTGCTGTACAGGATACGATGCGGCTCGAAAAAAAAAAGGACTAGCTAGTTTTAATAATTATCGTCATGTTGTGTGGTTATTTCACCAAACCCACATATATACATCTGAACATTTTAATGAGCAATGCACGTGCCACATTGCCCATATAGTGTTGCAGGTAAAATAACCATAAGTAGTGATTTAACGAGCAACTTTATTCCAGCTGCATACGCATCCCGTGCGCGTACCATTTTTAATGGTCCTATACGTTGCCGTTCGTATTCACTCAAAGTGGTCAGAGGGATAGGCGTGGCTTCAAGGAAAGATGAGTATCTTAAAAACGGGCATTGAGCATATTTTATTTGGACTTTTGACAATGCACTGATTTTGAAGTATTTGGGACAAAAAGACAGTCGACATTGAAGCAGACATTGGTACAAGAGTTTAATATATTACCTTTGCAAAAATCATTTCAGATATGAAAAGTAAAGGCAAATAAGCCATCTTAAAACAAAACTCAAAATGCTTCTATTGTCAAAAAAGTGTGCATGAGAGGGATTTTTAAGTGTACATTAAGTAACGCGGTCGAAGGTGTAATGCAGATGTTTATAGAATATGAAAATTATAAGATTCTGCGAAACTTACAAATTCACACGAACTGCTCCAAGTGGTTGGAATGGAAACGTTATCGCGCTGTAAAGTTAGAAACAAAAATAATGCTTTCACCAACATCATTAATTAAACACTTTCTATTAATTTGTGAAACTGCGATATTATTATGTCGTACATTATTCGAAAAGTAAATATTTTTGTGTAGGATGTAGCATTGTGTTGACGGTTCTTAGTAGACTGCTCAAAGAAATAAAATCACTTGATAAAACACTGAAAAAATACGAATCGATTTGATCAGGGTATATCAATTTCACAAGTTGGTTTAATATTGGAAATCTTTAGCAGTATTCCATCTAGCCAGCTAAAGCCTGCTGCCTGCTGCCTGCCTACTGCCTGCTGCCTGCAGCCTGCTGCCTGCCGCTTGCTTGCCTGCTGTCTGCTTGCCTGCTGCCTGCCTGCCTGCCTGCCTGCCTACTGCCTTCTGGCCTGCCTGCCTGCTGCCTGCCTGCCTGCCTGCCTGCCTGCCTGCTGCTTGCCTGCCTGCAGCCTGCTGCCTGCCGCTTGCTTGCCTGCTGTCTGCTTGTCTGCTGCCTGCTTGCCTGCTTGTCTGCTGCCTTCTTGCCTGCTGCCTGCTGCCTGCTTGCCTGCCTGCTGCCTGCCTGCTGTCTACTGCCTTCTGGCCTGCCTGCCTGCTGCCTACCTGCTGCTTGCCTGCCTGCTTGCCTGCCTGCCTGCCTGCTTGCCTGCCTGCCTGCCTGCCAGCCTGCCTGCCTGCTGCCTGCTGCCTGCTGCCTGCCTGCCAGCCTGCCTGCCTGCTGCCTGCTGACTGCTGCCTGCTTGCCTGCCTACCTGCCTGCCTGCTGCCTGCTGCCTGCTGCCTGCCTGCCAGCCTGCCTGCCTGCTGCCTGCTGACTGCCTGCCTGCCAGCCTGCCTGCCTGCTGCCTGCTGCCTGCTGCCTGCTACCTGCCTGCCAGCCTGCCTGCCTGCTGCCTGCTGACTGCTTCCTGCTTGCCTGCCTGCCTGCCTGCCTGCCTGCCTGCCTGCTGCCTGCCTGCCTGCCTGCTTGCCTGCTGCCTGCTTCCTGCTGCCTGCTGCCTGCTTGCCTGCCTGCCTGCTGCCTGCCTGCCTGCCTGCCTGCTGCCTTCTTGTCTGCCTGACTGCCTGCCTGCCTGCTGCCTGCTGCCTGCTTGCCTGCCTGCCTGCTGCCTGCCTGCTGCCTACCTGCTGCTTGCCTGCCTGCTTGCCTGCCTGCCTGCCTGCCTGCCTGTCTGCCAGCCTGCCTGCCTGCCTGTTGCCTGCTGCCTGCCTGCTGCCTGCCTGCTGTCTACTGCCTTCTGGCCTGCCTGCCTGCTGCCTACCTGCTGCTTGCCTGCCTGCTTGCCTGCCTGCCTGCCTGCTTGCCTGCCTGCCTGCCTGCCTGCCTGCCTGCCAGCCTGCCTGCCTGCTGCCTGCTGCCTGCTGCCTGCCTGCCAGCCTGCCTGCCTGCTGCCTGCTGCCTGCCTGCTGCCTGCCTGCTGTCTACTGCCTTCTGGCCTGCCTGCCTGCTGCCTACCTGCTGCTTGCCTGCCTGCTTGCCTGCCTGCCTGCCTGCTTGCCTGCCTGCCTGCCTGCCTGCCTGCCTGCCAGCCTGCCTGCCTGCTGCCTGCTGCCTGCTGCCTGCCTGCCAGCCTGCCTGCCTGCTGCCTGCTGACTGCCTGCCTGCTTGCCTGCCTGCCTGCCTGCTGCCTGCCTGCCTGCCTGCCTGCTGCCTGCCTGCCAGCCTGCCTGCCTGCTGCCTGCTGACTGCTGCCTGCTTGCCTGCCTGCCTGCCTGCCTGCCTGCCTGCCTGCCTGCTGCCTGCCTGCCTGCCTTCTTGCCTGCTTGCCTGCTGCCTGCTTCCTGCTGACTGCCTGCCTGCTTGCCTGCCTGCCTGCTGCCTGCCTGCCTGCCTGCCTGCTGCCTGCTTGCCAGCCTGCCTGCCTGCTGCCTGCTGACTGCTGCCTGCTTGCCTGCCTGCCTGCCTGCCTGCCTGCCTGCCTGCCTGCTGCCTGCCTGCCTGCCTTCTTGCCTGCTTGCCTGCTGCCTGCTTCCTGCTGCCTGCTGCCTGCTTGCCTGCCTGCCTGCTGCCTGCCTGCTGCCAGCCTGCTGCCTTCTTGTCTGCCTGACTGCCTGCCTGCCTGCTGCCTGCTGCCTGCTGCCTGCTGGCCTGCCTGCCTGCTGCCTGCCTGCTGCCTACCTGCTGCTTGCCTGCCTGCTTGCCTGCCTGCCTGCCTGCCTGCCTGCCAGCCTGCCTGCCTGCTGCCTGCCTGCTGCCTGCCTGCTGCCTGCCTGCTGTCTACTGCATTCTGGCCTGCCTGCTTTCTGCCTACCTTCTGCTTGCCTGCCTGCTTGCCTGCCTGCCTGCCTGCTTGCCTGCCTGCCTGCCTGCCTGCCTGCCTGCCAGCCTGCCTGCCTGCTGCCTGCTGCCTGCTGCCTGCCTGCCAGCCTGCCTGCCTGCTGCCTGCTGACTGCTGCCTGCTTGCCTGCCTGCCTGCCTGCCTGCTGCCTGCCTGCCTGCCTTCTTGCCTGCTTGCCTGCTGCCTGCTGCCTGCCTGCTGCCTGCTTCCTGCTGCCTGCTGCCTGCTTGCCTGCCTGCCTGCTGCCTGCCTGCTGCCAGCCTGCTGCCTTCTTGTCTGCCTGACTGCCTGCCTGCTTGCTGCCTGCTGCCTGCCTGCCACCTGCTGCATTCTTGCCTGCCTGTCTATCTGCCTGCCTGCCTGCCTGTCTGACTGCATATCTGAGTCTTCACTTGATATATGCTGTCTTGATAAATGTGTTCGTGTTTGCCTGCTGTCCGGCTCGCTTGCTTGCTCTCCATTGCTTTTTGCTTCTTCGGATTCATTTTGTTACCATTTGCAGGTTTGCAGGGTCGACGGAGAACAGTTGAGCTTTACCCCCCACGAAGAGTAGACCATTGATTAGTTCTAGAGTGCGGTAGTACTTGCCGTCGATGACTGAAGCATTGGGTCCATACGTCATGAGTGAACCAGACACATCTACAGATATATATAAATATATATGTATGTATCATACCAGTCGATTTGTTATAATATAATTCAGGCTTGGAGATGTTTTTTTTTTTCATTTTGGGAGATCTTTTTTTTTTATTAATATTATTTCTCAGCAAGAAGTTCGGGGACTAAAACAGTGAAAACTAAGTACATGGAATATAACCGAAAAATACAGCATTAGGGAGACATTCCCATAGACTTGTGAACAAAACAATTTCCGACTTTCTTGACCCCTTACCCCAATTCTACCATATCGTACCCCACGAATTTTAGTATTTATACTAATTGGACCACTTATTTGCAACAATAAAATGTTGCCTCTGAATAGGAGCTGAGGCATTAGGGAGACACTGAAATGTCTCCCTAATTCCAAATGTCTCCCAAAGGTATAACTTTGACGCTAAAGTGTCTTCCAAATGGCACAATTTACGATAGTGTACATTATGTAATCGTAGTGTTGTTTTCACCGGCAGAATTATATTGGCGAGTATTTTATTTTATTCTTAATTTCTTATGGATGGTTTTACAAACCTTATAGCTGAAGGGCAATTATCACCATTATTTCATGCTGCACACTATTCTGCAATTTCATTCAATTCTTCGCCTGTACTCGAGCCTTACTTGCCCAAACTGTGACTTAATTGAATTGGGCAAGTATATATCCAACTGTTGTATTTGTGCATCACTTGCAATTTGCTTTTCCTATAAGCCTAAAAGAAATGAAGTGTTAGTACACTTCTCGCTTGATTTCTTATATGCATAAACATGACGGAAAACATGCTGAAATTACTTGTCCAGTTGGAGCTTTCCGGATAGGGTCTTTTGACCTTACGTAGAACGTTCTCGTTCTGGGAGTAACCAGCGGGCACCTGACAGACGAGAAGAATGCCGAGTACCAGCCAAGATACGCGGTGGGCAACTGACATGATGCTACGATGTGAAACTGGTGCCAGGCAGACAACAATTAGATGTGCACTGTATGATGGTAAAATAAAGTTGAAAACAACTATTCAATTATAAAATGCTAATCATATTGACATTTAGATATCCAAGGAGTCTTGAAAGACTTACACTCCCAAAACCACCCCTCCCACAAATAGGGGCATAAGAAAGAAAGAAACAGGGGGAAAAGTAGCCCTTAACAATATCATAACTTAAATTGAGCGTACATTTCACGATAAAAATCACCAGCAATGACAGTGAAAAATATGCCCGGGACAAATATATTACGACCAATATCCCTTACGTATAGAGTAAAAAATGATATATCTGTTTGGCTTGCTTTTTTGGCAAAGTTGTTTCTTTGAGACTTTAAATATAGGTTTTCCCGGACAATTTCGGAAAATGTGTACACGAATTTGTAAAAGAAGCATTCGTTTTCGTGCGAAATAGAATGAACGTTCCAAATCTCTGTTTCTATTTAACAAATGATAATTCTTTTTCCGTGAAAGTGCATTCAGTCGTGAAAAATCAGCGTACGATTTCCCGAATGTGCACTGCATTTAGTGTATTGACATTTCATTTTAGCGCGAAATCGAAGGCACATCCGCAATCCTGTTTTCCTTTTAAATTATCATCAATCTTTTTCGCTAAATGTGCAGCCGATTTCCCTCGCAGTGTTATTTAACGTATGCCTGGTCAAGCATTGGAATTTATTGATGTGTTAAAGTAACAGTTGAGGAATGGTTGATTGAATGATTGAATTTTTGAATATTCAAAAAGTCCCCATGCAGATCCCATGCAGATCCCATGTAAGTGATGTGTCCCTTTACCGTCTCAATAATATGGCTACAAGATTATTTTGAGTGATTTCATATTGATCATATTAATATCATTTTCACATTTCATTTGCCTACATTTCACATAGGCCTTTGTGTATATAAAAACAAACACATTAATGATCAATAAGGCATATATCGATTAATTAATGAATCATTAATTAATGAATCAAAGTTGTATCACGATTTGTATAGGCCTGTTTAATTTATTGAAATTGAATGCAGAAAATGCGAATTTAAATTGTAACAAATGAAAACGAATGTTCAATTCAGCCTGTGTCACAATAGACAATCGATTTTCTGCGAATTGGATTGCACATTCGTAATAATCGGCAACGCATCCGTCAAAAAGAAAGCCTTATCACGTATTTGTAATCCCTTAAATGAAACATTATGCACATTCATCTATTTGAATGATGCAAAATGAAATCCAATGCTAGTTATTGCCAAAATGAAACCAGGATGTACGTCGTTCTCAAACTCCGCGCCAAATTGAATTTATGTTTTACAAATTCAAACGCACATTTCCCGAAATTGTCCGGGAAAACTTATAGTTAAATATTGCATTATCGCTATGAAAACACTCCAAAACTTATATTTAATTACGCAAAACATAACCCGTTGATGATAAAAATGTGGCAACATTGCTTCACCAAGGTTTACCACGCCGACCTGGTGTCAACATGCAAAAGGGTCAAAGTACTATCGTACGAATTCTTACGTTATGCGTTTCGAAACCTGACTGTATGATGTCCCTTCTAAAAAAAAAGTGAATAGAGGGCGTACTGATCATTTTTAAGATGCACAGCAACGTTATACGATGACAAATCCATCATCTGTCAAGTTTTCGCTCAAAATTGTGGATGTTCCCACTTCCGGTTTTCAATAGCAGGTGCTAAATGTAATTGCAAAGTTAGGCTCTCCTCTGTAGCTGATGTGCTTGAGAAACTAATGAAAAATTCATATATTTAGGGGGTTTGTCGGACGAAGACGCGTGAAGAAAACGTCTGTCTGGTCAGATGATTGTATCAAGTCGCTCCCTGACCAATATGCCCAAGGTTTTGTTATGTTTTACCTTATTGTTTTGTTATGTTTTGTTATGTATTATTTCAACAGACGACTTTTTAAATCTGCAAACAATACAAATTTTACGCCTCCACACAGCTAGCGGGTGCCACGGGAAACGCGGCATCCCGCTAATAGGCCTATATAATATTATATAAAAAATGACGAAATAATTTTCTAAAACGATAAGCCCATAGAGTTTCAAAATTATTATGGATTGTTGATCTAGAATTTGCTGATCTAAAAAAAATCCAATTAATGTTCTATTTTATGCAAAGAATGCAGTATTCTTTAATTAAAATTGAACCCATTTTCGTGTATGTACGAGAGGACACAATGTTATTCGATCAACTCAAATTGTACACATTCGTCATCAGCAGAGGAAAGTGCAAAAAAATACTATTTTTCTTGTGGCTTTCACTTCCATCCTTTGGATATAGTTCACAAGGAAAAAACTTGTTTAAAACCACAATCTCATTTTATCTACCTAGGGTCTGAGATTGACTCAAAATCTATGACTATATATCAGTGTTCCACAGAGAAAAATCGCAAAAAAAATTTGAAATTTGAAGGAACTCAAACTATATCAAGAGAAGTTGTCACTATCCGTCAACCTGCTCAAGTCATAGGTTTGATTGTTTCAACCTTTGATGCTTTCCCACAACGGAAACTGCACATCTTGAATTAGCTGAAACTCTAAAGCCAAATGATGCATTAAAATACATCCATTGGTATGGTTATTTCCACAGATGCCAGCAATACAGGCTGGGGAGCTGCATCAGAAACAGACAATTCCTACATTCAGGGTAAGTGATCTTATACTGAAAAGCTGTTCAAATCAATGTTCTGATCAAATCAGACAATAGCACTTAAGTTGCATATAATGCCCAAATCAGTGGAATCATTTGGCATCTAAGTGACATTGCGAAGTATATTCATGATTGATGCGTCAAAAGAAACTTTCATTTGTGTGCTACCCTTATTGCTGATGTAGAAGATGTAATAACATATTCTCTTTCTCTAAAAGGATTAACTAAATATTTAAGTATTCAATCACACTTAATTAGACAAAATTGTCACCAGAACGATACACCTAGACGTCGCTTTCTTCGCATCCTATATACATGTGCATCATAAATTACATTGTTATACGTTTCTTGGCAAACAGATCCCCATGTTTGGGCAATTTTTTCATTGTCATGGTCAGATATGACGCCTTACATTTTCCCATTGTTTTCTTTGCTCTCTAGAATTCTGGACAAAGCACAAAGTCTCACGTGACCAATTACCAGTTTGCCTTCTTATATCACCTATGTGGAAAGCTCGACCATAGTTCCCACAACTACCTCCACATGCTCATCGCCAACCCAATCAAACTACCAGAAGATTGCCCAGGACCTCAACCACAACAACCGATTCTCAACCTTCACCTGGCCGCTTGGGTCATCTCAGGGAACAGTGGCAAACACATTTCTTGGCAAAAAGAGATGGAACTCGGCACAGGCCATAGTGACGAAAAATGCAAAAAAACTGAATAGTGATGAAATTGGCCTGCTTTCAGATTTATTAATATTTCTAACATTTGCTATGTCATGGTCTACTACGCATGTTTTAAAGAAATAGCATAACAATCGTAGAATAACTGTGTATTTTACGGGGAAAAAAACAACTTGGCATCTTTCATTTTCAAGTATATTAAACTGGAACGTTTTTCTCAGTATTTTACTTTTTTGACATGTCGATAAATGTATACGGCAATAACTTGTCAAAGAAATGCTCCATTGATTTGCAACAGGAAGTATTGTTAGGAGATTTTTTTACTATCCTAACAATAGGCCTACCTACAAACGTAACCCCCATTTGAACTCTGTCCAGTTCTGT